TTTTTTCATGATTGTGTGTTTTTTGTGATGCATGTTGATCCAAACTGTGGCACATACCTGTAGCAAAGAAAATGTGTGGATTGTGGGAGAATGGAGGCCTTTGATGCAGATTATATGTGCATGAATCACTCTAGAAACAGCTTTTGAGTCGCACAATGTGATGAGAAAACATGGACCATCTTGCACAACATGTTCCCCAGTGCATGGGAACAGCCAGGAAACCATTAGACGTGTGTTTGGACGGGTTCTCTGTGGTTGTAGATCAGCAGTGGGACAGGCTCCTCGTAGATCACGGTAGACTGTGCTACCAGACCAGAGCAAAATGCTAATGTGTGTTTTGTGAGCCAGAGCAGCATCTGATTTGGTCATGTATTGTGTTGTATCCCTTTTACAACGTGTCAAGAGCAGTGGACGGACACAAAAGGACCCTTCATTGCATCTTTCTGCTTCACAGTGCAATCCTAATACATCTACTTTGGTTACAAGACAAACATGGCTATTACCTACAGATGTTCCTTTGGTATTCAACACACATCATCTCTGCTCCATTGGATGTCTCTCCCAGGCCGATGCTCTTGCCTCTGTGGTCCCAGAGCAGTGCTAGCAGGAAGGGGGGGGGGGGGGGGCTACTGTTGCGTCACAGGCAGAAAGAGGGGCACACGTCGTATTTTTAGACCGAAATGAGCATATTCTATGCGCAAACAGCGTCAGGCGCTGCTTGCGTATGCCGGGATTATTGTGAGTGGGCTATTTTTGCCCTGCCTAGGAGAGAGGGAGCTTATTCTGGGTCAAGCCTGGTGCCAGTCCTCCGGAGGCTGTGCCGTGTACGCTGATGTGCTCCCTGCTATAGTGCAGCGTGGGAGAGTGTTCTGCATCAGTCACATTTATAATTGTACTTTCAATGTATTTACAATTTTGTAATTTAATATATCGGTCACCCTTCTTTTCAGGTGTTGTGCACGTACTAGCTGCAAAAACAATTTGCTAATTCATGTTGGTCTATAGTCTGGTCGATACTATATTGCTATGACAGTCTAGAAGCAATCATTTAAAGGGGTCAAAACCATTGATCCTGGAGCACTAGAAACACAACTGGGATCAAAAGTAAAGGCGCCATGATGCCCACTCACACAGTCACTGGGTCAAAACATTTAAAAATATTGAAAGTTTCTTAATCCCCCTTAAAAAAAAACTGGTTTCAAATACACCTGTTTGTCACATGGCCGTAAAGATGGCGCCGTGGCAAGAGCTCTGGTGTGTGCCGTCCTCTGTCTGGTGCACACTGGGGTAGTCTTGCACAGTTTTTCCAATGTGGTTTTACTGCAAATGGCAAATAAATGAATCTGAATCTGAAATAATCAATTTTTTTTTTATTATATTATATCCAAATTATATAATTTGTATTGTACAAGGCAAGCTAGATACCACTCGTAGTTTACTACAACCAATCGAGCAGTGTCGTCACATCTTGTGCAGTGTCATCTTTTTGAAAAATGACAGCTATGCAAATTGAGGCCACAATGTGACGCGTTAAAGGAAAAACAGGCCTCAACCATGTTCTGTTTGAACTCATCCTGATGGCCATGAAAACACTTTTTTTAAGTGACAAGACTTAAAACAAAACAATGTCTCCCAGTCCGCGGTGAACATGGTTTTTTTCTGTGCATAAATATAACTTTGACAATCCAGACATAGAATATGTATTTTGATTGCAATATTATTCACTTTTATTTATAGATAAAACATTATTCCCCAATGTTATTTATATTGTGATCATGATATTTTCTTCTCATATCGTGACATCATTTTTTGTCCGTATCGCCTTGCCCTGTTTTAGCCATAGAGATTATTTTAGACATAGAGATTATTTTAGACATAGAGATTATTTTAGACATAGAGATTATTTTAGACATAGAGATGAAAATACCTTTTGTGAGAATATTCCAGTTTATATCAAGGCCTTTGTCCCATATTTCCAGTGTTGCCCAATGCATTGCCTCAGGCTTTGAAATGCATTCAATATTCAGCTTGTTTCGACAATAATAGATCATCTTTGTTGTGGCATCAGTGCAGCCTTAGAGTATTCCCTACACTGTAAAACTCAATGCTGTTGGACTGCCTTTCTTCTCATTCTGGCCACACCACAGATCCCAGGAGCGCTCCTAAACTCGGTCATAATACTTGCCTCTTTCCTTTTGTACTCTGACAGATGAAGCCATTCTTTTGGGAAAAGTTGGTCTAAAGGTGCAGCCGCCGCACTAAAGAGCTCATTGTTGCTGGATAAGTGACGCAATGGGAGTATAGAGTGATTCGAACCAGAGGGAAATGTGTAATACAAGTGGTCTGGAGCTGGTCTGGCTCTGAAGTGCAGAGTTATCAAATATGATGCAAATATATATATACATAATATTCTAGTGTTTTTGCCTGTGTGTGGAAATATGCTGATGATGGGTGTCCTCTACCTCAGTGTTTCTCAAAAGTGGTACTGTACATATATAGCGTTCTGGCATAGATAGATAGAGGAATACAGATATAATGGCAATCACCTTTTAATATTCACATTTTAGATTTAGTTTTGGAGTGATTGGAAAACCGGAAGATAATTCATTACTTTCATGGCCTACAACATTACACTGGGTTAATGGCATAAAGCTTGAATAAAGACATTCTTGGAATTTAACTTCTAAATTCTCTTCCATTTATATTGTAGTGTATGGTGCTTTGCTTTTGCAGCAAAGTGGTTCGTAGGGATGTGTGTCGGCCGCCGATCTGGGAATGTTTTGAGTATTTGGTCCCGCACCCATAAACTGAACAAAGCCTATGTTTGCCTGCAGCCAAATCCAGACCCAAAAGCAGCTACAACAATATTATTCACAGACGGTATTAGTTTTACATGTGTAATGTCTCCGCTGAGCCTTAAGCTCTGGGAATACGTGACTTGTTGAGCCATGTGGCTGAGAAGGGAAAACAGGTCCGTATCAGATAAAGTAAGGAAGCTGTGGAAATAGTTGGGAATTAATTTGGTCATTTTATTATGAAAAATGTAAAATAATAGTACAAGTAATTATAATAATAAGGCTTGTTATTAATTAGACTTGTTTTATACTCGTGATAACTGAATTGGAATGAACTTCATGGCATAATTGTACAAATAATAATATAAATGATTGGTATTAGATTAGTATATCTATTATGAGAATTAGACAGCTATACAAATGACCTGGCCTTGCGTAGGTCACAACGACCCGATTGTGTATCTGCTCTGATAGTGTATTCATGTTATGACTATAATATGTTATAATATGAATACACAATCAGAGATGGATGTGACACGTATGTCTTTCGATTTGTGACGTAACAATGACAATAAAAACCATGTTCTGACTTTGTTCTGTCTGAAAAAACTGAAACAACTGGAACCTGAAGGAAACCTGAAGGTAACCTAATAAACTCCAGCAGCTCTGGTGTGCCACGATCCGTCTCTGTGCGGTTAATCTACGACACTATCTCTCATAGCTATTGCAATAATAAAAATATTGGTATAAAAAACATGATCAGGACATCCCTAGCGGGCAGTGGTTAGAAGGAGCAGAGCTGGCCCACCCGCATACACCTCCACCTCCACGTCCACAGCCCGCTCCAGTGCATGTGTCCCAGACCTGCTGCCTGCGCTGGGGTCTTACCATTATGTAAGACCCCCCCTTGTAATCCTGCTTATGGAGACCTGCACCTCATGTGACGACTGGGTGCTGCTATAAGAAGAGACTTTACACCAGTTTGAAGCTGTTGTTTTGGAGTTGTTGCAAAGCTGGATGTGACTACAAGATTGGGATACATTTGGCAGTTTTCTTCTTCTTGAAATATCTTTTGTATGTTTTTGGTGGACAAGTTGGACCGGTGAACTTTGATTATGAAGAGTGTGGAGTATGAATCTTACCTTTTTTAAATACCTTTTTCTTTAAAATTGGTCATTTAGCGATGGGACTGTATGAACGTAGGATAATCATTAACAAAATACATGTATTTTGTGGAATTGCGCTTTTCATCTTGCTTATTGACATGATTTGTGTCACGATGGATCAATATTATGTCAAAATAATATCTCATTGTGAACTCGTGAGTTGTGAGCCAGTCAAGAAGGCTGCGTTTTACACTTCCAGCCACTTACTTATATAATTAGTAAAGCCTAGCGTACATCGGACTGGCAACTGATTATATCCGTCGCCTCTGAGTTGCTGCCCCGCACACATCGACAATCTGGCGAAAACGGGCAACTCTGAGTCGCAGGCCAGTCTCTTGAATAACAGCGCGTACATCGACAGCAACTGGCCTCAACTACAGTGTGTTTTCTGACAACAAACTGTTGCGGGCTCGCAATACACGCAATACACACACGTTGTTGGAGCGGCGCATGGAGCGCGCACATCGGGGCAACTGAGGACAACTAGTTGCCGAAAAGTAGAACACGGGCAACTGACTGGAACTGGAGACCGACTGATCATCTCCAGTTGTAAGAGCGCGCACATCGACCGATTTCGGCAACTGATCATCTCCCACCATCTCCTCTCAGTTGCCAAAAGCCGCCTTGCAACTAGTTGTCCCCAGTTTCTCTGTCGATGTACGCTAGGCTTAAGTGTTTAGTCAAAGAATCTGAAAACGCTTTTGACTTGTTGACTTTCTGTGGCGACGGATGAAAAACTTGCAAACTATTGTGAAGAATCTGTGAGAAGACAAAGTTATCCATGTAGAATAGAATGTTGGAAACTCTTCTTCTCAAACTTATTTTAGTATATTCTAAATGTAAAATTGTAAAATGAACAGTAGGTACACACGCATATGGATTTTTGTAGATTTGTTGACTGTCACATAACCTCTCCTCTGTGCTCTTGTCTCTGCAGATACCATCCATGAAGTGTCCAGGCTCGGGCTCTCTGAGTGTCCAATAGGAGTGTCGGAGCTCCCCCCCTCTGACCTCTGACCCCACCCCCTCCGACAGCACCATGCTCATCAAGGAGTACCGCATCCCCATGCCCATGAGTGTGGAGGAGTACCGCATCGCTCAGCTCTACATGATCCAGGTCAGCAACCCCAGTCAAAACACAGGCAGCACTAAAGTTCAAATCAGAGAATTTCCAATATTCCGGCCCTTTTCCAGTGTCCTGAGTGTCTAGGTGAGCTTTGATGTAGAGCCACATGTTATTGTATTATTGTCCTGAATTTCAATCTTGTACGCTCGTTAATAAAACCCTAATCGTACTTGACTTTTCAAAACTGGGTTAAAACAAGAGTTAATAATAGTTTCTCACTAAACCGTGATGATCTTATGATAAAGTGCTATATTTCCAGTGTGAATGTTGAGCAACACATGGCGAGAAAAAATCTTCTCACATGAGCATCAGCTGTTTCCCTCTAATGTTACCCAATGTATTTCATAAAATTTGTTAGATATGTGTTAGAATGTCATGCAAATGTAACCCCTGAACTTTGACGAGGAGACCACTCTTTGCACTTTATGCTGTCGTCAGAACTTGCAAATCTACAAAGGTGGTTCCAATGCTGGACTGCATCAGCGTTTGCCCCTTTAGGAAGGTAACACCAAGCATAGCAACTGGTCTGTTCTAGTTACAGGTGGGTTTACGTTTATATAAGTTACAATAAGTACATGTGATTTTGATTTCATTTAATAACTATATTTAGATTGTTACGCAGAGATTGTCGTATTTGCGTAATGCCAGATGCTAGTGACGTCGACAGTCTATAAATGAACCACTTTTAGTCTAACCACTGCCCTTTGAGGGGTCGCCCCCACCCTACTGATCCCACCCCAACTGTTTTGTCTCTGATCTATTCTGTGCACTACATAGAACAAATCAAGTCCATCAAAGCCTAATTTAAAAAGTGTGATTGTCCAATTTTGGAAGAATTGTTCACAGGGTGTCTGATGTGAGCAGAGAAACAACAAGGCTGTGTGCGGTAGATTATCCCATTTCTGCTCCAAACAGGATATTTCCACATCACATCTAAGAAGGCAGCTGAGCACGTCAGAGCGCACGTGTTTCTATCAAACTATAGCACCTCACAAAGCTGTCGGTGCGCTGACATGCTTCTGTAAATATGATGCGTGTACATATAGACGGATTGCTTTAATCCCTTAACACGTGTTCTCATGGGCCACAGCCATGGATGAGCTTTGCTTGATGTTTGTCTATTTGGCATAAACATTATTTTGATCGTAGCTTTCAGCGCGGCAAGCCAAAGGACTGGATAAAGCATACCAGTGTGGTGCAGATTAAGCTGCTTTAGCTCCACTCTTAGCTGTAATAAACAAACTCATAATTCAGAGTTGTCCTGAATGGGGACTGTGTTTTAAAGGGGACATATTATGCAAAATTTACTTTGTACATTTATCTAAGCTGTCATGATATCATGATTGAATTTGGGAAAAGGTTAGAACACTATCTCAAGAAAAGAAACACATAATTGGATTTATTCTAAAATTTAAACCCAACATATAATTAGAAATAGGCCAATGATCTTTTTATTAACTCTCAGTCTAAACGTACAAGTAGAGCTGGGCAATAAATCGAATTCAGACAATTAATCTGCTTTTGAAAAAATCAAATTTGTGAACAATGTGAAAGTTGAGAAATTGAATGGATAATGTGAGAGTTCCAGCAGCACATGCATTATACTTACAATATCAGCACAGTTGTACAGGACTTTTATAATACGTATTTTGGGTAAAAAAAAATTTAAAATATTTTTGAAACTTAAATATTGAGCGGAAAGATGAAAACATATTTTTAAGGGCAAAGTCTGTCTTCAGTGACTTTAATGAAAATAGATTTCAATTCAAAATCGTCCAAAGCAAGAAATAAAATGAGATTTTACTTTTTTGTCATATCGCCCTCCCTACATACAAGCCTTTATGGTCCCCGGTTTGTTGCTCCCTTCAGTGTCTGTCTGTGTAGTTTTCCTCCGGGTGCTCCGGTCTCCCCTACCACTCAAAACATGAGTTAGGTGCATGTCCTGTGTGTGGAGTGAGGGGACAAAAGCCCACAATAATTGTAGTGCTTTGTGTCTATGAAAGGCGCTATATAAATAAACTAAACTTACTACTTGCCAACATAATGCCAACATAATGCATATGTTTTTAATATTGTCACCACTCAGGAATGAGAGAAATTAGTCACTAAACTAGGACTAGAAATCCCACTTTTGACACCTACCATAGTTACCATAGCGACACTCCACCACAAATTTAAAGTTTAGGTTCTTTGCAATATGTGATGTCACATAAACACAACCAAGTGTTGGTGGTAATACTGGGCCACAGTGCTCAGACTTTGTAGAAGCCTATCCCAGAGATCAAGTGCTCCTGTCGTGATAGAGCTCTGTAGTGTTTGCTCTGACTGAATGTGAACTGGTTTATTGTTTATTGTACTATGTGTGTACTGACCAAACACCATCAGAGCCACATGCACGCAGCACCAACTAGTGCCACTGTTTGCACCACACTCCAGACAGGGTTTTTAACTTTTATCATAATCATTTTGGTCTATACTACCGAAATGCAATAACAGTGTATTGCTATATTATATAAGTTGCCAAGTAGGATAGAAGTGGAATATTAGATCATTCAAAAGTCCATTTACTTCAACTTGTATTTCTTCAGATGTTCCACATTCAGAAAGCTAAACGATATACAGTACAGACCAAAAGATTGGACACACTTTTCATTCAATGAGTGTCCTTTCTTTTCATGACTATCGACTGTAGATCCACACCAGGCTGTGTAAGGGCTGTTTGACCAATAAGGAGAGTGATGGTGCTGGGCCAGATGACCTCCACAGTCACCGGACCTGAACCCAGTCCAGATGGTTTTGGGGCTGGACCACAGAGTGAAGGCGAAAGGGCCAACAGGTGCTAAGCATCTGTGGGAACTCAGACCACTTCAGGTCCTCTTGAAGCTCATCAAGAGAATGCCAAGAGTTGAAGCAGTAATCAAAGCAAAAGGTGCTACTTTGAAGAACCGAGAAGACATATTTTCCGTTGTTTCATACTTTTTTTTTAGTATGTACATAATTCTACATGACTCCCACTGATGACTGCTGTCGTTGTGTCCTTGGGCAAGACACTTAACCCCACTTTGCCTGAAGCCCCCACTGAAAGATCTCAGCTCCTGTGGACTCACCACCTGCAGGAGGATCAGTGAGGGGCTGGTGCTCTGTGGACTGGGTGCAGCTCTGACTGCCACCCCCCCGACCCAGAAATGGATTAAGGGGAAGAAAATGGATGGATGGATGGATAATTCTACATGAGTTTATTCATAGTTTGGATGCCTTCAGTGTGAATCTGCAATTTTCATAATCATGAAAATAAACTCTTTGAATGAGAAGGTGTGTCCAAACTTTTGGTCTGTACTGTATGCTTACAAATGTAATACATTTGTACACAACACTTGAGTGTGTTCACAGTAAAGTGACAATTAAAGCATCTGGACTTTAAAAGGTTATAACTTAAAAACTAAAATTACTGTCATAGATTGGAAAAAAAAGATTTAAAACACAGACACATTGAAGAGATAGTGTGGAAAAAATCAAAAGGAAAGATTTACAAAAATATTTTTAGCGACATTTTAAACGACCAAATCAGCCTCTTATTTGACCATTCTACTGTGACTCCGGTTACATAGAAAATAAAATGTCCTCATTCTGAAAAAGCAGAAGATGAAATCCCACAAGATTTACATGGTTAACACAACAGAAGGAAATCACTTGATATAAAAGGAATCGTGAAAAAATAAAAAATAATTAATTAATTAAATGACAAAAAATGTGTAACGGACGTGATTAGGACGGTCCTCTTTTCTCTAAAAATTAAACTTAAGAAGAAAAAAAATCTTGTCTGTTTTCACATTTAATTAGTTGACAATATGAAAGTATCACTTTGCATCAACTTTGTGTAAAAAAATAGCTATACCTATCAAACTTCCACAAAGCTCATTCTGTCAAATCATCACGTCCGTTACATAAAATAAACCGCTACAGGAAACTTGTCTAATGTATAAAACAGGTGCTTGGAAACATGAAAAACATAAATTATCTTCTGATTATTCAAATCTAATTTTTGGCCTTTTGTCACACTTTTGTGCCCTTTAGTGTGAACAAGCCCAAATATAAATGACTGCGCTGACTCTAAATGTAATAATTTATGTGATTAACGTAGATGGGAAAGTTTATTCCAGGCTGCGTACGGAACTATTCTCAACACATCGGTCCTGGAGAGCTCTGCGTCTATTTCTGACATTTCAGAAATAGAAATCGACATTTACATTGCATCAGTGTGGGGGAGCCCGAATGAAGAGCTTTTCTTGAGCGAGCGACCTGTAGTTACCTCTCCCCTGACCTCACCCTCGGCGCCTCCTGTTTCCATGGTGAACGTGACATCAGCGTTGTGCAGTGGTCAGCGAGCCGAGCAGGAAATAAAGGAGAGGAAATGGAGAAATGTGCTGGTTAAGATACAGTGACGAACACAGTCACAGTTGGACTCAAATTCCCACAGTGCTTTGTAAAAGTTTGACCTAGATTAGAACCCTCTCGTGCATATGGGCTTCTCTCCGTGGAGATGATATTTCTATACTGGAATGTTCCACAGTGTTAACATTAAATTAACCTTTTTGTTTTTCAGAAATTTGATGTGAAACAGACTTGGGCTATGACGTTGATATATTACACTTTGAAGCTTTCTTTTGGTCAAATGTTAAAAAAATACCATATTCACTTTTTTCAGGATCAAAACGACTACTGGTAATTGATTTGGCTGCACGATATTGTAAATTAGTGCGATACTTGATATGACTGTTTTTAGTATATTTTTCTTCTTTCACCTAAATTGCATCTGCATTGAAACACAATGCAAAATAAGCACAACATTAATGACATTCAAATGCTTACATTTATATACTTTTTTGTTTGTTGTATTTGTCGAATGTTGATGTGTCTGATTTGTTGTCTTTAATAAAGAAAACGTTTTTTAATTTTTTTTATTGCGGATATTTTTTATATGGATATATTGCACGCACCGATATCGCAATAACAATATTTTTTCGATATATCGTGCAGTCCTAAACCAACTAATCAATTATCAATATGTTTGTTAATTACAGCTCTAAAACTGACAAACGGTGGACCCAAAACTACAAAATAAAAATAAATTACATAAAGAAAATTACTGAAATAATTATATTAAGAAATAAAATATGCAAGATGCTGCTAATCTCTTGTCAGATCAGTGAGAGGTGACCCTGCTTGGTACAGGATTTATACATTGAAGGATTATTGTGGGTAAACTCAATTTTCAATAGGGGCCGACCTCCATCTAGAAGTGGTATTGACCAATCACAGCCACGTATGAACATTCAGGAAGAGCCTTTTGTTGCTTGTTAAAGAGGCTGTACTTTGTTCAAACTAAGGCTTGATGTGTCATTTTCTGCTAACACAAACTCACTATTGAGGTTCTTTCATTGTCATCCAGCCAACTTCAGCTCGACCATTGTAGTCATGCTGTACATCCTGGTACTGCTCAGAACTTTTGAAATCCAGTTGATATATTTTGTAATGCATTTATTTATCACCTTATCACTTATCACCCTCTTCCTCATTGGGCTGATAGACCACTGCTGTATGAGTCATCCATCACCTGTGGGCGTGGAGCCAAGTTAAACACGTGCACTACTTCATTCATTATTTCCTTATTTCATTGGACTAACTTTTTGTTTGAAGGCAGAAATCTCTTGCCATGCATATACATATCCTATTCTCTACCTTTTTAACCCTTGTACTCTTCACAACCATTGGTGAACACACAGTGCTGGAGAAATGTTTACAGCGAAATGTGCCGCATGCTTATTATAACGCAATTGTGATCATATATAAGAACAAAACTTTCCCATAAATCTGATGTTAATACAGATGTATCTTTGTGGCGCGCAGTTCATAGATTGGTTTGTTAGAGAAATATCAAATCTATTGCTTTCTATACACAATTGTGGTATTTATACAAAGTGAATGCACAGTATTCAATGATGAGTGTGTTCTTCCTCAATCCTAGGTTGAGGCTAACAAAAGTACAGAAACACTGACTGGTTTTAATATTAAGCCATGCCCAGCCCAGGCCACTGCACTCTGTCACCCTCCTGCCCCTCCTGTCCCTCCTGTGGTCTGGTGCTGTGGTCGTGAGGCTGCTCTGTGTCTGGACTGGGCTTGTGTTGAGAGCTGTGGGGATAATGAAGGAGCTGTCAGCTTAATGACAGTGGGACATCCTCCTCTTCATCTCCTTGGGCCTGTGGTGAGGTGTTGTGACTGGTGATGTGTAACAGAAGGTGATTCGTCAGTAAATCTCCAACATTTATGGTCTTTGAGCTTTGCCCTTTATCGTCAGCATGTGGACTATGTTCTGCAGGGTTTGGCCTCTGACAGCACTTTATTGTATGGTCTATGAACCATGGTCAATAAAGTGGTCTATGCTCACTCTACCAACAAATGCTAACAAAAAAGACCGTTTTGTGTTAGAAACTTGTGGTTCAATGAAAAATGTTTCTGTGTGTTACAAAAATAGAAATTAATTGCCCACTGAAAACAGAGATCCTTGATTTTAAAACTGCGGGTTGCAAGACACAGTACTTTGTTCACAAGTACTGTTAGAATAATTTACTATTGTACAGAGAATTTACTTGTGTCATGACAACACCTCAGGGACAACGTGGTCTAATCCCTTGTGTCCATCAGTGATCAATCGCAATGTATTATTTACCTTGATTACTGCTACATAATATGATCCAAACCTATGCCTGAAGCTAATATTAGACTGAAGTTCTGAGTTGTAAACCGTCTGCAACTAAAACCAGCACTGAGAGAAAAAAAACCCTTATCAGTTATTGAGTAATTATAACTAAATGTGTATGTTATAATGTTTCTCTACTCATCCAAAAGTCATATTCAATTCAATTCAATTCAATTGTGACTCATTCAATACATGCATATATTGCTAGAACAATGTCCATCAAGACTAGAACCTCTCGCCACAAGAACAGTTTCTTCCCCTCTGCTGTTGGACTCTTGAACACTTCTTAACCTGTCCCCCCGCCCTTTATAAAGTCACTTTACTGCCCATCATACGTCACTTTACCTCACTGTACTGCTGTCACCTTACATTGTGTGCACCATGTGCACTGTATATTGTATATAGTAATTGTAACTATTTTAAATTTTTATTTTAAATTTATTCCTTAAAAGTGTTTTCTTTCTTTATTTTTTATTATGCCTTCTCTACCCTTATCTCTCTTTCTGACTGTTGCACTGAGCCAAAGCAATTTCCAAGTCTGTGACCTGCTATTACTTACGTGTCAATAAAAATGATTCTGATATTTTAATTGTAAAACTGTAATATTTGAGCTGAATGAGCAACTTCTAAGGCTAAGCATATTTTCAATGTACTGCACGTTGAAAAGTTTCTCATGTGAATCCATATATTGACACCCTGACGTTGGTCTCTTCCTTCGGTGCCTGCAGAAGAAGAGCCGTGAGGAGAGCTGCGGTGAGGGCAGCGGGGTGGAGATCATGGAGAACAAGCCTTACACAGACGGACCCGGGGGCGCGGGCCAGTACACGCACAAGGTCTACCACATCGGCATGCACATCCCCAGCTGGTTCCGCTCCATCCTGCCCAAAGCAGCGCTGCGGGTGGAGGAGGAATCCTGGAACGCCTACCCCTACACGCGCACCAGGTCCGAACCACAAGGACACAACTGTCTATCGCACTCCAATCAGGAATGTGTTATTTCATGGGGCTTAGTTATGGAGTAATTTGAGTGAGATGAGCCCATGTGCTTTAGTGTTCTAGTGTAATAGATAATCATCGCCGGCAGTTCCTAAACAGTTCTGGGTTTGAACTTTTCCAGTATTAAGTAGGAGGTTATACTTACATAAACTGTTAATGGAACCCAGAACTGTATGTTAAGAATTGAAAGGTTTCACATGATTAAAACTAACATAAAAGATAAATTGAATAATAAATGTACTTCCAGATACACCTGCCCATTTGTGGAGAAGTTTTCCATTGACATTGAGACGTACTACAAACCGGACACAGGGAACCAGGTCGACGTGTTTAACATGTCTGCAGTGGATAAAAGGCAGCGGACTATCGGTGAGTCCTGGACCTGTGCCAAAGGGAACTTTACTGTTTCATACCTTTGTTTAATTGTTACTAAAAAATAATAATGAACACTCTTCACGTTCTACTGATTTATTCAGAATATAAGTCATGTCAAAACAGATCCCTATAACTGTAATGATATTAGTCATAGTAAAAGGACACAAGTATATTGTTAAACCTAACAAGGGAATGGTTCTGGATACCACTCACCAACAGCGCCGCAGTGGCCTCAGTGGCCGCAGTGCGGGTGTGTGTTTGAGGGCTGATGACATGTTCATGTGAAGCCGCTCACAAAGTCATGGTTCCAGGGCATATGCTGACCCACATTCAGCAGAGATGGCCCTCATCTAATCATGAGTTATTATTGTGTTCTGTAGAATACTTCATACTCGTCTACTTTCACACGTCTTTCTAAGTGGGGATTTTTGTGTCAATTTTGGTGAAAATAATGTACTGTGATCTACTTTTTCTATTATTATTATTAATTACAATATTCAATTCACAATCATTATGAGAAATAATCACTATGTATACAAAACAATAGTGATCAGCTTTGAGTAACAATGTAAAGTTGACTTAGGGGTCTGAATGTTAACTTGTTAAGAGTGAAGTCTAATTATAATTTACAATTACAACAATTATAATTTTTTTTTGACATGATTGTTTCCAGATCCCATTGACATAGTAACAGACCCCATCGCTGCTCATGAGTACAAAGTGGAGGAGGACCCACGGCTCTACAAATCTGCCAAGACCCAGAGAGGCCCGCTACAGGACGACTGGATCGAGGAGTGCAACAATAACCCTGGGAGTACCCCCGTCATGTGTGCCTACAAACTGTGTAAGGTGGAGTTCAGATACTGGGGAATGCAGTCCAAGATTGAGCGTTTCATCCATGACGTTGGTGAGGAGCCACTCAGTTTAGAAAAATACAATTATTACTATCATTTCTAGTTAAAGGGCCAGTGGCCAATATTTACCGTAAAACAGATTTGGATAACTTTTACCAACTTAGGAGCCATCCAAGGGGGGCGACAGTGGCTCAGTTAGTAGAGCCTGAAGGTTTGTGGGTTCGAGCCCACCACAAGATCTACTTCACGACTCCCACTGATGTCTGCTGTCGTTGTGTCTTTGGGCAAGACACTTAAGCCCACTTTGCCTGAAGCCCTTGCTGAATAATCAAGGCTCCTGTGGGCTCAGCACCTGCAGGAGGATCAGTGAGGGGCTGGTGCTCTGTGTACTGGGTGCAGCTCTGACTGCCACCCCCCCGACCCAGAAATGGATTAAGGGGAAGAAGGATGGATGGATGGATGGAGCCATCAAACTCATTCCTTACTTTCTTGTATAGATTTGTCACATACAATGAAATTACAACACAATTTTCAGAGCCCAGATCTTGCAATAACTTACATACACAAGCAAAATCAATATCTAATTTTACAACATTACATTACATTACATATTTGCTCTCGGCTACATAAAAAACAGGTGGTACAGGTTCTTGACATGTGCATCACTGTGTAGGCCTCCGTAAGGTGATGGTGCGCGCCCACCGGCAGGCCTGGTGCTGGCAGGACGAGTGGTATGGTCTGACCATGGAGGACATCCGGCAGCTGGAGCTGGAGACGCAGCTGGCTTTGGCCTCGAGGATGGCTCAGTTCTGTCAGGCAGAGGAGGCCACTGAGGCTAACGGAGGAGCAGCCTCTCCAGACAAGGAGCAAGAGGCCAAGGAGGCAATCAGCAGCATCGAGGCTGAGGAGGTGGTTGTCAACGCTGGGGACACACTGCAGCCCAGAGGGGTCCTGACCAAGCAGTGGTCCACCTCTTCCAGGTCGTCCCGCTCCTCCAAGAGGGGAGGTGAGAAAGTTTTGGCTTTATTTACAATTCAGCTCAGCGTCCAGGTTCTTATAAAGTAAACATTATGATTGCAGCTTTGTATATTGACAACTTTCATCAGATATAATCAGATTTTCTTACGAAGATATGCAAAATTAAGATGTACAGTTTTTCAATAGAATGTAATTGTGTAGGTGAAAACAGGGATTCTTGGAGCAATAGCGACTTAAATTAAGAGGAAGTCACACAATACTGTATGTCCCCTTACAATTATAAGACTGATGTTGCACTTTTATCCCAGACTTTATATTTACAGCCTCTTTTTTATCATATGAATACATTTTTGTTTATATGTATCATTTAAAAAACCTATTGAGATCTTTGCCATTATCACAACGGTGAGTAAAATTGTGTAATCTTACGAGGGTCCTCTTCACCTCATGTTACCCCCCCCCCACCCTGCACCTCACGCTATTTTTAGCCGCGTGGTTGACGTCAGGAGCACGTTCCGGACACACCCTTCTCCAGAGTCCCCATCTGAAGGTAGAGCGGTGAACCCCCTCTCCCCCCCTCACCCCGCCTTTCAGCAGCCTATTTTTAGCCCAGTGCTGACATCATGAGGCTGACGCTGTTGGCAGGGCCGCTGTTTCCTCTGAGCAGCTGTGTTCAGGACTCTCACATGAGCTGGGGGGAATCCTGGGGAGCTGCAGCCTGAGCTTATACGCTGATGCCTTAAACAAAAACATTAGACACAAAATTTGCAGGGGAGGCGGGAATAACGGATAACTCCTGGTCCAATCAAAATGGTTTGAACAAAATTGATGTGGGCCCAAGCACTTCCATTGCGGTGTGACATATAATCATGAAAACACAAATGTCCAGTATTCATAACCACCAACGTTGAACACTAATGGGAAAAGACTATCTGAGATTTTAAACTGCACAGGATAATTATTAATATACATGTAGTTGATCTCAAACTCAGCTGAACTTTATAAAAAGCACTTTGGAGACAACATGGCTAACCATGTTGTCTTTCCATGTTGTCTTTTTCACAGCACTTTCCAAGTGCTGTGGAAAGATGACCAGTACAGATACAACAACTCAATAAGATAAAGCGGGACATGCAGTATATCAGGGATCTGTTTTCGTAGACCGATTTGTTCTGCTATTGTTCACATAATGAGGTGGAATGCTGAGGCTCTCTGGCAAAGATTGCAAGAGTTCACCAATATTCTGAATATCCTCTGACTTATATACACTTTTTCCCCTCCCTTTTACCTTAAATGAACAAAAAATAAAATAAAAACACAACTATGTGAAGAAGATGACAAAGTCTGGGATTGTGTCTTTAATTCAGACAGAAGACATGTTTTATTGTTGATGGTAGACGCACGAACAAAATGCAAGTGGTAATATGCAGCAGGAGAAACGGAGACCTCCAATCAGCAGCTGCCACGGTGCCAGCAGCTTCAGCCTTGAGATAACCAAAACAATGGAAGAGTACCGGCTTCTGCAAATGTTGGAATGATGAGTTAGAACTTTAACCACAGTTCCTTCAAAGTGTCATGAAATCTCTAAAGATGTTTTCACAAATATGCAACTGATAGAGAACAAGTACAAAGAAATACCAATCTTCGTTCCATGAGATGCCTTATCTGAGGTTTTGATGCACCAAGTAGTTGCTTAAATCTCTAGTATGATTTGAGGCATGAGCAAGGGTTACTGACAATGCATGGGTCTGATGTACCACAGTGTTCTCCTGAGGCCATGTTGAATTGACGTTCTTTTCTCATTACTGATGTTGATATTTGCGCAAATCCCATAACTTTTCAGCTTGAGTGGGCCGCTCCTATAGAAGCTAAAGTAAAGTCTTCAGTGTTTTTTATGAACTATAGCAATTGAAACGTTTGTCATCGTAACCGCGGGAAGTATGAGGGCTTTTTTCCCATTTTGACTTTTCAAAGAAACAAATAAGACCTATAGTATTGTCTCTGAAGTCTCTGAAACAATCGACCCGTAGCCATAAAACAGAAATTATTTGAGACTTACAAATATCCTGATCAAGTTGACTGAAGACTTTCCAATCCAAATGTTTCGAGTTGTTGCGTTCTTCTGAGATAACAAGAGTCTTGATTAGTCAGTGTGGAAAGGTCTCCGCGCTCACAGCCCCCGTCTGCCAGAGCCTCCGTGTTTGTGCCAATGTGGTTTGAACCCCACTATTCTGTGTCCAGCAGCTCCATCTGTGAAGGGGCCGTGCATGTGAGGCCGTGCACGAGCCGAGAGAGCTCCATGTTTATATAACACTCATGTGGGGGCCGAGAGCTTGTGCAAGATTTCTTTGTCATAGAGAGATGGTAAAAAAGGGAACGAGAGAGGCTCAAACACATGCACCAAAATAACCAAGAGCTGCAGCCAAATCTCCCCGGCGCTGCACTGAAGGAAGTCCAAGTTAATAAAAGGCCCTGTCACTCTCTCAGAAGCTGTAGTTACATCATCTGCTGATCGCTCGAACACCCAAAATGAGACAAAGTAGGCAGATACATTTTAGGCTATAATGTTCTTGTGTAATGCTTTTCCAACAATTACATCATATTTTTAGTTTGTCAAAGCTTTTGTCTGTATTCAGCATGAGACCACGGTGCGTCTCAGTTATCATGGTAGAAATAAATGTTTTTCCAGTAGTGAACACACCGGTAATAAATTTAATGCGTACATCTTTACTTTCTTCTAGACTTATGTGGAATTATGACGATTATCATTGTTGCCACAAGATGATAATTGCCACCCCTTTTTAGCGCCGTGAATGATGTTGATTCTTGTCCCATTCCTAATAAATGCAGATCTGCTGCTAAAATGTACTGGCAGACGGACGCAAATCATAATAATATTAGGATCAGCTCAAAGATTGAAATTCTTTAATATGCAGGTGCGATATGTTATTAAAGGGAACTGTATACATTATTTTTGGCCATTAATTTTTATTATTATATTATATTATATAGCCTGTATTACCCTGAGTAGAAAATATATGGTCAAACAAGTATCAAGGGTAAAAAAAGCTTTCTGCCGGTAACTCCCTATGCTACCACCAGGGGGAGGAGATTAATTTGTTTTAGTTGCAACCATGCGATTTGTATAAAAAACTTGATGTCATAGAGAGGTACAATAACATCATCCTATCACAGGACTGAGACAGGAGCTTTTAGACAGAAGGGGCAGAGTTACATATGGGGACTGTTTTTAATGAGGGAACAATGTTGTAAAATGTTTAATAGCTCAAATATGTCAATTTTACGTGTCTTCTTGAAAGTTATGACATATGATATTGTTATTTTGAATGAACGAACAGGTGTCAGAGGCTCCAGACTCAGCCGAAGCCCTGTGTGTGTTGCAGTGAGCCCTTCCCGCCACAGTCTATCCGAGTGGCGCATGCAGAGTATCGCCCGGGACTCCGAGGACAGCTCCGACGAGGAGTTCTTCGACGCACACGGTAAAACTCAGCTCCATCTCATCTGGTTTCCATTGTGGCTCTGTGTGTGTGTGCGTATGTATGCGTGAGCGTATATGTATATGTGTATGTGTGTATGTGTGTGTTTGTGTGTGTGTGTGAATATATGTATATGTGTGTGCACCTGCCTGCCGTCACTCCCATAACTCTGCATGCTCTCTTAAATACAGATCACTTCCCAGGGTTTCCCGATACCCAGCATGCTTTGGGGCTTCGCTTGAAATAAGTGGGTGTGGCTCTACTTGCTTCGCGCAGGATTATCCAGCCCTCGGGTCGGACGGTTTTTGCATTCTCCCAACAGGACGCAACACACAGAGCCTTCTCTCAAATGTCAAAGGAGACGTGTGAAGCTGTAGTCCAACTTTTCAAAAATATCCCCAAATAACTTTCCCCATAAGTGTCTTACCCCTATCTTATGTGGCTGGTTTATCTACAGTACTTTAAATAACTATAGCCTTGTTTTATTGATTTTAACACCAGATTTAATCATCATTAGCATTATACAAGATGTAAATAACCCTTTTACAATCCAACACTGTTTCCATATCCCTGGTTGGGAAACTGTGCAATCAAGGCTAGAGAGAAAAATGTACTGTTCTAGAAAACTCCTGAAAAATAACAATCTTTTGCCGCAAACAATCAATCAATATGATCCAGGTCTTGCCCATGATTACGGTTTCTCTTTTCAAATTGAAATGCTGTGTTGCCGTCCTTCCAGCTTCATGTTTCTGTTGTATAGTATTTGATTCATTTTGGTACCTCTTCTTCAAATGAATCAAATACTACACAACCCCTTTTCAATCCCAGTACAAGTTTAATTGTCTGTTAATATTAATATATGTGAAAATATGTATTGTGCAGGTTCTAAATAAATACATAAATAAATAAAATAAGAAACAATAATGAAATATCATTTGGAGACTTGATTCGTTACTGTTTGAGAACCACTGATCTGCTGCATGTCTCTGTGATGGTTTAAAGCTGAAGTACTTTTATTTTATTTTTTCAATACATTTTAAATCTGAAAAATATAACCACACATATATTGAAATGAAAGCAGATACAAAATAAGTAGTCGCACATAACACACAGTTTGTACAGTTTCTAGCTAAACTCCAGAAGGTGGATCGCATCAGTAATCAGTGCTTATGAGCTCCATGTGACACGCAGGAAGATTCTGGCAACAAAAATGTGACTTTAATTGTAACTTTACTAGACCCTAATTGTCTCTTTTAAACAAGACTCCTTCTGTTGGGACAATTTTTTTATTTATGAAACAACAATAAAGTTAAGTACTCCAGCTTTAATATCATATTTGTTGCTCATTGTGCACTTTCTCACACGTTTATGCCTGGTGTGGACTGGACTCGCCTATGGACTTCATACTTTTCTGTTTCATGCTGCTATGCTCCATCACTTTCACCTTTTTGGTCAGCTACGCGCCTCGTACAAGACTACCCTGGCCTTATCCATCCGTACACTCTGCTCAATCATCATTTCACTGCATGTAACGTCTGGGTCTGGTCCCTATGTTTGCGATAACAATCAGTTGAATTTTGACCGACCAATCAGAGAGCGCGGGAGGCGGGTGTTGTAGTTAGATGTGGGTGACGTCAGAGTTTGTAAAGTTTGGAAGGTTGTAGTTTGTCAATGGCGAAAAATGTGATAGTAAAGTATGGTCTGGTTCTATCAAGAAATTGAAGCCGGAGCAAGAGGAATGTTTAGCAAATGTAATCGCTGGAAAAATTGTGACGCTACTCCCCACGGGCTCCGTTAGCAGCAAAGGAGATGGCTATGCTACATGCTAAATGCTAACGACTCACTCGGGCGCATTACATACGTCACGATAAACTCTGATCCAATCGTTTCAATCTGCAAAAGGAGTTAACCCCTCCCACCTGTAAACGGAGTCAATGGAGCAAATCCAGACCTTAGTACGAAATGTAATGTGGACTATGGTGTGGTACGACCAGGCTAGTACAAGACTGGTAGCTGACCAAATCGTCAACACTTATAATGTCATTAAAGTGTTCCATTAATTGTCTTCGAGGTCATTTCACCGCCACATTTCTTTGCTTCTCGAAACTCCTCACTGGGAAAGCTGCATACTGGAACTTTACATTTGTCCGTATGAACTTTATCTTTTGTTTAAAGGTACATTATTCTTCAGAATGTTTGGTAATAAAAGGCTGCACTTTTTTTCCCAGCGCCGGGTGTGATCTTGAGTGTGATATTGTTAGTGGAACTTTCTTCACACGGAACAGTAAACACGGACAGGGCTGGTTTTATATTACAGCTTCAGAGGCCTGCTGCTTTCTCTGCTGCTTTCTCTGCTCCATTCACTTCACACACACATGGTTCCTTTCATATGTAGACATAAATAACAGTTATTACTATTTATAACTCTTATTCTATCTCAACTTTTTCTTTTTATGGCTACAAGTAAAAAAATAACCCATGCACAATACAGAAGTGCTGCAAGTGCTGGTGGTTTGAATGTAAAAATATCACAAAATTACTCTTTAAATATGCATGTACTACAGACACGCTATTTTAGTGCGATATATTTAGAGCCCTATTATATTTATAAGTCCCTACTGTTAAAATAACCGTACAGAAATAGCTGCAAAAGTCTAGTACTTTGTCATTCTCATAGTAAAACGGTGAAAGGCTCCAATGTCACTCAGGGCTGTCGTGCATCAGTGAGAAAGTGTAAAGTCTATCGAGGTGGATGTGCCTCAGAAGAAATGTGTTTTTGACAATAGACAGGATAAAAAACAGGATTGGATAAGGGTTATTTTAAAATCATATGTCATTCTCACATTTATGCACATTTCAAATAAAATGCATATATTTGAAAGTAAGTCACATGACTCAAAACAAATGATTTGAATAAGTTGACAGTTGAAATGTTTAGCGTTTTTAATTGGAGTTTGCAGTGTGAGTCAAGAGATTAAAAATGGCTGATAAACGTTTGAGAACACTTACATTGTTAGAGTGTTTGACTGCATAACCACCAATACTTGTAATTAATGATGTAATAGTTACTGATAAAATACTTATTAGTTCCTTACAACACCATTAATGATTAATGATTACCCACAGACAACATTAAGATAAGATGGACTTAATTGATCTACAGGAGAAACATGGATAGAAACACTCAAGATTGTGAAGAAGACAGAAGTGTGCAACCATGGCATAAAATATAGTCTGTGAAGGATAAATTATGACAATAATAAGTGGCAATTAAAGAAACAGTGGCAATAGTACTGCAGGTTTTTAGTCCAAGTGACTTAAAGTGACTTATTGTACAGTCTGACAGCGGTGGGGATAAAGGCATACTGGTCTTAATCAGCAGCAGGAGCAGTGACTGATCTAATTTTGTCTCCAACAGACATTTCCGTAACAACTATTAAATATCATTAGATATTAATGATAATAAAGTAGTAAAATAAAACATTCATTCATGATATTACGACAAAAGTAATTAAAGTGACTTTCATTGATGCAGTAAGGAGCGTTGTCAAAAGTATCCGTATCAGATATTAAATATGAATTAATCAATAGCCTAAATTGAGCAAATATAAATAAAAGTAAATTATGGATTTACATGAAAATGTGACATTGTTTGATCAGAAGAACGTATAAAACACAGTGGCTCCATTAAAAGTTGAAAATGTAGCATATTTGTAATTCTATTGTCACAACAGGACTACTATTTTAAGTAATTAGTAAGTTATAACGATTGTAAGAGCTAAAACTACATTTTCACAACTTTACCCAACGCTGATAACCACAGACTAATGTTTTGCCCTGATCATTTCTCTGTCTCCAAATATCAGCACAACAAAGAGCAGTGTATCATGTTGAAACATTAGGGTTTAACACATATAATAATAATAATAATACATCAAACTTGTATAGCGCTTTTTGGACACTCAAAGACGCTTCCCATGGGGATTTAGTCCAAAGAAAGATCCCGTTCCTGCGATGGCCCAGTGTCCGTTAAAGTAAAAGATGACCCAGTTGAGCAACCTTCACACAAAGTGGCCTGTATATTTATAAATATGTGCGGGGTTCGTGATAAAACAGGTCCTTGTCGACTTCTAATGTGTGTAAGCCATGCAAAAAGGCTGCAATAAAACATGAAGTAATTACTGCACTAAAATACTAAGTGTTTGAATCTAGTAAATTATAATATGTATTTATAAAGTTTGTCTAAATCAGAGAATGTAGATTAAAAAGTCAGTGTTCAACATGTATACTGGTGCCATTATTCTCTGGGACTAATTTTGTTGTTCAATCGCCAACGTCAGATCAGAGAATCAAACCGTTCACACACAGGAAATGCCTAAAGGAGCCATCGGTCCATCGGGGGTGGATGACCAATGTCCATAAATGTTCCGGATCACCACCAAATTAGCTCCATAACTTTCTCAAAAACTTGTATTTTCTGTATATTAAGACTTAAGAGCCACATATTAAGTTGCCTTTTGTTCGTTTGACAAGTATCTTAAAGCTCACACTCACATGAAATTGAAAACAGTTAGATTACTTAGTTTGGTTGAATGGGAAAACACTTAATAATGTTTGTTTGTTGATTCATTTCAGGCATTTCACATTAGGCACAAGGCACCTTTTGTCTATCATAATTTCCAACAAAAAATAAGTATTGTTAACATGCATAAGAGGGATACAAATAAAATAAAAATTAACCAAAATAGTTCCTGCATTGTTGGAGCCCTAATCATATTTAGTACTTAGAGCAGTGTAATAACTGTATTTCAAGAGCAGTACTCTTAAATCTATACAAAACTTCAGTGTTAAAGATTGACCAGTGACTGCCCTCTGCTGGTGGAAACTTATCACTACACACATGCCAGGATAATCTCTGATCGGATAATCTACTGGAAAATCATAAACATAAATACTATCTAAATCAAGTTTGTTGTATTTTTAACAACGAATTGTTCAGAAAATGGATCAAATATGAATGTAACAGGAACACTTTGACCTGTTATCTGGAGACGCATATAAAAGAGGTAGAAAATGTTACATACTATCCTTATATTAGGTTCTGGTGTTAAAGGCTCTATATTCAGCAACACATCAGTACAAAAAGAACAATTCATGCACAATACATGCGTCTGCTACACTGGTGTATAAAGCATTCTATAATTCATGTACTACTCCTGCTACTATTCTTGTGCCACTTTCTTCTAATAGTTTCCTTGGGACTAGAATAAAATGGCTGTTTGCCAGTTTGAGCAGTGGTTCTAACATGTGTAAGGAGATAAATATAAATAGTAGTATTTCTAGACACAGTTGATGCATCTGAACTAGGGGTCATTTTAAAAATATATGTGTTATATATATATATATATATATGTTGTTTAAAAAAAAAATATATATATATATATATATATATATATGGATGCATCTGAACTAGGGGTCACAAAGTGCTTTCTATTAAAATACTTTATTCAAGCAATTTCTGTTTAACAAGTTTAACCAATTTCCACTGGCAGCTCATGCCATTAAAAAGTAAATTCGGCTCAAATCAAGAAAATAATGTTTATTTTTATTTATTTATATATATGCATTTTACAGACCAAGGTCACCCAAAGCGCTTGATGACAGAAGCGAGTCCAGAACACACTGGACCATCAGCTCCAATCAACACCATCCATTCTCTCTCTCTCATTTACATTCAGACCTATTGTCCGGAGCACCCGGAGGAAACCTACGCAGACACGGGGAGAACATGCAAACTCCACTCAGAAAGGCCCTGTTCCTACCGGGATTCGAACCCAGGACCTTCTTGCTGAGAAGCGAAAGTGCTAACCACTCCGCCACCGTGCCGCCCCATAAATACTCAGGAAATTGGAAATACATTATTGGCTGGGCGATTTAGGGGGAAATAATATGTATATTTTTCACCCTACTGATTGCCCGGGATTTTCTTCTTATCTGGCTCAGAGGGTCTCGTCGGACACTGTTCAAATCCAGGTTAAAACAGTTCTGGTAATTACAATTGTTTTAAAAAATAGCAGTTTATATTGTATGTGAAATGGGAGCAGTTGGTCCAGGGCATTATCTGGAGCATCTGTGTTTTCGCTTTATTCTCATCAATGTCTCGACTGTATTTCCTATTAATTACTTTTGCAACCAATTCAATGAATCAAACTTTCCTGGGATTTAAAAAGGACTGACTGAGGTCTTTGTGGCTGTTGCAGAGGACCTGTCTGACGGAGAGGAGGTCTTCCCAAAGGAGATCACAAAGTGGAACTCCAACGACCTGATGGACAAGATGGAGGCTGTGGACACGGACGATGCTCCTGGTACGTTTCAGTCGCTGGTTCTGTCCTCCTCCAGCTTGGAACAGGGACTGAGCGTGTGTGTGTTTGTGTGTGTGCGTGCGTGTGTGTGTGTGTGTGTTTTGCAGGTGAACTGTTCCAGGAGATGTCTGTGGACTACGAGAACACCATCAGTGAAGAGAGGGTGGCTGAGGTAACATCTTCAAGGATTTGGGTCTTGAATAATTTGCAAAATATTTGCAATTCTCAATTTTTACGACGATTAGATTTTAATTATCTTTAAAGGACACAAGTTATGGAGCAGCAACCTTTGCTTTTATCAGCGTTGCATAATCGTTGCATCATAAAAAACAAACCTGAAGTTATTCATCAACGCCCGCCCCCTCACAAAATTCCTGTCAAGAATGGGAAGAAGAATGACAACTTTTTGCCAAATTGTTTTTAAACATTTCTTGCCTTCACCAATGAATCATTACACCTGAAACGCTACCTCCCCATGCCTAGTCCTGGCTCTGGGCACCAGCAGGAGGCCTGTCCTGTGCTTCTCAGTCCGAGTTGGTTCATGCGGCACCAACATGTCACTGATGTATTTTGGTGCGAGGCCATGGAGAGACTTGTACACAAGCAGAGCTGCTTTAAAGTCTATTCTCTGAGCCACAGGAAGCAGAGACCTTAGAACTAATGTCGTCATCAGTTTCTGATTCTAGTCAGGACTAATGTGGTCGTACTTCCTGGTTCTAGTCAGGACTAATGTGGTCGTACTTCCTGGTTCTAGTCAGGACTAATGTGGTTGTACTTCCTGGTTCTAGTCAGGACTAATGTGGTCGTACTTCCTGGTTCTAGTCAGGACTAATGTGGTCGTACTTCCTGGTTCTAGTCAGGACTCGAGCTGCTGCATTTTGAATGTACTGCAGCTGTTTTACAGCCTGTTTGGACAGACCTGTGAGCAGGCCATTGCAGTAGTCTAACCTACAGGAGACAAATGCATGGATACGTTTTTCTAGTTTAGACACCCTATTTCTAATTTTGACAATGTTTTTTAGGTGATCGAAAGCTGCCGATGTTATAGATTTTATATGCCTAGTCAGAGTCAGAGTCCTTTATTAACCCAAGATGTCTTACTTCATTCGTTGGTTCGAAGGAGGGAGACTGAAACATAGACTGCATAATTGGGATACGACACCTTGGTTCTGTGGATTAGCAGGCCTAATGGCAGCATGTAGATATTAAACAGGAGAGGCCCCCGGATTGACCCTTGGGGCACTCCACATGAATGTCAATGAAATATGATCTGAATTTGACTTGTAAATTGACCCTGGTACAACTGCAAGCTTACATTAACATATTTGCATTATCCACACCAGACTTTAGTCTCAGACGCGTTTTAGTACATATGCCCAAACAATATCCTCTGACTATTGTGAAAGTGACAAACATAGCGACATAAGATTGAGATTAAGAGATCCTTTATTGGTCCCACAGTGGGGTAATTTCAGTGTTGCATCACAAGTTATAGAACAGTAGGAAAGAGGAGCACACAGGACAAGTTAAGTGAACAATAGCTATACTAATTAATATTAAAAAAAATCTCTAACTCTAGCATCAATAACAAGTATAAAAACTAAATCTTGAAAATAATGATAAAAAGAGGTGTAAAAGTTTTACATTTGGCAAATGAATGAGACTTCATTCTTGTCCATGTCGCCTCCCTCAGTGGCAGTGTGAGGTTTAGAGGGTGGTGGAGCCTTAGCCTGTGTCCTCTTGTGTTCAGATGCGTGCCTCTCTTATTGGCCAAGCCGATAGCTCCCCCATCCCCACCATCACGGTAACAGTAAGTACAGAAGCCCAGCCAGAATGCCCCCCTGCCCGTCCTCCTTTCCGTCCCTGTGTCCTTGTGAAGACGTCCAAATGTGTGTCCTCCTGTGACATGTGGAGTTTTGGAAAAGTCCCACTCAAAACTGCACACTGTGTCCTGTTTGATTGTCGGAGGTGGGCCAAGGACGAAGAGGTTATTGCTTTGGCTGGAATGTTTCACAATATGGCGTTAGTGTTCTAGGGAGGTGAGCAAGTGGCAAAACCCAGTTGTGCAAAGTTGCAAAGAATGTGTGATATTTGAAATATCAAACAAATGTAACGTAATGTTGGAAAGAGATGATTACTGAGTATACAGCACTGAGTTAGTTTTAACACCTTTTTCCAAAACGTACTGTATGTGGAGAGGTTTTTTAGAGCCCGTTTACACGAGGACGCTGCAACAGTAAACCGATAGAGTTGGGTATCTGATTGGCCTTTCGTTTACACGAAGACGGTGTTTCAGGGGGATAAAAATGCTAGCGTTGAGAAACGGCCTCCAGAGTGGAACAGACACGCTGCTCGGCGGGGGCTGTTTCACCGCCGTGTGAAGAAAAATATGTGAATTCTCTGGCTACAATGACCTCACCACTGGACGCAGTAGCTGAGAACAAACGTAAACAACAATGGCAGTGAATCAACTAATGCTACGTGTTCTTTCAAATGTTTCACGGAGCAGTTCCACTCCTTCGTTCGTCCAAACGAAACCGCACAAAGCTGTAGTTTCAGTTTCCATTTTTGCTGCTACTGTTAAATGCATGAATGATGTTGGTGCATTATTTCCCGGCTTTACGGTGGCCTGAGGAGGTGGTTAGACTGGTGGGGGTCACGTGTGTCTTGTTATAAAGTTCCACTGCCCCCTACTGGCAGGGCACGAGAACTACATTGTTTTTTGTCATCGCCGTTTAGACTCTTAGCAACTGTGTTCAATATGTTCTCTCCGTTTCGTCATTGACTGCGTTTAGAAATCCTCTAAACACTGTTGTGCACTGATTCCAATGCAGTTCAGGTCGATCGTATTGGAAAAAGACATCAGGCATTTGAGCGCTCTGGGAAAAGCCAGGTTAATATTAGAAATGTGTGTAGTTTGACAGGTATAGACAAATTATATGAGGTGCCATCGGAAGTTAAATGTCTGGATTGTGCTGCTTCTCCACGGGGCGCACAGAGACAAGACCAAAACTTGTTTGATAATCCCATCACATTAGTTTTTAATTGTACTCGGTATTTTATACTTTATAAACGCAAGGTCTTTTCGAGGTTTCTTTAATTGACTTATTGTTTCTAGACTAGCTTCAAGCTCCAAAGTAATTTGATTTGAAAAGGACACGTGATTACCATGTCATTGCCTCGATGATTTGTTTTATTCATATAATGTATGTGTGGCTGTAGCCAGGATGTGGTCAGTGCTTAGGTCAGGGTCAGGGTCAGTGTCCCACCCACCTCTGTGATGTCCAACACTTGTCCCAGTGCAAAGTGTAGGTCGGCGTGTCCTGTCCCCTCTGGTTTCCTCTGCTCTGTTCCCATACATAATCTGTTGTGTGACTCAAAAGGATTCGTCAGACTACCCTCCTGTGAGCATGCTGTCTCTGCTCCCATTCTGATGGAATTGTATCAATAACACTTCTTTAAATTATGTCAAAAAAGTTCATAAGTGCTTGAAGTCGCCTTTGTCTTGAATTGAGTATTTATCGTCTTAGCATTATATTTGTCAATGGAACATGTTTAGAATATTGTGTTTTACCTAAAATAAGAAAATATTTCCCTTTAGCTATGAACAATATTACTTGTTCCATGAACAAACTTATTAAAGCAGTTGAAATTCAATCAAAATAAATTGTGATTATTCATTTGCTTTTTGTTTTCTTCTTTGCTTTTGACTGTAGTGTACAAACCTTATTAATTATAATCTATCAATTTCTAGTGTTATATCAAGACACTACTGGTGAATATGAAGAAATCTTACATTTAGAAACCAGTTCTCAGTGAAATGTTTGATAGATAGAAACCTGCACAAACATTATTATCGCAAAGATCAACATAACAGACAGATTTACAGATTTACAGATATACAGATTAGATTTAAAGATACAACGTTAAAATCACTACGTAACAATGTCCTGATGCAGCTTGCTCAGATCTGGAATAGACCGTTCTAATGTTTGACTTTCAGATTTTCAGACCTGATCTTTTTCTATTTTGAGATAGCTTAAAATGTCCCATATATTTCCATAGATTCAGGCTCATTACATGAAGTAACTAGTTAAGCCTTCATAGAGCGCTGACCACCACTAAGAGGTGCAGTAAAAAAGAAAAAAGAAATAATAAAAAAAACCTGAATTCACACGTCGTCTGCATCACCCCCAAAATCATATGAGCAATATCCTTTAAATGTGTAAATCTCCAGCAGACTAATAAACTATGAAAACATGGCGGAGGTAATGATACATAATCTTTTTTAGCCCATTTGTTGAGCTTCCAATACAACCAAACCAAAACAGCTGAAAAAGGCTAAAACAGTTTTGTGATCTGACTCTGTAAACATCTGAAATCTCTGCTCACGTTCAGGAGAGTGCGTCGCAGCAGAGCCTCCAGCCCTCAAAGATCCACGTGTTGATCCTGGTGCTTCACGGAGGCAACATCCTGGACACGGGAGGCGGTGAGCAGAGCGGCAAACAGGCCGACATCAACACCATCACCACTGCCTTCGACGCCGTCATGAGGGTGCACTACCCTGCTGCCCTGGGACGCATCGCCCTCCGCCTGGTGCCCTGCCCCCCCATCTGCGCCGAGGCCTTCAGTCTGGTCTCCAAGTAAGACTTACAGACCATACAGTTACTTGGCTGTTCAAACTCGGCGATATCTTTGCATTTTCACTTGATGCTGCCAGTTCTGACTATATTAACTCATTGTGAAATCTTTATTTGAGCAGTTTGTTAGAAATAAGAAATCACTGTCTAATTATACTTAGGTCTTGGTGCCTATAATATTTTACAACGTTAATCGTGATCGCAAAGGCAGGATGGGTAGCTTGCATGGCCTATACGCATTCACACAAAGGTTACGGGTTCACACACGTTTCTTTGCCCCAGCATAAAAAAGTGAATGTCTCCTTAGATAAACACGAAGCATGTGCGCTTTACACCTGTTTTGTTCATAAAGGACAGTTACATTATAAAAGACGGCTGCACCAGATTTAGCACCATGCTACTTTCCATCTGTAGTCCTTACAATACAATCATTAAACACACATTATAAAATACAGTATTAAAAAATCATCTTCATGCGTGTTGGTAGAGCCTTGGTGTGAAAGGGGAGAACAGGTTGTTCATCTTTATTCTACAGTTTATAGCCCAGATGCTGAAAGCCAGAGGGTCTTAACCAGATTGTAATATCAATGGTTTTTACACAACACTGTTATTTTTGTCCTGTGAGACAAAGTCCTTAATTTTGGGCTGTACAAAAATTACTTGTTGGATTTGAGTGTTTTGTCTTGACCATAGCGTGTAATGTATAGTCCCCTATGTTTCCCTAATTTATGGTTTCAGTTTTTTTTCTTTTCGTTTTTTTTCTTTTACTGCTTACTTAAGTGCAGAATTCTTGGTATTTTGTCGGACTTCCAGTTTGACAGAAGTGTTCTTGCTCCGCAGCCTGAGCCCCTACAGCTACGACGAGGGCTGTCTGTCCAGCAGCCAGGACCATATCCCCCTGGCCGCTCTGCCCTTGCTGGCCACCTCCTCCCCGACGTATCAGGATGCCGTGGTCACAGTCATCGCCCGGGCCAACCAGGCCTACGCAGACTTCCTCAAGTCCCTGGAGGGAGCCACCTTCTCAGGGCAGGTGTGTGGGCGGGGCTACAAGAGATATCGCAAACTAACCACAAATGCAATTTTTTACAAGCATTAAATTATGAATGAAGGAATTGTTTATTTCAAGCCATGGCAAATAAGAACTGACATTAAATACAAAGAATAAGAACAAAGAACAAAAAAAAAACAACAAGAGAAGATAATCCTAATCTTCTTCACCCAGTAGTTTTATGACCCAGCTGCTGGTAAAATATGTAAAACTATAAATATGTTTTCACATTAAAAGTTGCGTGCTGCCCCTTTGAGGCACCTGCACTTTTTCCCGAATTTTGATGTGAAACAGACAAAAGGTGGAGCCCTGAAAGATACAAAATCATGAACAGAAATAGATCATAATAAAATAATAAATAATAAAATATAAGGAGACATGTTTGGGATGCCTGGTTGCTGTTTAGAAAGTGTCCTGTTGAGAATTTGCTACTTTGGTGCCTACAGGGATTAGATAAATACTAAATATATCTAGATAGGTGTTCTTGGTCTTCATGCGTCATGACAGTATTCAACAGTCAAAGCATACACCTCAAACTGTGCTTGTGTGTGAAGGTTTGTCTGATTGGGGACTGTGTTGGTGGAATCCTGGGCTTCGACGCTCTCTGCAGCAGTAACCACGCAGTGAACGAGAGCCAGAACAGCAGCCGCAGAGGCAGTGTGGTCAGCGTACAGGTCAGTCCGCTTTCTCACTGTTGTGATCCTTATAGTCTTCATGAACTACACAATAATTAACGATGCACATAATAACATTTCATAGAAAAGCTAAACATACAATGACATGTAAATCGTCTCAATATTATTTTAATGGCCAAAAATAATGCGTAATCTGTGTTTTAATCTTGTTTAAAATCCCCAGGACCAAGACCTGTTGTCTCCAGGCATCATCGTGAACTGTGGATCCTCCTCGCCCACACTAGAGGGCAGCAGACACCTGAGCCGCAGTAACATTGACATCCCCCGCAACAGCGCCGGGGAGGAGAAGAAGCCCCTGTGCCGCAAGAGGAGCGACTCGTCCACGTACGAGCTGGACACCATCAAGCAGCACCACGCCTTCCTCTCCAGGTGAGCCCCTCAGTGCGGTGTCCTCTGCAGCTGTATTTTACAGTGTATGCACAGATTTTCACAGCTGCAGCAGCGCTCAGACTAAATGAACAGGTTTAATATCTCTGTGATATCTGTGTATAACTTAAAATATATTGCTGCTTCTTCTCTGACAAGGACCACTGTACTGACAGATTGACGGTTGGATTTTGACTTGATTTAGGAACCATTAACTCTTTGATCACTGAATATTATGAGCTTGTCACATTTCTTGTGCTGTGTGCAGCCTCCACTCCAGCGTTCTACGCTCGGACGCCGTGTCACGCCGCTCGAGCAGTAGCACCATGCTGGATGGCACCTCTCTGGGGAAGTTTGACTTCGAGGTCACAGATTTCTTCCTGTTCGGCTCTCCTCTGGGGCTAGTGCTGGCCCTACGCAAAACAGTCATTCCAATGCTGGACGGTAAGCTCTATACATACTGCAAAAATAATATATGTTTGTGACCATTGTGTACTTTGAGCATTGTGAGCCAAAGACACATCTCACTTTGGTGACTATGAACATTGAACATTAACAATGAAAGCCAAATTTAAATTACTTTCATTTAAATCATTATTTTAAATCAGGAGTTCATACGTGTCTACGCACCGCAAACATAGGTTATTTGAACTGCATTGAAATGCTGGATTGACCCGGACTAGAGTGGGAAAGAGAGGCACGTTGTTGGAACCTGTGTCGGCTTTTCACCGCAGGGAAGGCAGGCCTGTCAACATGAAAGTGTCAAAACTTTCATATCAGACTTCTCATCCCACCAGACGTGTAAGACTTGTAGAAGCTATACCCGTTTCTGCAAGGTTTGAATGTTTAGCCCCGCCCCCAACGCGCTCACAGGCTTCTCATTTCCCCTACGCTCTCATCCCACGGAGCCATCTAGTTTTATTTGCGATCTGATACATATGCTAACATTAGCAATAGCGCAACTTCTTGTAAGCTGAACAACAATCACTGATGAAATGGTACAAAAGCAACGCACTGCTAACAAAATATATAACTGAAAGATACCGCTAGTTTCACGTCCAAATGTGGTCCGAGCGTAGATAGTCCGAGCGTAGATAGTCCGAGCGTAGATAGTCCGAGGCGGTCCCGCAGGTCTCTCCCATAGACAAGTCTCTCCAGAGGATACGATGTAAGCTAGCTATGTTCAGGGCCTGATTTCTTCTTTGATCATGTTTTGGCTTTAGTTCCTCTTCTCTTCCTCACTGTTGTGTGGTTTGGGCTGTTTTGCTGTGTCTGCAGTTACAGCCAGAGGAGTTATAGCCACTTATGCTAACATGCTACTGTGTTTAGCAGCGCTGTAGAGGCTAGAGGACGCAGCCTCGTTCTGTGATTGGAGGAGAGCTGAGTCTCTACTCAGCACCTTTTACGCCTGAATTCATACACCGCTAAATCAATGAGCTCAAGTTTTCAATTAAATTACAGTTTTTAACACAACTTGTATGTAGTAATAAGCCTTTTTATGAACTTTATGAAAAAAATTGGGTGTAGCTTCTTTAAATATAAATCTTTGTGCCTGTGCAGTGGCCCAGCTGCGGCCCGCCTGTCAGCAGGTCTATAACCTGTTCCACCCGGCCGACCCGTCCGCCTCTCGTCTGGAGCCTCTGCTGGAGAAGAAGTTCCACCTCCTGCCTCCCTTCAACGTGCCCCGATATCAGCGCTTCCCCCTGGGAGACGGAAACTCCGCTCTGCTGGGTAAATCCTGCTGCACTTGTCCTCTGGCTCTAACACCGCCGGATGTGGGTGGTCACCTAACTTTGAAATGAATACCTTTTTTTAAATATTTTAAGATATTAAAATTTGTATCCAATCAAACATCATAAAACTTATAAGTAGATTGGTGTGAGACTGTTATTATTTGTTTTCTGCACAAACTGGATCTAGTAAGGTTTGTAATGGTTTATATTCAGATTATTGTTCTTGATGTTGGTATCTCTAATTAGGATAGAATTTATTATCACTGCTTTAAAGACTAATTACAACAAACCTTAGCTTGAGTCTAACCGTATTGAACTTTCTTGAACTAGGAAATATTGTACTATTTATGAAGAAAAAAAAAATCAAAATGACGGGACAACATGTAATTTATTAGTTTTTAAATGACATTTCTTGCCGTGTGTAGCACAGACCCAGTGGCTTGTAGCATCATAAGTGACTCTGTATTTTATGTGATTGAATATTTACTACATCTTTCTATTTTAAACACACAAGAAGTTGCGCCCCTTCAGAACGGGACTGCCCAAAATCACTCCCCCGTCATTCCTTCCTCATGAGTTTCTGTGTCTCCCCCTGCACTCTCCTCTGCCCCCTAGTGGAGACAGTGCAGAGCCACGCGCCCCTCCTGCTGGACAGTGGACCGCCGCTGTCCCTGCGCTGTCCGGAGACCATCAGTGAGACGTGCATCCCTGTGCCCGTGCTCAGCTGGCAGGATGGCCTCCTCAAAGCCATGCCCACCACCCCAGAGTGTGTGTAGCCTCGTCCAGTTCGTCTGACCCCCCCTCACCCTCCCTCACCCCCCCTCACCCCCCTCTGTTTGAGGATGGCTCAGTGTTGTGTGTGTGTGTGCTGTATTCCCATGGCTTTGAATACATTTTGTCATAAGTAATCCAGACAAAAGCGATCTGCATGTGATTTTTATTAGGTCCAAAAGTGGAATCCAGTGTGGTTGTTCTTGCGTCATGGGAATGCAATACGCTTTAGTCCCCATGTTGTGGTCCATTGTGTCAGATTGTGTTGTTCTCTGCTCCTGGTGTGAAGAATGACTCCATAAGTTTGAGCATCTGCTGTGACCAGACCCTGTGACCACTACTCAAAGCTCTTACAGAACAAACGCACACATTCTGACTCCAGGACTGTATCACTGTGGACATATGTGGTCCTGCATCTGCATCTCTGTGGTCATTTGCTTGTGTGTCCTTCATCCAAATCTACAGGCCAGCTCTGGACCAGGGTACACCTGTGCCCCTCATCTGGCCTGTGATTGGACGTTTGTACACCGTCGTGTCTTCTGTGTCTAACATGATCTCTGTTTGGACCAATAGCAGACGTTGTTCAGTCTCATGGTGGTGTCTTCATGGACAGTTCGTACCCCTCGTCCCCCATCACGGGCCCCCTGTCCCGGGGCCAGCGGAGGGCCAGTGAGGTCAGCATTGCCAGCCAGGTCTCAGGAATGGCAGACAGTTACACTGCCACCAACATAGCCAACAGTAAGTGTCTACCTGCAGCCTGTCTCACACCAACACTCGGCACTCTGTAATCCCTTAACAGAACTCACCTACAACATTTTAAAACGCACAAAGGAAAGTCACATTTTTGCAGCTTTAACCTGCACAGTATGGGACAAAGAAGTATTGCACTACACAATAAGCGGACACAATAGGCTACACAATCAGCTGAGACAACACTGCCAATGATAACAACTCTGATGAGGAAGCAGCTTTCAGGCACACATTATCTGTAGTAGTGGAACAGCCTGATCTCCCTCGACGCCTCAGTCTGGACCCGCTGCCTACTCTCTGTCTCCCTCTTGTGGTGGAATAAACATGCTCCACCGTCACTGTCCACTGTCTTCATGTTAAATTGTAAATGCAATGAACGAATGCATTTCTCGACTGTTCTGGTGCATGCAACGTCTGCATCGTGTCCTTTCATTGACTCAGGGACAAAACCACATGGACGAGTTTACAATGCTGCGTTTCTGATAATGCTATTTTTAACCTCTCCCTTTCTTAACAGTTTTATCTAATTTATTCAATTACAGCATGTTTCTGTGGCCGGCTGTTGGATTGTATATATATATATATATATATATATATATATATATGTGGGAGCAGACTGCTGTGTTTTCTGTGATCTGTGATGTCATATATATTTCATTTTTATGACTACATGGCCATTGAGTCTGAAGAAGATGACAAAGTCTGGGATCGCGTCTTAAATTCAGACAGAAGACATGTTTTATTGTCGATGGTAGAGACAGCACGAACAAAGCACACGATCACAGATACAAGAGAATGCAAGTGTATTATACAGAGCGGAGGCATGGAGACCTCCAATCAGCAGCTGCCACGGTGTGCATGTAGCTTGGCCTTCAGAGAGACAAAACAAGGGAAAAGTACTGGCTTCTGCACATTGATAGAATGATGAGTTTAACTTTAACAAAAGTTGCTTCAAAGTGTTATGAAATCTCATATTCCCCCCTCTGGTCATACATTCACGTGTGACCATCAGGATCGATAAACAGCAACATAACATCATAACTCAATACTTCAAAAACTCAAACTCGGAATACTTCAAAAACTCAGAAAACTCATAAAACATTTTCAGATCTTTCATAAAACTTGTCAACAATCTTCAGTAAAATACCAAACTTCATCAGTCGATGGTGGTTCCAGATATTGCTTTGAAAACAGTCTCTCCCACTTCTCCGTGTTGGTTTCTTCAGGCTGCATTTGTGTCGAGCCATGAATTCTTCTGTGACGTGTCTTTCAATCACACGTTTCAGCTTCAGTGTCCAGATTCAGCAATTCAATTCAGTCCAAATTATTTCCAAATTCAGAAATCCAGATTGTTCCAAATTATGTCCAAATTGTGTAATCCAATTGTTCCAAATGGTGTCCATGCAAAAGAGGACGATGGTATTGTCCATGTCTCAGCAGCTCACAGCCTGACTGAAGTCAGGGGCTGTGCAGATTGTCCAAGTGCTGATCCAGATGTATGGTTTCTATTGAGGTTTCTCAGTTTTGGCTTAAAAAAAAAAACACATTTTTGTGTAAAAAAAAAAGTCTTCTGTTCTCTAGATGTTACAGACAAGGCCCGCATCCTTCCACCACCTGAAGAAGATGTACCAAGTCTGGGATCGCGTCTTAAATTCAGACAGAAGACATGTTTTATTGTCGATGGTAGAGACAGCACGATCAAAGCACACGATCACAGATACAAGAGAATGCAAGTGTATTATACAGAGCGGAGGCATGGAGACCTCCAATCAGCAGCTTCCACGGTGCCATGTAGCTTGGCCTTCAGATAGACAAAACAAGGGAAAAGTACTGGCTTCTGCACATTGATAGAATGATGAGTTTAACTTTAACAAAAGTTGCTTCAAAGTGTTATGAAATCTCATAAGTCTTTTCAAATATTTAAATAAATATATGTTAAGCTCCTTGGCACAACCACCACCAATGTCCTCCTTCGCTGGAGGAGATTATATAAACCAATCTGGAGAAGGCTTGCCTGTCAGTCAAGTTATTAGTTATTTTGTCCCATCAGGAAGCAGAAAGAATTCTCGAGCTTTCATTTGAAATGATCTCTCTGTGAACTGATATTGACTTTTATAGAATTCCTATTTAGTTTTCTTTAACTTAAGGCTGTCACATTCATGTGTTTAATCTGATTAATCACATCTGAAACTTTTCTGATGGCTGTAAAAGAGTAAACCCACAGGTTCAGTGGATTGGAGCCTGAAAGTATCTCTGTCACAAACAGAAGCTGCATTGGCCACACGTCGGTCAGAAATCTGCAAAATCTCAACTTGTGACTTTTATTTTCCTTATTGTTGCATCAATCCCGCACTCACATATGCAAGTAAATCTTTGTAATATCAGTTGTGAGCGCCGCGCTGCATGGAGAATTGGGAGAATATTGGGAGACCACAAACCATGAGCTGAGTCTATGATTAGGTCAACGATCGATGCAGACATTTGTTTTGATTATTTGCATTTAATTGCAGTTAACTATTAAGTTATATTTGACAGCGCTAAATGGATTACTTTTTTGTAGGCCATGAGTAAAATCACATCTAGATCTATTATAGTTTATCTACATATTTGTATATTAAATATAATATAATGTTGGTGATGTACAGCCTTTTGTCAGGATATGAATGTAACTTTTTTCTTCCATAATTATATGATGTTGAACTCTCCGAGCAGTCAGAGCCTCTGATCAATAGTTTTGTTGCTGTAATGTGTGTGTATCTTCCCCCTTGTAGCTGCTGAAGCCATAATCCCCAAGTCCAAAAGCTCCAGTCTGTTGTCCCAGCTCGCCCTGACCTCCCAAATGTCATTCCGCCTAAAAGCCCCTCCAAAGTCCCGTAAGAAAGCCCCAGATCCAGCCCCCATAAAACCTGAACCGGAGCTGGAGGCTGAGGAGGAGCAGAGCCTGGAGGGGGAGTGTGAGGGGGAGAGCTGCCTGTCCGCAGGGCTGGACTGTGCCATATCAGACCTGGTGTCTCTGGACTCTCAGGCTGAAGTGGACCAAGGTATTCGGCAAACAGGGCGGCCTTCAAACCTGCATGTGGGAGGTTGTCTCAGCCAATCTGCTCCACGGGACGCTCTCAAGACGCTCAAAAGTTCAAAGATACTTCAGCTTTGCAGGACTTTCTTCAGGACTATTTTATGTTTGAGACAGTTTTGAACACATTACTTTTCATCTTAAGCCAGAATTGTCGCTGGGTCAAGCTAAAAATACTTCCATCATTAGCAAATGTATAGCAAGTATCAGTATTATCAGTATGTTGGAGCTTCTACAGGTTGCGTTCATGCTCTAGAGTTCTATTTCCGTTTTATTTCATTTATTTTTGAAAGAAACATTGAGAAAGAAAAGGTCCAAATGTTTTCCAAGACAATTTCTTGATTGTGATTAGATTCACAAACCTTTCATATTATTATTATTATTATTATTATTATGTCTGAAAGTATTTAACAGGCCAACAGAATGCTTATGTTTTTGAATATTCTCACCACTTCTAGAGAACCTTATTGAGAAAATAAGGTGGATATGTAGGAAGATGTTGGACTTTGTGACTGAATTGGCCCAGGAACTACTGAGAAATTAGCTCTAAACTGAAAATCTGACTGGGCTCTTTGGAATGTAGTGACCTAGCATGAACTGTCACACACACATCAAATTCTTAATAGACAATGTGGGTGAAGAGTCTTGCCCAAGGACACAAGCACTGTTCACACTTTAGTTTCAGCCCTGGTTGCCTCTGTAGAAGCTGAAGTGTCTTGAACGTTGAGTGGTGGTGCACTTCTCTGTCCTGTTCTAACCCTGGGGCTCCTCACAGAGTCTCGGCTCTGTCACCTCTGTCCTCTTGATAAACTCAAATCTTTGACCTCGGCCCTGTCTTTCTGCAGTCGCTGGAGAATACTGGGACTGATTAACCTCACAATCACGCTCCTCTGAGATTGCTTGTCCTTGGCCTTGTCCTCGGCTTGTACTGAGTGGTGTTTTGCACAGTTGCAGCTCGATGGTGGGGCACAAAGCGTCTGGACTTTGCGCTGTACTGCCCGGACGCACTGACGGCCTTCCCCACGGTGGCTCTGCCTCATCTGTTCCATGCCTCGTACTGGGAATCCACCGATGTCGTGTCCTTCCTCCTCAGACAGGTCAGCTACAACAATCCTCTTTAATCTGAGCAGCCTTGAGCCGCTGCTGCTAACCGGGTTATCACCATCATCATTTGACACGAGTCCTTATCTGAGCTGAGACTACAGTCCACCCTGATTCACTTTGTGGTTTCTATAGTGTCCTAAAGTCGTGCTAATGGACAAACATTCATACTGTACATATTGATGTAATGATGAATTATCATGTTTTGGTTTTAGAGCATAAAAAATATTTATTTAAAAGGTAAACCCTAGTATAACGTGCCTTGGTACCACACATGAAGTTGCCAACATCCTGTCGGCCGTCAGGCGGGTTAGCAAATGGAAGGGTTTGGGCGCCTGTGAGTTAGATGGGTTCAAATACACTTTCTCACAGTGTATCTTTAAACAGACAGTAAATATGACCTGTGCTCAAGCATCAAAATCATTAAGGTAATGACCCAACTTCTTTACATTATGTCTTTCTTATACATTTATTTGGTGAAAGTCGCACCACAAGCTTTTCCAGCTTCCATCATGATCGTCAGGGATTGTATGTTGTGTGTGCATTATTTGTAAGAATAAAAAATGGGTCTCACCCTTTATTATCTGATCATCTAAAGGTGGTGTGTGTCTGTGTGTGTCTGTGTGTGTGTGTGTCTGTGCGTGTGTGTCTGTGCGTGTGTGTCTGTGTGTGTGTCTGTGTCTGTGTCTGTGTGTGTGTGTGCAGGTGATGCGACATGAGAACTCCAGTATCCTGGAGCTGGACGGTAAGGAAGTGTCTGAATTCACTCCGTCCAAACCGCGGGAAAAGTGGCTCCGGAAGAGAACCCACGTCAAGATAAGGGTCAGTGCAACCGACCACACGTTTCACCTGTGAAAGTATGATGTCATCGTACCACTATGACATCACGCACAGAGACGTTTTCTGCCTTTTAAAACAAAAGTAGTTTTAAAATGATTGATTCTGGCTATTTCTTAAATTAATTTATGTCCATGGATGTGTTTGCAACCGATGAATTTCAAATTTGGACTTAAATTCTGCTACTCCCTCTGGTGGCAGAATAGGGAGTTTTCTACATACTTTCATACTTGTTTCACCACATATTTTCTAGTGAAGATATTATTTCATATTCTAAAACATTAAATGGCAAAGTAAATAGTCTCATTATCTTTTTTAATATACTATTTTTTTCTTTGACTAAAACACCACTTCATGGATGTATAAGAATTTGACAAGACTTCCACTGGTTCCATCCAAACACAGTCATAGCTCTAAATAAAACCTCTAAACTCCTGTGTTTGCTCCTGACAGAACGTGACGGCGAACCACCGCATGAACGACGCCGTGTTCCCAGAGGACGGGCCCCAGGTGCTGAGCGGCCGCTTCATGTACGGGCCCCTGGACATGGTCACGCTGGCCGGAGAGAAGGTCTGACCCCCCCCAAGCCCAGCCCAACCAGCGTCCAGGGATTTATTCTTACAGCCAGCCACAACTGTCTGAAAACACGCGCTCTCTCCCTTTTGCTTCTCCACCGCCTTCACAACTGCAAGAACAGATATTAGAGGAGCACCTTATCTAAAGAGCTAGCCGGGGCCGACCAAATACGGCCATTTTGTTGAAATTTGTATCAATCACTTTACTTTGTGACGTAACAAACCCATAAGCAGAAATAATTTTGTTTTCCTTAAAATCAAACTTGTATTTATGCATATTTCATTACAACTTGACTCCTTCTGTGGCGTCTCCTGCCTGTGAATCCAGTTTGACCTCTGGCGCTAAGCAGGGCAAGGCCTGGTTAGTACTGTGATGGGAGATAAAGTGCCAAACTGCTGTTGTGTCCTTAAGCAAGACACTTCACCCAGTTGCCTAGTCTGAGTTTGGTGTGTGAGTGAACGGTTGGTGGTGGTTGGAGGGGCCGAGTGTTGACTTTCCAGGTAAAGGCAAATCATGAAGAGCCGAGAAAGTCATAAAAATCCAAGGCACCCATGGTCGATAGCTAAAGCCTTTATTTTCTCATGGCTGTAATTTAAAACACGCACCAACGCGTTTCGACCTTGCTTGGCCTTCGTCAGTGTGTCCCAAGACAGCTGGGGCGACTGCAGTTGTTTACTTATTTTTATTTAACCATCGCCTTATAAACAAACATGCGCCAGTGTCCAAACCTCCTGGTGTATGGAGTGAATGAATAATAAGTGTATTTGAGAGAACAAATTGATGCATTATTGTTTGTAAAGAAAATGGATGGATAAATGCAAAGACGGATGAGTCACTTATAGTGTTGCTAACGACAAGATTTAAGTGGGATTTTTTTTCTAGCTCAAGCCCTCATTAAGTTAGAAAGACAACACCCACAGACACAAACCTCCCCCAGATCACACAAGACTTCCAACATCTCTGACACTTTGGGAACCTGAGGATGATGTTCGTTTGAGCTGTGACTGGTGTAAACTGGGGTTCTGTGTGTACCTCAGGTGGACCTCCACATCATGGCGCAGCCCCCTTCTGGAGAGTGGTTGTACTTCAGCACTGAGGTCACCAACAGCAGCGGCAGAGTCTCCTTCACCCTCCCTGAAGACAAGCGGCTGGGGATCGGAGTCTACCCGGTCAAAATGGTCGTGAGGTGCGTGATTCAACCATAAGACTGTCTATCCCAAAAGTCTCATAATCGCAGAGCACCGGTAAAGATTTGTGAATTATGTCGCCAAAAGACAAGTCCTTTCATCTGTAGTAGTCTTTTGGGGACAGTAGAGTCCTGAGTGTGAGTTTGTGCCTGAGACTGCTGTAATCACACTTTGCTGGTCCGCAGAGGGGACCACACGTCCGCTGACAGCTACCTGACGGTAGTTCCTCGTGGCACAGAGTTCGTGGTCTTCAGCATCGACGGCTCGTTTGCGGCCAGTGTCTCCATCATGGGCTCGGACCCCAAAGTGCGCGCGGGGGCCGTGGACGTGGTCAGGTATGGTTGGTTATTCCCACCATGACAGTTGTTATCAGACAGACACTCATACACAGACAAACCAAGGTTACGTATGTAACCACGGGTCTCTGAATCCCGGATGACCGCCAGTGCATATCACTGAATGTTTCCTGCGCATGCGCTAAGGGAACATCAGTGCTATGCGTCGCCCTCTGGTGGTCAGGAGGAATGAAATAGAACGCTGATGAAAACATTACCCCTGGCAGAGGTAATAACGGAGGTTCCTCAGTAGAAGTAAAGTTGTCTAAAGCCTGAGTGTGTGACTGTGCAGGCACTGGCAGGACCTGGGCTACATGATCATCTACGTGACTGGTCGCCCCGACATGCAGAAGCAGCGGGTGGTGGCCTGGCTCTCGCAGCACAACTTCCCCCACGGCATCGTGTCCTTCTGCGACGGCCTGGTGCACGACCCACTGCGGCACAAGGCCAACTTCCTCAAAACTCTGACTGAGGTGAGTGTGTCTTCTCACAGCACACGGCAACAGCAGCTAGATCTCTGCCATTTTTGTTGTTTGTGTAACAGTAATTCTGGATTCAGCTTCTGTAACTTGTGCTTCCTCTTCAGACTCGCATGAAGATTTTTGCCGGTTACGGTTCAACCAAAGACATTTCAGTCTACAGCTCCATTGGCCTGCTCCCCTCCAACATCTACATAGTGGGCCGACCCACCAAGAAGATGCAGCAGCAGTGCCAGGTATTCTGCACGCACACGCACACACACACACACACACACCCACACACACACACACACACACACAGTCACTGCCTCCAGACAGCATTTACAATACATTATCCAAACATTATTGCAATACTGAAGGTGAATATATTGTGACTGCTCCTGATGAGACTGCTCCTGATGAGACTGCTCCTGATGTGTGCCTGCTGTGTGTTGTGTGTGCAGTTCATCACAGAGGGATACGCCGCTCACCTGTCGCAGCTGGAGTTCTCTCACCGCTCGCGCCCGCCCAAGTCCAGCAGCACGCGCCTGGTCCTGAGGAAGAGCAGCTTTGGCCTCAGCACCAACAGCGACTTTCTGAGGAAGAGGAACCACCTGTTGCGGACCATCTCCTCGCAGCCCCCACCCACCTCCCCCACAGCCCCCGTGCACAGCCACACCCGCCCCGAGCGCACGCAGAGCCAGTCGGACAGCGAACGAGCCGCACACCACAGCCACCAGGGGGCGACGCAGCGCAGCATGAGCATCACCGCTAACTGCTGGGGCCGCAGCGCTAGCACCAGAGTGGAGCCCGCGCTGTTCAGCCCCAAGTGAAGGACTCTGGGTACTGAGCTCTGACCTCCTGCGTGTGCGCGGACCTCAGCTTTCAAACCTCATTTACCTCAACACGCTGAACTCCGCCTCATTCCACGACATGACTCACTCCTCGTTTCACTATGATCCAGAACCTGTGTTTGCAGCTGAGGCTGCCACACGTTAAAGTTTAGGGCTACACTTTTAAAGGATCACGACACATGTTTATCTCGTTACTTCACAGAAAAATGACAAAAATATGTTAATATTTGCTTGAATCTTGATACGTTACATTTGGCCTGCCTTAAAACAAGACACTTTAGTCTCATTTCAAGCAAAGGACTTTTGAGAAAATGCTTCTCTTCGTCTTCATTTACATAAAACAATAAGACTTGTTATACTTCTTGTACTTGTTCCGACGGCAAATAATGGTTTGACGACACTCACAGTTCAAGCTGAAGCACTTATTCACTTATTTGGTTATTTTCAGCGTTAGTCTAGTTCCACACAGAGGTGCTATGTGTTCAGACTGTTGAGGTACTGGTCCTGGGTCCTGGGTCCTGGGCCCTGGTCCTGGTCCTGGTCCTGGGTGTGGGGCGACACACAGCTCATGGACTGGCGAAAGCACAACTGACTGTGGAGGACTCTTGCGTGAGCCAAATCCAAGCTGCTAACCTCTTCTGTCCAGAGACACTGGAACTGACCCTTTAACCCGAGGGAGCATCTGTCCTCGGCACAGAGCACTATCGTCGCCCTGAAGGACCAGCCTGAGACAAACATCTATCGTTTTAAAAAGTTAATTGCACAAATAATGATATTTAGGCAAAGTGCTGTCAGGTTTGTCCCTCCGGGCCGCTGTAGTCCCTGCTTACCCATGCCCCTGTTTGTGCCAAAGTGTGTGTGGAGGTGTACAGAGGAGCTGATGTTTGTAAGTAGCCTTCAAAGGCTTGTACATACTGTACATGTGACCCGCCTGGTCTCAGACCACAGTCAAGTGTCTTCTTAATCCTCTGCAGGATCTGCTCCATGACAAAGTAATGCTATTTAAGACTTTAAACTGTATTGACTTGGTGAACAAATGTGTTTTATTTTTGTCTCTTAAGCCAAACCCAGGAGATCTCACTCATACTTGATGATTTCCACATGCTGTTTTGTATCATAACGATAGAGGCTTAGGACCACTGTATGGAACATGACGAAACTGACTTGTGACGTATCAAATTTAACTTATTTGAAATAATCCTTATGTAGACTGTTTAGAGGTTAGGTGTCAGATCATATTTGCACTGGTATTTATCACTGGTATCTTATAATCCGAAGTGTAAGTCCTCATTGTCCGTGGTGGTCCTAAAGCCTGTGAAGAGCTGAACGTGCTCCTGGATGTTACTGCAGATACTTGTACAGACGCTGCAGTCACCGCTGATGGACCAATGCGGCCGGAGTCTGAGGGCAAACGTGCAATACCCGCCCCCGCTGACAATCGCACCCCTTCAGTCATGTCCACAAAGTCCCACCGGGAGCCCACATGGACCCAGTAAGGTCCAGTTTAACAGCAGCACACTAACATGGACGGTTGGTGATCCGGTTTTATCACTGCAGGTTTCTCAATGTGAAAATGCAGACAGTCATTTTTGTTGTGACTTTGAACGTCTTTAGTATATTATTATGTGTGGGACGGGAACGCCTGGATTTTGTTGCGTGTGAAAGATCAAAATACAAATGTTTATTTCCGATTTTTCATGAATCAGGACCTGTTTGAACCCCAAACTCACAAATGAAAATGAGGTGAAATATTTTACAGTGTCTCAATCTCATGTTCAGAGCTCCAAAGAGCCTGTAGCTTCACATTGTGGCGGGCTGCTAAAAGTCTCTGCTGGTCACATCCATAACTTAGATTTCTTGTCTAGTTCCTTTGTATATTTAGAGATAATTCCTCTGTAAATCCAAATTAAAACAAATAATCCCAACATCTTCTTTGTCAGTACTTATCAACAATGGATAATTAATTTCACCTATATACCAGCTATGACTAAATATTTTCTCATAAAGGTCTCTAGAAGTCTTTTCTAAATCATGCTTGATGTTGGCGAGTTTGTGAATCTAATCATAATAACAACATTTAGACATTTTTGAACATTTCTTTCAAAAATGGCTTATTTCCGTTGGAGTTATTTTGGCACTTGCCTGAAAACCACCTTTAAAATAACTTCTGAATATTTTAGGCAGACTTTGATCCCTCTCTGTGCAGATTGTTCCCACTTATAATTGGAGTAAAGGAGCCCTCAGAGACAAAAACTACACAGCCTCAGAGTTTTGGAGCAAATAGACCGGCGCCATAAGTTTGAAAGTAAATGTGGTAGAAATGTCCAACTCTTTCATTGTTCTGACATCAATAATAAATAAGTGAAATCAGAATAAATCTCTTTAAATTCAGCTTTAAAGGTGTATTTTTTAAGTTTTTACTGAAAATATAAAAACTTTAATATCAACTAACTGCAAATATTGGAATAAATATATGGGGGGAAAAAAGTACAATGAAAGAGGTTGGATTTAAATCACAAACGAACCGTGCTATTCCATGCCACGCTGCTCTGTTTCCTGTCTGCATTTCCACATGGCTTAATATTTGTGAATGAGAGAATGGAGTTTTGGAAAGCGGCCTCTCGAATGTAAAGTAGTTTCAGCCTCTCCGGGTCATGAGGCCTTACCCTCTGCCTTACTCCATAGACTGGAACCTGCTCCTTCCCCTCAAACCCACCTGTGTGGATCTGAAACGGTGAACATGGGCGGCCATATTTGACCCAGAATCTCCTCGTTGCTCTGGTGTGTGTGTGTGTGTGAGCGGTTATGTACAGTGTATAAAGACTATATCATACTGAGACGTGTGCTGGCCTTTTGTTCAGAGGATTCTCACGGGGAAGAAGTCAGAGATATATCTGTTTCCTTGAGTAGAAAAGGCGCTCCACAAATAAAAGTTGATTGATTGATTGGATGTGTTTAAATGGTGTTTACAGGTGAAACTGGGGAATCGTTTGGTTGAAAAGTGAAGCTCATTATCCCGTTTTAATTATCACCATAGTATTGACATTTTGAGACGGGCGTTTCCTAGTGTCACAATCAGTGGTCGGGAAATTACAGTAAAAAATGTGTTACATGTTTTAAAAGTAATCTGTCAGTCTCAAAGTACCTGAGTTACAATGTATAAATATATAAAAACATCTGTAAACAACTGAAGAATTGGGTTGATTAAATGGCTCTGACTGAGCACTGTTCCGCAGGTATATAATGAACTGTAATCTAATTCCAAGTATTGTGCTTCTCAAAAAGTACTGATTGGAAGAGTTTGACATTTTAGTATCTTGACACTAAACAGAGCCCAGTCAGGATATCGGCTTAACTTTTCACAACATTCGACTCAACCATTTTGTCATTACAGCAGTATTATATCAGTATATCAGCAGTATTTTAGCAGTACTCTTATTACATGAGTAGTATTGTATCAGTATTCTAATATCGTATCGGAGCCTCCCTGGTTTAAAGTCATTAAACAAAGACAATCACAGAACTTTCCTCCATTTACTTCATATTACTGCAATATTGATACAAACTAAAAATAAAAAAAACATGGTCCAGATAAGTCCAGAACAAGGACAATAGACAAAAGATGTTTTAAAAGTGAATTATTACAAAACAAGTAGATAAAGTCCAAGTCCATATGTTGATTTTTCCAGCATTGCCATGGCGACCTGGGGGTGGAGCTGGGGTCAGTGTTTGGGGCCGGGCCTCTGGGAGCTGCTCTGTGAGGGGCCTCTCCCGGCGGCTGCAGGGTGGGCCAGGTGCAGAGGACAGATCTCTCTGAGGACAAACATGGAACTCATTCAGGGTTTTGAGGTCATCACAATAGATTATATTACAGTATATTAGTGATGTCGGAGGACTTTACAAAACTTGATTTGCCAACACAGATCTGAGAATCAAACAAATGCACAGAGCCATTGGTCCATAAATGTTGACTTTCCTGGATCATCGCCACCATATTTATATTCTGTATCACTATTTAATGTTCTTGCATGTACTGCCAGGTCCGCAGTATGAAAGGTCCTAAAGATTATGTGTGAGAGTGTGTGTGAGTGTGCATGTGTTCATGTGTGCATGTGTGAGCGTGTGTGTGTGTGTGTGTGTGTGTGTGTGTGTCTTTTACCTGGCCACTCGTCTCTGGAAAGAGTTCCCGTCTCCTGCGGTCGCCTGCTGTGAGACACAAACTTTAACACAAAAGTTTTCTTTGGGGAAGGATTTTGAGCATGTTCTTTTTCTTTCAAACCTTGTTAATTTCTTTGTGTCTTTCCCGACTCACTATTTCCTCGATGATTTCTCCTTCTCCTCTCACCAGTCTGAAAAACAACACCATGAGTTGGTTTAGTTCATCACATTTTAGACTAGAAAAGTGTCGTAGGCTTCGCTGCATGAACTGTATCTGTTCAGCGGCAGAGGACGCCCTGAGGACTGGACTGAGGACTGGACTGGAGGACTGGACTGAGGACTGGACTGGAGGACTGGACTGAGGACTGGACTGGAGGACTGGACTGAGGACTGGACTGGAGGACTGGACTGGAGGACTGGACTGGAGGACTGGACTGGAGGACTGGACTGAGGACTGGACTGGAGGACTGGACTGGAGGACTGGACTGGAGGACTGGACTGAGGACTGGACTGGAGGACTGGACTGAGGACTGGACTGGAGGACTGGACTGGAGGACTGGACTGAGGACTGGACTGGAGGACTGGACTGAGGACTGGACTGGAGGACTGGACTGGAGGACTGGACTGAGGACTGGACTGGAGGACTGGACTGGAGGACTGGACTGGAGGACTGGACTGAGGACTGGACTGGAGGACTGGACTGGAGGACTGGACTGGAGGACTGGACTGAGGACTGGACTGAGGACTGGACTGAGGACTGGACTGGAGGACTGGACTGAGGACTGGACTGGAGGACTGGACTGAGGACTGGACTGGAGGACTGGACTGAGGACTGGACTGGAGGACTGGACTGAGGACTGGACTGGAGGACTGGACTGAGGACTGGACTGGAGGACTGGACTGGAGGACTGGACTGAGGACTGGACTGGAGGACTGGACTGGAGGACTGGACTGGAGGACTGGACTGAGGACTGGACTGAGGACTGGACTGGAGGACTGGACTGGAGGACTGGACTGAGGACTGGACTGGAGGACTGGACTGGAGGACTGGACTGGAGGACTGGACTGAGGACTGGACTGGAGGACTGGACTGAGGACTGGACTGGAGGACTGGACTGAGGACTGGAGGACTGGACTGGAGGACTGGACTGAGGACTGGACTGGAGGACTGGACTGAGGACTGGACTGGAGGACTGGACTGGAGACTGGACTGGGACTGGACTGAGGACTGGACTGGAGGACTGGACTGGAGGACTGGACTGAGGACTGGACTGGAGGACTGGACTGAGGACTGGACTGGAGGACTGGACTGGAGGACTGGACTGAGGACTGGACTGGAGGACTGGACTGAGGACTGGACTGGAGGACTGGACTGAGGACTGGACTGGAGGACTGGACTGGAGGACTGGACTGAGGACTGGACTGGAGGACTGGACTGAGGACTGGACTGGAGGACTGGACTGAGGACTGGACTGGAGGACTGGACTGAGGACTGGACTGGAGGACTGGACTGGAGGACTGGACTGAGGACTGGACTGGAGGACTGGACTGGAGGACTGGACTGGACTGGAGGACTGGACTGGAGGACTGGACTGAGGACTGGACTGAGGACTGGACTGGAGGACTGGACTGGAGGACTGGACTGAGGACTGGACTGGAGGACTGGACTGGAGGACTGGACTGGAGGACTGGACTGAGGACTGGACTGGAGGACTGGACTGAGGACTGGACTGGAGGACTGGACTGAGGACTGGACTGGAGGACTGGACTGGAGGACTGGACTGAGGACTGGACTGGAGGACTGGACTGAGGACTGGACTGGAGGACTGGACCTAGGACTGGACTGGAGGACTGGACTGGAGGACTGGACTGGAGGACTGGACTGAGGACTGGACTGGAGGACTGGACTGGAGGACTGGACTGAGGACTGGACTGGAGGACTGGACTGGAGGACTGGACTGAGGACTGGACTGGAGGACTGGACTGGAGGACTGGACTGAGGACTGGACTGAGGACTGGACTGAGGACTGGACTGAGGACTGGACTGGAGGACTGGACTGGAGGACTGGACTGGAGGACTGGACTGGAGGACTGGACTGGAGGACTGGACTGGAGGACTGGACTGGAGGACTGGACTGGAGGACTGGACTGGAGGACTGGACTGAGGACTGGACTGGAGGACTGGACTGGAGGACTGGACTGAGGACTGGACTGGAGGACTGGACTGAGGACTGGACTGGAGGACTGGACTGAGGACTGGACTGGAGGACTGGACTGAGGACTGGACTGGAGGACTGGACTGGAGGACTGGACTGAGGACTGGACTGGAGGACTGGACTGGAGGACTGGACTGAGGACTGGACTGGGACTGGAGGAGGACTGGACTGGAGGACTGGACTGGAGGACTGGACTGGGACTGGACTGGAGGACTGGACTGGAGGACTGGACTGGGACTGGACTGAGGACTGGACTGAGGACTGGACTGGAGGATGGACTGGACTGGATGGAGGACTGGACTGGAGGACTGGACTGGAGGACTGGACTGGAGGACTGGACTGGAGGACTGGACTGGAGGACTGGACTGGAGGACTGGACTGGAGGACTGGACTGAGGACTGGACTGGAGGACTGGACTGAGGACTGGACTGAGGACTGGACTGAGGACTGGACTGGAGGACTGGACTGGAGGACTGGACTGAGGACTGGACAGGAGGACTGGACTGAGGACTGGACTGGAGGACTGGACTGGAGGACTGGACTGAGGACTGGACTGGAGGACTGGACTGGAGGACTGGACTGAGGACTGGACTGGAGGACTGGACTGGAGGACTGGACTGAGGACTGGACTGGAGGACTGGACTGGAGGACTGGACTGGAGGACTGGACTGGAGGACTGGACTGAGGACTGGACTGAGGACTGGACTGAGGACTGGACTGAGGACTGGACTGGAGGACTGGACTGGAGGACTGGACTGAGGACTGGACTGGAGGACTGGACTGAGGACTGGACTGGAGGACTGGACTGAGGACTGGACTGGAGGACTGGACTGAGGACTGGACTGGAGGACTGGACTGAGGACTGGACTGGAGGACTGGACTGGAGGACTGGACTGAGGACTGGACTGGAGGACTGGACTGGAGGACTGGACTGAGGACTGGACTGGAGGACTGGACTGAGGACTGGACTGGAGGACTGGACTGAGGACTGGACTGGAGGACTGGACTGGAGGACTGGACTGGAGGACTGGACTGGAGGACTGGACTGGAGGACTGGACTGGAGGACTGGACTGGAGGACTGGACTGGAGGACTGGACTGAGGACTGGACTGGAGGACTGGACTGGACTGGAGGACTGGACTGAGGACTGGACTGGAGGACTGGACTGGAGGACTGGACTGGAGGACTGGACTGAGGGACTGGACTGGAGGGACTGGACTGGACTGGGACTGGACTGGAGGACTGGACTGAGGACTGGACTGGAGGACTGGACTGGAGGACTGGACTGGAGGACTGGACTGGACTGGACTGGAGGACTGGACTGGAGGACTGGACTGAGGACTGGACTGGAGGACTGGACTGAGGACTGGACTGGAGGACTGGACTGGAGGACTGGACTGGAGGACTGGACTGAGGACTGGACTGGAGGACTGGACTGGAGGACTGGACTGGAGGACTGGACTGAGGACTGGACTGAGGACTGGACTGAGGACTGGACTGGAGGACTGGACTGAGGACTGGACTGGAGGACTGGACTGGAGGACTGGACTGGAGGACTGGACTGAGGACTGGACTGGAGGACTGGACTGAGGACTGGACTGGAGGACTGGACTGAGGACTGGACTGGAGGACTGGACTGGAGGACTGGACTGAGGACTGGACTGGAGGACTGGACTGGAGGACTGGACTGGAGGACTGGACTGGAGGACTGGACTGGAGGACTGGACTGGAGGACTGGACTGGAGGACTGGACTGAGGACTGGACTGGAGGACTGGACTGGAGGACTGGACTGAGGACTGGACTGAGGACTGGACTGGAGGACTGGACTGGAGGACTGGACTGGAGGACTGGACTGGAGGACTGGACTGGAGGACTGGACTGGAGGACTGGACTGGAGGACTGGACTGGAGGACTGGACTGGGACTGGACTGGAGGACTGGACTGAGGACTGGACTGGGAGGACTGGACTGAGGACTGGACTGAGGACTGGACTGAGGACTGGACTGAGGACTGGACTGGAGGACTGGACTGGAGGACTGGACTGAGGATGGGACTGGAGGACTGGACTGGGACTGGACTGGAGGACTGGACTGGATGACTGGACTGGAGGACTGGACTGGAGGACTGGACTGGAGGACTGGACTGGAGGACTGGACTGGAGGACTGGACTGGAGGACTGGACTGGAGGACTGGACTGGAGGACTGGACTGGAGGACTGGACTGGAGGACTGGACTGGAGGACTGGACTGGAGGACTGGACTGGACTGGAGGACTGGACTGAGGACTGGACTGAGGACTGGACTGAGGACTGGACTGAGGACTGGACTGGAGGACTGGACTGGAGGACTGGACTGGAGGACTGGACTGGAGGACTGGACTGGAGGACTGGACTGGAGGACTGGACTGGAGGACTGGACTGAGGACTGGACTGGAGGACTGGACTGAGGACTGGACTGGAGGACTGGACTGAGGACTGGACTGAGGACTGGACTGAGGACTGGACTGGAGGACTGGACTGGAGGACTGGACTGAGGACTGGACAGGAGGACTGGACTGAGGACTGGACTGGAGGACTGGACTGGAGGACTGGACTGGAGGACTGGACTGGAGGACTGGACTGGAGGACTGGACTGGAGGACTGGGGTCTACAGGAAGACCGCAGGAGTCCTCTGAACTAATCACCGCGATGCAAACAAGCCACAAACAGGAATCATGGTGATTTTAAGAGCGCCGCTGAGAGTGTGAAGATCAAACGCCCCAAAGTAAACATGTGTGATTACATTTGCCGAACGTTTGCTTATATGTTTGATAGCGACTGTATGAACCATTAGTTTGAGTAATAACGTTACGAGACACAGACAGCGTTCTCAGGTCTGGAGCTTTGAGCGGGTTCTCAGCAGGGTGCACGGGGACAGGACCAAAACTTGTCGGATCACGGATTAACTCATTGACTGCCAGCCATTTTTGATGAATTCACTCATTTTAAAGACCCACAGAATATTATGTGCTATGACTATGTGAAATATGAAACCAGATTCTGAAAGATCGGACTGTCTACTTTCAGCAGCAAAAATAAGTTTGTTTCTAGCTAGTTTTGTTCTCCTGTAATTGCCAGTTGAAAAGAGGGTCTCAGATAAATACGTCAATGGCAGTCAAAGAGTTAATCACATTCACTTCAGTTTGATGTTTGTACTCCGTATTCTAATGCTTTGTAAACACCATCAAGGATTTTAAGATGAGTGGAGAAAAGTGTGGACAATGAAGGACACCTGGTTCTCCCGGTCTCTGGATCGAGAACTCTCCGGATCACGCTCTGTTTGGCCTCGTACTCCTCTTTGGTCAGGGGCCTCCTGGTGGACAGCCGCGCCTTCTGCTCGTCTGTCATCACTGGAATCACAGATAAAGATAAAGTGACTTAACAGAAATGTAACTTGTACTAGTTTTAGAGTCAGAATTTTGACCATGTTAATTAGAGCCAAAGTTGTGACGTCTTTTTCACTAAAACAACCATAAAAGTGGAAAAGTCTTACCTGGTCCAAAATCCTCAGAAGTGTCCTCGCTTTGCCACACTTCCAGAGAAGCGGGAACAGGCTGTGGTCCAAACAGAGCTCCAGGCAGTAGTCTAGGTCCAGGTCCAGGTCCAGACGGAGCGCTGAGCTGAGGTGAGGGGGGGGGCAGAAAGGGATTGGGCTTCCTCTTTGTCTCCTTCTGAACTTTTGCCTTCTTCTTTTTCTTCTTCTTCTTCTTGCTCTTTTTCTGCTTGCGGTGCTTACGTTTCTTCTTCTCCTCTGATGAAGATGAGGAGCTGCAGGAGGACGAGGAGGAGGTGGACGAGGAGGAAGAACTTCTCTTGCGTTTTTTCCGATCTCTTTTGGCTGAGGAGTCACAAATGTTCAAGATTAGAGTGTTTACGTCAGATATTTGGATTTGAATTAAAGCAGTCATCAGCGTTTCTCTGTTTTAACAACACAACTCACACTGTTATGGGAGGATTTGGACAACATCAGGAAACGTGTGCATGTGTTTGTTTGTTTGTTTGGGACAGAGCCGGGCAGAAGTGATCAGAAGGTGCTGTAGATCAGGGGTCTCCAACCTGTAGCTCGCCAGCCCCTCACAGGAAGCTCGCCAAAGGATTTAGAATTTAACAAATACACTTGAATAAACACTTTTTGAGCCCTTACATATCTATTATAAGTATAAATATGGGGTTACACAGTATTATGGTGTATTTTGTGTGTGTTCTCCATGTTTCGTCGTAATTATTAGATATTTTTATTACGATTGCAAGGATACTGAGGAGTGTGGCCCTGGGTTTTGCTTTTACGTGTTTTAAAGCCCTCTGGTCTGTGTGTCCATGGTCCAGTTCTCCCTCACCTTTGTGCCGGTGTTTGCGTGCGCTGCTGCTGCTGCTTGAGGAGGAAGAGGAGGATGAAGAAGATGAAGAGCGCCTGCGCCTCTTCTTCTTCTTTTGTCCTGAGTGGTTTTTCTTCGTGTTTGAGTTCGGCCTCTCCACGGACCTGGCCCGGTCCATCACTGTTCCGAGGAGACGGGCAACTCTGCACTTCCGCTCGGAGATTTGTTTTGGTCCGTCCAACAGAAGGTCCGGAGGAAACTAAACCTTTTGGTTCAACGTTCCGCCCAGAGTTTTCACATGTTCCGATTATACAGTCTATGGTTCCGATCTGCACCGTCACATTTTATATCGTGATGGAATATAAAAATAATTAAAATGATGATTAAAACAATGTAAAAGTAAAACCACAATCAGAAAGGGATACTAGACACGTAACTACGATAAACGATATAAACTTAAAAATTAGATTTTCCAAAAGTTGCAGACTCAGATGTCCATAGTTGAAGAATCACTCATTTATTCAATTAATTCAAAATACAATTATACATTAAATTAAAAAGTGTACAGCTCACAAATACTGTACACTTTTTAAAATATGTCATATCTACGGTCAATAATTCACCTGCAGATTTACATTTTAGATACATGTTGATTAATGTGCCCTGTTCGAATACATACATTTGCATCGTGTTGTTGTAGAATACTCTATGTTCATTTATTTTTAGCCACTTTACACTATTATTAAGTCAATTATTTCTGTATTCTTCAAGAGGCGATACTTGGAATGGCCTGAAAATATATATTTTGAATCTTTATCCTTTAAAAAATTTTCATTACTCACAATAAATCTTACTTATATCAGGAGCACATGTCCTTTGAGATGAACCATTCTGTTTGAGGGTTAATAATGACAAATAAAACAGAGTTGAGAAGATAATGCAATATTTATTCAAAGTCTTTACAAAGGCAATTGTGAATTCTTAAAGCTGGTATATCTATTCCATATCTTCAGACCTGATAATGGCAGCCCTCAGTAACTAAGGCTAAACCACATGTGAACAAAAGAAAAAGCAACAGGCCACGGCTTGTATTGTTCCAGCCTTTGACCGAACTCCAGAAGCTTAAATACTTACTTCAGTAATCATAATAAATATATCTTAAAATTCTCCTGTGTCATTCATTAAACAGATGTTTTGTTGAAAATGATAAATAGCATAAACTTCAGCTGCTTACACTGCAACAAACAATATCTTGGAGAGTTTGAAAAAGGAAATTAAACATATCTTGATTTGACGAGTAAAACTATCCACCAACAGTTTATACAGTTTCACTAAAACAAGGCTCTGAACCCGGTTTAAGTCGTCTGCAACCTTCAGAACATGTCCCACACTTACTCTCACTCTTCTCACGTCCCAATTTTTCCCAATATTCAGAGCCCAGAAATAGTTTGACTGTTGTAAATCTCAATCGGCAAATCGCAAAAACTACAATCAAAGGTTTCATCTGCAAACTATTTCAGTATTTTTGAATTTCAGAAAGGCCTATTTTTTATGCTCCAATATCACACGGCAAAACAACATTATAGAGAGAGACTTTATTTTGTAATGATTTTAGATTAGACGAGGACAGAATTCTTCACTGGTTTGAAGACATTTCTGACTAGTTAAAAGAAGCATCGATGTTGGATTAGTGAAAATACATAATAATCTCAGAAAGAGTTTGCAGAAAAATGTATTGCTTTAAAAACAAAAAATCTCTGTGTAACATTGGTTGATAATTTCCGAGTCAAATCTTGAAAAATCACCAACATTTGCAACTGCTGTCATCGTAACTCACACATGTTGTATAGTATTGCAGCGAGTAACAGTTTCCTTGGCTGGACTCCCTCAGCCTCAGCCTCAGCCTCAGCCTCAGCCTCAGCCTCAGTGTTGAGGGTGGGGGCTGGATGAGGGGAGCAGGGCGGAATGTCGGAGTGACCCCGGGCCCCTTCAGGAGGCGGCGGCCATGCGGAGGCGTGCGGGGGGACACAGCAGGTGGTTCTTGGCTGCCTTCACAGTGTTCTTCATCAACATGGCCACCGTCATGGGCCCCACGCCGCCAGGCACCGGAGTGATGAAGCCCGCCTTCTGCCGCACACCTGGACGAGATGAGGACAAACATTGAATTAGTTTTTGACCAACTATGAGGCTGCATGGACTGGCATGGACTGGCATGGACTGGCATGGGCGGATCCAACCAGTACTAGTCTGAAAAAGTTTCTCTTCAGTTCACTTTAAGATTCATTTTTTTTGCATATCAAAACAAATGTACCGCCTTTAGTTAAATTTGAACAAAAAATTAATCTGATGGAATTGTAGTGAGTTCATCTGGAGGTCAATTCTTATTATTTTTACATGATAATCCATAAATTATACTTAAAAATATTTCACTTTTAAACATGAAATGCCAAAATAGATCATTATCATGGTCAAAAGTGCCACAAATATCTTTAATACCCATCACACCAGCAGCTTTGTGATGAACAGAGGGAGGCCAGGGCACACAAGCTTTGACTAGATCCAACTTTATGAAAATTTGGAGCCGCAGCAGCCAATCAGAGATCAGCTTTGGACAGGCGCATGTGCGGAATGCAGAGACGCAACACTGCGCTTCGTCTGTCTGGACCTCAGAGGACTGGAGACAGCTGCAGCAGCGACTGGGCTCAGGAGCAGCCGCAGTGAAGCCAGGGTTTGTGCCGAAGCAGCAGAAACGCCCCATGATCTGAAACCAGGACACTTTCTATACAGCGACCAGACTTCTCACAAAGATTCACCCACATTTTTCTTAGATCTTTTTACTTTATGTTTACTCTGTTTTGTTCATAGACTGAATGTAGATGAACAATGCTAACACCCTAGCTCAATGAAGCCCAATATGGAGGCGCTAAAGGTCTCGCTCTGACTCCTATCGACTGACATTGCAAAGTAAACCCCTCTAGTGCAGTAATTGTGTCTCAATCACCATTTTGGGATTTAAACTCATGGCTTAGAGCGCACTCTATGCTCCTAGTGTTTGTATTTTGGTATCGTTTTTGTAAATCCAGATATAAGCCATAACAACAGACCAATCAGGAGCCTTCTGTCTCCAAATTCAGTGTTAGCGAGCGAGTACCTTGAGTGGGGACAGACCAGTAGAGCCTCTGATTGGCGCTTGGTAACTAGGCCGTTGCTATCACATGGAATTTGCACAAATTTGTTTCCAGATTCCCACTCAAATGGTCTGTTTGAGCTCGTTCAGACTGGCCTCGTCACCCATAGCATCAGTCCACTCCTAACATGCAGTCTATGAGTTCTGTTATTAAAATTCTATCTCTGTTTCCGTTTCACCTCAGGCACCTAAAGGGTTAACATCCGCCCTGTTCATACGACAGCTCAGACAACCTTTCTTTACTTTGCTGACTGACGGGTGGAGCCCAGAGGTGCATTGTTAAGAAGATTCCACAGCCGAACGTTACATACTCCTGAACCTTTCCGTGAGACTAATTTGCGTTTTGCCCGTTTTGGCCGTGTTCCAGATACATTTTTCCTGCAGCCATCTTCCACATGCATTAGCTCATATTCACTGCTGCTGTGTTTTTACGGTTAAATCTGCGATAGTTGCGAGCCGGGCCGCACCTTCGAAGTCCACGTCCCCCACTAGCCGGCTCTTGCCCGTCACCGGGTCCTGTATGCGGTTTATCCCCACATCGATGACGGCCGCGCCCTCTTTGATCATGTCTGCGGTGATCAGGTTGGGGATTCCTGAGAGAAATCACTTTGAGTTAAGATAAAACAAAAAACACATTCAAAGTCGTTAGAAGAGAGAGAAGCAGAGTCCCGACCTGCTGCGGCCACAACGATGTCTGCGATTTTGGTGTGTTGGCGGAGCTGGTCTTTTGGCGTGTGCCGGTGCGAGATTGTGACTGTGGCATCACCTGAAACACACGATATGAACCCATTACAACCACAGACCGTAGAGTAGGAAAGGAGAGGACAGGCCGAGCGCTGACGTCATAGTGTTGTGTGTGCATTAATACGTCAATTGCGTTTTCCGCTATTTTCATGTTCCCAGGTGTCTATTGTATAGTCGTAGTACACAATATTCTGTGGGTCTTGAAAAATCAGTAAAAAAAAACATCAGAAACGGCTGGCAATATGGGAGTACCGGTTCTGAAATAGGCTGGCAGTCAATGAGTTAATGTGGAAGAAGCCGATTTGAAACTAAAGCTAGCTGGAGCCAATTTTCTGATATGGGCATTTGTTCAGACGACACTGTTAGCCGTGCGTGTTCTCTATGACACATGTAAATAGTCTGTGTATGTTTGAGCCACTTTCAGCCATAGTTGCAGTTAGAACAAGCCGGACTGGGGGTTTCCTTGGAATAGGGTTTGGAGGACTTTTTTAAAACTTCTTTATATTCCATCAGTGCAGTGTTTGTTTGGGTGAGAGAGTCTCCCCCTTCACCGTTTGCCTGTTTACTTGAGCTCAGCAACAGCACACAGCCTGAGGAGTGGGAGCAGCTGGCCCCTCGCTGCTCCGCTGCTTTAGAGCCGGTGGCAGATGGATGACGCTTCATTCTGTGGTTTGAAAAGACATCGGAGACGTGTCGCTGCTGTACTTCCTGCACTTTTGTCTTTGCTCAAAGTAGAACTCACATGTCGACCTCTGACCACACTTCTGGGATTCAGGGTTCAGTAAGTGCACCAGGCTCCAGCGTTAAGTGACATTGAATGCCTTTTTGTAAATAAAAATGTACTTTTACACATCATTTGACTTTTCTGCGCTGCGTAGTGAGGGATGTTGTAAAGAAAGAAGCTATACCTAATATAGCTATATCTAATCTCAATCTGCAGCCGACTCACCCCCAGGCCGCTCGTGCCGCCCGTCTGTGTGCAGCATCATGGCGATGGGCATTCCCACGTTCTTGGAGCGGCCGGCGACCACCACGTTCTTCCCCAGAGTCGGGATTCCTGCAGAGACAGAGGTTAGAGACACGGTACAGACAGACAGAGGGCCCGGTACAGACAGAGGTTAGAGGCCCGGTACAGACAGACAGAGGGCCCGGTACAGACAGACAGAGGGCCCGGTACAGACAGACAGAGGGCCCGGTACAGACAGACAGAGGGCCCGGTACAGACGGACAGAGGGCCCGGTACAGACAGACAGAGGGCCCGGTACAGACAGAGGTTAGAGACACGGTACAGACAGAGGGCCCGCTACAGACAGAGGGCCCGCTACAGACAGAGGGCCCGCTACAGACAGAGGGCCCGCTACAGACAGAGGGCCCGCTACAGACAGAGGGCCCGCTACAGACAGAGGGCCCGCTACAGACAGAGGTTAGAGACACGGTACAGACAGAGGGCCCGCTACAGACAGAGGGCCCGCTACAGACAGAGGGCCCGCTACAGACAGAGGTTAGAGACACGGTACAGACAGAGGGCCCGCTACAGACAGAGGGCCCGCTACAGACAGAGGGCCCGCTACAGACAGAGGGCCCGCTACAGACAGAGGGCCCGCTACAGCCAGAGGGCCCGGTACAGCCAGAGGGCCCGGTACAGCCAGAGGGCCCGGTACAAACAGAGGGCCCGCTACAAACAGAGGGCCCGCTACAAACAGAGGGCCCGCTACAGACAGAGGGCCCGGTACAGGCAGAGCAGAGCGTACCTGTGCGCTTGATGATCTCCCACACTCCCCAGGGCGTGGCGGGCAGCATGGTGGACTGGTCCAAACACATCCGGCCAACGTTCACCACATGGAAGCCGTCCACGTCCTTTGTGGGCGCCACCGCGTTACAGATGGCGCGCTCGTCTATGTGTTCTGCAGAGACACGGTGAGAAGGTCTTGTACAGTCCATACAATAATCATTAGTCCTAGATCCACTTCTCCTTAGCCGGTAACCCTACTTTTAAATGTTTTTTTGTCTTGTGTGGCCAACTGCTACAGCCACATAAACATTAACCCGAGTTTGATAAATAGTTTTCTTTACTACATTGTAACAGCTACAGTACATAGTCAGGTCATTTCGGTACATGTGAGAACAGTGGCAGGAGGCCGTACCAGGCAGAGGCAGCTGCACCAGGAGCCCGTCCACACGATGGTCCGAGTTGAGTTTGTCGATGAGGTCCAGCAGAGCCTCTTCACTGGTGGACGAGTGCTTCAGGATGGTCTCACTGGAGATTCCTGCAGACCACACATCAGTTTCCACACACACACATTTCTTCTTATTTGTTCAGGTTTAAAAAAAAAAGTGGAAGTGCTGCTCACCGACGTCGGCTGCGGCCCGGGTCTTGTTCAGGACGTAGGAGTGACTGGCCGGGTTGTCTCCCACCAGCACCACGCTCAGGTGAGGCCTTCGGTTTCCTTCCATCACCCACTTGTCCACCTCCAGACGCGCCTCGTCCCGGATCTGCCGCGCCAACTTCCGACCCGAGATCACCACCGCCTCCTGCCTGCAGCCGCAACACACAAACATGTGAGGACGACACACTACAAACTACACAACCATATGAAGACAATACACCAGGGCGGGTCTGAAAGTATTGCTGCCAGGACACAATCACAAGACGGCAATTATCAAAAATCCTAATGTTGTTAGTAGTAGAATAAACGTTTAAAACAAAACTAACGAATAATTGTAAAAATCTAGTCTTCTATCCCTGGTTCCAGGTTTGAGCACTGGCTACACACTCCGTACTAGGGGTGGGCAAAATATATCGTGGACAATAATATCGTGAAAGTCAATTTGAAGATATGCTTTTTTGATTTATCGTCCTTTTTCTTTTACATACATGATACAATTAGAGAAGGACAGATGCCCATTTGGTCTAATGTGAGCCTAAAAAGCCAATCACTGCTTTATTTGTACATTTCAGTAAAAATGTAGCCTTTTTGGATGTGTTCTTTCTGCGTTACTTGAATTTGATTTTTAATGTTAATATAATTGTGCGTGTTTTGCAAAGAAGTGTGAAGCTTCTATTTACAGTATATCTACACTGTCTCTATAGATGCCCTGGCAGCAAAACATTACAGATCCTTTTGTGTAAAAATTATTGATTTTAAAAAAAGATATCGTGACAATATATTGGGAGTAAAAAAAAAAAAAAAAAAAAAAGATATTTATTTTTGTCCATATGGCCCACCCCTACTCGGTACAGTAAAGTGAAATCCATCTCAAACAAACCATGGGGTGTGCTAATATTAGCCCGAGTGGCGCTCCAGCTGACACCTTCACTAACCCGAACCATGGGCACCAGTATGACACCAGTATGACACCAGTATGACACCAGTATTACACCAGTATGACACCAGTATAACACCAGTATGACACCAGTATGACACCAGTATGACACCAGTATGACACCAGTATGACACCAGTATGACACCAGTATGACACCAGTATGACACCAGTATGACACCAGTATGACACTAGTATGACACTAGTATGACACCAGTATGACACCAGTATGACACCAGTATGACACCAGTATGACACCAGTATGACACCAGTATGACACCAGTATAACACCAGTATAACACCAGTATGACACCAGTATGACACCAGTATGACACCAGTATAACACCAGTATAACACCAGTATGACACCAGTATGACACCAGTATGACACCAGTATGACACCAGTATGACACCAGTATGACACCAGTATAACACCAGTATGACACCAGTATGACACCAGTATGACACCAGTATGACACCAGTATGACACCAGTATAACACCAGTATGACACCAGTATAACACCAGTATGACACCAGTATGACACCAGTATGACACCAGTATGACACCAGTATGACACCAGTATGACACCAGTATAACACCAGTATGACACCAGTATGACACCAGTATGACACCAGTATGACACCAGTATGACACCATCTGCGTCTCCTGCTCGCCGCGGTGCCTCCCGTTCACTCCGGACGGCACTTTTGAACAGAGCGAAGTTCCCGATTTCAAAATTATTTCTCTTTTAATAAATCCTTGCAACTTGTTAGCAGCACAGAACATTTTTAGTTTCTGAGGTTAAAGACAGAATTAGATGAATGAACCGGCAAGTTTGTAAAGTCCTTCGAGACGACTGCGGTTGTGAATTAGAGCAATATAAAAACAAAAGAAATTGAAAGACTAAAACGTACTTTTCGGAATAGAAACTGAATGTTAGTCCTTGCTGCAGAAGAAGGGTCTGAGGACGAGAAACGCTCCATGACGTTTATCCATGTCCTCAAACACGGATGAACATTGTGGACGACGAGCATTTGTCATTGGTTCGATTTTCTAATCTGCTCTCTGCAAATCAACAGTTCTGTGACGCCCTTTGAGAGTTGGGTTATTGATGTGGGTCACACAAGCAAAACAATACTAGTCTAGAAACACATTTGCAAATTAGCCTCAGCTACAAATGTTGCAGTGCATTATGGGTATTAGAGAGCTATACAAGTGAACTGGCCTTCTGGACGTTTATTCGGTTTCCTTCAGGTTTCTATGGAAGCTTATTGCATTCACTTGAATCAAAAAAAGTTTGTTTTTAATGAGTAAAGTTTCTGTTTATCACGAGACAAACAAAATCCCGGGCGCGGCCATTGAACCTCTGCAGTTCTTGACTTATGGTTTGAACAGAAGAGGTTCAATGGCCGCGCCCGTGGCTGATCACACTGGTCAGGTCAGTAAACAGAGGATTTAGTTGTCTCGTAAATTCAGGATTTTATTAACTCATAAAAAAACAGATTTTTTTTTTATTCAAGTGAATGCAATGAGCTTCCGTAGGTTTCAGTTTTTTCAGACAGAACAAAGTCAGGATATGGTTTACGTCACACATATCAGAGGCATAACTTGGACAACATACAGAAGGCCATATCACTTGTATCGCTGTCTAATTCCCAAACTATTTTAGGTCATGACACTTTGAAGCAACTGTGGTTAAAGTTCTTACTCATCATTCTAACATATGCACGAGGCAGTACTTTTCCACTGCTTGTTTTGATTTCCGAAGGCCAAGCTACTGGCATCGTGGCGAAAGCTGATTGGACGGTGTTCATTCCTCCATGCTGTATATCATCATTTGCGGTCTGTAAAATCCCCCTACCAGAGGGGGGACTTTAGGTATTTCATGACACCCTGAAGCAACTGTGGTTAAAGTTCTAACTCATCATTCTAACATATAAGCCAGTACTTTTCCCTTGTTTTGGTTATCTCAAGGTTGAAGCTGCTCGCACTGTGGCAGCTGCTGATTGGAGGACTCATTTCTCCTGCTGTATAATACACTACCAACTCTCTCTACCAACAACAATAAAACATGCAATCCGTGTCATCTTCTTCACTATCACATGTCGAGTGTGAAAACTTGTCTCTATCAACAACAAAACACAACTAGAGCCGAGCCAGACCTTTCTTTGCAGAGTAGGTTTGACTTGGTTTGACTCAGTGGAAAGTAACGGCTCTTGTGTTGCCACCTCTGTGTCTTCATATGTAAATGGGAATTCTAGTCTTATGTAAGCGGCGCAGCAGAGGCGGCGCGGTGATGTAACAGGCTTTTTGTTGCTAATTGACCCACTAGTGAATCTGATTGAAAAAAAACGGGGTGAGCCGGCCACGTCCCTCCAGAGCGGCCCACTTTGAGGACCCGAGCGAGGCCCTGTCCAAACGCACCAGCTGCCAAAGAGGACAGCACAACATCGGGAAATATTGAACTGTGATTGTTCATCGTCATTAGATTTGAGCTTGTTGAGAGAAGTTTGAAATAACAATCGTTGAACTAATATCAAGTCAGTTGATAAGAATATACATTAAAATCCATCCATCCGTTTTCTTCCACATGATCCATTTCTGAGTCAGGGGGGGTGGCAATCAGAGATTTAAAAAACAAAACAGGTTTGGGTTAGTGGGGGCGGGTCCCGGCTCGAAAGTGGCCAAAATGACGTGCGCTGACATGCTGCAATACCACCCCGGGCCTGTGGGGGTGGACCCGGAATAAGAATTAGCCAATGCTAACATATAGCATCTTCATACCTCTCGAAATCATCTTTACAGGATGGTCCAAAAGTGGCTCTTGGCCCAAAGCTCCGTTCCACATGTGTGTCAATGCTGAGTGTTCTGGACCAGTCTAGTTTAGTCGCTGTGAATTTATGAAGTCACTCGTTTAAATGAATGGAGCTCGTGCAGCTGACGCATGCGCAGATGCGGTTTTTTCACATTTTCCAGCCCCCGCGGCCATTTTGAATCACTCCATGAAAGCCCAATTTTTGGCCCATTAGTTAGAACGGCGGAGATAGGCGTGACTACGTCCGTTAATATTTACAGTCTATGGTTTGACTTTATGAAAAGCTCGAGGTTGAAGGTAATATTGCTTGTTTATTCCAGACTCCTACCTGCCAAGACAAACTCTTTTTTTCTTTCCTTCAACAAATTATTTTAAGTACAAGGTTGGAAAAAAAAATCTCCAAACCAGTAACATTTTCTCAGTCCCATAAAGCAGATAAATGTATTCTAGTCAAAGATACAGAAATCTGGAACTTGACCTAAATTTAAATCATATTAAACCTGACTGTTCTATTTTTCCACGGTGCCAAAACTAAGTTCTTGTGTCGTGCCGAGGTTTATTAGAGTCAGCTCAGTCCTGTGCTCCACACGAGAGGAGCAGCGAGAGGTCAGTTACACATTTAGAGTCTGTGCCGTCGGAGGAGCAGAGACTGATCCAAAAGGAAAAGACGCTAAAGGTCAATCAACAATAATTAGAATGAAAAAAATGACATTACTGAACACTTCATAACCTTGACCCCGCCCTTTATCAAGTCATTTTACTGCCCTTTATCAAGTCACTTTACTGCCCTTTATCAAGTCACTTTACTGCCCTTTATCAAGTCATTTTACTGCCCTTTATCAAGTCACTTTACTGCCCTTTATCAAGTCACTTTACTGCCCTTTATCAAGTCACTTTACTGCCCTTTGTGAAGTCACTTTACTGCCCTTTGTGAAGTCACTTTACTGCCCTTTATCAAGTCACTTTACTGCCCTTTATCAAGTCACTTTACTGCCCTTTGTGAAGTCACTTTACTGCCCTTTGTGAAGTCACTTTACTGCCCTTTGTGAAGTCACTTTACTGCCCTTTATCAAGTCACTTTACTGCCCTTTAGCAAGTCACTTTACTGCCCTTTAGCAAGTCACTTTACTGCACTGCTTCTCTACCTGTTCTCACAAAGAGCCAAAACAATTTCCTGTTCTGTGACTTCCTGTTACTTACGGAGCAAAAACAGAATATCTGATTCTGTCTGTTATAGTGAACAGAGTCTGGTTTCCCATGAGCCCTGTGGCCTTTTAATAAAGACATGGTCCATGCTAAATATTTAGATTGAGCAATGTACACTATATTGTTGAATTATCATCTCAAACAAAAACACACAAAAGTTAACGCTGCACAACTTTTATTTTCATAATATTATTTGTTTGCGCCAATAGAATGAGTCCTTCACAAACTGTTGTACACTTGTAAGAAGGTTGTTTGTGAGTCACAATTTGGGGCCAATTGGCGGAGTGAGGGCGGTGCTTTTTTCTTTTTTTTTACATAGTTACATTTTTGTTGTTTGAAAGTTGGTTACACATCAAATTATAATATCCATCCATCCATTATCTACCCTTTAATCCATTTCTGGGTCAGGGGGGTGGCAGTCAGAGATGCCACCCAAGTCTCATAGCACCAGCCCCTCACTGACCCTCTGCAGGTGGTGAGTCCACAGGAGGACGGCTGCTCTCTGAGTGTGAGCATAGCCTTGATCTTTCAGCGGGGGCTTTGGGCAAAGTGGGGTTAAGTGTCTTGCCCAAGGACACAACAACAGCAGTCATCAGTGGGAGTTGGTGGAGAAGGTGTAGAGGTGGGAATTGAACCCACAACCTTCAGGCCTGAAGGCCAATGCTCTACCAACTGAGCTACTGTCGCCCTCAAATTATAATAGTTTTTGGAAAATGTAAAAGCAGGCCTTAAACACGGGTGTTTGATCCTGGAGGACCTGAGTGACCCCTGAGCGTGTGGGCAGGAGTCTCACGAGGAGCAGCTTCAGGACATTAGTTTAAAACACATGGGCCTCACGCTGCAGCACGATCCCAATCATCCTCCACGAGACCAGACCCACTGGAGGCCCGAGGCAGGAGCAGGAGGAGCAGGAGGAGAGGGAGGAGCAGGAGGAGAGGGAGGGGCAGAGGCAGGAGCAGAGGCAGGAGGAGCAGGAGGAGAGGGAGGAGCAGGAGGAGAGGGAGGGGCAGAGGCAGGAGCAGAGGCAGGAGCAGGAGGAGAGGGAGGAGCAGGAGGAGAGGGAGGGGCAGAGGCAGGAGCAGAGGCAGGAGCAGAGGGAGGAGCAGAGGCAGGAGCAGGAGCAGAGGGAGGAGCAGAGGCAGGAGCAGGAGCAGAGGGAGGAGCAGGAGCAGAGGGAGGAGCAGGAGGAGAGGGAGGAGCAGAGAGAGGAGCAGAGGCAGGAGCAGAGGGAGGAGCAGAGGCAGGAGCAGGAGCAGAGGGAGGAGCAGAGGCAGGAGCAGGAGCAGAGAGAGGAGCAGAGGGAGGAGCAGAGGCAGGAGCAGGAGCAGAGGGAGGAGCAGAGGCAGGAGCAGAGGCAGGAGCAGGAGCAGAGGGAGGAGCAGAGGCAGGTGCAGGAGCAGGAGCAGAGGGAGGAGCAGAGGGAGGAGCAGGAGCAGGAGCAGAGGGAGGAGCAGAGGGAGGAGCAGAGGGAGGAGCAGAGGGTGGAGCAGAGGCAGGAGCAGGAGCAGAGGGAGGAGCAGAGGCAGGAGCAGGAGCAGGAGCAGAGGGAGGAGCAGGAGCAGGAGCAGAGGGAGGAGCAGAGGGAGGATAAGATTAACAAGTATCAAGATTTTTAAGTTTTCAAAATACTTTGATCCAGATCAGAGCTTTGTGAGTCGCAACAGAAAACCTTTAACCTACAGGCTTTATGTTTAACACAGTTCAGTATAGCAAGGACCAGGCCAGGCTGTTTACACTAATAACATAGTAACACACACGTAAGACACACACCACAACCGAGGGACACAAGAGGAATATTCAGAAATATTTCCATTCCACCATGAACTGTTAAAGAGCAAAACAAAAGCCTCATCGCCATCAGCTCTAAATATGTGATATTCAGATAAAACACAGCTTTACTTTAGACACTGGGCTTGTTCCTTATCTCTAGAACTTCTTTGCAGCTTTGACAGATGTAAATAGACAGATATGTGTAATATTAGGGCTGTATCATATACATTCTAGTCAGAAATGCCCCACACAGTGAACTACTCCTGGAGCACAAACATTGTTGAGAAAAGTCCTAACCAAAACAGGAGTAATGTAGAGCTGTAAAAAGTACAGAAGGGTTCATTTTTACAGGAGGAAAAAAGTATACATTGTTTTAAATCCATTTTTACGTTTTTCTCTAAAATAATAATTGCCAATGGAATTAAAAATAAGAAGTATGTTCTCAAATAGAGAAAAAAAAATTGATTTCTGAATCACTAGTGCAAGTTTCTTCGGATTAAATATCGCAGTTATAATAAACATGACCAAGATTATTAATGAACAATGCTGTTCTATTGAAGCTGATAAAATGATCAACAGGAGCCTGGTCTCCAGCAGAGACCTGAGACCTGCAGAGTCTGGCTGAAAGAGCCAGGAGGATTTCATCAGCCAGCAGAGCTGCAGTGATACCGGCAAACCGCTAGGGGCGCTTCAACAGGCGGAATGCGGACATCATAGTACCGCGTCTCCAACACAAACCCACGCTGAATGTAATAATATACTACTGTAATACTACTGTATTAATACTTTAGTAATACTACATTTATATTGTATTGTACACACATTACACAGAATACTGTAGCTACTAAAGCGCGCGGAGACCCGGTCCCCGCCATAGTCCCGCAGAACCACTGACCTCGCCGCGGACGTGTGCACATGGCACACCTGGTGCTGACACAGTCTCCTGAGGGTCCGGACCGCTGCCATGATGAGTGTGGGGCTGGAGGAGAGGACAGGCCGAGCTCAGAGAACACACCGCCGATGAAGAGGAGGCTCTGGAGGAAGAACGAGCGGCAGACCCAGCTTTTTACGCACAAGACACGTCACAATCTGCGGCACGCCCACGGGCGGAGATGCTCCTAAAATATCCAACTGTAGATCATCAGAGCAGTGAAGTACAAGAGTGTTTTGGAAGTTTTTCAATTCACCCAAGTGTCCTCACTCAAAGCATCTGTTCCAATCGTTCCAATCTCTTCCCAGTCTTAATATGATCCTAATGTCATGTGACGTGTAGTATTATTGGTGCTAATGTTGGTTCCTTCACGTCTTCACAAGCAGGTTTATATAACACAATAATAGACTTTACAAAATATACTTGTATCAAGTAGAGCCATTATTCAATTTTAAGTTTAAATACACTTTCTTGGTATAAAAGATGTACGTGTTGATGTCTGGTAAAACGTTCTGTTTCCATAGAAACTTTTATGTGATTGTTAATGTATTACTTGATTAGTTTCATCTGGAAGTGGTTGACAGATATAACCAGATGTATCAGTGCTGTGTGTTGCTGTGTGGTGCTGTGTGGTGCTGTGTGGTGCTGTGTGGTGCTGTGTGGTGCTGTGTGGTGCTGTGTGGTGCTGTGTGGTGCTGTGTGTTGCTGTGTGTTGCTGTGTGGTGCTGTGTGGTGCTGTGTGGTGCTGTGTGGTGCTGTGTGTTGCTGTGTGTTGCTGTGTGGTGCTGTGTGGTGCTGTGTGTTGCTGTGTGGTGCTGTGTGGTGCTGTGTGGTGCTGTGTGGTGCTGTGTGTTGCTGTGTGTGTGCTGTGTGGTGCTGTGTGGTGCTGTGTGGTGCTGTGTGGTGCTGTGTGTTGCTGTGTGTTGCTGTGTGTTGCTGTGTGGTGCTGTGTGGTGCTGTGTGTTGCTGTGTGTTGCTGTGTGGTGCTGTATGGTGCTGTGTGTTGCTGTGTGTTGCTGTGTGTTGCTGTGTGGTGCTGTGTGGTGCTGTGTGGTGCTGTGTGGTGCTGTGTGTGTGTGTGTGTTGCTGTGTGGTGCTGTGTGGTGCTGTGTGTTGCTGTGTGGTGCTGTGTGGTGCTGTGTGGTGCTGTGTGGTGCTGTGTGGTGCTGTGTGTTGCTGTGTGTTGCTGTGTGTGCTGTGTGTGCTGTGTGGTGCTGTGTGGTGCTGTGTGGTTGCTGTGTGTTGCTGTGTGTTGCTGTGTGGTGCTGTGTGTTGCTGTGTGGTGCTGTGTGGTGCTGTGTGGTGCTGTGTGTTGCTGTGTGGTGCTGTGTGTTGCTGTGTGGTGCTGTGTGTTGCTGTGTGGTGCTGTGTGTGCTGTGTGTGCTGTGTGTGCTGTGTGGTGCTGTGTGGTGCTGTGTGGTGCTGTGTGGTGCTGTGTGGTGCTGTGTGGTGCTGTGTGGTGCTGTGTGGTGCTGTGTGTTGCTGTGTGGTGCTGCGTGTTGCTGCGTGTTGCTGCGTGGTGCTGCGCGTGGTGCTGTGTGGTGCTGTGTGTTGCTGTGTGTTGCTGCTGTGTTGCTGTGTGTTGCTGTGTGGTGCTGTGTGTTGCTGTGTGTTGCTGTGTGTTGCTGTGTGGTGCTGTGTGTTGCTGTGTGGTGCTGTGTGGTGCTGTGTGGTGCTGTGTGTTGCTGTGTGGTGCTGTGTGGTGCTGTGTGTTGCTGTGTGTTGCTGTGTGGTGCTGTGTGGTGCTGTGTGGTGCTGTGTGTTGCTGTGTGGTGCTGTGTGGTGCTGTGTGTTGCTGTGTGGTGCTGTGTGGTGCTGTGTGGTGCTGTGTGTGCTGTGTGTGCTGTGTGTGCTGTGTGGTGCTGTGTGGTGCTGTGTGGTGCTGTGTGGTGCTGTGTGCTGTGTGCTGTGTGGTGCTGTGTGTGTGCTGTGTGGTGCTGTGTGGTGCTGTGTGGTGCTGTGTGGTGCTGTGTGGTGCTGTGTGGTGCTGTGTGGTGCTGTGTGTTGCTGTGTGTTGCTGTGTGTTGCTGTGTGGTGCTGTGTGGTGCTGTGTGGTGCTGTGTGTTGCTGTGTGGTGCTGTGTGGTGCTGTGTGTGTGCTGTGTGTGCTGTGTGGTGCTGTGTGGTGCTGTGTGGTGCTGTGTGGTGCTGTGTGTTGCTGTGTGGTGCTGTGTGGTGCTGTGTGGTGCTGTGTGGTGCTGTGTGTTGCTGTGTGGTGCTGTGTGGTGCTGTGTGGTGCTGTGTGGTGCTGTGTGTGCTGTGTGTGGTGCTGTGTGGTGCTGTGTGTTGCTGTGTGTTGCTGTGTGTGTGCTGTGTGGTGCTGTGTGGTGCTGTGTGGTGCTGTGTGGTGCTGTGTGGTGCTGTGTGGTGCTGTGTGGTGCTGTGTGGTGCTGTGTGTGCTGTGTGGTGCTGTGTGGTGCTGTGTGGTGCTGTGTGGTGCTGTGTGTTGCTGTGTGTTGCTGTGTGTTGCTGTGTGCTGTGCGTGTGTTGTGCTGTGTGGTGCTGTGTGGTGCTGTGTGGTGCTGTGTGGTGCTGTGTGTTGCTGTGTGTTGCTGTGTGGTGCTGTGTGGTGCTGTGTGGTGCTGTGTGGTGCTGTGTGGTGCTGTGTGGTGCTGTGTGGTGCTGTGTGTGCTGTGTGTGCTGTGTGTGTGCTGTGTGTGTGCTGTGTGTTGCTGTGTGTGTGCTGTGTGGTGCTGTGTGGTGCTGTGTGGTGCTGTGTGGTGCTGTGTGGTGCTGTGTGGTGCTGTGTGGTGCTGTGTGTGCTGTGTCTGTGTGTGCTGTGTGGTGCTGTGTGTGCTGTGTGTGCTGTGTGGTGCTGTGTGGTGCTGTGTGGTGCTGTGTGGTGCTGTGTGTTGCTGTGTGGTGCTGTGTGGTGCTGTGTGTGCTGTGTGGTGCTGTGTGGTGCTGTGTGTGCTGTGTGTTGCTGTGTGTTGCTGTGTGTTGCTGTGTGGTGCTGTGTGTGCTGTGTGGGCTGTGTGGTGCTGTGTGGTGCTGTGTGGTGCTGTGTGGTGCTGTGTGTTGCTGTGTGTTGCTGTGTGTTGCTGTGTGGGGCTGTGTGGTGCTGTGTGGTGCTGTGTGGTGCTGTGTGGTGCTGTGTGGTGCTGTGTGTTGCTGTGTGTTGCTGTGTGTTGCTGTGTGTTGCTGTGTGGTGCTGTGTGGTGCTGTGTGGTGCTGTGTGTTGCTGTGTGGTGCTGTGTGTTGCTGTGTGTTGCTGTGTGTGCTGTGTGGTGCTGTGTGGTGCTGTGTGGTGCTGTGTGGTGCTGTGTGGTGCTGTGTGTGTGTGTGCTGTGTGGTGCTGTGTGGTGCTGTGTGTTGCTGTGTGGTGCTGTGTGTGTGCTGTGTGTTGCTGTGTGGTGCTGTGTGGTGCTGTGTGTTGCTGTGTGTTGCTGTGTGGTGCTGTGTGGTGCTGTGTGTTGCTGTGTGTTGCTGTGTGTGTGCTGTGTGTTGCTGTGTGTTGCTGTGTGGTGCTGTGTGGTGCTGTGTGTGCTGTGTGTGCTGTGTGGTGCTGTGTGGTGCTGTGTGTTGCTGTGTGGTGCTGTGTGGTGCTGTGTGGTGCTGTGTGGTGCTGTGTGGTGCTGTGTGGTGCTGTGTGTTGCTGTGTGTTGCTGTGTGTTGCTGTGTGTTGCTGTGTGTTGCTGTGTGGTGCTGTGTGGTGCTGTGTGGTGCTGTGTGTTGCTGTGTGGTGCTGTGTGGTGCTGTGTGGTGCTATGTGGTGCTGTGTGTTGCTGTGTGGTGCTGTGTGGTGCTATGTGGTGCTGTGTGGTGCTGTGTGGTGCTGTGTGTTGCTGTGTGGTGCTGTGTGTTGCTGTGTGTTGCTGTGTGGTGCTGTGTGGTGCTATGTGGTGCTGTGTGTTGCTGTGTGGTGCTGTGGCCCTGCATCATACACAGCCTTGTCACTCTGGAACAAGGGCAGACAAGCTTCATCTTCAGAAACTAATATAAATCTTGAATTATCTACAATGCTGCAAATGTCATGTCATTTTCAAATCACACGAAAGCAGACTTCAGTGGGAGTAGATGACATGGGTCGTGGGGGGGGAATCGAACCCAGGACCATTAGCTTCACATACAAATCTCTCTACCAACTGTGCCACTGACTGTGTTTTCAAAAGTATTTCTGTCAATATAGATTTAGAATGTTATAGAGTTCTTGAATTGTCTTGTATTCGATTGTTCCATACACACTTATTACAAACAATTACAACATTTGTACTGATTGATAGTGCACTTTATTCACTCAAGTTGGCCTCTATATGGGAAAGAAGTATGTATTTATTTTCCTCAATCTTTAACTCTTTGAACTCTCTAACCATGGATGTATTATGATGCAGTGTTGACCCCAGCTCAGCAGCGCCATCTAACGTTCAGTGCGCTTGGGCAGATGAGGAAAGACGCCAGGTGCACTTTTCCATATCATCATGACTTCAAAAATAATTACTATGATATATTCACATGACTTTGTGAAATGAATCACCAAAGCGAGCAGAAACAGGGGCTGGAAATACAGGTTAACCTGACAAACAGCCACGCTCAGCAGAGTAAAAAAAGTGTTGCGTTACAAGTTACAGAAGGAATCAGGAGCACACACTCTATAGTTTAAAGAAACAAAATAAACTTACTATTTACATCTAACTGACAATTTAAAAAAAAGTATAAACTACTACATATAATACTAAAATAAATATATACTTGTACTTATACTGTAGATATTAGTATTGATGTAGTATTATTAGAGGCCTAGGCACGGTGGGTTGCCTAGCATCATGAGGGTTTGGGCTTAAAGTGACAGTGGACATATGTGGTCCCATGTTGCAAATTCTAACATTATTGCGCAAATGCACGGCATGTGAGTTCAGGCCTGTGGGAGGAAAGAATCTAGCCACCAAATGTGTTGTTTTCATTTTGTACACATTATACAATTTTTGAGGGGGCCACTGGGAGTTCCGGCTCAAAAAGTTTGGGGAACTTTGCTTTAGATATAGACTAGCTAAGTCAGCCATTCCCAAAGTCAGTAACACCCCCCTTAAAAATCTGAGGGGAAATAATAACCAGGAAGACAACGTTAAAAATAGGCTGTTCTCGTTATTTTATTTGGGGGAAATAGCCTCTGCTACAAACATGTAAATGACGCACCCCATTCAAAAAATGATTACAATTTGACTATTCAAGTCAAATAATAAACACATATACTTTAATATTACAAACAAAATATTATCAACTTAACATACAATTTTTTTTTATGACCTCTCGCGGCCCCCTGCAATACCCTCGTGGCCCACCAGGAGGCCGCGGACCCCACTTTGGGAGACACTGGACTAATCGGAGGGACTATTTTTAGAAATCAGCATTACTTCTTGTATATTCATGAGACTGGACTGATGTAAACTACCAAATATGTGTAGTATAAGTTCTGTCTTAACAAACTATTATTATCATTATTATTTATTTATTTAGTTTATTGAGTTTTGTCTGTTTGTTTTTTTGCACTATACGATTTATATTATTTAACTGCATTTAATTACCTTATTTACTCACCTGTGCCTAAAATAAATGAATAAAAGAAAAAAAAACTAACGGTAACATACTTCAACGTTTTTCGATCCTGGAAACGTAAGATGGCCGCCGCAGACACCGCAGGCACGAGCCACAAAGCCCACGCGCTTTAGCCCCTTTTTATAACTCCCTACAGATCTGGCAACCCCGGGCTCACAGATAGAGGAAGTGTTAGCCTAGCACACACAACACGCAGTGGAACCTCACTCCAACAGCACTAAACCACTGCTTTTACTGGTATTTTTATCCACCCAGCAAACTTTAGCACCGATTATTTAACAGTACTTGGGACGTGGCTTTGCAGAGATGAGCTTCTTGTTGTAAGTATTGTTCCTGGGCGTGAAAGTCAGCTGCGGTGCATCAGAGGAAGTTACTCTCAAGAAGTCTTTTTAGTCTATAACCTTATTTTTCTGCAACATCGCATCACATTTCTCATCTGTTATTTGCACATGCATCTTATAATAGTGTCTGGATTAGCTAGTGCAATTACCTAACTTTTTAGTCTGCATAACTTGATAGCTTCTGTTGTTTTTCTTATATCTAATTTGTTTTAACTTTTAACCACAAAGTCTGGTTTCGATCCTACGTTTATGCACCTGCACACTTGATCCAGTTGTAAAATTACAGGCGAGGAACACATTTCACACTTGAAAAGGATGAAAACGTCAAATTCTGTTTATTTGGGTCAACTGTACATCTATTGTTTTCTCTAGGACTCTATGGAACTCTTTGCATCTAGTCTACTGCTGTTGTTTGGTTATTTATTGTACGGTAGCATGTGTTAAATTGTCCTATTTTCAAGAAGAATTGTAATTGTTTGATGATGACAGATGCAGAGTATTTGTATTAATATTAATGTATATTTACAGAATAGAGAAGTGAGTCCAGGGCAAGTGTCAATCGCCCCAAAGACGTCTCTTCTCTATTCTCAAACTCATACATCTCTATCTGCTGTGATTGGTCAGAGCTATATTATTCTGCAATTCAGTTTTGACAACTTAATTATGATCAAAATATTGTGTTCGAAGCTTGCAAAGTAACCAGTTCTTTGTGTGGTATTTTTAGTACATTTTGGAACTGTGTCTTGAGTAGGGATTTACCGATCCAGATTTTTTGTGATCTGATCTGATTCCGACATTCTTAAATATTGTTTTGCTGATACCGATCCAATTTTTTCTAATATTTTCAAAGCATAACATTTTTTGCAACCAGTATCACTTTAAAATGTTTTTTATTTTTTAGTATAACATGATCAAAAATATTGTTTGGCTTTTGCTTAACAGACCTACTGAGTTATGTCAGAGGTAAGAATCACATCAGTATTGAATATTTCACCTTTAAAATAAACTTAACATAAAAGAAATATCAAACTTGAGGAACAATTATCAAAAAGCGGCCCTCAACATTCAGTATGACAAAAAGAAAAGAGCTGGTACACAACTGAATGACCACAAAACGCCAGTACTTAACCAGTGTGTGACCTCTGTAAACGTAAACTCCCAGATATTTAACAAATCCGATACCGATACTGAATATCGGATCGGTCTTGAGTACAACTTGCAGTACTCTTTCTCTGGCTGTATTGTGTAAAAGTTGCTGAGGCCACTTTCCTGATGGGATTTCTCACCTGCTTCTTTTGTTTATGTTAATGCAGTGATTGGAACCCCTGTCAAAAATGTGTTGTAATAAACATTTATGATTTAGTATTTAATCTACAGCAGTGAGGATTGCAAAGAAGCCCTCAAAGGCAAGCAGTAAAATGAACAGGGAAGACTTATTAGACTTTTGGCTGTGTTGTTCTCACTCTTTTCAGCTTGGTTCGAGCGTCTTCCGTTTTTTGGATAGAGAACAAAAAGTTACCACTAAAAACTCTGTATGAACTGTGCTATACATAGATTTAAATGAAGACGCAAAACAGAACTACCCACGGATTGTCTCAACATTTTAACGGCCCTTCTACACACCAAATTCAGCTCAATCCTTCCACTAGTTTTCATGCAACACACACACACACACACACACACGTGCAGAAGGTTATTGGATTGTGATTCATTCTTGCAGCTGTGTGCGGACTTGCCTCTCCACAGATATGACCCTGAACCAAGCCTCATGATGCTGCTTTCTCTTCAAAATCAATGTTTGCCTTTGTGGGGCTGTTGCTAATTGCTAAAGCTAATTTTAGGCAAAAATAGAGCTGGCTTTAATACAATTTTGTTCTAACACAATTTCTCACATGCATGTAACTTCAGACAGAGGTGAAAAAGAGAGGGTCGGCCAATAGTGACTCACAAGTGCAAAAGATAACATTTTTTTCTGATAAGACAAAGAAGAGTAATACTTTCTGTTGTATTTATGCAGAATTCTTAACAACACACACTTAGAGCACAAATCATACACAAGGAAACTCAAAGTGCTTTACAAAAACAAGAATGGAACCATTACATCTCAAAATAACTTTTTTTTATGTGAATAATGACAAATGTGGTTATTCTCACACTATTTAAGGCAGTAATTAAGGATTATCTAAAGAATCGGATAATTTAATTGCCATAAAACTTCTTCTCAGCACTAGTTGATAAATATTTCAATAATTGCAGTTCATCCATTGACATGTTACAGCCCTACAGTAACGGCATCTTTCAGATTATAAATGATTATAAACGGAGACTCGTGAACACACAGAGCAGGTTGTGAGGGATTCTCTTTGACTGAGTGAGAAATGCCTCCTTCATGTGTTATTGTGCAGTCAGTTGCAGGCTGTGTAAATATATCCTAGTCCTGTCAATTACTATGATTTATGGTTCAATAAATCTGAGGTAGAGCTAAGGCCTGGGAAATATCAAATGTCCACGGAAATAGAAACACCAACAAAAAAAAGGGGAAAACATTTGAATATTTCAGTGTCTGTATGAACGATAAACGTGCTTGTTGCTTCTTAGTTCTGTTCTCTTTAAGACCGGTGCGAAATACAGCCATTGACGGAGTAACTCTGGGCCAGAGGAGGGAATGGACCGTGTTCAAAACCGGAGTTTGAAACTGTCTGCCACTAAAACTGCACTGGGAGAGAAACCCCCCCCCCCCCCCCCCCATCATGTCTTTAGTGGAACCATGTGCTCTAATTGTTTGTTCGTTGTAGAGCAATTAATCGGCTTTTGAAAAAATCCGATTTGTGAAAAATGTGAAAATCGTGAAATTGAATGAAGGATATTTTGAGAGTTCCAGCAGAAATTCATTTTACTTGAAATATCAGCACAGTATGTACAAGAAACACATTCGAGATAGTTTTGAAACTTGAATATTGAGCGGAAAGGTCAAAAAATATTATTTAAGTCTGTCTTCGGTGACGGTAATGAAAATAGATCGTCCAAATTAGGAAATGAAATTGAGATTTTACTTTTTTGCCATATCGCCCAGCACTAATTCATGCATGAGATATACAGACAATTATTCACTGAAAAAAAAAAAATAATAATAATAATAAACAAGAAAACCTGTGCATGGTTTTAATATAAATTGTCTAAAATGCTACATTCCCCGCTTTGGGACGAGTAAAGGTTCTCGGCCTCGGCATATTATTATAGCATTAAGACCTTGACCTTGTTCTGTTGGCAAATATTAGTCTAAATCAATTCGATAAAATAATATCTCAGCGTTTTGTCAACTTTGTGCAGTAGAACGTGACCGTGATAATCCACATTATGGATGAACCGAATGAAGTGGTCTCCCATCCCTCGCTCACACCTCTGTCTGTTTGCAGTAGCAGTCGCTCATCCAAAACCTTCAAGCCCAAGAAGAACATCCCCGAGGGCTCCCACCAGTACGAGCTGCTGAAGCATGCGGAGGCCACGCTGGGCAGTGGGAACCTGCGGCAGGCCGTCATGCTGCCCGAGGGAGAGGACCTTAACGAGTGGATCGCCGTCAACAGTAAGACTCACACGATTTACTTTGGAATGCGCTGGAAAACTGCAGCGAGTCCGAAGTAGCTCTGAAACAGATGTTGTTTTGTGCTTTACAATTTTTATTTGTATTGCTTGTTTCTGCCTGAGATGTTGCTGCAGTACAGTTTTCATGGTTTTACACTGGTCCAGACCGGAGCAGAGAGGATTCATGGTCTGAACCAAGTGGATCAGGAGAAAATCCACTGGAGCAATGCTAACTTTTTGAAAAATGCTAATGAAGCATTTAGCATTTTACTTTAGACTAGAGCAGAGAAAATGATCTGAACCAAGCGGCTCCTCCACCTTGTGACCCGTCCTGCTCCACCCAGAGGCTACTCCACCTCTGCTGCTGTGACCCGTCCTGCTCCACCCAGAGGCTACTCCACCTTGTGACCCGTCCTGCTCCACCCAGAGGCTACTCCACCTTGTGACCCGTCCTGCTCCACCCAGAGGCTACTCCACCTCTGCTGCTGTGACCCGTCCTGCTCCACCCAGACGCTACTCCACCTCTGCTGCTGTGACCCGTCCTGCTCCACCCAGACGCTACTCCACCTCTGCTGCTGTGACCCGTCCTGCTCCACCCAGACGCTACTCCACCTCTGCTGCTGTGACCCGTCCTGCTCCACCCAGAGGCTACTCCACCTCTGCTGCTGTGACCCGTCCTGCTCCACCCAGAGGCTACTCCACCTCTGCTGCTGTGACCCGTCCTGCTCCACCCAGACGCTACTCCACCTCTGCTGCTGTGACCCGTCCTGCTCCACCCAGACGCTACTCCACCTCTGCTGCTGTGACCCGTCCTGCTCCACCCAGACGCTACTCCACCTCTGCTGCTGTGACCCGTCCTGCTCCACCCAGACGCTACTCCACCTCTGCTGCTGTGACCTGAAGGGCTGTTGCTGATTATTATTATTATTTTTTTAGAATGATCAATTATATTCTTTATTTTTGCTGTTTCTGGACACCTGAATTTCTCCTACAGGATCAATAAAGTATCTATCTACACACAGTGTTGCTACAGTGTTCAGGGCTGGGACTCAATCTATCACGACTAATGGACTGGTCCAAAAACCCCGGGTCGCCTCTTCCTTACACACTGAGCAACTTGCCATTTAACCCGCAGCGCAAAGTAGTTAGAAGCCCCAGTTTACATGAAAAATAGGGTGAGGGTCTCTATGGCCCATGACTCTATGGCCGCTCAGAGAAGTAATCGTTGCAACAGGCTTATATCACTGCGCTGCCGAGCGGTATGTTTCAAGAGATCCAAGGACATCGACCTGTCACGACAAATGGACTAGTCCAAAAACATGGGGTCCCCTCTCACACTGAGCAACTCGTTATTTAACCCTCTAAAGTAGTTAGAGGCCCCAGTTAACATCAAAAATAGGGTTAGAAGCCCATGTGTAATGAAAGTAATGTAAACACTGTATTTCTTCATTCCTTTTAATGCATTGTTATTAAATAAACTTGCCTTGCCTCGTCCTTTTGCCAAGTTGTGCTCGGTGTGAACGCTCTGACCAAATACAGCGGTAATATAGACTGAAAACTGTTTTATAACCCTAAGTTTAAATGTTGGTCTGAGGTTATAAAACTACACACAAGTCCTACAATCTTTTATAACATGGACCAAAAAACGCCCTCAAAAGTCAAGTTTAGAGCTATTTTCTCAGTAATCCTTTTGAGCCAATCCACAAGAAACTGTCACAAAGTTCCACATCATCACCGGTACGAATACAAATATCAAGTAATTACATTCTCTAGAAGTGGTAACAAATATTGGTTTTAAACGTGCGCAGTACGTGTCCAGTAGAGGGATCTTTCAGACATGAGAATATCATGGCAGCTGTTGTGAATCTAATCTCTATCAAATGAGGATCTGGGAAAAACATTTTAGTCCATGGACGCAGCCTATTTAGTATTTACTCCGACCCCCTTTAATGCAGGTGCCAGGGCATTTCTATTGGTTTACAGTGTTGCCATGCGTGGACTTGTGAGGATCCATTCACCCATCTGAATGGCTCGTACGTGTCTAAACTCGTTGAGAAATGTTCAGACTGCTGCTAATTCAACGCCAACTGGATCATTTTCTCCTAAAGCAGCCACGGCGGTTCAGAACAATGGAGATGGGTTCTGTCATGTGGCTTCGGCGGAGACTAGGCCGTGGTGCACGCCTGTAAAAAGCACCACGGTCTTGTCTGATTTTCAGTTTATTAAGGGTGTGGTCAGCTGCAGCGTTTGTGCGACTGAGGTCATTCTTTTGGATCTGCTCTGTCCTGCGCTGGGTTGTGGTCGTGTTAGTTTTACATTGAGCTGCTAACACGTTCTCCCAAAGACTCCCAAAGAATCTTGGCAGGCCCCATTTAACCACCTGGTACCTGGTTAATGGTTGATATTGTTTCGTTATTTGTTTCATATGAATCAGACCAATAATCCCAAATTTCATGTGGATTTTTCTTTGTTGTGGGAAAGTGGGAAACTCCAAAAAAAGTTTAAAGAGGACATATTATGGATTATTGTTTGGCGATTGAAATGATAAGGAGACTATTTACTTATGACCAATTATGCTTTTGGAATGTTAAACAATATCTTCAGTAGAAAATGCCTGGTGAAACAAGTATGAAGGGTAAAAAATGCTTTCCAACTGTAACTCCCTATGCTACCACCAGAGGGAGTTGAATTTGTTTACGTTTTTGTCCATATCGAGAAATTACCGGCTTTGTCCCTCACCATGCGATTGTAAAGAGTGTAGTTTCACCTGAGAAATTGCCAAAACCAATTTAGGGCAAATATTTGTCTTTAAACTAATAAAAAACTAGTTACTCGCTCTCAAAACAGCCTGGTACTATCACACATTTTCAGATATTTTTAGCCGTCTGTTTCAGCTTTTCCAGACACTTTCAGTCAAAGCATCAAATAGTGACTCACAGAGATCATTATGCAGAAGACAAAATGTTAATTAATAATGTCTGCACTGTGTCTGATCTGCTCTCAAAGCGTTTTCAAGACTCAGGGATTTTTCTTTGTAGCTTGCCGTCATATAGGGAGTAGTGGACTTTTATTATCCATGTTCTACTGACGTCATGCAGAGTAATGTATAAAGTCTTCTCATTGATTTTCTTCATGTCGCGGAATAAGAGTAAGTTCAAAGGAATCGGGTCGAGGCTTGTAGGAGGCTCCCACTCACAGCCTCTCAAAAGAAACTCCCCAACAACTTGTAATGTGCTGCAATAATTTCTCCTCAACAGACTGTTGTTTTAACTCCTCCAATATTCGCTGCATTTGTCTGCTCTGTTATTCTAGACCGAGCTGCATTGATAATATGCAGTACAGTATGAAGGCCATTTTGACAAATTACTTGAGTTTGGATATTCTAGTGGATTTCTGGTCAATTTTTCTGAACAAAATGAGACTCGCCAAAATTGTCACAAAATATATATACAGTAATTGCAATAATGGAAGTATGATATCCATATAGCAATGATGTGTGGTTTCTTTCGTGCACATACTTGTTTTTACTTCGACCAATACAGAACAGGAGCACTCACTCTGCGCTGAACTAAAAATGATCCTTGCAGCTGAAGAGGTCTCACTCTTGATGTTTCCCAATTATTATTTTTATTTTAAACACAGAAATGTTTTAGTTAGCATGTGTGAACTTTATTTTCATCTTTCCACTTGTTTCAGCTGTGGATTTCTTCAACCAGATCAACATGTTGTACGGCACCATCACCGAATTCTGCACGGAGACCAGCTGCTCCGTCATGTCTGCAGGACCAAGGTACGGACAGAACCTTTGATCCATGAGCGTCGACGTGTATGAGGAGTGGACTGTCACCGTAGTGTTGGCCGAACGCAGAAGAAGCAGATTTGAACATAAGCCAGTTGGAGTCAATTTCCTTATATGGGCATTCGTTCTGACGGGGGATTCGCGCCGTAACAGCAAGCTCCGGCGAGCCAAGATGGCGCCGTATTCAAATGAATGGTTTGCGCTGAGTGGCGCTTTGTGTCAGCACGGTCTCTGACAGATTAGCGGAACTTGCAAAGATCTATGAGAAACTCGCCTGTATTTGGGCATCGTCTGGTCCTCCCGGTTCTGCGCAGTGGATTAACTCCCATGATGCTTTGCGCCAAATACGCGTGTGTGGCTCTCATGCATACACACAGAGGGGCTCGGCCGCGCTCTGACCAATCAGAGCCGCTGATCAGAGCGGAGCTAGAGCGGAGCTAGAGCGGGAGTTAGAGCGGGAGCCAGATGGGCAGAGTTTGTGGCACTAAATTTTAGATTTAAAGAAAACGGAAGGATTTAGGAAGAAAAAAAGTTCAGGATGACAAGGGACACTAAAATCCCCACAAAATCTGACCTTTATGAAAGCTGTAGGTTCTCTGTCAGGTTCTCTGTCAGCTGAGGTCGAGCTGTTTTAGTTTACATCGAGTTCTATGAGGAAACTCTATGGGGAAACCCGCGAGAATCCCCTGAGCACACGAGTCCTTCAGCTCCAAGATAGTAATACCCTATCCAGTTATTATAATAGTTCCATGCGTAACAGGGGCAGATGTGTTGCTAACATGGTTGCTAAGGCAAGCTGGAGTTTCCCTTAAGAATGAAGGTTCCTGATTGGTCAATTCTCATGGCTCATATATGGATTTACAAAGTCAATATCAAAATAAAAACGTAAGACAGTTGGAGCCAGATCAAGTTGGAGGAAAACTTCTCTAATGGGCTTGTCTGAGCGAGAAAGGTTAACAATGTCCATCTATGTGCAGTCTATGGCCTTGTAGCAGAGAAAACAGCTTAAAAAGTTGTTGAATTTCACTTGACCAATCCCAGAGCTCCCACGCCTTCATAAGCCCTATGTTCTTTAGCATATGGAATGATGAGGAAAGAGATGCTTTTGCTGAATTTGGATGCAGCCACATGAACCTTCTCCAACACACACACACACACACACACACACACACACACACACACACACACACACACACACACACACACACACACACACACACACACACACACACACACACACACACACACACACACACACACACACACACACACACACACACACACACACACACACACACACACACACACACACACACACACACACACACACACACACACACACACACACACACACACACACACACACACACACACACACACACACACACACACACACACACACACACACACACACACACACACACACACACACACACACACACACACAACAAAGATACACAATACCTAATCAATGAAATGTGGAAGGGTCCAATTTTGCATAATGTTTAATAATAACTTTTTGAGCTTTTGCAGAATGCTTAAAAGCCTTCTTCTCCATGTTCAGTTTATACTAAAAGTTTTATAAAGTAAATACTCCTTTGATCTTGTGTTCAGAGAGTTCCAGTTGAACACACATGTCAGGTTTCCATCAAGTCCTTTTAGAAAATAAATGTGATACAATGTTTCTCTGATCTAAGAGACAGCAAAGTAAAGTTACAGGGATGAGATTTAAATGGCAGAGTGAAAAGGTGTAACTAACTTACTAAACCACTTTCTAAATTATTGTTAAGAGAAGCTGCTACATTTGTGCCGTGTGCGTTCGCGTAATCTAGAAAAGTGTGTTTTTGTGAGATCTTTTGTTCCTTTAAAAGTTACTGAACTTTTGGAATGATGTATTTGATGTTGGTAAAGAACATTGTAAGTGTTCATAATGTACTTGAAATTGAATTACTGTAAATTACAACAAGCAATTCCTGTTATTTGCTCAAAGTAAAAGTCAATTATGCAGTTACAGATCGCACTGATTCATGACGTCTTTCTCATTTTGAAATAATTTAACATAGAAAAGGGCCAGAGCCAAAACTTTCATCTGGAAACCGCCTCAAAATTATGTTATTTTGCCAACCTCCTGAACTTTGTCCGAATGTCTGTTTTTTAGCCTGTGATAAGAAAACATAACCCTTTATTCGTCCCTCAGTGGAGAATTGTCTGTGTATGTTTCCTCACTGAAGAGAAATGGAGAAAAAAAACCCGTTCTATAAATAAACTCATAGGATGTCTTCAGACGAGCAGAGCGTGATCACGAAGTCACATGAGGAAAAGGGGAATAAAAGCCTCCGTGGTTCTAATCTCCACCAGGACTTCCTCTGCTCCGTGGCAACACTCGCTGTCGGCACAAAATACTGTCCACTTACCCTTCAATAAGTCATGAGTTTAGGAAATGTGTAAAACAATATTAATCAAACCAAACCGTTATTAAATGTTTTCTACTATATAGAGCCGAGGAGCCATTTCTTGTTCACATGTAGTCTGAAAAGGCCATATTCACAACATGGCTTTCACTATTCAATGATTATTTTATTAATGAGATTCAGATTCATTTATTTGCCATTTGCAGTAAAACCACATTGGAAAAACTGTGCAAGACTACCCCGGTGTGCGCCAGACAGAGAAGGCGACACACACCAGAGCTCTTGCCACGGCGCCATCTTTCCGGCGCCATGCGACAAACAGTAGAATAAACAGCAGAGAGCAATAACATACAGGTTACAACAGACAGTTGGATAGAAAACATTGTGCTTTGTATAAACCACGGATTTTTTTCTCGGGATGAGCACCTCCGGCTGCCGGTCCAATGTGGCTGTCAGAGGGGGGCGGGGTCAGGGAGGGGGTGAGTCGGAAACACATTGAGGAGTGGAGGGGAGGGAGAGATCAGAGGGAGGCGGGGGGAGCGGGATCCAAGCTGGAACTCACTGAAAGAGTGTGAATTGTTGTAGAATCCAGATTTATTATGATGGCCTTGGCCCGAGGAATGTGAGATAAGAGTGGGGAGAAGACACATGGATAATGGAAGGAATAATTGGAAGGTTAATTACAAAATGACTAACTTTCCATTATCAATACATTTTTCTTGATTGCCTGTTTTTTTTTTTTTATTGGTTCTATAATAGAATAGTAATGAGTGCGTTCACAGTAAAGTGTTAAAGTATCTGGACTTTAAAAGGTTATAACTCAAAAACTAAAATTACTATCATAGATTGGAAAAAAGATTTCAAACACTGACACATTGACAAGATAGTGTGGATAAAATCAAAAGGAAAGACTGACAAATATATATTTGGCGACGTTTTAAACGACAATCGCCCTCAGATTTGACCATTCTACTGTGACTCCGGTTACATAGAAAATAAAATGTCCTCAGTCTGAAAAAGCGGCAGATTAAATCCCACAAGATTAACATGGTTAACACAACATCAGTAAATCACTTGATATAAAAAGGAATTGTTAAAAAAAATAAAAATTGAATGAACCTTGAAAAATGTGCAACGAACGTGATGGTTTCTGTCCATTTTTCTTTAACAATTAAACAATTAAACAGGGCCGATTTAAGAAACTTCTCTATTGGGTAAAACAGTTATGGTCTAGCAACTTCTGATGGACAGAGAAGGGATTTGGATACATGAAAAACATTAAATAACTTTGGATTGTTAAAATCCCATTTTTGGCCTTTTGTCACACTTCTGTGCCCTTTAGTGTGAACAAGCCCTAAATACAGAAAGTTTAGGATTATCCACCTCCAGTCATTGTGTCATTGGCATGAACTAGTTTGAGTTTTTTGCGCCCTTTTTCTCTATCCATGGATCATGCTTCAGGGTCTGATATTGTGACAGACCGCTAAATGGGATGTTTTTTCTAACTGTATTTGAACACACCACCTCAATAGAGAGACACTAGTTATCTATCATCACTGACAGAGCTTTAGTGTTGGTTTGTACTGATGGATCTGACCTGAGCGTCTGGCGTGTCCTGCAGATACGAGTACCACTGGGCTGACGGCACCAACATTAAGAAGCCAATCAAGTGCTCCGCCCCCAAGTACATCGACTACCTGATGACCTGGGTCCAAGACCAGCTGGACGACGAGACCCTCTTCCCCTCCAAGATCGGTATGAATGCACAGCGAGTGGCCACATTGAAGAAGACATATTCAGTCTTTCTTTGAGCTTTTAACCGTTCGGGTTGGGCCGCAACTCCGCATTAACGGCGTCTTTAACATGTTAAACTGACACCACTAATAATACTACTACTTTTTATTATTATTTAGCATTGCAGTCATCTGAGCGGAGATAGAGCGGGAGCCAGACGGGCAGAGATTGTGGCAGTAAAGTGTGGATTGAAAGAAAACTGAAGGATTTAAGAAGAAAAAAAGTTCAGGATGACAAGGGACACTAAAATCCCCACAATGTCTGACCTTTATGAAAGCTGTAGATTCTCTGTCAGGTTCTCTGTCAGCTGAGGTCGAGCTGTTTTAATTTACATTGAGTTCTATGGGGAAATTTCTGGGTAGCCCACGTGAATTTAGTCTGGTCTAGTCTGCAGTACCGCGAGAATCCCCCGAGCACATGGTTCTTCAGCTCCAAGCTGTAATACCCTATCCAGTTATTATAATAGATCCATGGTTAAGACAGGTCCCAGGTTAAATGTGGACTAATGTATAACAAAGCGGTCACTGTGTGTGTGACAGGAGTGCCTTTCCCCAAGAACTTCATGTCTGTGGCCAAGACCATCCTGAAGCGCCTGTTCCGGGTCTACGCCCACATCTACCACCAGCACTTTGACTCCGTGATGCAGCTGCAGGAGGAGGCCCACCTCAACACCTCCTTCAAGCACTTCATCTTCTTTGTGCAGGTCACATCTGTCATTTTACTAAATTACACCTGATTTTTTTTATAAACTGTGACTGAATGTTTAGGCTACAACCAAAATATAGAGCAGATTTCTCACACGCAAAAGTGACTTGTACTGGGTTACCCTGGCAACAGCTATTCGCAAAACAAATACCATTTTGGGACATTTCTTGCATATCATTTCTACTATCTGAAATGACATCACAATTCATGATATATTGCAGTGTTCCTCAACCTTTTACTACTACTAATACTACTACTACTATAGGGCTGTGTCCACTGTCTCTTTTAGTCCATACTCTCATGCTGCTAACATGTACAGTAGAAGACCAATATCCTAAAGTAGGGTTTAAAAGGGACCCAAGACTGGTCAAGTTAGGAAAAATCATTAAAAGGTATAAAACAATATATATATAAGAGTATTTCTAATCACTGTGGCGTATCAGTTTGACCCGAGGTTAGTACAAGGGTTGATAATTCCCAATGGCACATCAAACAACATCTCGAGGCACACTGATAAACTCACGGCGGCTGCTTTCTGAACCTGCTTTTATGCTTCGACAGGAGTTCAACCTGATCGACAGACGTGAGCTGGCTCCGCTGCAGGACCTGATTGAGAAGCTGGGCTCTAAGGACAGATAGACGGATGTTCCCTGTGGCCTGTGCTCTACCTCTGACCACTCCGAGCTGCGTGCCTTTTCTCCACACTCGCCTCGCTCTCCTTCTCTGAGCCCGCCGTCTAGAGTCACTTAAGTGCACGGACCAGATAGTCGATTCAAGTTACGCCTCCACAGACTTCCGCCGTATTCGCACTGGATTCATTCTACACCGAGAGCCTCGGGAAACGTTTAGAAACAGCCATGGTATGAACGTATTTTAGTGCTGTGTGCTTTTTCCAACTCTTAAAATTTGGCTTTTTCAAAACTCTGAGAATTTTCAATGTAAATATTGCTCTCAGAACCGGGGCCGGACTCCCACTACGCCGCTCTATTCTAATAATTGTCCGTGTCTAAAATTGTCCCCAGAATTTACCCCTGAATTCAGCACACTCCGATACCTTCAGAGATTTTTACTCTCCTGCACTAGACTACACCAATATGAAAACACCATGATAAAACTATTGAATTATTTTGTTTGAGCTTAACCATTATCCAATTAAATTATTATTATTCATTGTGATTATCCATATCCATTACAGGGGCGACCCAGGTAAAACAAACCCAGTGCGAATAGGGAGGAGTTCCCTGGACCAATGAGACGACATGTTTAGCAAAAGTGAGCAGCTGTTTAGGGTACTATGAATACCTTAACTTTCTTTTTATATTTTTACACATTCACCAGCTGTTTTCTCATAACTAAATCGTGTTTAGTTATTTCTTGTTGGCCTATCCAGCTAATTTAGAAAGTGTTGGATATTGTCGTAACACACAATCGTTCTGAAATATCTAAACAAAGCCATTTCTCTAATAGTAAGGGAAGTCTCCATTTATCTGCTGGTTTCAATAGACTGCCTAAAAATATTGCTGGCTGATATGAGATCCCATGCTGACAACTGCCTCTGGACATAAGCGGTTCCATACTTTTATATGTGTGTATGTGTGTGCTCCATGGAAAATTTCAAAAGGAAAATGCATAGATTTGTGCGTTATGAAATGTATTCTTTTTGATTTAGGAAGAGGAATTGTGGGCTGATCACAACTAAACGGCAATAATTCTAGTTTTATGGCATTGGATCAAGAAACTTTAAATTGAATGTTATCTACCTGCACACTGATAATCACCTTTAAAGGGGCAATAGTTAAAGAGCCAGGTCTATACGGTTTTATAAAAAGAGACCAGGTTTTTCTCCAACTCTCTGGCTCCTATTGACTTACTTTAAAAATTTAACTCTTGCTCAGAAACGGTGTCACACTCTTCATTTTGGGCTTAAACAAAATCTGTCGTAAAGCACACTCTGTGATCCTAGTGTTTGTATTTTGATATTGTTTTTGTAAATCCAGAAATGAGCCATAAGGATTGACCAAATAGATGCCTTCATTCGCAGGGGAAACACTAGCTTCCCTTAGCAACCATCTTAGCAACATGTCTGCCCCCGTTACGGCCCGAAGCTAACGCCGTCAGAAAAAATGCCCATATAAGGAAATGAACTCCAGCTAGCTTTTGTTCAAATTAGCTTCTTCTGCATTTGGCAAACACTGGGTGACGTCAAAACATCAGTCCATGGTTCTGCATGTAAACAAATGGCCAGGTTGTATTATGGTAATGTTTCAGACTTTACAGCATTTCAACTTGTATTTAAACCTGTTTCCATTAAGTTTTTTTGAAGTTTTTGACTCTTGTGGTCTTTCTCATGACTTATTCTTTGAATATTTTTTGTGCAGCTCTGTATTAATATTCAATGCAGCTTCAACTCTCCTTCAGCTGGGTTCAGTTTTCCTTTAAACCACTCCTCAAAAATCAGACAAACACCTTACAGAACTTTTCATTTCAGTTTAATTGATGTCCTGCATGACCAGCCTATTTTATTTCACATAATTATTTTTTTTAAGATGTAATATTTGTTTTTGTTTTTTTGCTTTTATTTTGTTTGCTTGTTGATACCTGACACAGGGTTACATTTAAAATTACATTGTGAAACGTGTGACTTTGGAGCAAGGGCTTGAAATGAATGAATAGTTTTATATATTTTCAAAAATGGTCCAATATTCACTGGGCAAACTTTTGAGAAACAAGGGTGTTCATGTTGCATTCTGTTTTTAAAATCAATGGAACAATATGTGCCTTTACACTTGTACATGACAGTATTGGAATATACATCTTAAATAAAAACAGAGTTTACAGTTGTTTGTCATCCCTTTGCTTTTTACTGTATTTGCTGCTGATTTTACTACATAAGTTGGTATGAGCCTCCTGTTGTGTTATTACTGCAACACTGCCTAAAGAATGCAATGTTATGAAGCGTGTGTAGAAGTAAAAGTCTTTCATACTTCTCATGTCTTGTTTGTAAACGTAAGCTTCATTGATTAGACAGAAACTGTGTGTGGAGGCAGCTGATTCTCACCCCCGATCTAGAAATTTACAAAAGGGAAGAAAATGGAGGGATGGATGGAACTACTTTGAGAAATGAGTGTACTGTAATCTGGATTACATTACACTCAGGTTATTCCATCAATAGGTTTCTTCAAGAGGACCAGTTTTATGTAAAGGAGATTTGTTCCTTGTTCAGAGTGAACTATTCTTATTTTAGCTATTTATTTTAAATAATCTTAATGTGTTTTTAAAAAAAAATCTTTTGGAAACGCAAGATTGCCACCAGACAGAATGCATCTAGTACCTTTTTAAAGGGCTCGCCTGCAGTATTGAAACCACGAAAAATCCCTCAGTTTTGCCTCGCGGATTCCTTTCAGAAGCATTTCTGTTCACCCATTTATAGAGCTAAAATATATAGAGCTAACATATATAGAGCTATAATATATTCTTGCAAAGAACCTTGGTGTATGATTTATAATTATCTTACGGTTCATCTTGCTTATGGTTTTGACAGTGAAATAACCTTAAAGCTCTGTGCCTGTGAGGGCAATATCAGGGAAAATAATTGGGATTCCGTGCGTTCGTGGTGTTTTCGCCTGCACAGACCAATTCAGTTTCATTTTCACACATTTTAACCAGTAGATCGCTAAATATTCACCGACATGCAGTGACATTCGTCCGATGACTATCCCTGTCCTCAAGGGAAAGGATTTTCTCCTTTTTCGTTTGAGATAAATCATCTTATTAGAGTTAGTGCTAGCGCTAACTGTGAGCTAGCTAGCTGCTCCGAGCTGTTTGCTAAAGGTAAGTGTTGTAGTGTTAGGATCTTGCAGCTTCTGTGTGATAAACTTAATAATTGCTGCGTGATCATGTTTTATAGTTTAGAATCCAAAACTATTCTGAAGTGGTGAGAATGGTGTTGTTTTGTATGACTAACGTGGCTAACAAAAGCAAACCAACTCTGACGCTAGCTAGCTTCAGGAACTGTAATGTTTATGCACTTGTTGCTAATAATGTAGTGATTTAGTTCCTTTATTAGCTTATTGTCGAGCTAAAGAATTCAATTGTTAAGTTAAACCTTTGAATTGAACTTTCTAACAGGCGTTTTTATTGCTTTATCAGACTGAGTTAAAGGTGCCGGGTCTGAGGCTCCAGGAGAGGTTTTCTGTTTTGCCTGGAATGTTAAACAGATTCAGATTCATTTATTTGCCATTTGCCGTAAAACCACATTGGAAAAACTGTGCAAGACTACCCCAGTGTGCACCAGAAACACACCAGAAATAAGCCACATTCTTGGAAATACTTTTATGAATAAAAAATAAAAGATAAGTAATGTGTAATAAAAGTGATCAACTCCTTGGACAAAATCATTTTCTCCTTTCAAAATATTTGTTAATTGTTGTGGTACTAATCGTTGTTTTTAGTTTTTAGGAATATCTCAAAATGTAAAGTATTGTGCAGTACTTGTCTGCTCAAATAAACAAATAAATAAATATAAATAAATACATAAATTGTAATTTTTTTGTCAAGGCCAAAAGAGGCAATCACAAAGGGCCTGAATAAAGCATTAACACTGGTCCGGGTCCATGTTGTGATTCAATATTTCCCTCAAAAAGGATTTGGACTTACTTTTTTCACTGTACATTTATCAAAATCTCAAATGAATCAGGTGAACAGTCTGGATTGTTGTATAGTATATTTATTTTTCTATAGCCCTAATTCACAATCGCAGACGTTTTGTAGGCATTTGTCAATTTCAGATCAGAGAATCAAACACAGCGATAATAACAACCACATAGCGCAGAGGTGAAGTAAACAAAGGAATGCTCAGTGGTTTTGCCAATATAGAGAATTGTCTTAAAATGGTATAAATTGGATTAAGTTAGACAAATATAGAAGTTTATTTATTGACCTTTTATTTAACCAGTAAACTGTTTAAATAAAAGTGTGTGAACTAGTGCACTTGTAGTAATAATTTTAAGAAATGTTTAAGAAGATTTTTTTAATGCATGGCTTGTACCTATTTTTACTCTTATAACTTTTCCTAGTTTGTTGCTTCCCATAAACTCTTGTAGTTCTGAAAGTCCCACTGAGATTGCAGATTCTCATGGTCAATAGTAAGATACAAGTCTAGTTTTCTAGGAGACAGATAAACAATGTAAACACCTCATTAACCGTTGTGATGAATTGTGCAGGACAAATTTACATCCTTTAAAGAATCCACTATGGCAGATGAAAATACGCAGTTTTGTGGAAACTGGTAAGAACACGTAACATCCATTACGTCTATGACAAAGCCACGCTGTTTCTCTCTGAATCGGAAATGTTGTTTTTATTGTAGCAAACATGACATTCCCGAGGCAAACTTCACCACTCACGAGATCCACTGTCTGAGAAACATAGGTCTGTGTGACGTGTGCCAGGAGCCTGTGCCCCGGTCAGACCTGCAGATCCACAAACAGCAGGAGCACTCCCAGGCAAGCAACGCATGAATCATTCATGTTCTGTTCCATGGAATGTCCCTGTGTGATGTAACGGTGACATTACTTTTGCTTTCATTTCAGGTTTCTTGCAAGTGTGGCCTGAAGATTGATAAAAATCTCTTTGACGTCCATCAGGTAATTTCTCAGTGAAGAAATCCAAAAGAGAACATACATTGCCTTGCGAAAGTATTCGGCCCCCTTGAACCTTTCAACATTTTGCCACATTTCAGTCTTCAAACATCCATCCATCCATCCATCCATTTTCTACCCTTTAATCCATTTCTGGGTCAGGGGGGTGGCAGTCAGAGATGCCACCCAAGTCTCATAGCACCAGCCCCTCACTGACCCTCTGCAGGTGGTGAGTCCACAGGAGGACGGCTGCTCTCTGACTGTGAGCATAGCCTTGATCTTTCAGTGGGGGCTTTGGGCAAAGTGGGGTTAAGTGTCTTGCCCAAGGACACAACGACAGCAGTCATCAGTGGGAGTCGGTGGAGAAGGTGCAGAGGTGGGAATTGAACCCACGACCTTCTGGCCTTAAGGCCAATGCTCTACCAATTGAGCTACTGTCTTCAAACATAAAGATATAAAATTTAAATTTTTTGTCATGAATCAACAACAAGTGGGACACAATTGTGAAGTGGAACAAAATTTATTGGATAATTTAAACTTAAAAAAAAAAATAAAAAACTGAAAAGTGGGGCGTGCAATATTATTCGGCCCCTTTACTTTCAGTGCAGCAAACTCAGTCCAGAAGTTCAGTGAGGATCTTTGGATGATCCAATGTTGTCCTAAATGGACATGATGATGATGATGATAAATAGAATGCTCCTGTGTGTAATCAAGTCTCCGTATAAATGCACCTGCTCTTTGATAGTCTCAGGGTTCTGTTTAAAGCGCAGAGAGAACCATGAAGACAAAGGAACACACCAGGCTGGTCCGAGATACTGTTGTGGAGAAGTTTAAAGCCGGATTTGGATACAAAAAGATTTCCCAAGCTTTAAACATCTCAAGGAGCACTGTGCAAGCAATTATATTGAAATGGAAGGAGTATCAGACCACTGCAAATCTACCAAGACCCGGCCGTCCCTCCAAACTTTCATCTCAAACAAGGAGAAGACTGATCAGAGATGCAGCCAAGAGGCCCATGATCACTCTGGATGAACTGTAGATAACTACAGCTGAGGTGGGAGAGTCTGTCCATAGAACAACAATCAGTCGTGCACTGCACAAATCTGGCCTTTATGGAAGAGTGGCCATTTCTCAAAGATATCCATAAAAAGTCTCTCAAAGTTTTCCACAAGCCACCTGGGAGACACACCAAACATGTGGAAGAAGGTGCTCTGGTCAGATGAAACCAAAATCAAACTTTTTGGCCACAATGCAAAACGATATGTTTGACGTAAAAGCAACACAGCTCATCACCCTGAACACACCATCCCCACCTCAGCTGTAGTTATCTGCAGTTCATCCAGAGTGATCATGGGCCTCTTGGCTGCATCTCTGATCAGTCTTCTCCTTGTTTGAGATGAAAGTTTGGAGGGACGGCCGAGTCAAGGGGACGAATAATATTGCACGCCCCACTTTTCAGTTTTTTATTTGTTAAAAAAGTTTAAATTATCCAACAAATTTCATTCCACTTCACGATTGTATCCCACTTGTTGATTCATGACAAAAAATTAAAATTTTATATCTTTATGTTTGAAGCCTGAAATGTGGCGAAATGTTGAAAGGTTCAAGGGGACCGAATACTTTCGCAAGGCACTGTATGTAAAATTAACTAACTATTCATTTTCAACTCGCTCCTGAAATGATGTAATATTTGTTAGTTACACGTTAATTATACAGTATCTTTTGTTCATACGATAGCAATAACTGTCGCCTTTGTGCAGTAGTTAGTCTTGACATTCAGATTAAAGTACATATAATTACCATAATTTACGGATTATAAATCATGGTTTTCATCACATGTGTGGCTTACATTAGTAATTCACTCTGCAGCCACGCCTTTATCCAACACTAGAGCAGCAGTTTTATTATCTAGGTGGATTTCTTCATCCACAGTCCAAAGGACCTGTATATTTGCTCTCTCAAGACATGACTTTACATTTGTGAGGAACAATATGATATGTGAACAAACAGAATGTCTGCTCTTCCAGAGTTCAGAATGTCCCCAGCGCCTGGTGCCGTGTCCGTACTGTGACTTGGAGCTGGTCTTCAGCCAGTCTAAAGAGCACGAGGAGTACTGTGGCACTCGCACCGAGCCGTGTTCACACTGCAGGAGCAACGTGATGCTGAGGGAGCAGGCCATCCACCCTTTCCTCTGCGGCAGCCTCACTCCACCCCTGGAGAGGAACAACAGCCGCACCAGCCCCCCGCTAGGAGAGCCACAAGCCCCCACCTCCTGGATTGAATCTCACTCCATCAGGAACCACCTCCAAGCTCAGGACAGAGGCCTCAAGAACAACAACATCAGTGCAGCCGAAAACTTCAACAGATATGCAGCTTCAGACTGGAAGAGCGCCCCTCCAAGGAACATGATCAACCACTGTAAGTGCTTCCTAAAAGTCACATAACAGGGCTAGTGTCTTCAACTGTCACTACTGTCCACAACTCTAATCTTGTACAGAAAGGTAAATGTCTGACTATTATTTAATTGAGTTGGATTGACATAACATTTCCTATTCTCTTGTCTGTCAGTGTTGGAGGGCAGTGTTTTCGAGGCTCGCAGCGACAGCAGCAGCAGCCTCTGGCCCCAGCAGAGTGGCCAAGAGGAGGACTCCTCTGGTCTGGACTACATGCTGGCCCTCAGTCTGCAGGGCGACAGTGAGCCAGGGGCCGGTGGAGGAGGACAGCACAACCCTTGGAGCTCCATCTGGAACCAAAGAGAAGCCAGCACCTCGGACAGCTCCCCGCCATCTCCACCCACGACCACAGCAGCAGGCGGGCAGGACCAGGGCTCAGCAGGTCTGACTGAAATCAGACTATTTCATAAGGACACATCTCACACATTATTTACATTTATTTTTGCCATAAACATGAGCTTGAACATGTAACTTTTAATAGAATCAGTGTAAGCCAGGTCTAGAGCAGGCCATTTTAAGCCCTTTCAAACACGGGATTGTTAGCATGCTGCTGTAATGAACACAGTTTGACGATTTGAATGGTCAGAACTATTTTGGACAATACCTTGGCTCAAAAATAAAAACAGCTCAAGTTGTTTAAATCCGTTGAATAAGGATTTCTTTTTTTTATGTGAGATCAAAACTATATGAGTGAGAGGGACACGAGGAAGTGCAGGGAAATATACACAGACTTTGTTTTTATGTGATTAGGGCTACTGGCAGAACAAATAATTTTTACTCACGTTTCAGTAGTGATGGGACACATGTGCATTGTCAAAAGAGTGCTTTGTTCTTCACGAGTCAAAAGTCTTTCATTACAACAGGGGTCTCCAATCCGGTCGGGAAAGGGCCGCTGTGGCTCCAGGTTTTCTATCAAACCAGAGCAGAGCAGACTCCACCAATTTTCCTCCTTCAGTCTTAACCTGAAGATTTCCCTCTCTGGGGACCACAACATCTCTGACGTCTCAGTGTTGGAGCTGGTGTTGGTCCGTCATTGTCCTTGTTCTTGGTGTTTTGCAGAGATCTTGTTGCCCTGCGAGTTCTGTGAGGAGCTGTTCCCGGAGGACGACCTCATCCTGCACCAGGTTTGACATCAGTTTTTTTAGTCTCAGTTTTAAGTCGGTCTTTAAAAAACAATAGGACAGGATAAAACTCACATTTAAATTCATCCATCTAACATAAATATATATAAGAGATAAGAGGGTTCCTTTACCCGTCCCACAGTGGGGAAATTTCCATGTTGCAGCGCACATACAGGACAGGAGTAAGAGCACACAGGGAGCACACACATTATACAAAATAAGTAGTAGCTATGTTTCTTGACTAGCATAGTTAGCTGTAGATGCTAAAAATGCTTTAATACCAGTCAAAAAAAAGTAGTAGTGCGGAGTTATATACTGTACATAAAGTGCAGGATATTAAGTAGATAAAGTAACGTGACATTGTTCAGTGGACATTCCGAAGTTGCGGTATTGCACATTGCGCATGATTTTAAGAATTTACTTGTTTACAGATGAATGAAATTTACAGGCTCAGCAGTTCTCATTGTATATTTATAGCTTCCCTAAATGTGTTTGTTTGTGGTAACATTTGTGTGGTTGTGTCCGCAGACTGGCTGTAGTCCGGCCTCGGCCTTCGCCTCCTTCAGTAAACAGGCCTGCGCCTCCACAGAGCAGCGGGCCCCTCAGCCTCAGCACGATCCAGGACCTGTGTTCAGCGGCTCGAGTCAGAACGACCGTCTGTCCGTGTTCTCGTCCTTCCCCCAACAGCCCCGCCCGCTGTCCCCCACGTACAGCCCCCCTGCCAGCCCACTAGAGGGAGACATACTCATCCCCTGTGAGTTCTGTGGCGTGGCCCTGGAGGAGGCCGTGGTCTTCCATCATCAGGTCAGGGTCTCGGTCTTAACAAGTCAATAGTAGTCAAGTCAGAAGAGTCCGTTTCTTTATGTCTTTCCTGCATGTTTACATTTTTAGAAATAACCCTTTAACAAAGACACACATGTCTCCTTACATTTTCTTTAAGGCTGTAACAACTTCATACATTTTAAAATCTCACAAGAGGTTTTATCACTTGAGCTTTGATTTGGTCGAATGCATAAACTACTTGAGTTTAGTAGTTCTCTATCTCTGTACAGTTTTGGGCGTTGATATAGTATAGTATTCAACAGTCACCAGTCATAAAACTCCATGTTGTGTTCAGGATCTGTATGGTTAAAACAATATTATTTGATTTCTCAATGAGTCAGGTTTCTTATCTGGTTGTTTTTGAGTCTGTTCGATTGAATAAGAACCAACTGTCTTTGGTTTCGCTGCAGGATCAGTGCGACATGCGGCCACAGACGTCTCTCCAACTGAACAATGTGACGCCGACAAATCCCAAACCGCTCAACTTGTGTAAAGACAAATCTCCTGATTCTGCGCGACGGATACAACACCAAGGTAACATCTCTCTCACTGGTCTGTCTTTGTCTGTCTGTGTCTGTCTGTGCCTGCCATGTCCCGGCCTGCTTCAAATCCTCCATCATTGTCCCCGTCCCGAAGCCCAGGATCACAGGACTCAATGACTACAGACCTGTAGCACTTACGTCTGTCGTCATGAAGTCATTTGAACGCCTGGTTCTCTCCCATCTCAAGTCCTTCACCTCCCCCCTCCTGGACCCCCTGCAGTTCGCCTACAGAGCCAACAGATCTGTAGACGACGCCATTAACCTGGCCCTCCACCACATCCTACAGCACCTGGACTCCCCGGGGACCTACGCCAGAGTCCTGTTCGTGGACTTCAGCTCTGCCTTCAACACGATCCTGCCATCCCTGCTCCAGGACAAGCTCTCCCAGCTCAACGTGCCCGATTCCACCTGCAGGTGGATCACTGACTTCCTGACGGACAGGAAGCAGCGAGTGCGTCTGGGGAAGAATGTCTCGGACCCTCGGATTAGAAATACAGGAGCCCCACAGGGCTGTGTTCTTTCTCCCCTGCTCTTCTCCCTGTACACCAACCACTGCACCTCCAGCCACGACTCCGTGAATCTGATCAAGTTCGCGGACGACACCACCCTCATTGGACTCATCTCCAACAACGATGAGTCCGCCTACAGGAGGGAGGTGGACCGGCTGGTGTCCTGGTGCAGTGGTAACAACCTGGAGCTGAACGCCCAGAAGACAGTGGAGATGATTGTGGACTTCAGGAAGAGCACTGTCCCCCCGCCCCCACCCTCCGTGATGGACTCCCCCATCACCTCTGTGGAGTCCTTCCGTTTCCTGGGCACCACCATCACCCAGGACCTCAAGTGGGAGCCGACCATCAGCTCCCTCATCAAGAAGGCCCAGCAGAGGATGTACTTCCTGCGGCAGCTCAGGAAAGCCAAGCTGCAGTTCTACACGGCCATCATCGAGTCCATCCTCACCTCCTCCATCACCTCCTCCATCACCTCCTCCATCACCGTGTGGTTCGCTGGAGCCACAGTCAGGGACAAACAGAGACTACAGTGCATTGTGCGCTCTGCAGAGGAAGTGATCGGCCGCAGCCTTCCATCGCTGCAGGACCTGTACGTCGCCCGAGCTCGAGGCCGGGCTGGTCGTATCACAGCCGACCCCTCTCACCTGCACATGGACTATTCCAACCACTCCCCTCTCACCTGCACATGGACTATTCCAACCACTCCCCTCAGGCAGGAGACTGCGGTCCATCAGGACTAGAACCTCCGGCCACAAGAACAGTTTCTTCCCCTCTGCTGTTGGACTCTTGAACACTTCTTAACCTCCCCGCCCTTTATAAAGTCACTTTACTGCCCATCATACGTCACTTTACTTCACTGTACTGCTGTCACCTTACATTGTGTGCACCATGTGCACTTGTATATTGTAAATAGTAACTGTAACTCTATTTTAAATTTAAACTTATTCTTTAGAAGTGTTTTTTATTCTTATTTTTATTATCTCTTTCTGACTGTTGCACTGAGCCAAAACAATTTCCAAGTCTGTGACCTCCTGTTACTTACGTGGCAATAAAAATGATTCTGATTCTGTGTGTCTGTGTCTGTCTGTGTGTCTGTCTGTGTCTGTTTGTGTGTGTGTCTGTGTCAGTCTGTTTGTGTCTGTTTGTGTGTGTCTGTCTGTCTGTCTGTGTGTGTGTGTCTGTGTCTGTGTGTGTGTCTGTCTGTGTGTGTGTCTGTCTGTGTGTGTGTCTTTCTGTGTCTGTGTGTCTGTCTGTGTCTCTTAGAACTAGCTTGAACAGGCTATCCATCCATCCATCAATTTTATTTTTCTCAATTTCTGAGACTTGGCTTGAGCCTAGCCTTGATCTTTCAGTGGGGTCTTGCCCAAGGACACAACGACAGCAGGCATCAGTGGGAGTCGGTGGAGAGGGTCTCGTGGTGAACCTTCAGGCTCACAGGCCAATGCTCTACAGACTGAGCCACTGATTTTAATCTTTCTTTATGAATACTTTCCAGGATTTAGTTGTTGTTTTTTGCTCCGAGCACACATTTGTTGAGTTAAACATTTGTCTTGTCTTTCTCATGTCCTCAGGCGACGTCGGTGAGAACTCGTCGTCAGGGGAGGAGAGTTCTGAGCTCAACATGTGGCCTCCTCACCGAGCGCACGGACCTCGGAAACTCTCCAACAGCAGCGGGAAGAACCAGCCTCCAGAACAAGGAGAGGCCATCCCCGCGGCTGCAGATCAGGTCACACACTTAAGACTGATCACAGACCTCATTATATGACTTTGATCGTACGCGCGCTCTGATTGGCTGATTTGCGGTTTGATATTTTCCCATCTCGAACAGTTAACATGACAATTGGTCCGCAGCGCGTACATTTAAAAAAATCTTTCCTCGGTAAAAAAGTAAAAATGAGCGACAACTGGGAGCATTTTCCAGTGAATTCTATTATCCGGACGAGTTCAAGGAGCCAGAGGAAGTAATAACAGCAAATAACGACGAAAACGCAACTCCTCACAGTCAAGAAGAGATTGACAACTTCGTTACAGACCAGAAAGTTAAAAACACGATTAGGAAAACCAAGTCGGACATGAACATACTTCACAAATATCTAAAAAGCATTGGTAAAGACACAGACTGAGAACTTACAGCGGGCGCCTCAATCCTCTGATCAGTTCTTCATGTCACCATTTGACAGTTTGGCTGCATGTGTTTTTAGTTCAAACCGATCGATATTTGCACAAATTAAAAATAGTCATATCATAAAACATTTATTAACCTCGCTTGCTCGTTTAATAAGCCGTTAGTATCTGCCTCAAGGATCATTTAGACTTCCCTTTTGTATTTGCTATAAGTGGACTGTGCGTATACTTCTCTTTATGTTGTGTGTCTCCAGTGTGAAGGTGCTTTTCTGTTAAATAACCAGCAGAGGATAATCTTGCTCAGTTAAAGGAGAACTGCATTGTTTTTGGTCATTGAAGTGATATTGCTGCTTTGAATGTGAATCTTAAGCAGAAAACATACTGTCTAGTGAAACACGTGTCAAGGGTAAATGGGGATTCAAAAAGGTTCAGATTTGTCTTGTTGAGTTAAACTGTTTTTGTGGTTCTTTTGAAAGACAAGTTAGATGTTTGTTGTTGACATGTTTGGGCTACAGAGCTGCGAGCCTTCTTCAGACCTGTCTCCTGCCTCGTGATTTGTCGTTAATGTCTCTTTTAAGCCCGACACATGCCCACAGAGTATAACTGGGCTGAACGCTGTTACTCAGTCCCCTTTCACTCTGATCTGGAGATGATCCATGTTGGCTCAGTTCTGGATCCGTCAGCTGTTTGTACGGAGCCACAGTTCCTCCACATAGTCATTTATTCATGATATATTCAAACAGGGCCGTGTGTAATGTGTATTAATGAACCACAGATGCTATGAATACACTTTAAGCCCTGAGCTTCTTTCCGTCATACTCACAAACACACTCAATTATCCAAATAGTACATGTTTTTAGTGATAAGGGGAAGCAAAGCACCTGGAGGCAACCTAGGCAAACACAGGGAGAACATGCAAACTCCACACAGAAAGGCCCTATGACGTAAGAAACAAGACGGAGACTAAAAGGCTAAACAGATTTAAAAACACATGTGTCGTCTCAGTGACTCTGTGATGTGTCCACTGCGGCTTTTACCTAAATGACTGTGTTCTAATTCTCACATTTGCTCGTTGCAGTTGCCCAAGAAGCAGAATGAAGAGTCCCAGGACGAGTAAGAATTGACAGAAACCTGCTTTTTGTAAACTTTGTCACTGGTTTCTTAATGATCCGTGAAAAGAAGTGCCTGCATTACTGTCCACATAATCCTGGACACAGACCACCCAAATATTCATGTGCTCCGGCTTTCCTTCGCTCTCGTCTCGTCAGTGTTCCTATTCCACTGAAGCACTTTCATTCATTATTTTATCAAAAAGGGCTTTTCAGAAGTAAATGCTTGGATTTAGTTATGTACTAAAAATATTCTGATTTCATTTTATACGATGACTATCATTGTTTTTAATTCATTCAAAGTGTGACTGTCACAGGATAAAATACAGTTGTTTACTTGCAATAATAATGTATTTGTAGCTTCTAATGCGTATGTTTTTGAGTTGGGCTTCACAGATGCACAGCAGTGGTTTATGACTGAGAACAGTTCAGCAAGAAATACATCTCATGTTAAAGTTAATGGATTAACTTTTGTAAATGTATTTTAGACGACACAAAGAGGGAGTCAAACTTGTTAATATCTTAATAAAGTCTTAAAGATTAAATAATATGAATTATAAACATGATAGACTATTTACTTTGGCATTTCATGATTTATAATGTGAAAAAATGAAGTGGAAAATGTTTGGATAAACATGTTTGCTGATATGTGAAATATGTAATTCCCCACGTCTACCACCAGAGGGCGTGTTTCAAGTTATTTCATATTTTCAACGTCAAACATTACATGCTGCAAATACAAAAACGTAATTACACCAGAGATATTGACAAACAAATTGAGTTACTTCTGAAAAAGTTGTTTTGATAATTGGCTCTGTCCTCGATGTAACAGTGAACAGTGTAGACCAGAGTTCTGTTCAGCTCTGGTTTGTATCATCAAATAAATTATATCAAATTCAACCAAAAAACATGTTGTTTTTACTTGTTGTTGATTTAATATGAAGTGACTACGATCTATTTTAAAATGTCATTAACTGCGATGGACGGAGCTACAAATCACATTTTGAGTGAACAACGTTATGGTTAAAAACCGTCCAGCCCAGGACTGTGCTGCATCTCCGACAGTAGGTGGCGCTGACGGGCCTCATCAGAAACATTGGAACCAATGGTGTAGGTTTGGTTCCAATCTTGGTGGGGACATTCACTACGACCTGAGTCTACACCCATTCACACGGGATCCAGAGTTTCTCCCCCAGAATTTGTTGTGTAATCACACACTATATTTGCAATAGTGTGTTGCCTTCTATACTAAACTCAGCTGTAGACTGAATGAGAAGCAGTTAAGGATTTTTTCTAATAGTTAAAACAAAATCAATTGGATCAGAGCTTCTGAGTTTTGTGTTGCGTTCATTCTATACTGACTTAAAGCTAATCCAAATCTACATAATAGCCCTCACCTGAGGCTCTAACAGTTCAGGAACTGCTCTCGATACTTGAAATAAATCATGCTCTGATCTTTCAATTTCCTATAATAAATAAAAACAGAGGAGAAAATATTGAATTAGAATCTACAGTGAGTATCTCACTACATTGTTTGACATATACGATCAATCTCTAAAAACAATTCATAGTCCCATGCATACCTACAAAATTCCAACCTCACCTGATGCACTGAAGGGCCTGTTGCTTCTACCTCAACATTCCCTATATTGTTCTCTCTTGTTGGTTGAGTTTCCTATGTATGTTAACAGAAGATTAATCATCACAATTCATAATTTGCTATTACTTGTGCTTTCTCTTACTTACTTTCCAACTGTTAAAAAAGCTCCTGATATCTTTTTTTGTGGAGGTGGCATTTTTTCTAAATTATATAAGAAGGTATAGAAAATCAAAAACAGACATTCATATACATGAACTGCAGAATAATTTATATAACTTGGCCAATGTCAAAAGTTACATAGTATTTCTCAATACAATGAGTTAACAAGACAAGGGCGTAGGTTTGCGTGGGGACCATGGGGACATGTCCCCACCAATATTTGGTGAGGACTAAAAAGTCCCCACCAAAATGACATGATGTCCCGGGACCCGGACGGTCCGGGACACATGTCTTCCGTTTGTGCACACGTCGCGCCTCCTCCTCGCCTCCAGAGCAACAGCAGCAGCAGCAGCACGTGACCCGTTCCGTTCTCTGCAGTGATTGGCTGTCTTCTTCAGCGCCAAACTGAAGCACTGAGCAACTGTTTAATTTTTAAAAGTTAGCCAGCGTGAAGCAAGTGTTTTATTTCGTTCCCTGAGCGTTGTAGCACGTGAGTAATCAGAGGAAAGTACTGTAGATCTATTACCATTCAAAGTACTTACGTTATTTCTAATCTGTCAGCGCACTGTTTAATGTTCCGAGGAGCTCACACGGCACAGAGACAGAACAGAACTGGCTCCAATAAAGAAACAGGTTGGTTGAAAGGCTGAAAAAATACTTATTGTGCTCTTACTATCCAAAATGTATGAGTGTGTTGTGTGAATCAGGATAAACTAGGGATAAAAATATTCCACGGATCCACGATTTACAACCTTTATCTGCTGATAATGTGATTTCTGTGAAATGTGTGACAGCGGGCACTTGCTGTTATTTGCTCTAAGCACATTCAAGCGATGCACTCGAATGTGCACGTCCTGGTGCAGCTGCTGCCGCTTTGTAATGACAGCCGCGGCGCTCAGTGAAAGCACAGCTCTAACATGGTACCGAGCTCGGACCATATGCAGACAGAACCATGTTGCAAGTGCGGGTCTCCCTCGTATCTCCCGCGTTTCTCCCCTGTGTCTCTGACATGTCTCTCCCCTGACTCTTCCCAAAGCGCAACCAGCGCTCCCAAAATTAAAGCTCGGATACGTACATTTTCCATTGCGTTAACGATGCTGGTTGTGCGCAAAACACACCACAACAGGTCATTTAAGTTTTTATTTTGCATACTTGAGAGCCCTGTGAGTCATTACTTGCCTTTTTGGGTTGAGAGTGGAATAAAAAAAAAGAAAATATAGAAAAATATACACTGTTACTTATTGCCAAACTCTTGGAACACATTAGAAAAGTGTAATGTAGTGGATCTGTGATGTTTCCTCTGAACATGACCACTTTCCGAGAGATCTGAGCTAAATGTTTTAAGTATATCAAACTTGTTCTTTTTGTTGTTATTTATTCAGTTTTTATAAGGTCGGTTAACCGCCAACCAATGACCGGGCACATAAGAGCTGTGCCAAAAAACGAGTGATTTAAAAATGTTATAACTTTCCTAATCTTTCATCGGTGCTTTGCCTCTAACAGAGACACATGCGGCTGAAGTTTAGTTTAATAAGCACAGCTTGATCCTACCTCATACAGACTTTTATTCATAAAATCTCATTCAGATTTGAGATCCTTGAGGTCTTGTGTTCGCCGCTCTCCAAACCCAGAAGAAGCTTCATATGTTTCACACAGACACATGATACACAAGCACATTTCATTTCTTTATTAATTTTGTAAATGTTGAGCTGGTGTACCGAGTAAATTCATAGATGTTTACAGAGTCGACTGGATTAAATTCATTTCTCCATAACAATAAAAAAGCAAACAAAACCATTTCAAATCCCCTTATTCCCAGGTTGCAGGCATTACCCGACAGTCTCTTTGTAGCTACAGCTGTATGATGCTAAAAGTACATACAACATAATCCCATTTGACAAGGAAGGGTGCATAGCATTCTAAGTAAATATATATATTTTAATATATCTCATATATATATTTATAGATATATATATATATAGCCTTTTATGATAAAAACATTTTCTGTGCATGTGCGCAGTTGCATTCCTTAGTATTGAGTAATATACTATTGCGTTAATAATGTCTTCAATCCATTCTAAAGGAATATACAAGTTCTCTAGTTTCTGCAACAGTAATATTTTTGCATGATCTTGGAGTGAGACGTGGTTCTCCATGTGTCAGCCTGCTCGTCTGCGTACACCGCCTGTGTGCACCGCCTGTGTGCACCGCCTGTGTGCACCGCCTGTCCACATGAAGTCTCCGCACATTTCTGCTTTGCTTACAGAACACTTTGGAAATGTTTCTTCAAAGCGTCTACAAAGTCTAAACCAGGGCGTGGCTGCAGGTTTGACTCCACCCAGTTCCTTAAACGAGTCCAGTCTTAACCTGGAGACCTGAGGAAATGGGTGGAGTCCGGTGTGCTCCTGCTTGGTTGGAATGAAAACCTGCAGCCACCCCGCCCATTGCAGACCGGTTTGACACCACTGGTCTAAACACGAATTCACTCAGAGTTGCATGAAATTTTCACCCAGATCTTGTATCGAGAGTTTGACCACTTTGCAAAGCCTTCCCCAGCGCAGTGCACACCAGACCCTAACCCTGCACACGCCCCAAAGACTTCCTAAACATCCTGGACCTTATTCCACCAAGTGATTTCTTCTTCCCTGATGGTACATTTGAAGATGACAACGCCAGGATTTATGAAGCCAGAGTTTTTAGGCGCAGGAGAATCTTTGGGAAAGCCTTATGATGTGGTCATACTTCTCCATCGTCGCCACACAATCTGGGTGAAAAACCTTTGCAGATTTGCAGACTTTGCAGATTTTTGCTGTAATCAAAGCTGAAAGAGCAGTGTACTTCCATGATTGGGAGGTGATCACGAAGTCCTGCGGCCCGGAGTCTGGCTGTGCGCACAAGTCATTTTACCATAAGATATATTATGGGAAAAACAACATCTATCTAAATTCTTTGTCTTGTGCAAAAATCTCATGAATAAGTCCGTTTTGCAGTAGACAAGTTCTAGATCAGCTCTATCCAAAGTCAAAAACATTTCATTTTGGACAATAAAGTGTGGTTTTCCCTCCTAAATTTGAACCAGGATATGTGCGTAAAGAGAATTTAAGTTGTATAAGCGTCCATTATGTCAATTGTTCCATAGAAATGTGTCTTCTGCATTTGACCCATCCCGTGTCTAGGACTTCTGTCAGGAACGTTGGCCTTTGTAGTACAGACTCATCTCCAGGTGTTGATACTCTGCTTGGGCAGGACCAGAGCTGGAGGATTTTACTTATTGTACATGTTTTCAGTGGTGGGGGGAAACCGGAGCAGGCCCTGTTCCAACCTGGATCCAAATGATATAAATTCAGAATTGTGAAAGCCATTATAGACAATTTTACCACAAAGAAGCTCATTGCAAGAGTCACAACCAGCCCATGGGACATAAAAATGGTGAATATAGGCATAATTTTCAATCTATTGGATCCAAACCAGACGTAAACTGTGAGGATTACGAGAATATTCTGAATCTGAGTCATTTTAAGTGTGATTACATTTGGTACAATGGTGGACTTACAGATGTGCGCACAGCCTGCACTCCGAGCGCCTCCCCGGCCGCCGTGACCTCCGCTGCGTCAGTAAAAATGGCCCTTTGCTTCAGAAACGAGCAAAACTGCGAGCCCTTCATTCATTTAGCGTCTGTGTTGTTATTATTAAGAAAATATAGCAAAAGTTAGAAACAATAGGGTGAATATATCTGTTATCTCCACCCCCTGTGTTTGCATGACATTGTACGGTTAATTATGAGCAGATACAGACATTCTCTATTCTATATATTAAAGTCAACACGACTACTGCAGGACGACAGTACACCGAGACTGTACATTCAGACACTGTTAGGTTGTTATTGCCACATTGGATTTTACACAAAGTCAGCATTAGAACAGATTTAGAGAAAACAATTCAAATGTGCATAATGACATATCATGAGATGGCACACGTTAAGTTTAGGGTGGCCGTGACGTGCATACCAAAGTTGCAAAAAAAACAGGACAATTTATTAAAAGGAAAATTGTTATTATCGGTGATTTAAAATGACTTGAATTCAGGGTGAAACAATTTTTGGAACAAGTTATAATTATCTTTGAATAATTAGATGGAGTGGAGTAGCTTGCTGCCATTGTAGGCTGTACATATGGACAATGCTTAACCCCCTAGCTCAAGGGCATTTTTTATCATACTTGCTTTGGCTCCTATCGACTTTTTGGGCAATACTTATCTGTGGTTTAGCGCTCTCTATGTTCCAGGTGTTTATAAGCCCTAACAACTGACCAATCAGGAGCCTTCTGTCGTCAAATGTACTTTAGGATCCAGGTTTCCGCTCTCGAATAGCCTGTTCGAGCAAGCTCTAATCGGCTTCTTCCGCTTTAAGACTAACACTAGGGTTAGTCGTCCACTCCTAATATACAGTCTATGTTTGTTGGCTGAAACTTGGACTGGTTGTCGAAAAACTAGTCTTTCTCAGTCCCTGCTGCTGTCCAACTCACCTTTCTGATCTTAAAAAATCCAGGTTGAAGTGCTGTGTTTTTCAATATTGTCATTGTGAATTAAAATGTGAGCAATAGTAATGGACCAATCATATCCCAGACAGGTTTGTAATTAGCCCGAGAAGCCTCTAGCCAACCCAAGCTTCATCAGAGGACCACTCTTTCTATCAAAAATACCCCGAATTCAAGTCATTTTAGGACTTCAATTCTGCAGTGTAAAGGCGCGTTCAGACCAAAAGCTTCAAAAAGCTTTTGACGCGCTTCAACTGACGCCGGGATAGTTTTGTCATTTTGGTGCTTGAAGCTTTTGACGCGAGTGACGCGCCTGACGCCGGTGGGAGGAGCTTCTCTGTTGTCTGTGGGAGGAGCTTCTCTGTTGTCTGTGGGAGGAGCTTCTCTGTTGTCTGTGGGAGGAGCTTCTCTGTTGCCTGTAGTCAGGACAGCGGTGGATTTTTCAATGAGCAGCGAGCCTTTATTTGTTATATAAAGCAAAATAACGTTGTTGTAGGGCTTCAACAAAACATGTTCTGGGTTCACCACAGACTTGAGAGGCTGCAGTGTTTGCAGAGTTCCGTCATTTACTCCAGGAGCTGCGTACGGAGGAGTTTCGCTTTCAGCGGTACTTCCGCATGTCACTCGCCCAGTCTGAGTTCTCAAACCCCGGAGCTCGCCTCTCCCCGCCTCGCTCTCGCCTCTCCCTGCCTCTCCCCGGCTCTCGCCCGCCTCTCCCTGCCTCTCCCTGCCTCTCCCCGGCTCTCGCCCGCTCGGAGCTGCCTTGCTCTGAGCCAGACTCATCGTCAGCCTGTTCTTATTTTAAATAAACTACGTTTACTACACAGCATGTATACAATGATTTTTGTTACTCAGAATGTTACTACTCATACAAATAATATTACTAATAACAATAATGACAATAAAACAGCAGCAGTAGATACATGACTTCTCTTCATGACAGAGACAGACCCGCAGCTGCTGCTGCTCCTCGTCTCCTGATTGGTTGAAGCCCGCGTCAAAGCTTCAAAAGCTCAGCTTTGCTCAGCTTCGGCGTCAAAGGGATTGTTGTGATACGCGAGCGTTTCGCGCGTCAAAAGCTTCAAGTGAGCGCGTAGTACGCGCGACTCTTGAAGCTTTTGACGCGCGTCAAGTGACGCCGGGGCTCTCGGCTTCACCTGACGCGCTTCACCATTCACTTTCAATGGAAACCTGACGCTTTTGACGCCGAAGTAAAGTCCGGTGTGAACGCCCCTTAAGAGTTCTGATAACTTTTTTTTTTTTTTGCAACTTTCAGGCCGCCATCTGGAGGTGAACACACTCAACAAAGAGCCTAAAAGAGAACTAAACGAGCTTATCACTGTGGTTTTAGAACAACCACACACATTCATAAACACGACTGTGATCTGAAGTGTATTGCGAACCGGGCACTTGGAAGGCGAGACTAAAAACAAAAAGTACAAAGTTCAAAACCAAACGACTGAGATGGGATTTCGGAGTCGCTACGCTTGAGATGCATCGGTTGCTTTTGTACAAGTGCAAAATGAAGTGTCTATGTGCTGACATCATTGCTTAAGGAGCTTTTAAATCTGCGTTTCACAGACTAGAAGCTCGCGTTTATAGGAAGAACATGAGGCTATAACGTCCCTCTCGGATCACTTCTTTTGTTATTGCTGCTCGGAGTTTGGACGCGTCTCGAGAGGGCCACACTCACAGTTACAGGTCAGAGAACGCTTCACAGTGATTGGGTGGCTCTCCAGAAAAAGCGAAGGGGCCAAACATTCACGTGTCCTCTCCGGTGTCCCGTATATGGAGTAACATTTGTGCCAAAAGCGGGTGTTGAACCGCCCAAAAGTGTTCACGCATCTGTCTACAACCGATCCACCAAATCTGGCTCACATTGTGCGAAGGGATATCTATTCTTACGCAGTGGAAAGTAGCTATTGGCTGTCCCAAAAGTCGCTAGAAGTCGCTAAATGACGTCATCACCTAATTTGCATAATTGGCAATTTGCAAATAACTGTAACGGACGCTGTAGGAGAGAGGAATAACGTCGTGGGAGAGACAAAAGTGAATAAAAAAACTCCCTAAATATGTTTAGAACTACAAATGTACAAAAATAATTTCAACATTAACAACATTTAATGATTTTAATACTTTGTCGAGATCTGTCGCTAGTCGCTTTTTTGAAAAAAAAAGTCGCTATAGGGTCTGCAAAGTTGCTAAGTTGGCAACACTGTTCTTACGTCCAATTTTAATATTCACTGTGCAAATGATCCTTATCCTAGTTCGCCACCATGATGTGTTTCTAAGCAATTTTCAGACTGTTGCTAACAAGCCACATCAGCAATGCACTTAAAGCTGGAGAACCTAACTTTGAAACCAAAAAAGATCCATACATCTCTCTAATAAGCCTCAACATGTTACTTGAACAAGAAACAAACAAAATAGTTAGGTACCCCAGCTGTAAGCGATGGATTTCATTGTACGCATTCTTCATAAACGCGATCTTTTCCGGACAATCAATTGCTTTGTTTATAACATATCTCCATAATTTTAAATAGTGTTCACAATGAAAACAGATTCCTTTATCATGATGTCTTGTTTTGAGTTGCCTTGTGTTTGATCTGCGCTATATAAATGAACGTGCCTTGCCTAAGCACAGTAGAAAATGACCTCCCCTGATTTGCCAAAACAAGGCATACCACAGCTGTAATAAATTTGGCGGCAAAAATGGTCAGAACTAAGGATGGCTTACGGATTCATACATTTTAATCTCAATCAAAAATCAAAACCGCAACAATCAAAACAACGCCACACTTGTCTCTATCATTATCTCTAGTTAGGGCTTGATGCTAGATTCTCCAGCCGCTAACCGACTCGAACGTTTATATATATACACAAAAATAGCGCCGGAAACGTTTTGTATAATCTTATAAATACAGTCCTTTAGTTGTTATAAGCTACTTTGGGCACAAATGTCACTCCATCTTTCCTCCTCCAGTGCTACAGTGGTGAATGCCTGAGGACAAGGCTGCTACATCTACTCTGAGGCGGCACCGGTGGGTAAGCAAAGAGACCAAAACTATTGTAAACACAGAAATGGAAGGTGCGTCACGCTAATTCTCTCAGGGCAGCTCATTCATCATCTTTGTTTGATGCAAAAAAACAAATAAACGTGATTCTATGAAATAAGATGTGACTTTGGCTGAGATTTTTCCTTAATTTTAATTTACTTATTCCAAAGAGCATTTCAAGGACCCAAACTTGCTTATTCCCTCATGGGTACAGTCAACGATGCTAAGATGCTAAAATAGTTCCAATTCTAATAACATTACTTAAATTTCACGTGTCAGACTGTAAATGGACAAAAAGTTTATGCTAACCACTTTCAGTCCAACTTTTATTCCTTTCTTTAGAACATATTTATTATTAAAAGTGCTTTTCTCAACTTTGACGCTAAGCTAACTACAGTTAGCCGTTAGCGTGTCGAGTTTCTATGACTATCACATTTGCTTTAGAATTTGCGCAAAAACGTAGTAAGTGAATCATTGATAACATGGAGTCCTGCTTTTAGAACCAAAAAGGTCGAATTTAACCATTTAAAAAACATTTCTTAAAAGTGCTTTTCTCAGTCTTGATGCTAACCAAACAAGCATTAGCCAATGTTAGCCGTTAGCACATCCAATTTCCCTGACTTTAAAATTTGCTCTAGACCTGCTGTTAGAGATGAATAGTACAGGCTTTTTTTTTTACTGCGTGACCAAAACACACATTGGAAAAACTCATTGATATCAAGTTTGCGGCAACAAACATTTAAGTAAACAAAATCGAAAAGCTAAAAAGACCAAACAAGATGATGCATGGTGCCATCTACTGAACCGCATTGAAGCCACGAGACATTGCTGATATATGCGTCCCACATGGAAGCTCCGTGGTCGTGAACGGTGGGAGAGAAACTGTTGCCTAGAGACGACAATGTCTTTTAGATTTTATGACCCTTTTTTGACTTGTAACCCCCTGATTGACCATATTCAGTGCTGCATGCCTGTACCCCACACCCCCTTCCCCCCGTAGTTAAAGACAGGCCATGCAGCGGGATTCACTCATGCGCATACACATACAGGAAGCTCGGTTGGTTGCTTTTTTTTGGGCGTCATTTTTTGGGTTTTTGTTTTATACGAAATCATGCGTCGATCTTGCCTAGAGTTGGATGTTTTTGCTCATGGTTTTAAAAAGAAGAAAAACAATCTTGTAAAAACTACAGATAACACCGTAGTATTCCTTGGGTGATGGCGTGCTGAAGGTCCGACGGTGCTCAGGTCCGTTTGTGGCCGCTGTCTGCTGGTCAGTGGTCAGAGACAGCGCCGGGTCATGTGTCCATGTAGGGGGCTTTAGGTGAGGGGCTGGAATCGTGTGGAGAACTCTGCGGGGAGAGGGAGGACACGTTACAAAGCCAGCACTGATGGTTTTCTCAGGTTAAAGGGTTGCACTGTTCAGATCGCGCTGTCATATGCAGGCTTCACTGGGCTGTTGTGTTGTATTGAATATGGAATGGACTTTCACAGTACACGCCAATGTTTTAAGGTCACCCAAATATTCGTCTCCACAAAAAGCCAGAAATGAGTTGTATTCTGATCAATCTTCAGACGTTTCTACTGGTGGATTGAAGTAGATCTGTCTAGATAAGGGCCTACAGCTGTCATTGCAGTCTGAGCTCAAACCTATTCATGGGTTCATCTGACAGCCATGATAGTGTTGAGACACATAAGTCATCTCTATTATGTAGTAAGTAAGTAATCAGTATCTCCTGTGACTTTTTATAAAACTAGAATTCAGCCGTTGTGCTGCGCTGGAGGTCTTGAAGAGCATTATTTGTAAAGTTTTTAGAACTGTAGATCTCCTCAGAGCTGCCGAGGCCAAACTGAGGCTTTGGTGAGAAGAGCCTTGATCTTTGATGTGACCAAGAACCCCATACTCACCCTGACAGAGCTCCAGTATTTCTCTGAGGAGATGGAAGAACCTTCCAGAATGAAAGGTCTAGAGACGACTGCATCACTATACTGTAGATGATCACAGGCCATTCATCTGTTTTGTTTTCTGCTGTGCATGGAGTTGTAGTGTCTGATCTAGTCTAGTAACTAGACTAGATGCCTGTTGCCTGTGATTTTCAACACGTTCTGAACAGGGCCAGTCAGAAGTCAGTCTTAGAAACCCACTCCTAAGCGCCATGCACGGCCATTAGTCTGTGAAAAAACCTTAATGGAAACTCTTTATATGAATAAATGTCTTCCATGATGATGGCAGCCGCTGTATTGGACCAGCATAAAACACACATACAGTATAAATGAGGCACCACTCACTCAGTCTCGTGAGCATGCAAAAGCCAGTGGAGGTTCATTAGAAAAATGTCATTTTTATAATCATTTGCAATAGCCTGCTTTACAACAGGAGTCATGACTCTGCGATGCAAGTACTTTTGGGAGGAAAAAAATAGACAAACAACCCGGAAAAATAGATGATCAAAATCCACATTTAGAGCTAGAAATTATGTGTAAGAAATTAATTATTGTCACAGGTTGGTCAGAAATGGAGGATGCTGTTTGGATAGCAGGGGACTTTCTGGGAGCTTTTGCTTGTTTGCTAGATCTTCTATCATCTGACCTGAAACGCCTGCATGTCCTGAACCTTGGCCTGCTCTCTCCACCGTCTTCTGTGGCAGCCGCTGACGAGCTCTCCAGTCCAAGTGGCACGAGTGACTAATAATGCACTTTTTTGGACTCTCAAAGACACTTCACATTGCATTGTTCATTCACCCCATTCATAGTTGTGGTAAGCTACAGCCATAGCCCCTGCCATCTCCCTTCACAGCACTAACCAGGCCCTGCCCTGTTTTACTTTTGAGATCTGACTGGATCAGGCTGTATCCAGTAAGTATGACAAACTTAAGCGACCTTAGTTAAACCTCCTTCTCATTCTCCTGTGCTCTGTGCGCAGGAGCTAAGCTCTCCATGGGGGTATATCATTTACAGTTGTATTTTATTTGTTTGCGTCTCTAAACTAATTCTGAAACAGAACTATTATGTTTTAATGAAATACAGGCTCTGACACTAAGCATTAAAAGTGCATAATTTCTACAAATGATGTATTTCAGTGTGTATTGTGAAGTTAAAATATTAAACAAAAAGAAGATAACGTCCTCCAGATCGCATGTAACCTGGCAACACAAGGGTTTGCTTGTTCTCTTACTGCTCCCAGAAGACTTTGCGACATCTTTAAAACAGAGGAAAGCGCTATTGGGCAAATGTCAAAATGTCCATCGCTGCTTTGTTCAGTAGTAACAATATGCTTTTCCTCAGAACCGTTTGGCTCGTGTTTGTGGGGACTTACATATGATTAGTACTGAATCTGTTGGATTAGATTTGGTCCAAAAAGATGAACTCCATTTTGACTGAAGCAAATGCTATTATTGTAAATGAACAATGAACAATATTGTACGAGTGCTTTAAACATAGCTCACTTTGTGTGATTCCCACAGAATCTTTTCACAACGCAGGGTAAAGCTGGAGTACACTTTACCCCAGGGTAACCCTAACCCCCACAAATAAAACACTCTGTTTGTCCATCAGAAAGACACACACACACACACACACACATCCACACACAGACACACACACATACACACACACAGACACACACATCCACACACACATACACACAGACACACACATACACACACTCACACACATACACACACACACACACACACACATCCACACACAGACACACACACACACATACACACACATACACACACAGACACACACACATACACAGACACACACATCCACACACACACACACACACACACATACACACACACATACACACACACACTCACACACACACACACACACACACACACACACAGAAATGTGCTTATGTATAACTCCTTTTGAGTTGTAGTGGATGATTCTGATGATCATGGCTACATTGAACTTACAAAAAGACAGAATATATTTAATGAATGAATGAACATATTTACACAAAAGAATGATGACAACATTTATTCCCTTTTACAATTAGTGTTGAAACTCATAAAACAATTTTTAATACATTACGACAGTCAAAGTGCTTCAGTCTCTGACAGACGAATCCCCAGCTCCTCCTTTACCTTCCACAATAACATAAGAGTTTGTTTACTGATACATGGAGAAAGTATTTACTCAAGTACAAGTACTGTAGACAATGAGTAGTACTCATGGAAAAGCAGCATATTACATGGTGTTTGACGGAACATTTGGTTAATTCAATAGTTAAATGGATTCAAGTGCAAAGTGTATTTTCTCTGAGCTCTGACCAATCACAGCAGACGATGCAGATGTTTGTGAGTTCGTTAGTTTATAAAGAAACAGAGACAGACATCATTTGAGACTTCATTGGGACCTATTTTTAGATGTAACTAATCACAATGTTATGAAACAAGTCAAATACTTCTCAATTCCAGTATTTGTATTGACTTTTTTCCTTGAACACAGATCACACAAAGCTCCACACGTTTTGGACTTAGTATTGTTTCATCTGTTATTTGCTTCAGTCAAATGGCCCACAGTGATTCCATTCAGCATTTAACCCACGCGGGCTTAAGTGGGTTAAATGAAGAGCACGGGTACCTTGGGCCTGCCTCACTGCTTAACCCTCCGTAGACTGGCACATTTCACTATCTGAGCCCCTCTCTTCACATCAGCAGAATCGGGCTACATGACGGAGGGAGGGAGGGAGGGAGGGAGGGGGTGTTAGTGGCAGGGAGACAGAGAGAAAGAGCAGGAGAGTGAGGAAGTGTCAAAGGTTTCGTGGACATTCGGGCCGGGTGTGGGCATAAAGCTGGCGTAGCGTGACATCACAACATTCCTGGAGTTTAAAGGAGACATAACATGCTTCTGTCCACGTTAAAATCTGTGACACCGGCTCATTATTAATCTCAATAATGTATAATATTAATGATAATAATAATATATAGTGCCCTTTTACACAACAGCGAAAACTTGATCACAACACAGGCTCTTGTTAAAATACAAGTTGGCAATCAGTGGATTATTTTTCAATTTTGAGTAAACAGAAAATTGGCAAGGGAGGTTGTTCCGGGTGTTTTGGTTCTTAAAAGTGAGCTCCTGCTGTTTTGTGTCCACTGTGTGTGTGTGCGAATGACTAACACATTTACATATTTATCCTTTGTACATCTCACAACGGTTAGGATTTTGTCTCATGTTAAAAAATCAGAGTGAATTCAAGATTTCCATTAAATTGTTGAAAATATTTACTGTGGGACGAATAAAGGTTAAGGCCATTGTTTATTTATCATTTTTCCACCACAATCTAGCTCCAGATACAGATTGACGATGAATTGTTTTCATAAATATTTCTAAAACGTTTATTTATTCAAGTCGGTGGAGCCAAATGACAACAAATAATCAGAATATAATATTAGTGGACTGGGAGATTTCTTTTAAAAACAGTAAATATTATGGATCCCAACACTGGCAAAGGGAGGGAGGGAGGGAGGGAGGGGCGCGTCAGAAGCCCACCTTGCTGCTGTCCCGGCCCAGGATGGCATAGCTCATGTACTGGTCTGTGTCCGGCTCCAGCTCCTCGTCCTCCAGGTCCTGACCCCCCTCGTCTGAACCCTTCCCCCTCCGCACCACCTTCCTCACCGTCTGCACCCGGTGGACGCCCCCACACAATGAAGACAAACAAAAAGATGAGAGAAACAAAAAGGAAAAACAAATATGAAAGAGGAGATGAATGAGGCTCAGTGTTGGTCTTTCACAGGTTCAAATTCTCAGTTTTGGGGCCAATTCACACTTCATAATGTACAAACTTTGTTCTGGCTCTGGCTTCAGCGGCCCTAAGCGTCATGGCCCAGTGCGGTTTAGCTTCATCAAAGATACAGAAAAAGATTATGGGCGTTTCTCTCACTCTTGCGCAGTATTTTCACTAAAGGCGTCATTTTTAGTGCATTACACTTTAGAATCTCGTACTGCAGGTGTCTCCAGCCGTTTTCACCCAGAGAGCTACTGTCCCGGGACGCTAAAGGCAGAGAGCTACTTTCCCGGGACGCTAAAGGCAGAGAGATACTTTCCCGGGACGCTAAAGGCAGAGAGATACTTTCCCGGGTCGATAAAGGCAGAGAGCTACTTTCCCGGGATGTTAAAGGCAGAGAACTGCTTTCCCAGGACGATAAAGGCAGAAAACTGCTTTCTCAGGACGATAAAGGCAGAGAGCTACTTTCCCGGGATGTTAAAGGCAGAGAGCTACTTTCCCGGGACGATAAAGGCAGAGAACTGCTTTCTCAGGACAATAAAGGCAGAGAGCTACTTTCCCGGGACGTTAAAGGCAGAGAGCTACTTTCCTGGGACGTTAAAGGCAGAGAGCTACTTTCCCCAGACAATAAAGGCAGAGAGCTACTTTCCCGGGACAATAAAGGCAGAGAACTGCTTTCCCAAGACGATAAAGGCAGGGAGCTACTTTCCCGGGACGATAAAGGCAGAGAGCTACTTTCCCGGGACGATGAAGACAGAGAGCTACTTTCCCAGGACGATAAAGGCAGAGAGCTACTTTCCCGGGACGATAAAGGCAGAGAGCTACTTTCCCGGGACAATAAAGGCAGAGAGCTACTTTCCTGGGTCGATAAAGGCAGAGAACTACTTTCCCAGGACGTTAAAGGCAGAGAACTACTTTCCCCAGGATGTTAAAGGCAGAGAGCTACTTTCCCGGGACAATAAAGGCAGAGAGCTACTTTCCCAGGACGTTAAAGGCAGAGAGCTACTGTCAGGGATGAAGCAGACAGAGACGGATCGTGGTGCGCCAAACTCTGGAAGTTTATTTAAGTTTCTCTCAAGTTCCAGTGGTTTCCTTTGCTTCTTTCTCTCAGACAGAATAAAGTCAGTACACAGTTTATATAGTCATTGTCACGTCACACATCGAAAGACGTACGTGTCACACAGAGACAGTCACATCATAGTCAAAATAATCAGAGTCCTTGTAGAGTCCTGCACGGAGGCCATATTGCTATCTAATACTAACACTACTTTCCCCGGACGATAAAGGCAGAGAACTACTTTCCCAGGATGTTAAAGGCAGAGAGCGGTTTTCCCGGGACGTTAAAGGCAGAGCTAACAAGTACCTAGCTTGCCGGCTGTTTCCTGTTCACTGATGCAGGGCTAAACAGTATATTTCCACCAGTGCGTCATGCTTCTAATCGTCAAACTGGGAAATCGCCAAAATCAGAGCAATGTTCCAAGAAACCAACTGTAAAAACATAATTTTGTTCTTGTACCGCAGGCTAAGAGCAACCTTTGTACGTCTTTATGAAATGAGAATTGGCCTTTTACCCAAGGATTCATTTCAAGCTGATTTAGAACCACAAGACTTCGAGCCGTTTTCTTTCTTTTCAATATTTTTCCACTATTTATGTTCTTTACACTATGAAGGTGGATTACTTTACTTTAATTACTGTTTATTATTATATTATTAGACCCGAGTGGCAAAAACTGGCAAAGGGTCTCTTAGTATTGTTATTATTAAATGATTCTAATCAGTATATATTGTATGTGACCCGTGAAGGGTTCATGACGAGTGCCTGTCATGTTGTCTGAGTGTGAGACATAGACTGTATATAGACTGAAGTGCTCATGGATGAAGTTTTGCTCCTACTCGCTTCGGCTCCTACTGACTTGATTGAAATCTAAACTCCTCCTCTCCATTTGGGTTTGTCAAAATCCATGGTTGAGCTCTCTCTATGATCCTGTGATACTGTCTTAGTAAATCCAGATATGAGTTCTAATAACTGACCAATCAGGAGCCTTCTGTTGCTAAATTCAACTTTAGCTAGCGAGTAGTGTGAGCGAGAACAGACCTGGACCGCTTCTGATTGGTGGTAACTCGGTCATTGCTACCAACAAAATTTGCTCCATATTCCTGCTCCGATAGCTGGTTTAAGCTAGCTAATTTGAGCTAGCACTTCGGTCACTTCCCGATCAAGGCTAACACTGTTGTCGGCACTAGATCATATACGGAATCGGGACGCAAGCGGAAGTAAATATAACCAACTACCTAAAAACTAATAGATCCATGCCTAAACTTAACCAGCCATTCCCATAAAATACCCCCAACCCACCCTTAACCCTAACCATCTTACTCAGACCACCTTAACCCTAACCTTAACTATCTTACTCAGACCACCTTAACCCTAACCTTAACCATCTTACTCAGACCCACCTTAACCCTAACCTTAACCATCTTACTCAGACCACCTTAACCCTAACCTTAACCATCTTACTCAGACCACCTTAACCCTAACCTTAACTATCTTACTCAGACCACCTTAACCCTAACCTTAACCATCTTACTCAGACCACCTTAACCCTAACCTTAACCATCTTACTCAGACCACCTTAACCCTAACCTTAACCATCTTACTCAACCACCTTAACCCTAACCTTAACCATCTTACTCAGACCACCTTACCCTAACCTTAACCATCTTACTCAGACCCACCTTAACCCTAACCTTAACCATCTTACTCAGACCACCTTAACCCTAACCTTAACCATCTTACTCAGACCACCTTACCCTAACCTTAACCATCTTACTCAGACCACCTTAACCCTAACCTTAACTATCTTACTCAGACCACCTTAACCCTAACCTTAACTATCTTACTCAGACCACCTTAACCCTAACCTTAACCATCTTACTCAGACCACCTTAACCCTAACCTTAACTATCTTACTCAGACCACCTTAACACTAACCTTAACTATCTTACTCAGACCACCTTAACCCTAACCTTAAACATTTTACTCAGACCCACCTTAACCCTAACCTTAACCATCTTACTCAGACCATCTTAACCCTAACCTTAACCATCTTACTCAGACCACCTTAACCCTAACCTTAACTATCTTACTCAGACCACCTTAACCCTAACCTTAACCATCTTACTCAGACCACCTTAACCCTAACCTTAACTATCTTACTCAGACCACCTTAACCCTAACCTTAACCATCTTACTCAGACCCACCTTAACCCTAACCTTAACCATCTTACTCAGACCACCTTAACCCTAACCTTAACCATCTTACTCAGACCACCTTACCCTAACCTTAACCATCTTACTCAGACCACCTTAACCCTAACCTTAACCATCTTACTCAGACCACCTTAACCCTAACCTTAACCATCTTACTCAGACCACCTTAACCCTAACCTTAACTATCTTACTCAGACCACCTTAACCCTAACCTTAACCATCTTACTCAGACCACCTTAACCCTAACCTTAAACATCTTACTCAGACCCACCTTAACCCTAACCTTAACCATCTTACTCAGACCTAACTTAACCCTAACCTTAACCATCTTACTCAGACCACCTTAACCCTAACCTTAACCATCTTACTCAGACCACCTTAACCCTAACCTTAACCATCTTACTCAGAACCACCTTAACCCTAACCTTAACCATCTTACTCAGACCACCTTAACCCTAACCTTAACCATCTTACTCAGACCACCTTAACCCTAACCTTAACCATCTTACTCAGACCACCTTAACCCTAACCTTAACCATCTTACTCAGACCTAACTTAACCCTAACCTTAACCATCTTACTCAGACCACCTTAACCCTAACCTTAACCATCTTACTCAGACCCACCTTAACCCTAACCTTAACTATCTTACTCAGACCACCTTAACCCTAACCTTAACCATCTTACTCAGACCACCTTAACCCTAACCTTAACCATCTTACTCAGACCACCTTAACACTAACCTTAACTATCTTACTCAGACCACCTTAACCCTAACCTTAAACATTTTACTCAGACCACCTTAACCCTAACCTTAACCATCTTACTCAGACCACCTTAACCCTAACCTTAACCATCTTACTCAGACCACCTTACCCTAACCTTAACCATCTTACTCAGACCACCTTAACCCTAACCTTAACTATCTTACTCAGACCACCTTAACCCTAACCTTAACTATCTTACTCAGACCACCTTAACCCTAACCTTAACCATCTTACTCAGACCACCTTAACCCTAACCTTAACCATCTTACTCAGACCACCTTAACCCTAACCTTAACCATCTTACTCAGACCACCTTAACCCTAACCTTAACTATCTTACTCAGACCACCTTAACCCTAACCTTAAACATCTTACTCAGACCACCTTAACCCTAACCTTAACCATCTTACTCAGACCACCTTAACCCTAACCACTTAAGGACTTATTAGTCTAAAACTAATTTGAGAGTAGGATTGTTTCTACTTTGGAACTCTATGGGTGATGTGAGCACAGTCCAGTCCTTATATACAGTCTATGGGCTGAGGCAGAGTAATGAGACAGAGATGTGTTTGGGAACGGACCTTTTTTGTGACGATGTTTCCGTGTTCGTCGGTGAAGTGCTCTTCGCTCACTTGTTCCCCGGGGAGATTGTCTGCCTCGTCACCCTGGTAACACAAATACCAAGTTAGCTCAGGGCAAGAGAGGACCACTGACCGTTTTGTTCACGCCAATGTTTCAAGTGAATGAGAGCTACAAGGAAAATCCAACTTGAACTTTTACAGTCTCAGAGCCACAAACTCATGAACACAACATATATAAAATCTTGTCCATATCGTTTACAGCCTGTTGACTTTTGTCTCTTATGTCGAGATAATCCACCCCTCCTTACAGGTGTGGCATATGGAGATATCACCCACAATAAAAGCCACTCTTAAATCTTTGGTTTTGGGGTCTCGGTTTGTTCCCGGTTCCATGTTGGTCCTCTCCTCTTGAATGACGGCTTGGAGGTGAGATAGGAGTGATCAACTCTGTGGGTAGGAGAAGTGTTAAAGCATAGCAAACGCTGGAGATCAGATCAGAGTTCCACTTTTTAGTCTCAGAGGCCTAGTCCAGACCATAACCAAACTCAACATCACACTCAAGATCACAGCTGTGCATGTTGTATGTCCCGTTCGTTCACATACTTTCTTGCAAATTAATTGTGAACTGTGTAGCATTGTTCTCACACAAAATATATTTATCAAGTTATTGTATCTTCATCCAATCACAGCATGACAAAAATCGGGTCCGGAAAACGGTTACATTATCATTCTATATTTAAGATTTTTGACAAGGATAGAGGTGTTTGTTTATGTGACCTTGAATATAGCATGGACACCAGTGGGGGGCGGGTCCCGGCTCGAAAGTGGCCAAAATGACGTACGCTGACATGCTGCAATACCACCCCGGGCCGATGGGGGTGGACCCGGAATAAGAATTATTCATTGCTGACATATAGCATCTTCTGACCTCTCGAAAACGTCTTTACAGGATGGTCCAAAAGTTGGCTCTTGGCCCAAAGCTCCGTTCCACATGTGTGTCAATGCTGAGGGAGTGTTCTGGACCAGTCTAGTTTAGTCGCTGTGAATTTTTGAAGTCACTCGTATGAATGGGGCTCGTGCAGCTGACGCATGCGCAGATCCTTTTTTTCACATTTTCCAGCCCCCGCGGCCATTTTGAATCACTCCATGAAAGCCCAATTTTTGGCCCATTAGTTAGAACGGCGGAGATAGGTGTGACTACGTCCGTTAATATATACAGTCTATGTTGGACACCCATATACACGTTATTCATTCACTCTACATAAGGTGGTGGCATACGACTTCTACAGTCACAGCTGCCCTGGGACAGACGAACAAAAGCAAGGCTGTTAGTCCTTTGAAGTGGTGGCCAAATCTGTAGTTGGAAGTCTGTCTCTCACTCTCCTAAATACCTTGAGGATGACCCTGCGGCGCACGACCCTGGTGGTGACGTTCTCCTCCTCGTCCGCCAGCCCCTCCCCCTCCCCGAGCTCGCGGTCCAGAGCTTGGTGCACCAGTGTGAGCAGCGACCGCACCGAGCCGCTGGCGATGTGCACCACATTCTGACAGCTGATCACCACGAAGGCCAGCAGCACCAGGCTGAAGAGCAGCTCCGTCACCAGGGCCCACATATCCAGGCCGAGTGCAACAAGGCTCAGGTCCTGGTCAGCATGGGTCCTTCTCTGCCCGCTTCAGTCTGCACTTCTGTCCACGCCCCCCACAGCTGCGCCCTCACTGGTGCCATGTGACCCACGCTCATGGAGATCCCTGCCCTGTGCTTTAAATACCACAGGCTTCACTCTGGAGGACTGTGGAGCCGAGAAGTCTTGTTTTTATGAGATTATTCAGGCAAATGCCATAGCTTCATTGTGAATAGAATGTTTCAAATCTGCTTAAACTACACAGTCCACTTTTTATATTTTTGACTTGAAAAAAAATGAAAAGAAAAATGACACTATAATAATAATAATAATTTGGTTGTTTGTTTGGTCAATTGTATTTTGTAAGGTACAGCGCAGCCCTGTCCTCCAGAGCTGTGGGACAGTGTGAAGTTCTGGCTCCGGTTACAGCAGAATGCAGCTATATTTGTCTGCACATGCTGTGTGTCCATCTTGGGCCGGTGTTTGGGTGTGAGAAGAGAATTCAGAATACTCTCAGTGAGCAAGTGACTCCATCATTTCCTTGTGTGGATCAATACAGTGTTTTCATTAATTTGCCTAACTAACTAAGTGAAAAATATACAAATGATGCTCGTATACATTGGCCTACATATACAAGGAGGTCAATCTTTGGGAAGTGGTTGAATTAATGGCTGATCAGCTTGAATGATTTCTCTTAAGCTTCCAACCCGCGGCTGATGTATGTAAAGAAGAACTCATTCTGATGGAGACACATTCATCTTCACTTGCGCTAATCGACTTTGTTAAATGAAATTACAAATGGTATTAGGAGGAGGTGATGTGTTGGCTTTTCTGTATTAAAATCCAAAAAGCTTTCGATACCATTGACCATCACAATTTAACAAACACAATGGAAAAACTAGCATAAGAGGTTTGGCAGAAACAGATTGGACAAATTGACAAACTCAAATCAGTAGGCGACATAACCTATGGGTTACCGCAAGAGTCAAAACTGTGACCCATGTTATTCATAATGTACATCAACAAAATTGAATCTGTCCCCTAACAGATTACATTTATTTAATCTGTTAGGGGACATTGGGATTTGGTGAGCCAAATATTAAGGAGAGTGACTGTCTGACTTCATGCTATGCTAATGTTAGCTCCCAGTACACACATTTATAACGCCTTGTTCACAACAGTCAGGACTCTGACAGTTTGCACAGTGCCTGCCCAGATTATAATGATCTCTAGTGACAGTTCTAGAAGTACTTCCGTGGTTGAGTAGCGTGCGTACCTGTCCCTTGAGACGCATGTGTTCCCAGGCCCTCAGCTCCGGGACCCTGTGTGGAAAGCCCAGGCCCTTCTCAAATGGCTGCGTCCCTCGAAAGTCTCCCTGCAGGATCTCCGAGTGGCCCATGTCCCGCACCGGCTGCAGAAGTGCTTCCTGGGCCATGTGCTCCACCTCCATGGCATTTCGGACCGACGACATTACAGCGTCCATGGCCTGCTGGACTTTGGGCTGAGACCCTACCCAGGCCTGCGGGTCAGTCACAGGGGTCCAGGGCTGACCAGCCTGCTCCTGGAGGTACGACAGGAAGGACCCGCCACTGCCCCCGCTGCCTGCGCTACCCCCACTGCCACTGTTACTACACCTGCAGGAGAAGCATTCAGCCACACATGAGCTTTGAGATGTTTGTGAAGGCCGTCAGCTGAAGGCCGTCAGTATGTGAGGTGTGTAGAGGTGTGTAGAGGTGTGTGTAGAGATGTGTAGAGATGTGTAGAGGTGTGTAGAGGTGTGTAGAGGTGTGTAGAGGTGTGTGTAGAGATGTGTAGAGATGTGTAGAGGTGTGTAGAGGTGTGTGTAGAGATGTGTAGAGATGTGTAGAGGTGTGTAGAGGTGTATAGAGGTGTGTAGAGATGTGTAGAGGTGTGTGTAGAGATGTGTAGAGGTGTGTAGAGATGTGTAGAGGTGTATAGAGGTGTGTAGAGATGTGTAGAGGTGTGTAGAGATGTGTAGAGGTGTGTGTAGAGGTGTGTAGAGGTGTATAGAGGTGTGTAGAGGTGTGTAGAGATGTGTAGAGGTGTGTAGAGATGTGTAGAGGTGTGTAGAGGTGTGTGTAGAGATGTGTAGAGGTGTATAGAGGTGTGTAGAGATGTGTAGAGGTGTGTAGAGATGTGTAGAGATGTGTAGAGGTGTGTGTAGAGATGTGTAGAGGTGTATAGAGGTGTATAGAGATGTGTAGAGATGTGTAGAGGTGTGTGTAGAGATGTATAGAGGTGTATAGAGGTGTATAGAGGTGTGTAGAGGTGTGTAGAGATGTGTAGAGGTGTGTAGAGGTGTGTGTAGAGATGTGTAGAGGTGTATAGAGGTGTATAGAGATGTGTAGAGGTGTATAGAGGTGTGTAGAGATGTGTAGAGGTGTTAGAGGTGTATAGAGATGTGTAGAGGTGTTAGAGGTGTGTAGAGATGTGTAGAGGTGTGTAGAGGTGTGTAGAGGTGTATAGAGGTGTGTAGAGGTGTGTAGAGGTGTGTAGAGGTGTATAGAGGTGTGTAGAGGTGTGTAGAGATGTGTAGAGGTGTATAGAGGTGTGTAGAGATGTATAGAGGTGTGTAGAGGTGTGTAGAGGTGTATAGAGGTGTGTAGAGGTGTGTAGCGATGTGTAGAGATGTGTAGAGGTGTGTAGAGGTGTATAGAGGTGTGTAGAGGTGTGTAGAGGTGTGTAGAGATGTGTAGAGGTGTGTAGAGGTGTATAGAGGTGTGTAGAGATGTGTAGAGGTGTATAGAGGTGTGTGTAGAGGTGTGTGTAGAGGTGTGTAGAGATGTGTAGAGGTGTGTGTAGAGATGTGTAGAGGTGTGTGTAGAGGTGTGTGTAGAGGTGTAGAGGTGTGTAGAGATGTGTAGAGGTGTGTGTAGAGGTGTGTGTAGAGGTGTATAGAGATTTGTAGAGGTGTGTAGAGGTGTGTAGAGATGTGTAGAGGTGTATAGAGGTGTGTAGAGATGTATAGAGGTGTGTAGAGGTGTGTAGAGGTGTGTAGAGGTGTGTAGAGATGTGTAGAGGTGTGTAGAGGTGTATAGAGGTGTGTAGAGGTGTATAGAGGTGTGTAGAGATGTGTAGAGGTGTGTAGAGGTGTATAGAGGTGTGTAGAGGTGTGTAGAGGTGTATAGAGGTGTGTAGAGATGTATAGAGGTGTGTAGAGGTGTGTAGAGATGTATAGAGGTGTATAGAGGTGTGTAGAGATGTGTAGAGGTGTGTAGAGGTGTATAGAGGTGTGTAGAGATGTGTAGAGGTGTGTAGAGGTGTATAGAGGTGTGTAGAGATGTGTAGAGGTGTATAGAGGTGTATAGAGGTGTGTGTAGAGGTGTGTGTAGAGATGTATAGAGGTGTATAGAGGTGTGTAGAGGTGTATAGAGGTGTGTAGAGATGTGTAGAGGTGTGTGTAGAGGTGTGTAGAGATGTGTAGAGGTGTGTGTAGAGATGTGTAGAGGTGTGTGTAGAGGTGTGTAGAGATGTGTAGAGGTGTGTGTAGAGGTGTGTGTAGAGGTGTGTAGAGATTTGTAGAGGTGTGTAGAGGTGTGTAGAGGTGTGTAGAGATCAGAGGAGGTGTGTAGCAGTGTTTGTGGGTGATGTCACCTGTCTCCGTTGCGCTCATTGACACAGCTGAGCGCTGCTGATTGGCTGAGGCGTGCGTACACTCGCTGTTGTCCTGTAATGATAGAGGCTTGTTCTGAGCCGGGGGTCCCGGGGGTCATTGGGGTCCCTCCTCCTGCTCCGTCTCCTGTCTGACTGGTGAGAGCCGACAGCTCCGTGTTGTGCTCTGACCCCTGACCCGTGGAGTTTAAGCTCATGCCGGCGATGGTGCCCCCCAGTGAGGCCGGAGTGGTAGTGCTCAGCGAGTCTGCGCCCATCTCAGAGTCATCCTCCGGGAGCTCTATGGAGCTCAGCCCCCCGCCCCCACCGCTGGCCGCGCTGGCCTGGCTGGCAGGGCGCCCCAGACTGCCATAAGGCAGTCCCAGCAGACCCTCCGAGTCCTCCGCATTACTGCATTCCAGAGAGGAGTCCTCTACCTGCACCAGCGAGGGGCTGTTTCCAGAGGGCCACACCTGCACGTCAGACATCTCCATGAGCGTGTCCTCCTCTGTGGTGGCGATGGGCGCGCAGTCCAAGCTAGACACCTCCTGCCAGTAAGGCTCGGCCCCCAGCGGTGAGGGCAGACTGTACTGCATGGACGCGGGGGACAGGAGCTCGTCCTGGGCCAGCCCGTAACCTAGAGCGAGACACAGAGAGGCACACTGACACCCGGCCCCCCGCCTCGCTCCCTAGCACCTCCCCACAGCACCTCATCCCTGGGGGGGGACGTGCCCCTGCCCAGGAGCTGGGCATCTGGGGGGGCAGGGCAGGGCAGAGGAGCAAAGATGCAGGAGCTCAAGGTAGCACTGGTGATGTTGGATCAGCTGATGGTGCGACCAGCCGAGCCAAGGTCTCCACAGCCCTCAGAGACATGCTCCTCCCACTCACACATGCGCTCAGGCTCTATGCATGCACCTGCAGGCATCAGGCTCTGCTCACTCACACCGCTCTCACACAACATCCTTCTGTAGCCCACACGCTTCAAAAACTATCATCAACAAAGGCTCGCAAAATATTGTCCTTTTGCTCTGGGCTCAGGTCACTCCTACTTCCTGCTTCTCATTGTGGAACCATATGTTTGAACAGAAAGCACTCTAGTGGAGAGATGTATAGTCTCTCGGCTCTGCACCTGTGTGTTCTTGTGTCTATGATGAACAGCATATACTCAGAGGCTGTGCTCTAAATTTACTATGGAGAAAAACTGAATGAGACCACAGAACACCGAGGCGGCGAGGCCTGTGCGCAGCGGCAGAGCTGGGTGTAACTTGATTCATGGCTCCTGCTGCAGAGGAGTGCTGAGGCTGCACACAGATCTGCCCCTGTCCTACTTTCACTGTACGAGTCTGCTCACAGCACATGTGTGTCACAACAGGAACTAATATTCTTGTATCATTCTGATATCTGATCTTACTGATAGGAAAATGTAAAAGAATACTTCCACAGATGGAGCACAGACCATACATTGTGGGCTATTGCCTCATTCATACGTTCTGAAAGAGGAAACACATGACTACATCAGGAAATGCAAAATGCCCTCATACATTTTTAGGCTGGAACTGAAATCAATGTCATTCAGCTCTTGTGTATTCTTTGTTCAAATCCCTCAAAGCTGAAGGAGTCTCATGAGCCTGTTTTACACTGAGTGCTTCTTGCTGGAAATAGAAGCAGAGCAGTAAAGTATCTTTTATGACGGGCAAGTTGATGTGATCCCTCATTGGTCCTGGAGTGACGGAAGAAAGAGTTTCCAAAGAGATCAGCGGGACTACGTTTTCAGCATCGACTCAATCTGATCCATCCATACACTTTTCAACGTTGTATACAATAAAGTAAATCTACACACTGTTCATTAGTGCACACCGTCCCAATAAATACATTTGACAGTGACTTCTGCCTCGATGCAAGAACTTAGTCCAGATGACAACTTTTGAAACCTTTTCTGCTGCGATAGACAGGATTGTGCTTCAAATCCACTGCTTCACACAATTCTCTTTAGTTTTGAACATTTCTTCTTCACAAGAGCATAATAATACAGTCGATCTGACATTTTTAACATCATCCCTTTAGGCCATTTTGCCATGGAGCTGTACATCTACATTTCTATTTTGGATGGATCTTTTTTTATTACACAAATCAAGCAAACAAACATGTGTCGTGGAGTGGCTTGGATTTCCTTATCCACATCAGAATGAACCAAAGTATGGGTTTGAGGAGGTGAGGTGACACTTCCAGAAAGCTACCCAGCATTTCTTTACAGTGCATATAACAGGTCAGAAATCACCATTAAAGGAATTGGATCAAATACATATGTTTTCTGTTTTTTATTTTACCTTTTGACAGTAGATTATGACATCACACCCTACATAGCTCTGCACGTGCCTGGTAAACGTCCACGGAACTGTTGAATGCTGAAGGCTTCACTGTTCCCCACGTGTATAGGGAGCACATGTAGATTTCAGAGATTTGTTTTATCCTTGTTGCACACACAGGGCCCTATTCAACAACATTCATGGACTTTATCAACATTTATGGACACTTGTCATCTGCCGCTTATGGACCGACATTTTTTTCATCATTGTATGTCGTCTTTTAGAACAGTTGATTCTCTGATCTGTGATGGCAAAGCGCTTATGTAAAGTTCAACAAGATAACTACTGTTGTGATTTAGGGCTGTACAAAAAATGTAATTGAACTGAAAAACTGCTCCACTGGAAATGCACATGAGGCGGCCATATTTGGACATTAGCTACCGCCCTAACATGTTCTTGAGGAAGTTATGTCCTTTAAAGAATCTCTGTGTAATCCATCCTCAGAAAGACAGTTTGTGCATTTACTGCATTCACATTGACTTTTGAAAACCCCAAATTTGCGGTGGTCAACCTTCACGCAAGCTCAAGTTTGAGTGGCTTCTCCATTTTAAACGTGGATCTCTTGAGCTGTGGCCGTCCTTCCATTATTTACACGGCTGTATGTAAGACAGCTGTAAGGCAGGTCGCAGACATTAACAAATGGCGAATTGAAAGTGATGAATAGTTTATTTTAATTAAGTTAAAAATGAAAACTATGAAGCCAAAGCCATAAATGGGTTTGTCGTTTTGGCGCCAGACTTTAGGAGTGTGATGTCATCAGTTCTAAATCTCTACTGTACTTCCTCTCAACACATTTCAATACATTTCTTCTTCCCAAACTGTGGCTTCATTTATATTTAAAACTTGCAGGCATCATTCCACCCCAAAACAAAAATCCAATTCAGAATATCTCAAAAACCTGTCATAAGCGCTTTGATTAAAATGGCGACATCACAGTTTGCATGCACATACAGTACACAGGGCATGCGCTGGGTGTACACGCAGACACATGCGCATGCAGACGGGCACATATGCAGACGGGCACTTGGGCAGACAGGCACTGGGGCACTCGGGCAGGGACAGATCAGAGACAAGAGCAGAGAGCGGACAGCGTGACACCTCCCCCTCCCAGTGGGTGCTGCTACACAATCTGTGAACACTACACAAGGCCTTTAATACCGAGGGCTACGACCACAGCAGCATAAACGCGCAACGGGACTGTATCGTGTGGGTCAGAGGTCTGCGTGAGGTCAGAGAGGAGAAGGAGAGGAGGAGGAAGAGGAGGCTGCAGATGACACGTTCAGAAACACACACAGGGACAGAGTCAGGGGACCAGACTACACTCCCCATGCAACCACAGGCACAAGAGCACAATGTCAACAGGGGCCGCGCTGACGCAATAAAAACGCCAACTTCAGAAGAGTATGTACTTTGGTATTTCATGTCCCAGTGTGGTGTATGGAGCTCCGAAGTCCCGCCCACTGCACAATCCCAAATCCTGTTCATGTTCCCCATACGGCTTAAGGATCCAGTATCCATGGTAACGGGCCATCAGCTAATCAACATTCACTGCATAAAAATACCATTTAAAACTTCTTTCAAACGCATCAATCGATTGGCAGCTTCTATAGTCCCCAAAACAGTGCTAAGTAATCTTCATAACTTCATAATGATTTTTTGGGAATTCTGTGGAGAAAATTATAAGGATTTTTACTTCTGGAGCCGCAAGGTGGGCGGTCACTTCAGAGCTCCATAGTGTATGATAGTATTTGCAACTAGAACACGTTAATTTACTCACAGGGCTTATTCAGAGTCTGAATTCAGTTCTTGCTTGGGATGAATCTTTACCGATATTTTCACTCGGTGCATATATTTATATACAAGTATCTGGGTCAAGAGTGTTTTGAGTGAGTTCAGGGGCTCAGAATGGGACGGCAACGATATAATGTGGTTCTGCGATACCAGGATGCATGGGCGTTCAGACAGTAAGGACACCGTCACTCATAGTGTTTGCCTGAAAGTGGAAGAATTTGAGCCGATTTGAGCTGAAGCCAATATCCATATTTGGGCTTCTGTTCCGATGGAGTTAGCTTTGCGCTGTAATAGGGGCGGACGTGTTGCTAAGATGGTTGCTAAGGCAAGCCGAAGCTTCCCAGGCGAATGACGGCATCTGATTGGTCAATCTATGGCACATATCTGGATTTACAGACAATGTCAAAATATAAAACCCAGGACCATAGAGAGCCCTAAACCAAGCCCAAAATGACTGTTACTAAGCGACAAATTTATAATCCAATGTACTTCCCTATTAGACGCCCTCGGCCTGGGGGTTAGCATTATCCGTCTTTATACAGTCTATGAGTAGAATCAATGTCCACCTTTTTTAATGCTCTGCTTGGTCAGGACTACTCGACCAACCGGAGCGCCTGGAGGAAACCCACCCAGACACCCACCGCACCGCCAATTGAATCGTAATCGCAACGTTTACCTTAAAACATTGGATGAGATATTTCTTTGCATCCTGCAGCCGTGTTTCATAGCGTCCCATCAAGTGTTGAGTTCAGAATATCTTAAGCTTTACAGGTTTTTTGGGTCACATAAAGCACACGACACACGACACACACGGTGACAGATCCACTGAGCGAGATCTAATCCGAAGCTTCTGAACCTTTTCTCTCTCATGGCGGACTGTGGGACACATCCGTACATCAGCCCAGCTCCAGCTTACACCCTGACCACCGCTCAGAGCCTCAAACCTCTCTATTTGTGACTTTTCAGAACTAGTATTGAGTTATTGATGGTCTGAAGCTTTAGATCTCTGCTCCACCACCTGTAAATGTCAATAGATTTACAAATTTTGTTCACTAATTCTGGTTTTATTGGTGGAAAACTCCATCCATCCAAATCAGATGCCATTCCACCAAAACAAGGCAACATATACAAATCATAATAATCATTTTGCACTTTTTCTCACGCCATCCTAAGCACATGTGTGATATTAATTTGGGCCATACACCATACAAGACTCAAAACTTGTTATTATAACTTGAAATTATAGCCATTTCTTGCATAAATGTGTTGTAAAAACTTATTATGGGACCATTAAAACTAGACTCACTTTTTTCCTTATGTCACTTATACTTGGTTCAATGTCCCAACTGTTGTTAAGCATTGAGTTACAGTATTTGTACGAAATGCGCTGCACAAATACATAATCTACAAAAGTCCTGAGTTGTTTGGAAGTCTGGACTATTACCTTTTAGAAATAAGTTTGAGAATCACTGTTGAGACTGATGTCGTCACGGAGATGAAAAGACAGAAGTATCGGTTATTGCTTTGAGAGATTTCTTTCTTGCTTTCATGTTGTTATTTACTGGTTTTAGTGGATCATTGTGAAGCGGTCTGCAGCGGTCTGGAGTGAAACTGGAGTCGGCCAGAAGCACAGGATGCGTGTGTGATCGTTCATGAGGAAAAGGAGAGAAGGCCTCACCACCAGGGGGCGCTAATGAGCTTCACGTCACCAGTAACACACACCAATAGGACCTTTTCATGTAACCACGCAGCGGCTAGTTTCTTGACAAAGCAGATGTGTCATTCCTCTTTTTACTTGTTTCTTTGGAGTTTTCAGACGGCTCCTTTGATATTTTACATTGTTTTAACATTTTTAGGTTAAATATTTACACGGAATGTTAAAGTTTGATGGAAATGTTGGTATTATTGAGCTGCAAGTCACCAATTACATCAAAGAACATGTTTGGGCTTTGGAGTTTGGAGTTATTATCAGACATTTTATGCAAAAACTCATCTCATCCCACTCTCATCATGTGGAGACAGAGACGTGGAGATATTTTCTGCATTTAAAAAACAAAAAACCCCGGAGTATTTCAGAATCACACTGGGTTCGTGACAACTGTGTGTTTTTACGTACAGGTGTTTAAACATGGCTTGCATTGGGGGTTGCCATTTCCACTGACACCATAACAGCTGATGGTGATGTATATATGCAAAAAAAATCTAAAACATGAATCGCTTCACTGTCCCCATTAAGGAAAAAAAATGAAAATAATGTGATGTAGAGATGAGTCTATTCAGAGTGGAATTATGTATCTGCTTTAAATACCTTCTTATGCAGCGTTTGTACCTTTATTAGTTGTTTTGATACCATTTTCTTATTGGAAAAGAACTACTAAAGGTTTCAAAATCAGTTGGTTTTTCTTTTTGTCCGATCCCCCCAAATCGAGAAAACACCATAGCAACGGCCTTAGCAACGAGTAATAACGAATCTGCTTTATATCAAAGGGAACTGGCCGCGGCGGCGTCGTGAAAAGGCACTGTCCCGAGCTGAAGCTGTCCATCTGCAGCAGAGGTCAGTGGAAGCACCGGAGGAGTGTCCTGAGCCCAGCCAGACTCATCCAGGATTCACGGCAACTCCGAACATTCTATCCACTCACTGCTATATCAAATAACACAAACTAGACACATGAATGAGCTTAGAAGCATGGCTAACCACTTCAACCTTTGTCAATAAACCCAGAAGCATGGGTGAGTAAAAGATAACGGGGAAACTGCGCGGTTCCTCTCCCACTCCGGCCGAGCGGGGAGGGGCCTCTTACCGTTGGTCATACCCGGGGAAAGGTGCTCTCGGTCTGGGTGCCTGCGCCGGCTCATGTCCCGGGACGGCCTGCCGGGCTGGGCCGCTGGCTGACCCTCCAGGAGAGTCACGATGTCCATGCGGTCGATGCTTTTGAGCGCTGCGTACAGACTCTCCACTGGGAGCACACAAAAGAGCAGAGTGAGCAGAGGGCGGAGAAGGCTCGCTGGGGAAATGTCAGTGTTGCATCGCTAGTATCTGTCTGTCTGTCTGTCTGTCTGTCTGTCTGTCTGACTATCCATCCAGTTACAGGACAGTCGGAAGGAGAAGCACGCAGCACAAGGTAAATTAATCATAACTCTATACTAAATAAAATAAAATACAAATCTCTAACTCTAGCATTAAGAGGAAACAAGTACTTTATAACATCTCCAAGTGTAGCTAAAAGAAACTCTGACTTTTGTGTAATAAATAACAATAAAATCTCTACCTTCTGTATTTTCCTCTGTTATTTCTGTTCCATAATAAGTCTATCGTCCACAAACAATATCCTAAACTAGTCTGATTTGTGTCTGTTCATGTGCCTCCATAGGGTCTGTCTTCGGGTGACTTTTCTGCCCTCAGTTTGGATGCTTTTTGCTGATTATCTGAATAGTTTTAGACGACATAACAAAAAGCACTTTTTATTGTTAAGTACATGAATGTATTTTTAGCCTCTGTCACATTTTTAGATCCGCTTTTTCAGACACAAACGGGAAAAAGAGAGGACCACCCTCACGCCGCCAATCAGCTCTCAGCCCTAAACGTGAAATATCGACTCGCAGGGCTCTTTTTACAAGTTTGAAACAGATAACATGTTTTCTAACCAGACAGGTTAGTGTCCGATTAGATCCCAGCATTTTATATTTACAAGACACTTTCTTCAGGCCTGTGTTATTTATCATTTTCAAAGTCAGCTGCCCAAGTTTTCAGTATGATAATCATGCACAATAAATGATTTTTTTGGTGTGTGAGTGTGGGGGCCTCACTCTTGGCTCTCTTGCCCTCCCTCGTGGCCCACAGGTTCAGCAGGGCAGAGCTCTGTTCCAGCAGAGAGTTGGGGTTCTCCACACGGATCTTGTTGATGTCGTCTACACTGAGCTGGAGCTCGCGGGCTAACTCTGCACACACAAAAACACGCGCACACACACACACACATAAACACACACACACACGCGCACACACACACACACACACATACATAAACACATGCACGCACACACAGTAACGCAAACCAATTAAATACATAAACTTCTGGTCACTTAAAAATCTCCCTATTTTTTTAAGAAAAAATACTGTTTTTACAACAATAGATTAATTCAAAATGGGCTTTGTTCATGTTAAATGCAAAATAATAAATAGAAGTGAAAACAGGTGATTTTGGAAAAGCAACATATAGCTCTTCTCTCGGCACCACTCCAGGGTTCTAATGAAAGACCGTCGATAACCGAGTGGACCGACCGAGTGCCAATGTCCCCCATGGTGTTAGCCTTAAAGTGGCAGAGGTCCATTAGAGCCGACCCAAACAGGCCTTTGAGCGGGAATGTGGGGCTAAACGTTTGCAAATGTGGAGCGGCGTCATCTGTCCCCACACGCACTACTTCAAGCTAAAGCCAAATTTGAAAGATGGCTCCTGATTGGCCAGCTGGACTCATATCTTAATTTACAAGATATCATAGTACAAGCACCAGGATCGAGAAGAGAGCAGAAAGTTTAAGTCCAAAACAGTTACTGCGTTGGAGGAGGTCAGAGCGAGTAAGAGCAAAACCCTTTCCTATTGGGCGAGTGGGTTAGCAGTGTCCTTCTACAGTATATACAGTCTATGGTTCTACTGGACCATGGGTGTCAAACTCTGGCCCGCGGCCCAAATTTGGCCCACTGTGTAATTTCATTTGGCCCTTGAGGCAATTTCAAATTACCAGTAGAGCTGGCCCGTCGGTATTCCCTGATGCCATTATTTCCCGGTCCGCTTCTCGACATGAGCCTGTTCCGATCCATGAGCAGACCCTGGTTCCGCTCATGTCCCAGTTCTCCCATGGCCAGAGAGGAGCGCAAATATCAAATCAATTCATGGCCACATAACTGAAAACCTTAAAATTGAATGCTGCTAACCAAAAATATCAAATCCAAGGCCTTTCACCCCAAGTTTTAAGTCCAAAAAATTCTACTATTCTTAGGAAGGGGGTTATTCACCTTTGGCCCGCGGTTTTGTTCAGTTTTACATTTTGGCCCACTCTGTATTTGGACAGAGTTGGACCTCCCTGTACTAGACCATGTGGTACTGACCGGCCCAGCTCAGCCCCAGCTGCTCAGCGATCACCGCCATCTTGAGTTCCGTGCGCTCCATGGCACTCATCGAGGCTGCACACAAACACAAGGTTACCCACACATCGGCTGAAAGTGTTCCCTGTGGATCGACTACACTGCAAAAAATATCACAAATATGAGGTAATAAATGCTTGAATCATGTTTGTTTAGCTACACGTACATTTTGACGTAATTGACCACACTTCAAATATAGGCTATTTCAATCATTTTTGACTTATTGCTGTCATTTTCTGCCGTCTAGTCCACTAAAGAAGAGAAAAAATACACAGAAAACACATATCTTCCCCATTGCAGTCGTCCCTTGTAAATACTTGTAAATACAGTGGTTAGTGCAGGTGCTTCATGGCAAGAAGAATCTGGGTTTGATTCCACCTCCACACAGGGCCTTTCCGTATGGAGTTTGCATGTTCTCCTCATGCCTGTTTGCTCCTATCACTAAAGACATGGTATAAACAGGTCCAGCGAGAACCTCCACCACCACCGCAATAAAAAAAACTCTTATGTCCCCGGATTGGGTCCCCGTAGGCAGGCTTTAATAATGTCATACCCATGGCCGGCTCGTTCAGGGCGCTGTATCGCTCCCTCAAAGCCAACGGGGTCAGGGTTCTCCGCCGGTCTTCACTCCCGATCATCTGCACAGAGAAGCCCCTTCACTAACTCTAGAAAAGCACTTCATTCACTCTGGGATGATGAAGAAACAGACGTATCAGGAGCTGCCGGTACAGAAGTAGTAGTAGAAGTTACTGTATATAAAACAGGATAGGCACCGATGGATTTGAAAGAGATCGGACTTTCACTTCCTGTTATTGGTTATTTTTGTCAGATCAATATCGTCAGACTTACCGCTCGGCTATTTCTGAACCGGGAAGTGCTGATGTCGCAGTAAAGTTAATGTCACCAGATAATACATACTTTATACGGGGTTTATGTGACCAATAAATGTCCAGGTAAGAGCCAGGTCTGCTCATTCATTACAATGGGAAATCACCCGTTTGAATGAGATTTTGGGTGATAATTTAAACACAGAGATATTCAACACATCCAGAGTGAAAAAGCGAACTCCTCCACATCCTGCTGAGTGGTGACGTCAACAGACAGATGCGAAAATAAAATAACTTTTCCACATATAGGCCTTGGGATTGGCATTGGGATATAACCTTTAAAGATGCAGTCAGTGAATTTTTTCCACACCCATTTTTTAGAATAAACCTAAACCCTAAAAGTATAAAGTTATCATGTGTTTTCAAATAGTAATGGAATTGTCCAGATGCCTATAGTCTCAAAAAATTAATAACAAAATATTTTGAAGCGGACTGATGTGTTTACCCCCTTCACCCTCTTCCTGTTTCTCGTGAGTGCACCGGAGTTATTGGATTTTCTACAACCTAAAAGGGGTGAAGAGAAAATGCCAATTTCACGTTTGCCGCCCACTCTCCCTGTTGTGACAGAAGAAGAAGAAAATGCTTGATGTTGGAGAGGCGAGGGGAGGAGAGAGTGGTTTGGAGTTGGTGCTACGGCTAAGCTAACACAATCGCTTACTGCATCTTTAACTGATCCAGCCGATGGAGCAAAACAAAGCAGACAGACGACTGTTTTAACTGGTCACAATATGGTTCAATGATGATGTTTTAACGCACTGTTGAACCGTGATGATCAAAGCACTCCGGTAAATCCAATCAATCTCAATCACATTCCTACTAAAACAAAAATAATAAGTTGCGATTTCCCTGCGCTTGTGTGTGTGTGTCTCTCTCTTTCTGCTGTTCACATAAACACACTGAAACAGGAATGTGTGCCTCCTCCTAGTGCCGTGTCCAAAATCCTATCCTGACCACCAGGGGGAGCTCTAACATGATACAGATACATACATTGTTATATAGTACGGTAGTCTTTAGCTGTGGTTAACCGTGTTTGGCCTCATTTAGTTATTTTTATGGAACAAACTGGACCCAGAGATGTCCTACTCCCTCAAAGCCATATTTAAATAATCATGGTGGTACTTGATGTGAAAAGGATGAATTGTTTTTCTACTGTCTTGGACGTTTGATGAGTATTTCAATGCAGTTATCCTGTGGCTGTGTCTGAAGCAGCAGGAGAGGGGCTCACCTTGATGCAGGGGGGCATGGTGATGTTCAGGTTACACAGGACGTGCTGACTGTCCTCGTACTTGGTGGTCTTCCTCAGAAACGACAGCAGACCCGCCGGCTCTTTGCTGCTGTCTCGAACCTGTGGCAGACAAGTTTCTTCCTGTCATTTCAACATCATGGACCTCTGAACACCGACTCAAGCCTGAAGGTCCGCTGAGGATGTCATTCACAAAGACATGTCTCTGTATCAGAACAAATGTTATGTATTATTTGTGCTGAATTCACTAATATTGTATTTCTGTGTGTGGAAAAAGTATGTAATGAAAAGTCGGCAGCGTTGCAATCATAGAACATAAGATAGCTGGAGCCAACTTCCTTATATGGGCATTTCATCCTCAGCGTTAGCTACATGACAAAGCGGCTACTCCACCTAGTGACCCGTCCTGCTCCACCCAGAGGCTACTCCACCTCTGCAGCTGTGACCCGTCCTGCTCCACCCAGAGGCTACTCCACCTCTGCAGCTGTGACCCGTCCTGCTCCACCCAGAGGCTACTCCACCTCTGCTGCTGTGACCCCTCCTGCTCCACCCATAGGCTACTCCACCTCTGCAGCTGTATTTGTATTTGTATTTATTTTGATCTCCATTAGCTGTAATAAGTACAGCTATTCTTCCTGGAGTCAATCCAGCATGCTGTTCACAAAACAATATTTAAACCAGTTTTCAACACCGAGTGATAATATTACCCCCCCCCTAATATAATATACCCCCCCCCCCCACCACCACCACACACACACACACTCAAATGTACAAAGGACATAGTGTATGCTTATCAGTGAATACATAAGAGAGAATATAATGACAGCATTAGTAGCGTAATGGTCCGGTTACTTAATTAGACCACCATTGGTCACACAACAGGTTTTATCAAATTAATACAGGAGAAGATGCCTTTTCAAAAGGGCTTTAAATTGGTACTTACTGTTTGCATAAATAATATCACTTGGCAAATAATTCCAACCAGACATGGCTCTATACATTACAGTACTTTTTCCATTGTTGGTTGTGACTTTGGGAAGTTTAAATATGCCCTCCGTGGCATGTCTGGTTTCATAATTATGATCATCCGAACTAAAATTTAACTCTTTGTACAGTGCATTTGGAAGGTTAGTTGTAATTATATTTCTTATTAAGTTCATTAAAGAAGCAGTAAATCTCTCTTTTACCTTGAGCCAAGACAGTGTATTATGCATCCAGTTTACATTAGTTCTGAGTGAGCACCGAAGTGCACAACGAGCTGCTCTGTTTTGGACGGTTTGTAGAGCTTTTATATTTGTTACGGCAGCACAAGACCAAATCTCTGAGCAGTAGTCTAACTGCGATAATACAAGTGTTTTTATAACATCTGTAGTCATACTGAAAGATAACATATGGCGACATCTTTTCACCATTGAGAGGCACTTTCCCATTCTACTGGCCACCATACTAATATGTTTAGTCCAAGATAGTTCATTGTCAATTTCAATACCAAGCAGTCTGGTCCGTCGCACCTGCTCAACAGTTACATCTTTGACAACAAGACTCAATTTGGGTTCATCCCGCAGCATGTGTTTTGTTCCAAAAACAATACTCTTTGTTTTGCCAATATTTAGAACTAGCTTGTTATTTGTGACCCACTCAAATACTGATGTTAATTCTTTCTTTAAAACAATTTGAAGTTCTTCAACCGTACTTTGTGATGAATAAATGGTCGAGTCATCGGCATACATTGCTATTTTTGACTTTTGTAACACTAGTGGCAAGTCATTTGTATATATAGAAAACAGGAGTGGTCCTAAGCAGCTTCCTTGGGGTATACCACAGCTAATTGTTTTTTATATCTGAGAAGCTTCCATTAAAAAAGACAGTTTGTTTCCTGTTTTCTAAATAATTCTTAAGCCACAATGATGCTGCTGGACTGAACCCATAGCATTGCATTTTACTCAACAGAAGGTTGTGATCTATAAGATCAAAAGCTGAGCTGAAATCCAACAACACAGCTCCTGCTAACCTTTTGTTGTCTAGTGCTATCAACCAATCATTTGTCATCTGAGCCATAGCAGTCGCAGTCGAGTGACCTGCTCTGTACGCATGTTGGAAATCTATATTCAGATTGTTATTAAAAATATATTTTTGTATTTGTTCAAATACAATTCTTTCAATAATTTTGCTCAGAGCAGGTAACAGACTGATTGGCCTACTGTTAGGGCCACAAAAAGGAACAGTAGCATTTTTTGGTAAAGGCACAATTTTTGCTATTTTCCAAGCCTGTGGATAGACCCCCTCCTTAAGACTTAAATTTAGAATATGAGCAATAAGAACAGCAACGAACTTTGCAGACAGTTTCAATAATTTAGAATCAATATTATCAACACCAGACGGTTTTTCTTTACATTCTAATAGTAATTTTTCTACTTGGCCCACAGTAACATTAATAAACTCAAACTTGCAGTTCTTTCCTGCCATAATATTGTTCCTTATTAAATATTCTGCTTTTGAGTTATCAGTTTGTCCCATCTCACTTCTCAGTTGATCAATTTTATTACAGAAATAATTGTTTAAGTGATTGGCTATGTCCAGTGGCTTTGTAATAAAAGAACCCCCTAATTCAAGAAATGATGGAGTTGTTTTAGAATTTCTTCCCATAACATTATTTAGAATACTCCATAATTTTTTGCTATCATGTTTCTCATTTATGATCAGATTTTTATAATACAATTTCCTTTTCTTTTTGTTTAATTTAGTTGCATAATTTCTCAGTTTTCGGTATACCTGCCAATCTGATTCATAATTAGAGAGAATTGCCATTTTTTTCGCCTCATCTCTTTGTACCATGCAGTCTTTAAGTTCAGCATCAATCCAACCCACTCTTACTTTTTTTACTGTTCTCTTTTTTAGAGGAGCATGTTTATAACTCACTTGTGAAAACATCTTATTAAAGACTTCTACTGCATAAGCTAGATTATTAGTCATCAATACATCATCCCAACAAATGTTACGGACATCCTCAATAAAACTACCTTCAGTAAAGTGTTTGTATGACCTTTTCACAATTATTTTAGGTCCTCCTTTTGGAACTCTGGTTTTCCTCCACCATTGCTATTAAGTTATGATCACTACAGCCTACTGGGATGGATATAGCTGTGGTGCAGAGGTCTCCAGCGTTAGTGAAGATATGGTCAATCAAGGTAGATGTTTTTGTTCCATCGGTTCTACAGCATATCCGAGTTGGTTGGGTCACAAGCTGTGTTAGACCACATGCCTCAGTAATGGATTGGAGTTTGTCCCTCAAAGAACATTGCAGTGAATTCCAGTCTATATTGAAGTCTCCCACAATATAGACTTCATTTTGACAGTCACATACATTGTCTATCATGGTACATAGATCCTCCAAGTAAGCAGAATTTGCATTGGGTGGACGGTAACAACAACAAACCAGTAATGGCTTTAAATATGGAATATGAACTTGGAGCCATAATGCTTCAATATTGGGTAGCGTTAGATCAATTCTTATTTTTACTGGTATTTGCTCCTGTATATAGATAGCCACTCCGCCACCCCTTGCATTTCTGTCTTTCCTATATATGCTGTATCCTTGTATATTTAATGAGGAGTCTTCAAATGTAGAATCCAGATGAGTCTCAGTAAGTCCTAGTATATGTAAGTTACCTTCTGATAGAATATGGATGTTTATATGTGCCAATTTCAGTCCCTTCTTGGGTAATGTGACCCCTGGGCTGTTGCTGATTATTATTATTGTTAGTTTTTTTAAATGATCAATTTTAATTCTTTATTTTTGCTGCTTCTTGGCACCTGAATATCTCCTACAGGGATCACTAAAGTATCTATCTACCCAGCTTTGTGCCACAACAGGGGCAGAGGTTTTGCCAAAACAGTTGCTAAGGCAAGCTGGAGTTTCCTAACCACACTTCATCAGAATATGGAGAAAACGTGTCAGAGAAAGTAGAAAATATCTAAAGAAAATATCTGCGGCCGAAAGAACTGCTGTAGAGAGTGCACCTTGACAGAGACGGGAAGCCGGTTGTCCCTGAAGGCCTGGAAGCTGAAGCTGCGAGGCAGGGCTGTGGCCTTCCTCACTGGGATCAGGTTTCCAGAACATTCCAGATGAAGAGGCATCCCCTCCATCACCTGCAGCACACATCACATAATCACAGTCTGAGGATAGTGACACATGTGCAGGGAAGTCTCTGTGGGAGCTCTCACACCTGGTCAGCAAGAAATTTACCACATTTTTTGAAGCTTTTTTTCTGTTTAAACTCTTCTACATTGTGGTTTATTAGTGGAGACATGAAAGCAGCAAACACGGGTCCAGACATTGGATCATAGTCACAAATGTCTACATAGTTGCTTCCCTTTTGCGGTGTCTCTAAACTCTTTTAACATTAGAATTAGAAGTCCACGAGCTCATTGAAAGACAGTTGTTCCTCCCGCAGCACTGGAACAGGAGATATATCATATTTCAAAATATGATAAGAGTAAACAAGAAAAGTTGTGCGTGGTTTGAAAAGGGATTAGTCAAAGAAAAGATTAATTTAATCCAATCCCCTCCCATCCATTAAAACACACACTACAATCCAGAAAACAAGAATCAAAACTCTACAATACCCTCCAACGAAACACACAACAGCCAATGACACACACACACATTAGCACCAATGGCAAGAGACAAGACACGCCGACGTTCTCATTCACACAGACAACACCCAAAACACTCACTAACCCCTCCATTATGTATCGCTCATGGATCTATTATAATAACTGGATAGGGTATTACTAGTTTGGAGCTGAAGAACCATGTGCTCCGGGGATTCTCGCGGTACTGCAGACTGAACAAGACTAAATTCACGTGGGCTACCCAGATATTTTCCCCATAGAACTCAATGTAAACTAAAACAGATCACCCTCAGCTGACAGAGAACCTGACAGAGAACCTGACAGAGAACCTACAGCTTTCATAAAGGTCAGATTTTGTGGGGATTTTATTGTCCCATGTCATCCTGAACTTTTTTTCTTCTTAAAAAAGGGCGGCACGGTGGCTGAGTGGATAGCACTCTCGCCTCTCAGCAAGAAGGTCCTGGGTTCGAATCCCGGTCGGACCAGGGCCTTTCTGAGTGGAGTTTGCATGTTCTCCCCGTGTCTGCGTAGGTTTCCTCCAGGTACTCCGGTTTCCCCTACCACTAAAAATATGTCCAATAGTTCTGGCATGCGCCTCCTGTACTGGCCCCGCTCCCATCTCTGTGTGGAGTGAGTGGACAAGTGCCCAAAATTAACATTTGTAAACCGCTTTGAGACTCAGATCTGCAGTGAAAAGGCGGTATATAAATAAAAAGATTACTTAAATCCTTCGGTTTTCCTTGAATCCACACTTTAGTCCCACAACCTCTGCCCATCTGGCTCCCGCTCTAACTCGCTCTCTGATTGGTCAGAGCGCGGCCGAGCCCTTCTGTGCACGTGCATGAGAACCACACATGCGTATTTGGCGCAAAGCATCATGGGAGATCATCCACTGCGCAGAACCGGGAGAACCCAAATACAGGCGAGTTCCTCTGATATGTCGGCGACCGTGCCGGCACATGCGCCACTGAGCACAAACCATTCATTTGAATACGCCGCCATCTTGGATCGCCGGGGCTTGGTTTAGCTCTATATGAAACGTTGTAAGTGGCTAGTTCCTGGTGAAGTTACCTCGATGTCTCTGCTGCGGGCCACCTCTGTGAAGTTCTCGTGCTGCTCCAGGGTCTTGTCCATCTTGTCGTCCGTCATGCAGTAGCAGCGCAGGCGGCCTTCGCGCACCTCGTTCATCTTGGCGAACACCACAAACTTGGCCATGTACGGTACCGCGGACAGCTCCTTGTACATGAGGCTGGCGAAGGACACGGCTTCAGCGGTGCGGGGGCAGTCGGCCAACCAGAAGCTGAGGAGCACACGGGGACAGGTGACTGGACTGTGAACGGAGTCTTATCAGTGTCGGTGGGAAAGGGCGACGTATTTAACTGTTTTTATCATGATGTGGACTTTTGATTATTCGACCAGGTTTTATTTTTGCTATGTACATTTGTAGTTTGAGTTTGCTTCCTGTCTGTTCATTGTTTGCCCCGCCCTAATGTATTCACCTGTGTCTCCCTGTCGGTATTTATACACAGTTTTTACCAGTGGGGGCGGGTCCCAGCTCAAAAGTGGCCAAGATGACGTCCGCTGACATGCTGCAATACCACCCCAGACCGATGGGGGTGGACCCGGAATAAGAATTAGCCAATGCTAACATATAGCATCTTCTTACCTCTGGAAAACGTCTTTACAGGATGGTCCAAAAGTTGGCTCTTGGCCCAAAGCTCCGTTCCACATGTGTGTCAATGCTGAGTGTTCTGGACCAGTCTAGTTTAGTCGCTGTGAATTTATGAAGTCACTCGTTTAAATGAATGGGGCTCGTGCATTTGACGCATGCACAGATGCTTTTGTCATATTTTCCAGCCCCCGCGGCCATTTTGAAACTGCCCATAGTTGTGGCACATTAGTTAGAATGGCAGGGCGTGACTACTTCCGTTAGTATTTACAGTCTATGGTTTTTACCCACTTGTTTTCCGTCCATTGTCCATTATTGTCAGTTCTGGAATTTTGTTTTCTTAGATTTATTTGATGAAATTACTGTTTATTTTTACAGTCCTGCATTTTGGATTCCTTTTTTCACTTTAAGATGCAGTCAGTGATTTATTTCCAGACGCATTTTTTTTAAATATTGTGGGAGAACGTCCCTAGACCCTAAAAGTATCAAGTTATCATGTGTTTTCAAATAGTAATGGAATTAACCAGATGTCTATAGTCTGTCCATAGTATAGTATAGTATAGTATAGTCCATAGTATAGAGTGGTTTGGTGGAGAGGGAGGGGTGGGGGGAGTGGTTTGGTGGAGAGGGAGGGGTGGGGGGAGTGGTTTGGGTGGAGAGGGAGGGGAGGGGGGAGTGGTTTGGTGGAGAGGGAGGGAGGGGGGAGTGGTTTGGTGGAGAGGGGGGAGGGGGGAGTGGTTTGGTGGAGAGGGAGGGGAGGGGGGAGTGGTTTGGTGGAGAGGGAGGGGAGGGGGGAGTGGTTTGGTGGAGAGGGAGGGGAGGGGGGAGTGGTTTGGTGGAGAGGGAGGGGAGGGGGGAGTGGTTTGGTGGGGGGGGGGGGGGGAGTGGTTTGGTGGAGAGGGAGGGGAGGGGGGAGTGGTTTGGTGGAGAGGGAGGGGAGGGGAGGGGAGGGGGGGGGGGAGTGGTTTGGTGGAGACGGAGGGGTGGGGGGAGTGGTTTGGTGGAGAGGGAGGGGTGGGGGGAGTGGTTTAGTGGAGAGGGAGGGGAGGGGAGGGGGGAGTGGTTTAGTGGAGAGGGAGGGGAGGGGAGGGGGGAGTGGTTTGGTGGAGAGGGAGGGGAGGGGGGAGTGGTTTCCAGTTGTTGCTACGGCTAAGCTAACATCGCTCACTGCACCTTTAACCTCATGACAGATTTTGCTTTTAACTTTGTACTCTTTGAGAGCCGACCTCGAGTCCCTGGAAAGGCACCATATGAATAAAATGTATAATCATTATCACTATTATTAAAGCTGGGGTATCTAACTTCCAACTCAAACAAAGAAGCGGACCAAGAATTAGATCAAAGTTGAGTGTTCAGTGCTTTTTCGTTTCGTAAATAAAACTTTGAAACCGCAACAAATCCACAGTTCTTTGCTCTCAAAACGGTTTTTTCTCTTTTTTCTTTAGATCAGATTTAGTGACAGAATTGTTGACCGAAATACATGTGTTTCTCCTTCACTCCAGTCCTCCTCCTACTTCTACATCTGTGCCTTCATCTAGCTGCTCGTGCTGCAACCCTCCTCCTCCACGTCATCCCCCTAACATTGAGGCACTTTATCTATAGCACAAGCTCGCCTGGGGATTTCATTTTAATCATTTCAATGTCAGAGTCTAAGAACCAAAACTATATAAAACATCTTCCTACATGTCTCCATAGACTGTTTCAGACTGTGGTGCATGAGGAGTGGACTAACTGACTGCTGACGTAGTGTTTGCCAAATGCGGATTTTGCCAATTTGAACATAAGCAGGAGCCAGTTTTCTCACATGGGCTTTTGTAAACTCATATTTACAGTCTGTGGTTCAGACCAAACACTCCATAATGAGTTCATGGAGGATGTGGCGGCTCAGAGGCTGGGTCCTTCTGTGGTCGAGCAGATTACCGTGCGGACACGTTGGTGGTGAAGTTGGCGCAGTCGGTGGAGTAAACGAGGCGCGTGGTCCCAGTGATGTCCTCCCACTGCGCAGGAGCCGTGCCGCCTGCGACACAGGCCACAGGAGAAGAAGAACATGGGTTTGTTTTAGAGTTCATAAAGACTGATTAAGAAGTTCACTGAAGAAAAGTGTTTGTTTGTGCTGAAACAGTCGCTGCTGTTGCTTTGCTTTGACTCTAGTTACACAAGTATAAATATGGAATCATCTTCAAGTTTTTAGAGTGATATGTTTTTGAAATAATATATAATATCGACAAGAGTCAGTATGAGCGGCTAAAAACAAGAGGAAACACCTCTATCTGCTGCAGGCCAAAAGGAATCACAACTTTCAGTGCGAGCAATTTCAAATGTGTTCAAAACTGTGTGGAGACGATACATTTGTGCGACGCTCGGGTCAAAATGAGCCGCCAGTGATTAAAAGTAGTTGAAAATACCATAAATAGGAGACTAAAATGGTTTAAATGAAAGAAAAATCTACAAAATTCAGCTGAAAAAAAAAAGTAATCACCGTGGTGGGTCAATTTGATCCGAGGATAGAACCAAAACATGTCTCTGTGGTTTTCATATTCTATTCATCAATCAGCCTTATTTTGGCTAAATGAAGCTAACACACATGGTTGACCGCAGATATTAGTCACCATCACCCATTTGCTGCAGAAGTCATTTACCCCAATGCTGAGACCAGGAGTGTCTTACTTTTCCCCCCAAAGACTTTTTTATTTTAGTTTTTGAGTTTCCATTCTTTAGAGATAGGTAAGCTCTGCTTTTATGATTATTTTATTGTTCTCATTTTAAAGCTTTAAAACTGTTGTCTGTTGCTCAGCTGCAGTACCTATGACGGAGCAGAGCAGCCTCAGGCTGGTGGTGTCCCCCTCCCCTGCGTCCCGGGGGCTGTCTCTCCAGGAGGGGGGCAGTGGGATGCGCAGACCTATGGGTCGGTGGAACTTCCTCCTGCGCGGCTCCACCGTCACCACGGGGCTGAAGTTGGCCTGGTTCCCCAGGAGCTTTGCCACCAGCTCATCAGGCACCGGCTGGGCCTGCGGAGGTCAGGGCACCGGCCAATCAGAAAACAGAATTACACTATTCACTACGGCTCATGCACGGCATGGATGCTCAACATGGGGGACACGGACACAGGAGGGTGGTTACAGTTGTGCAAAATAAGTTTGAAACATAAAAAAAAAACATAATAATTCACCCCAAAGCCAAACCAGAGCTCAGTGTTAGAGAATATTTACACTGGGTTTGTCTTAAACCCGGCGTTTGCAGATCCGTGATTATGGAAGCTAGTAGATGTGTAGATAAAGGTTTTGTGTAGATAAAGGTTTATGTGTAGAAGCACAGTCTAAGAACACAGACAACATCACTTATGCATTTGCCTTTTATTAGACATCATAAAGAAGTTACATGGTCTACAGATACAGAGAGATATCAAAGACAAAAGGCATCGTGATGGAGGCCCCCAGGGGCCCGCCACTTTCACAAAAGGCTCAGAGGCAAAGGCACATCCAGTAAAGCCACAGTCTGTGTGACCAGGCCTCTCCCCGTCAGACCTGGAACATTTACATGTTGAAGTTTCTGAACAGTTTATAAATAAAACCTCAGTTTGAGTTACACTGAGAGTGAAAGTTTAGAAACACACTGAAGAAACGGAGCCTGGGGTTCATACAAATGTCTGATCGTTAGTTTCTGCTCATTAAGATTCCACTCATTTATGAGGCGTCTGCGACTCACGAAAAGGAAAACAAGGCACAAAGTAAAGTTACAAGTTTCAGTCTTTAAAGTTCCTGTTCCCGATGTTTGTCACGTTATAAAGATTATCTACAGTTCTGCCTCTGATCGCTGAGCTTTCTACTGCTGCAGCTGAGTTAGCATGTTGTTAGCATGTTGTTAGCATGTGGTTAGCATGTGGTTAGCTTACATGTAAACCATTACAGTGACTGCAAATTGGCAGAATGTAAGAAACTGAGGAATACGTTAAAACTGCAGCAACAAGAGCTGTTTATAAGAGTTTAACGCTTTAGGCGCCGGTGAAGCAGATTTTAAATTTCCGTATTGATTTTAGTATTATCAGTTTCACCGCTTTCACTTGTTTTAACACCGGGAACAGGACCTTTATGTGTAGGTCCGTGTAGGTGACTGTACATAAAAAGGCTTAAACATATGTATTACATTTCCAATCATTTATATAAAAAATGTAGATAGATAACATATATTTCACTGTTTATAAAATAACTTTGTCTCTCCCATTATGGTCCATACTGTGGCACACGTCTTTGGTGCAAATGTGATCTTCCAGCTCAGAACTACTGCTGCTGTGTGTATCATTTTCATATAAATATACATCTCTTTTCATATATATATATATAAAAAACAAGTGCGAGGATATGAAGAAGGTGACTACAGAATCGTATCATTCTTGACGATCGCCTTGTTTCTATCGAGCAGTCCATCGTCCAGAACCAGTGCCAAGGTCTCATATCTCAGTTTACAATGTGAGGCTTATTCCCTACAGCACGGGTCTCCAACCTGTGGCTCAGGAGCTACCAGTAGCTCACCACCGCCTTTCAGGTAGCTCCCCACAGGAATCAAGAATTAACACGAGTCGTTACGTGTGTATTTTAACAAGACATATTTTCATGAACGCAGGATACTGTACTGCACTGGTATATTCTGTGTGTTCTTCGTGGTTTCTGCAGTTCGTGGACTACATCTGCATTAAGACGCTAAAACAAGTAGTTCTCTGCCGTATATCTGCACAAAAGGAACTATATTTATATCTGCACAAAATAAACTAATAATCTTTTAACATGTTTGAACACTTGGTGTGTTCTTGCGCACCCTGAGTGATTCTATCTATGCCAAATGTGACGTGTACATTTTCTCCATTTTAAGTTTATCTAAAAAGGTTGGAGACCGCTGCCCTACCGAGATGTTCCATGCAACAAATTAAGGTTTTTTCACCCATTAATAAGAGGCATTTAGTGTTATTTGATTGTGATTTACTTCTGGCAACGATAGAGCAACGACATTCTGGACTGTGGAGTGCTTGGTGGAAACAAGTTCAGAATGAGTCTCATGGAGGTTGCCAGGTTTCATGCACTGGCTCAAGCCAAAAGGTCCACTGAGGGGATGAGGCAAACGGGAAGGGTCATTCCAGGAGGACATCCAGAGCATGCGAGTGGTTCATTCAGCCACTAAAGCTCAGGCCTTGCCCCTGCGGCTGCCAGCTCACCTGCAGCCCCAGCCGCACGCGCTTGGTCACCGCCGTCTCTGGGAACGTGGCCTGGACCTGCGGAACGAGCTTACTGGTCAGAGAGCCGCCCTCTGGACCAATCAGGTCGCTCTCCTGCTGCACGCGCGACACCACTGCGAAGTACAGCGGGAAGTCTGTGGAGATGATGCGGCGAATACGCTTTTTACCCAGTTCCTCTTGGCTCTCCAGCTCTGAGGGACAGAAATACAATATGTTAATAACTTCTGCTGCTGCTACGACTGTTACTGACATAATCACAACATTTACACGAGAAGAGAATATGGACAATGCAAACATTGAAGTGAGCTGGAGCTCCAGCGTACCCTCGTCCATGCCGTTGAGGATAGTCTCCAGGACCTCGTCTCCATAGCGATTCCGATGCTCCTTCCACACGTTGCCGTTCTCACTGCGCAGCACGACCAGCTCTCGGTCGCCTCGGCCCAGAGCGGCAAAGTGAGGGATCTCCACGATCACCGGCCTGAAAACAACCACACCTCCACTGTCACCACAGACACTTCTTTACACGCTGTAATACTCAGGGTTTTGTAATCGTCTGTGTGTGTGTGTGTGTGTGTTTCTACAGATTGAACTGAAATGTGTGTAGATGTGATGTGATGGTAGGAAATCCCCATTGAAGATTTGAGACGATCCATGGTGTTGAATCAACTCAGAGTTCACCTTCATGTTAAATGTAACTTAGTAAATATTAAAAATCTTAAATGTTTAGTATTTACTGTAAATGTTTTGGTTCTTCCTTCATTCATTCATTTTCATCCCCTTTATTAGTCCATTTCTGGGTCGTCATAGCAACGGCCCCTCACTTATCCCCCTGCAGGTGTTCATTTCAATAAAGACACAGCCTTAGAGTTTCAGCGGGCAAAGTCGGGTTAGGTGTCTTGCCCAAGGACACAACGACAAAAGACATCAGTGGCAACGCTCCACCAACTGAGCCACTGTCGCCTGTACTGGTTGTACAGTAGTGTGACTGTCATTGTGAAGCATAGGTACCAATGTCATTGTGAAGCATAGGTACAGAACAGAGTGATCGTACCCTAAGAACTGCATCCCCGCGGGCCCCAGAGAGATGATCCTGCTGGCCAGGCCCTCCCCCTCCACCAGCGGCGGCGGGCTGCTGAGCTTCTGTGGTTTGACCAGACGACAGGTGATGCGCGTGGGGGCGGCGCAGGTGCGAGGCGGGATGATGACGCGCAGGCCGTGGTGTCTGCTGCCGCGCATGGAGCCGCCACGAGCGTCCACCATGAAGCTGACCAGGAACCTACCGCACAGAGGAGACCATGAAGACACCAAGACACACACATGCAGACACACAGACACACACACGTAGACAGACACACACACACACACGCAGACACACACACACACACGTAGACAGACACACACACACACACACATGCACACATGCAGACACACACACACACACACGTAGACACACACACACACACGTAGACAGACACACACACACACACACACACGTAGACAGACACACAGACACACACACACACATGCAGACACACACACACACACGTAGACAGACACACAGACACACATGCAGACACACACACACACACACGTAGACAGACACACAGACACACACACACACATGCAGACACACACACACACACACGTAGACAGACACACATGCAGACACACACACACACACGTAGACAGACACACACACACACACACACACACACACACGTAGACACACACACACACACACGTAGACAGACACACAGACACACACACACACGTAGACAGACACACACACACATGCAGACACACACACACACACGTAGACAGACACACAGACACACACACACACGTAGACAGACACACACACACACACACACACACATGCAGACACACACACACACATAGACAGACACACAGACACACACACATGCAGACACACACACACACACACGTAGACAGACAGACACACACACACACACACACATGCAGACACACACACACACACACGTAGACAAACACACACACACACACATGCAGACACACACACACACACACGTAGACACACACATGCAGACACACACACACACACGTAGACAGACAGACACACACACACACATGCAGACACACACACACACACGTAGACAGACACACACACACACACATGCAGACACACACACGTAGACAGACACACACACACACACACATGCAGACACACACGTAGACAGACACACAGACCCACACACACACACACACACACATGCACACACACACACACGTAGACAGACACACAGACACACACACACACACACATGCAGACACACACACACACACACACACACACAGACACACGTAGACAGACACACAGACACACACAGACACACACACGTAAACAGACACACACACACACACACACACACACAGAGACACACACACACACATAGACAGACACACAGACACACACACACACAGACACACAGACACACACACACACACACACACATGCAGACACACACACACACACAGACACACACAGACACACACACGTAGACAGACACACACACACACACACACACACACACACACACAGACACACACACACACACACACACGTAGACAGACACACAGACACACACACACACAGACACACACGTAGACAGACACACACACACACACACACACGAGGTCATCATGCACCAATCATATTAGGGCTTCTCTCTTCATAATATTATTTAGATACAAAAACAATGGATATGATATTAGCACATTTAAATTGACTGCCAGACTATTTCAGAACAGGTACTCCCATATTGCCAGCCGTTTCTGAACACAGAATATTGTGTACTATGACTATCTGAAATCTGAAACCAGATTCTCAAATAATGGACTGTCTACTTTCATCAGATTTTTTAAAAATATTTTTAGCATGTTTCGTTCCCCTGTAATCCCCAGTCGAGAAGAGGGAAGTTTTACTGAAATTACCAAGAAGCTGAGAAAAACACACACAATAAGTGCATCTAGCTGTCTTCAAACCATCCGGAGAGCGCTGCTGCCACCTGCTGGCTCCATAAAATATGCTCTCAAGCTATTCCCCAAACATATTAGAAATAATAGACACCTGGGAACATGAAAATAGCGGAAAAACCATTTGATGTATTAATGCGTCAATGGCACACAACGAGTTAACACCTGGTATTTGGATTCTTAAACTGCTATACCATCAGACAGCACACGAGTCTCTTATTTGTGTTGCCAGTTTCTTATGGTCCAACCCAGCTAGTTTGGTCACGGTCTATAACCCAGCAGCTGAACTACGTGCAGGTCGACTCTGGCAACAAAGGTTTAGATTATAAACTATAAAAGCAGTAAAAGCTACTCTCTGGTCTTCCTGTAAACGTGAGACAGGCCTCTCCTCTGACGACGTTCTAATCCCGGTTGAGAGCAGTTCTGTTCAGCTCTGACTCCTTTGATTGTGTTTGTGAAATATTTGTGTTTTATAGTGTTTTAATGGTTCCATGAGTGCGAGGCGTGAGACGGTGGAGGAGGCTGACCCTGTGTGGATGGGACTGGCCACGGGGCTGACATTGTCGGACGTCTCTGTGGCCGGACTGCTGGGGATCAGAGAGTCATCGTCGTACTCTTTTGGCAGTGGAAGAGGAGTGTGCTGCTGTGGGAGAGAACAGGTTACACCACCAGACCAGACCAGACCAGACCAGACCAGACCAGACCAGACCAGACCAAACCAGACCAGACCAGTCAACAGGTCATGAGCTAAAAAGCACAAAATCTCTCTCCAAAATGTGTCATAAATATAGAATTCAACGATTATGTGTTTAAGGTCTCTCACATATAGAGGGACAATGCTAACCCCCGAGCTCAATGAAGCCCAACAGGGAAGTGCTCATGGATGAAGTTTTGCTCGAATTCGCTCTGACTCTAAAGTAAACTCCTACAGCTCTATAACTTTTTGTGTCTCACTCAACATTTTGGGCTTAAACATTTTGGTATTTAGACGCCCTCTGTGATCCTGGTGTTTATTTTGTGATATTGTTTGTGTAAATCCAGATATGAACCATATTAGGATTGACCAATTAGAAGCCTTCATTCGCTGCAAAAACTCCAGTTTGCACCCCTGTTACGGCACACAGCTAATGGCCATATAAGAAAATTGGCTCTAGCTTGCTTATGCTGTTCTTTCACATTCTGCAAACGATATCTCGGAGAATCAGTAAATCACAATCTGTTCCCCATTTCCAACAAGGGAAGTGATTAAGCAAGATTTCCGTTCCTGAATAAAACAATTGTCAGTGTGTTTGAAAAGTGGTACCTGCTCCATCTCGTGCTCTTTGAGGATGACGGTCTCTGGGGACACGCGGGGGATCCGGGGCAGTGCTGGGGAGAAGTTTCTGTGAGAGAATCAAACACACGTCACTCCACAGAACCAGGACGGGCTCTGACACCGTGGCACCGATCAGGTTCAAAGCCCAGACATCGACACCGTGAGCAGCCGCCAAACAGGCTCCACAGACAGACAGAGGAGACCGCTGTGGCTCCATCAAGTTGGGGATGTTTAATGATGTGATATTTTTTTTCATCTCTGAATTTCAGGTAATAAAGATAATTTGTGAGAGTGACAGTTAAGGACCCTTTTTTGAGTGCTAAATACATTTATTAAAACATTTTAGTTTGGTTGCACATCAAGAACAGAAAGTTACTCCTTGCTGACTAAAGCTACTTATAGTATACATAATAGGTTATATATTTATTTATATAGATAATTGTTTTTATTTTCTTAGATTTTTATTTATTTACTTTGAATTTGTTTTATTCGTTTTGAATTGTTTTTATTTTATCCTATTTTTATTTTATTTGAATTGTTTTTATTTTATTTTTATTTTATTTGAATTGTTTTTACTTTATTTAAATTGTTTTATTTTTAGCTGGCAGACTTATATATTTGAATGTGTTTCTTTTATCTGTGCAGCAACTTGGAAAAGTGTTTTTTAAAATGTGCTATAATATGCTATAAAGTGGGTTGGATTAAAGTGGTCCAGTGTATTATTTTCCAGTGTATTATGTCAACATGGTGCTGAGACCACGGCACCATGGGAGCTGCGTCTGGTGCACTCTGGTGTCATGTACAGTTATTCTAATGTGGAATAACTGAAAATGGCAAATAAACTGAATCTTGTGTTAAAAAAAAGTCCAAATGGAGCATACACTTTGTAAATATGTGACCCAGCCAACATAATCCTGAAAATATAATGTATGAATTCAAAAATACTCCCTCATTTCAAGGTTTCAGAAGCAGCGAGTGTCTCTAGAGTCTGATAACACAAGCCAATAGACCCATCAGTTGAACCCAATTGGACCTGGGCCTTTTCCCAACCCCTGTGTACTGCCTGGTGCCGCCCCCGGACTGGCCGTGGTGTGTCAGCCTAAAGTTTCCCCCTTACGCGGTGCCCAGCCCTCTCTCGTACTCCAGTGATTTCTTGGGGGAGAGGAAATCGTCGTCATGGTCTTTGGAGTCGTCCGCCTTCATGTACCTGGCCCCGTCGGTCCCCAGCAGCTCCTCGCCTTCAGAGAATAACATGCCAAAGAGATGTACACGTCAGCGGGATGGAGAGAGCGGACAGAGGGGACAGAGGAGACAGGGTTAGCCGGGGGAGGGTCAGACGACAGCATGTGAGCAGGGCCGGATTCAAGGAGTGGCCTCTGACCCGTCTACACAAGACAAAACCAAACGTATTAACTTCACACAGATCCCCTCTGTTTTGGTGTTGGATCTGCCTCTCTTTAATCAATCTACGGTCCACTGAAAATGAGAAAAGAGGTGGTTTCTATGGCGATGCGAGGCCCTTTAGAGGGATCTGAGCTGTTTGACCCATCGAGTGCCTTTGCAAAGCGAAAGAATACAGAGAGAGAACGTTCAAAAACCACACTCCATGGGGATATTAAAGGTGCAGTAAGCGATTGTTAGCTTAGCCGTAGCACCAACTGGAAACCACTCCCTCCTCCCCTCGCCTCTCCACCAAACCAAACGTCCAGCATTTTCTTTTCTTTGTCACAACAGGGAGAGTGGGCGGCAAACGTGAATTTGGTATTTTAACGATTCAATTTAAGGTTTTAGAAAATCCGATAACTCCGGTGCACTCGCGAGAAACAGGAAAAGAGGGTGAAGGGGGTAAACACATCCCATTGGTTCGTTGAGGAGGAACGAATCCCATTGGCTTATTTTGATCGCTCCAAAATATGTTTTATTAATTATTGGAGACTATAGACATCTGGTCAATTCCATTACTATTTGAAAACACATGATAACTTGACTACTTTTAGGGTTTAGGGACGTTTTCCACAAAATAAAATAAAAATGTGTCTGGAAAAATCACTGACTGCATCTTTAAAACGGGTCCGACGAGTTTTGGTCCCGTCTCTGTGCTCCCTGTGGTGAAGTCGCTTGAATAATTTTCAATCATGACACTTTATCCAATTCCTGATCTGTCGTCCTTCTCCGGACCTACAGGCAAAATCTGCAGTCGTTTGCACTTTGTATACAGCTGCCAGTTTCATGCATTTTTAAGACTTTTTGCCAACGCTCTTAAATGGTCCACACTCTATCGTTCTAAAGGCGTTTTAGTCGACATGTTTGATCCTGAATTGTTTAAACACGTCAGATCATCTCCAAGGTCCTTAATCCGGCCCTGCATGTTAGTGAACAGTTACATGTGTTGCTAACAATGGGATGGACTTGTCAAGAAGAGTAATCTATTCTAGGGTAATCCCTCATTTGAGAAGGAGGTCCGACTGTCTCAAAGGTTTTCTGCTTTAAAGAAACAGAGCAGAGCCAATCTATACTTTCATCAAATAATCTTGCAGTGAGGACGTCTGCCAGAAGCATTCCACTGGAGAAAGAAAACGACCGCTGGATAACAGACCGAACGACTGGATTACAGACCGAACGACTGGATTACAGAGGACAGAGGACTCGGTTCACACCATCATCCTAAAGCCACTAATTATAAATCAGATGATAATGAGTACACTGGCAGCACGGGCAGGTCTAACATGTGAGATACATAAACTGCAGCGCTGTGCTGTGGGCCTGAAGTAAACTTGGATCCAAATGAGCTCCAGTAATCCCTGGGTTTACTGTAAGTGAACGACTAAAGCACGTTCTGTAATCAAGACCAGGTTAGATCCACTGGGACTATACAAGACTCAGAGCTAGACTGCCCCCTGTTGGTGACACTTGGAGTTACGTTTCACATGTTCATTTTAACCTAAAGGTCTTCATCAACACGCACATCAGTTAATATTCTCCAAAAATGTACGGAATTCTTGAATCTTAGGGTAAAATAAGTAGCTTACTGCATACAAGCAAAAACCTGGTGGAAGCTCCGGTCACGTATGCATCGTAACGGTATGTACAATTCTACCTGTACTCGTCCGACTCTCCATGAGGCACTGGAACGGTTACAAAAGTCAGTCTACTGCTGCACCACACACAAACAGCATTCAGACTGCGCTACTATCCGCGCCGCAGCCATGAGCCGATAGTAGCATCAGCACGACACCACAACACCGCAACACCGGCTGCACACGACTCTACACGACTCCACTTGAATTCCAGACTTTGTTCTTCGCTGCAGTACTTTTTGACTAGTTTTATTATAAACCGGGATTATTTTACTTGTTTCAAGATTTTCTGACATTGCAGCTTTTTGCCAATGCCGTATACTAAAAGAGATATGACACGTCATTGGCAAAATATATTCAATTCAAATTCAACTCTGTGGAACTCGTCAGTAATGTCTTCAAACCGGTAAAATATTTATCGTAGGTGTAATCTATCCTTGTCAAAAATACTGGAACAATAATCTGAATTCAACACTGCGTAAACAATATCTGAGTGAGCTCAAATGACTTGAATTTCAGACAAATTGACACAAGCGTATAAAATATGGCGTGACAAAATATTGAACTTTTTTTAAAAATTTACAATAAAGACAAATATGTTACTTAAAGGTACACTGTGAAGTTTTTACTCCCATATAGCGTTGACATCATATATTGTAATTTACGGTACTACGGAAGCTTCGCAGAACAGTGGTCCCCAACTCCCGCTCAAACTCTTTTTTGTCCCTTATCAGCCACCGTATTTAAAGATGGCGCATTGACATGTAGAGTCCTCAGCCTCATGGACATTTATCAGTCAAATTCTCAGCCTATGACGACACTTCAAAAACATGGTGGAGGTGAATATTCTTAAAAAGCTCACATTTGTTTTTGGTGAACATGTTTTTTTCATTTGTAGCAACTGTACAAATTACACAGAGTACCTTTAAAGCTGGGGTGGTGATATAAGAAAGTATTTAGTATTATTTAGTATTTTGAAAACATGTGAGAAAGAGCCCAGTCACCATATGATTTATATTTTATTTTATTGATCACTTTTATTTATTTTTTTGGTCTAAAACTAGTGTCAGGATCGAACTGAGAGCTATCTACCTGATTTTACAACATAGCTCCTTTATTTGCATTTTGGGAATTATCTTCTACAGCTTTAAAGTGAAGGTCAGTTACTTTTTGCTAGTTAGACCCGCCCCAAAAGGTTTCTGATTGGATGGAATGAATTCAAATCTTCAATAGACAGCTCCCCATTGGTCTAACTACTGATGCTTATTCCAAGAGGAGGGACTGTTTTAAAAATGTCTATTATGAAAAATACTTAACATAGATGAAACTACAGGGTCATATGCTAAATAATATGAATTATTTTCTCATTTAAATACAATTGAAGTTGCAGACATCACCTTTAAGTGACCGTTCCTCTGGTCGCCCCATGCAGCACGGGTCAATATTTTTATACCCAAAATCACCAAAAAAGTGTGTAATTCAAGTCATTCAAACTCACCTCGATATCATTTGTTGCGCTGTAATCTTAAGCGTGAGTTTGACTTTACGTTTCTGCATAGTTTGCTCAGGGCGGTGCTGAAGGATGGGTGGTAGACATGTTACGGAGGGGTGACACTAGGGCGTTGTGGGTGCCATGGAGGAATGGGGCATGCAGTAGTGAGACAGTTAACCACCGAAACACACGGTGAGAAAGTGAGGTGGGAATGAAGCCAAACACTGACGGAAATACGGAAGGCCATACCTAAAGTGAGCTGTGCCATTCCTATGAAAACAAACCAACAACACAATAGTATCCATTTAAATATCGGATCTCATTGGCCTCATGATTCTGGATTGCTAAAACTATAATGACTAGATTTAGCAGTGAGACTAGATCCATGTTTCAATACCAGAGCCCCAAACCAGGCCATAGACAAACGCAACATCTAAGAGCAGGTCTCAACATGTCTGATCCAGGCCTTTTCCCACTGCGACCCTGTGCTTGACCCGGGACAACAGTGGGAAAGGTTAGCGTGTTGTTTGGACCCCTGACGGCTCTTCGCCATGGGGTCAAAACAAACTTTTTTCTCTAGCGTCACAAAGCAGTGCACCCAGGACCCAGGGAATCGCATTATAATTCACAACGGCACCACATGGAGCAATATAAACATTTCCAATGCTATTGCTTAAGAGTCAAGGGCGACATTGTGAAGGAAAGAGCAGCGCCAGCAAAAGCCGTGCGACAAGAGTGAAGCTCTCGTTACACAGCACACATGTAAGCAGCGTTTTTGTTTTTTTTCTTTCTAAATTGTTGCTATATATATTTGGTCAGAGCTGTCACACACGAAGCATGCCTTGGAGAAAAGACTAGGTCAGAAGGCCGGTTAAATGCCGAGTTGTTTTGCCCAGTGGGTAAGGACAGTCCAACAGTCTCTACACAGTTAGACAGAAAGATATTTTTGGTGATTGACTGAACTAATATGAATTTCCACGGCATTTTAGTCGACTAAGGCCTGTTCTTTTTCTCATGAGACTTAGGCATGTCAGTGGAGGCCGGTGTAAGACCAAGACCTTTTCTCACCTTCGTCCTCAGACACATCCAGGATCTCGTCCACTGTCTCGGGGAAGCTCATGCGGTGCTTCTCCGTGGAGGACTGCGGACACAAACAAAAACCCACATGAGCCTGAGCGTTCAGCCTGCTCTGTACCACACCAGTCCAACGCTCTCACCATAGACACGTTCTCCTCAGTGACCAGCTTCAGCACATCGATCACAGAGATGTAGCCCAGGCGCTTGGCAATGGCCAGAGCTGAGGTCCCATTCTGAGGAGCACAACAATCAGCTGAAAACATGCCCGTGGTTTTCTTTATAACACATTTTTGGATGCATAGAATGTTTAGAGGACTAGATCAGCGCCAAAAAGTGTGAACATTGTGCATGGAATGAGAAGTTGTTACCGCGGTTGTGTCGTTGGGCTGAGCTCCGTGCTTCAGCAGCAGTGTGACGATGTCGGTGTGTCCCTGCTGAGCCGCCTGGTGCAGCGGCGTGTAGCCCAACTGCAACACACCACAACAGAGTGACTCGCTAAAGTCCACTTCACCATTATTACTGTCAACATTCTATTACGGTTCATTTCACTTCCTTTGTTAATTTGCTCTGTAAACTTTTATCACACTCAGAGGAAAAGGTCCATAACAATCAGTACAGTTTTGATCATGTGAGCAGGCCTAGTCATTTAAAGGGACAGTAACATTATCATTTCATTCGTCCCTATATATATACACAGCGTCCGTTTCTAGCTAAACTCCAGCTGGTGGATTGTATCAGTAATGTGTCACAGACAAGAAGATTCTGGCAGAAAAGGTTTCATTGTTATGACTTTATTAGACTACTAAGAGTGTTACATCTGGTCCCTTTAAGATGAACCATAAACATGACATTAATGACAGCTGGGGGGCCTCTCTTCCAAACCACCACAACTGTAAATAATATTGTAATAACTATGGTAATATAACTAGTTCCTCGCTGTCAAAATGGATTGGTCATGGCATCTTTTTTTTATCAGAATTTTTCAGACAGAAAATTGAAAAAATATGACTCAGCCAATCAGCTCTCAGTCCAAACAGTGACTCACAGGGTAGTATGCAAAAGATAAAATATTTTCTATTAAGAGGAAAGCAGTTTGTTGTCTCATTAGTACTTCTACAAGACCCATTCAGTTGGGACAAACAAAATGTATTATTTAAAAAGTTAGGTAACACAGCTTTAACAGACCTCTCGCTCATGTTTTAAAGATGGGAGGATATTGCCTTTGTCTGCAGCTCCACTCACCCTGGTTTTGCTGTTGACGTTGGCCTGTTGCTGCTGTAGGAACTTGACCATTTTGATGTTTCCATAGTGACAGGCCACGTGGAGGGGGGTGTATCCCATCTGCCACACAAACACGCCTTAAAGACCCCGCTTTAACCCCGGCAGGCGGCGCACTCATGTGACATTACAAAGTGTCATTAATATTTCATACGCCCATTCTTCACACTCACATTGGATTACTGCAGAACCAACTCGTGCTCAAATATTCATTGGCACTTTTCCATGTATTCTGACAGTGTAGAAGACACATTACACCACGATCAGTCTGATTAGTGATTAATACTTAAAACAGACGAACAAAATGTAAACAAGCGCGATAGCATTGAGGAGATGTACTGTACTTCCGGATCAGACCGGTCCCCGCCGTGACGTCACTGAGGGAGCGGCGCCGGTATGAGTTTTTTCGTTTCTATGGTCGTCTTTTCTCAATTTGGGGGATCAGACAAAAAAAAATGGACTTTGAAACCTTTAGTAGTTCTCTTCTAACATAAAATGGTATTAAAACGTTTATTTCTAAATGATACAAACCCTGCATAAGGTCTTTAAACCTCATGTAAAATTATAAGCTCCAGCAATATTACTCCACCTAAGGCGTCTCCATGGTAACACACAGTATAGAGAATATTACTCCACCTGAGGCGTCTCCATGGTAACACACAGTATAGAGAATAAACAGTTAACAGTTATTATTATGAAGTTACTTTTAAAGGTCTTTTATACAGCAGGGTGTGGAATGAAGTTGGTGAATGTTGTTTCCTGCAAAGTTTGTGTGTGTCTGGTCATGACAACCGTTGCTATGGGACTTTTGCAGGTTCTTGGCAAAATAATGATTCAACAGCTCAGTGCGGTTGTATGATATAAACACACTCATACAAGAGAGATCTGTTCCTTAAGCTAACTCTCCTCGGCCTGAGGGATTAAACTGGGTCAGGACCTGGATCTTTGCTCAGTATTTTAAATGGTGATGAATGTCATGTGGATCTGAAAGTATTTACTCTGGTCGCAGCGTAGACGGAGGCTCCTTGTTTGACCAAGATGTCTGCAATGGCCACATGTCCCTCCTGAGCGACCAGGTGCAGCGGCGTCAAACCACTCTGCAGAAACAGCAACATGTGAGCAGGTTACGTCCCGGAATGTACCAAAGTCAGCCATATCCGATTATTTTCTTGAGTCTGTTTTTCATCAAAATTCAGACAAAACGTCTCAGCCAAATGGGATAAATGCAAATTGGTTAAAATGGTACAAACGCATCATGTCTAAGAATATTATTTGTGGCTTTTTTATATCGTTGTAGACCCAAATAATTCTAAAACTCCTCTTCTTTTGTTGTATCTATGTTCATATTTTTTTAGTGTACTTAAAATTAGTATTAGTAAGTATACATTTAGCATCGATACCAGTTGATTCATATCTGATATCTGACATCTCCAAGGAGAATTCATTTCAGTGCCTAATTGCTGAAAAACTACAGCCGACTCAAAAAGGCTGCATGGGAATCTGGAGCCAAATTGTTAAATAGCAACGACCTAGCAACAACCTAGCAACCAAAGAGCCAATCAGGGGTGAGACTGCTCTGTTGCCACTTGCCCTACTCGCTTGCCAAAAGCCAAATTCAGGGACAGAAGCACCTGGTCAGTTGTTATCTTTTGTTTTCATCACTTTATCACTGTCCATCCTCATATACAGCCCATTTTTCACATATACTTTTATACTTTGACTGTATATTTTTTACTTGTTTGTGAATCGGGTCTGACCTTGTTGCCCAGGTTCACGTTGGCCTGTTTGGACAGGAGCAGCGTCACCATGTCGGGGCGTCCTTCCTGCGCGGCCAGGTGCAGAGGGGTCACTCCCTGCACAGACTCGGCGTTGGCAGAAGCCCCGTGCTGCAGCAGGCTGCTCGACACCTCCAGCTGGTTCTGCTTAGAGGCTATATGCAGCGCCGTGTAGCCGTTCTGCACAGAGGAGCAGAGATATGTGTGAGTGGTGGAAGATAGGGATACCTGCATTAGTATACATTACTATTTGGATCGATTTTGACTCTTTAACATTTAGCGATTCATATTTTTGTGTTTTTACGTTTTACACTAAATTATAGTAGTAGTTATGGTATCAAAACACTGGATGTAAGCTGTGATATAGATCCAAATAATTCTAAAATTGCGTGTTTTTGTGCTTTTAGACTTGATTAATACATGATTTCTATATGTTTGGCAACCCCAATGAATGCCAGTCAACAAAAGCATTGTTCTGATGTTGTTTTATATGTGTCACACCAGTGTATTTATCATCATGAAAAGTTGACTACAGATTTCTCTAATTTTCTATTTTTATACGTTTGATGTTTATTGAACTATCCCCTGTTCAAATAATCCAATCCAACGTAAGGTAATCTAACAGGACCCAGTGTAATCTCAGGAGGTGCAGAGCAGGGAACTCACCCTGGCGGCGCTGTGTGGGGTGCCTCCTTTACTGAGCAGCAGGTTCACTACATCCAGGTTGTTGTGATGGACGGCCACATGCAGAGGAGTCAGGCCGTTCTGAAAGCAGAACACAGCATTTGGGGATGGTGTCTGTGTCTGTGGTTATAAATGGGCTCTGTGCACAAAAGTGGGCAAGCCTTTTCACGTAATCCAGCAAATATTTAGACAATGTTTTAAAGGCACTAGTGAATGGCAGACGTATCAGATGGATGGATATGTAATAATTCAGTAATGATAATAACTTTTCTCCATATGGATCGAGCTATAATTCATATTTACAGTCAGTACTAAGCTATCAAAGGCTACTTATCACAGCAGGTCTATATTCTGAGAGACAATCTTACTGCAAAGAACGGAGCATAGATTTACCTTCCCTGCCGCATTGGGGTTGGCGCCTCTCTCCAGCAGAAGCTCGGCCACGTCCACTTTGCCGTATTTGGACGCCACGTGAAGAGGAGTGAAGCCTTTCTGTGAGGACGACACAAAGCCAGACCTCTGTTAACCCACTGAGCTAGTGCAGTCATTCACACAGCAGACAGGTTGCTTGGATACAACACCAAATACCAAGTGTACTGGAAATGCTACCAGGTGGAGGGGAGTGGAGTAGGGCCAAGTAGGGCTGTTGGGAACTGGGCTGATGTGAAGCAGTACCTTGGTCATCTTGGTCTGCTGGGCCTCGGTGTCCAGCAGGACTCGTACAGTGTGCACGTGGCCCTCTCTGGCAGCGATGTGCAGCGGCGTGTGTCCGGCCGTGGTGCTGGAGTTGGCGTTGGCCTTTTGGTCCAGGAGCAGCTTGACCAGCTCTTTGTGGCCCATGCGAGCAGCACAGTGCAAGGGCGTCTGGTCGTCCTGCAGAAGCCACAAAAATCTGACCTTTTCCACAAGTACTTAATGTGTTTTGACTTATCCATCAGGTATTTACTGTAGAATGCAGAATCATGAATATACACACCATCTTCACTGTTGTTTCAGAAAGTTATAGTACGTCACCTTAGCTTTAGCATCCACCGGTGCACCATTTTGGAGCAGAAAGTCAGCCACCTCGATGTGGCCCGCCCGGCACGCCATGTGAAGTGGGGTCTCTACTTTCTGCACACATCACAAATGTTATGAGACACTCCCACACCTCTCCTGCCTTAAAACATGAAAGTGCTTTCAATTATTATGAAAATTTGACCATGTTACAACATCGTTCCTGGTCAAAAACAGACCTGCAGTCACGCTATTATCATGAACTACAAACATATAACGCCGCTCTTTTTGTCTAAAAACTAAACGTCATTGTTCATTGTCATTGTACCACTATGACATCACAATCAAAGCAGTTTTCTTTAGTTTTGGGTTGTGTTTGCAGCTGTTAATCTCTGAATTTGTAAGATACTAAAACAAATTGAACTCCTCCCTTTTTTGATAGAACAGAGAATTTTGTTCACAATAGGCTTTGCGCATAATACATTCTTTCACAACCTAGAACATAAAATGACAAAGCAAAAAGCATCATTGTCATGTTTTATAACCAAATGAATGCATAATATGTTTTTTATAGTAGAGAGTGAGCAGCGATGAGTGCAGTGTGTGTGAAGACAGAGCCTGGACACTGACCACGTTAGAGGCACTGGGCGAGGCTCCTTTCTGCAGCAGGTTCTTGACGATGTTCAGATGACCCATGAAGGAGGCCACATGGAGCGGCGTCAGGCCCGACTGCGGGGACAGGGATGGAGGTCAGAGGGTCTTTTCACGTGTGTGTTTGTGTTTGTGAATGTGCCCTCACCTCTGTGACGGCCTCCAGTGAAGCAGAGTGTTTGAGCAGCAGGTCCATCACTCTCCCGTGGTTCTTCTTACAGGCGATGTGCAGAGGAGTGAAGCCGTTCTGATCACACACAAAAGCATTCAAAATTCATCTTTTCAAATAAATGCTGGATATTATTGTCGGCAAATCCAACAAGCATTGTATAAATGAACTCTGAAAGTGGCTTGGAACGGCCCTTTGCATGCGACCCTGAGCCCTCCCCTTCACTGTTTTGATAAGATAAGATAAGATAAGATAAACCTTTATTAGTCTCACAGTGGAGAAATTTCAGTGTCATCGTTGCACATTACAGCAGAGAAAGGAAATAAGAGCACTCAGATTGCACACATCAAAGTCTATTATTTAAGATAATAGACAATAAATTTAAGATAAAATAAAATAAAATAAGAAAATCTGGGCTACAATTGCACTTGGTTCGGAGTATTTACAGATGTCTATATTATACATTAGCAGCGGAGAATATGAGAATATGAGCAGAATAAAACATCAGAAATAATATCAACAGGTAAAGTGACTTGAATGGGAGAATTATCTGTTTATTATTTTTATTATATATTTATTATTATTTGTGTAGCCGAACCTATGACCTTGAGCGGCTTCGCTGTTTCCTGTATTTTTGTTCACATTGTGCTTCTCAGTTGCCAAGTGTATACTTCAACAACATCATATAACCGCTACTCAGAAGACATTTTTGTGGCTGGAGTGAACCGCAGTGATTAGTTCAGAGGACTACTGCGGTCTTCCCGTAGCTCTCAGTCCTGCTTCTGCCCCTCTGGGTGATGTCCTCCGCAGCTCTATTTGACAGTGTATGCACGGCTTTTAACAGCTGCAGTAGCACTCAGACTTTGCAGTAGCACTCAGAGTTTGATATCTCCGGTATCGCACTTCAGCAGCCGTGAGTTCAGGTGCTTAGAAAAGTGTATCCATGCGTGAGGTGAGGGGTTTTACATCCTTAAAACATATAGATGCATATACTTTCGCCTTGTGCGGTATCGTGAGGGACCCAGACATTTCCAGCCCTCTAAAATGTTAACAAGCGTGGGCCTCAGTCTTCCTCACCAGTGCGCGGGAGTTGGGCTTGGCGCCTTTGTCCAGCAGCGCCTTGGCCATGCGGTTGTGTCCACAGTGCGCAGCCACATGCAGAGGCGTCAGGTGGTCCAGCGTGATGTCGTCGATCTCTGCGTTATACTGCAGCAGCTGCTTCACACAGTCCACATGGTCCCCCTGAGCCGACATGTGGATGGGAGACAGACCGTTCTGAGGACAGGGAGGAACACTCATTATCATTATCAATATTTACCTCATGAACAGAAGTTTGATGGTTCATTCAAACGTCTAAGTGACCACAAAAAGTACTAGTTCTGAGTCATTTCTGTACGTTTTAAGAATAAACAATACAGGTGATATATCCATGTTTTGATATATTGTCCACCTGAAGTAGAGCCTTTTTTTTTTAATTTTCAAGATCCGACATTTACATTATGTATATAAATCTTGGTGTTTTTACCTTGGTCTTGGCCTGGATGGGAGCTCCGTGGTCCAGCAGGATCTCGATGATGCGGACGTGACCGTTTCTGGCGGCGCAGTGAAGAGGGGTCAGCTCATCCTGGACACAAATGCACACAATTTAAGCTCAAATGTAAAACTTCCAAAGCATTTGATTCTTTATGGTGAGAACTGCACCTTGGTCTTGGCATCGATCTGCGCTCCTCGGTCCAGCAGCAGGCGCACCATGATGACGTTCCCTCGTCTGGACGCGATGTGCAAAGGCGTGATGCCGTTCTGTGGACACACCAGGCATTTAGAGCCATGGAACAAATTAGGGTTCTGGTGTGTATAAATCAGGTGCATCTACTTAATCCCAAGTTCCATGCTGCGGCTTCTCTCTCTCTTGACAAGGTGACGTTTCTACCGTTTTCTACCCTTTTCTGCAAACTGCATTTGCAGTTTTTGTGATCCGCATTGTTTTGCAAGATGTTGTTGTACATCTTTGCCATGTTTTTGTGGAGTTCAGCGGATTTTTTACTGCCAAAGCTCTTTGCTAGCAATGAACAGAGGATGTGTTTTTAAACGTAAACACACAGTTAGCATCTGAGCTAAAGGCTTTTTGAGCAGTATTTAAGACCTACAAATCCAGAGATATCATCTTCTGAAGCGCTGACAGGTCACCGAGGGCCCCACGCATCTGCAGCACAGTGGAGGCGTCACAAGAGGCGCTACAGGAGTCCCGGCCTCCGTTGTGGGCAACTTCTACAGAGGGACTGTAGAGAGCATCCTGACCAGCTCCATCACTGGGTGGCACGGCACCAGCACTGCCTCCTGCCGAAGGAGCCTCCAGCGCATCGTGAGAGCAGCAGAGAAGATCTGTGGAGCCCCTCTCCCCACCATTAAGGACATGTACTTCACCCGTCTCACCCGCAAAGCCGTCAGAATCACCAGGGACCCTACGCACCCATCACACAGGCTCTTCAGGGTAATGCCTTCAGGGAGGAGACTGCAGAATTTACGGAACAGTTCCAGTCGACTTAAAAACAGTTTCATTCACAAGGCCATCAGGAAGCTGAACTCCCTGTCCTCCCCCCCCACCCCTCTTCCCCCACCCCCCGCTCCACAATCAAGGATGAGAGAAATATAATTTCAAACCATTCACTTGGTTTGACAAATAAAAATCTTGAAATCTTGAATGTTAATTTCTTTGGATTTCAAGTTCCAGCAGGATTTGGTGCCTGCCCAATTGGTGTAAACGAACTCATTAGAATTGTAAGAAAAATTGAAATGTTTCACTAATGCGATGATTCTCTGTATCGTAAACAACTTTGCATTGAGCGACTGAAACGTTGCTAACTTTTTCATGGTATGCTAGTTTTTACGTAATATTCAGTAAAGTTTGCAGATGCTTTTCCTGTGATAGTTTGTCAAAGACTGTGATAATTGATCCTTTGATGACTGCTTTGTGTGCGGCACCTTTGGGGTGAAGTTGACGTTGGCGCCTCTGTTGAGCAGCAGCTGAGCCACGTTCAGGTTCTCGTAGTGAGCAGCGATGTGCAGAGGAGTGAAGCCAGTCTGGAACACAAACACACACGGCACATTTAAGGACGTTTATTCATATTTAATAACATTTATGGATGTCGGTCATCCCACTCCCTATGAACCTTTGAACCAATGCATAAAAAAATTAAAATAAAAAAAGTCCCACATCTAGTGCAAGTGCGTGAAGAAGGTTTTTAGACTACTACACTACTTTGTGAAGGCCTTGACCTGAGCTGAATGTGTCTCTCTGTGGAGCCTTTGTGAGCAGATGTCCAGTACCTTGCTGAGGACGTCAGGGTTGGGGTCGTTCTGCAGCAGGACAGCAGCGGTGCGCGTGTCGTCGTTGCGGGCAGCGATGTGCAGGGCGGGCAGTCGCACTTTGCCTTTGGTGCCGTAGTTTATGAGAAGGGCCACCACGTTCTCATGGCCCTGCTGCAAGGCCACGGCCAGAGGTGTGAAACCGTCCTGCGACAAACAGAACGTCGTCAACTACATGTGTGGAGCTGGAGACCACTGTGTTCTGCTGATCAGGCCGAAAGAGGGCGACTCAAAAGTATCAGTACTATATGGACCTTGTCTGGAATAAAGAATTTATTATATATATATTTATTATTATATATAGATTATTTATTATAGATTATGACAATGATTATGATGATGATAGATTATGAAATACTTTGTCATTTCATGTTTTGTAAAGTGAATTAAAATCATGTAAGGTAAAACAAGTATCAAGGGTCAGTAATGCTATCAACCTGCCCGACACCTCTGCTACCATCAGAGGGAGGCGAAGAATACATTTGTTTCCAAATTAAAAAAAGACCAGCTACAAACGCTCCATGTGATATCAAAGATGTCATTTCTAATGAGACAGGATCTTTCAGAGGGAGTTACATGTCCAAACAAAACCTCTTTAGACCTTTAAGCATTAGCCGTTTTGCTGACACATGAATTACTGCTAATTCATTTTAGCCAAATATAACTTAACACTGAGCATCCACTTCATACTTCTCGATATTTGATCTCTTCTTTGTGAAGGATTTTACCACATTTACAATGATGAACATATAAGCACGGAGCGCGGACAGGAGGCGCGGTACCTCGGTGGGAATGCTCTGGTTGGCCCCGTTCTCCAGCAGAAACTTGACCACCTCTAGATGGTTCTCCTGCGCTGCCATGTAGAGAGGCGTGAAGCCCTTCTGCAGCCAGACAGCGCCACCCGCAGGAGACAGAGAGCACAGACACAAGCACAGAGAAAAGAGGATGCACAGGGATGGGACATGGCACACGTCACGTACTGTACAAACAACGCAGAGATGTTGAACTGTGAATATGTGTGTGTGTGTGTGTGTGTGTGTGTGTGTGTGTGTGTGTGTGTGTGTGTGAGATCAAACCTGGGACTGGGCGTTGACGTTGGCGCCATAGTTGACCAGCTCGGTGACCACCTGCTCCTGTCCCGCCAGAGCTGCTATGTGCAGGGCTGTGTTTCCCTTCTGTGGATAGCAGACACAACACACTTCAGCTTTCTCAAATAAGCCACAAGACGATACAACTATGCATTACAATTCAACAGCACCAAGTTGTGTCGAGCTCCGTGGTTTTCATGAACCTCAGCCTTTGAAAAGGCACGGGAAGAAATGGCAAAAACATCTTGTTACAGTATGTGCTTTAACAATGTAGATACTGAAGGTCATGAATAGTCAAAATACTCATGAAAAACCCTAAAGGCCCCGTACTGGGACCTAGAACTAGATTTTTAAAAACTGGTGAAATTAAACAAATCTAGTTGGTAGTTATGATGATCTCTCTCAGTACACGGTACACAGTACACAGTACACGGTACACGGTACACGGTACACAGTACAATATCAGCTTATCCAATTAGAAAGGTAGTTTTAACAACCACTATGTTTTAGAGAGAAGATGTCAGTGGTTCTTGGGACTTTGGTTTCCACATCACTGCTGTTGCCCGCTAACAGCTCCATTGTGGAAATGTTGCTTTAGTCTGTTTACATTAGTGTAGTGCATAAATGTTTGGGTCTCTGTGGTCGAGAGGACAGCGGTGAAGTGACCTTGGTGGTGGTCTCCACGGTGATCCCGTTGTGCAGCAGCTCCAGCACCATTTTGACGTGACCTTCTTTGGAGGCCAGGTGCAGCCCATTGAGCCCATTCTGAGGAGAACACACAGCTGTAGAAACATGCTAACTCAGGCTACAATGCAACACATATGTTTTGAGATTACAAATTAAAATATATTTGGTTTATACGATAAGATACATTAGTTCTTATTTCAAGCATACATCATTTGTCAACGTGGTAAGAATAAAAACTAACCTCACTGACAAATTGATTGCCTTGAACTAAATCATCTTATAACTTATAACAAAATGTGAATGAGATTTCTCGGCTCCATTAACAGATGGAGCCTCATCTGTTTTCTGCAGCTAAACAGTATGTTGTTAGTTCCTGTGCATAATTAAACAAAAGACTTTATTATTTGCCGGTTGATGGTCGACAGATAGATCCGGTAAATAAATGGATGGTTTCAGCAGAGACATGATGCACATTCCACACACACGGGCATGGTGAGGAGGTGGTGTTACCGGGGGGTCCATACTTACACTCAACACGAGCATGCACATGGAGTAAGGGGTGGATGAAGGGGGGTGCTGGTCTCTGCATGGTCCGAGAAGAAGGGGAGGCGTGTGGGATAGGTCCGACCTCACACAGCCCTTTACAGTCGGCCACAGGACATGTGAGGTTGGACCTTTCCCACAACATGGACATGATTCCTCTGAGCAGAGAGACCAGACCCAGCCAGAAGCAGGACTGCTGTGGAGGGGCAGTGGGGGAGGGGGTGGCTGTCATTACCCAAACTAATGTCCAGTCTCCTTTGGCATCTTTTCCAGCTTTATTTTGTGCATACTTTATACATAATCATACAAACAAAACCACATTTCTGTCCCATTCACACGTTCAAAAGGGAGTAGGAAGAAGCAATAGTTTATGTGGTCATTTTATATGTTATTATTCAGTACTTTTCTCACTCATTTAGATCTATTTACTTAGAGTTAGGTTTGTTTCAGAAACATTTTCAACAGATTACAACTTCCTATTTCAGAAAAGCCAGTGAAATAAGCTCCTTGTTTGTATCGATCTATTGTCAAAACTCAGGAAAAAGCTGGTCCTTTAGTAAAATAACACGTAGGATAATAATGTAAATCAAAGTCATTTTAATTAACTACAGTAGATATTATTTTTGCAGTTTATTTAAATACATACATTAATCTACTTCCCAAAAACGGCTTTTGCATATTCTCTTGTTTGTTTATAAACTGAGTAATCATTATCACAAAGAGAGCGATGCCAAAGTGTGTGGACATGTTTGCAATGACAGAGGGAGGGGCTAAAGCAGGAACATGCTGGAAAACAAGCCACTGAAACACAGCACACAAATCATGCATGGATTTTATCATCGGCCCGTGTTGAAAAAACAGTCAAAGAACCTAATTTGAACTGAATTAATGAGCTATAAAAGATAAAACAAATGATTAAAGCGTTTTGTTAGATTGTGGGGTGAGTTTGTTCTGAAAACGTGCTGTTTCTCTGGGGTTGGATTCAGATTATATATATTTATATATATTATATGTGATAATCAGGCAAGAATCACTTTGTCAAAAATGGAAAAACAACTTCTCATTTACCTAAAGTTTCTACATTTGTTGATTAATTCTCTCGAGCATTAATCAAACGTGTAGATGTTTAATGTGGCTTGAGACGGGGGAGAAAATGAAATGACTTTTGCCGCCTGCTGATTCTATATAATGTCTCTTTTCAATTCATGGGGTTCAGGAAATGTTGTGTGAGGAGCTTTTCTCTTTCAAAGGATACAATGTTTGGTTTGAGTTGCTTGACTGCTACGGCGATGGTGGACCGTTGCCATGGTGTGAAACCCATGAGTAAACTATTTTAAAAGTTTACAATATAAGAAATGAAGAGTTGAAGAGACAGAAGTAATACCATAAGCTGATGTCACCATAGAGTTGGCCAATTGCGGACAAAGCCGATCTGAACATAAGCTAGCTGGAGCCAATGTCCTTATTTGGGCATTCGTTCCATTTGCGTTAGTGTTGCTAGGATGGTTGCTAAGGCAAGTGGAACTATCCCCTGCGAACGAAGACATCTGATTGGTCAATCGTTATATGGCTAATAATGAAAATATAAATACGTATCACAGAGAGTGCTAAACCACTGATTTTTAAGGTACAAAATGAAGTACTGAGCTTAAAGAATTCACTTTTCAATGTAAGTTAATAGAAGCCAGAGCGAGTTGGAGCAAAACTTCGTCCCTGAACACTTCCCTATTGGACTTCATTGAGCTAGTGGGTTAACATTGTCCATCTATATACACTCTGAGTCCATAGGAACATGCCAGGTGCACATGCCAACACCAGATTGAGCCGATATGTCACATGACGTCCTGCTCTCACCTGATTGGCTGTGTTTATGTCGATGCCGTTCTTGATGTGGTCGAGAGCCTTATCGAGGTTTCCCGATCGCGCCGCTCGGAGGAAACTGTTGCCAGCATCAGCCTGCACAGAAGGGCACGTACAGGGGCAAGGAGGGATAAACGCAACAGTTAGACACGTCGCAAAAACAGTCAGAATACAAGCGAGGGGAAGTCCGTCCAGTCAGACTTGGAGCTCCGACTTGGCTGCAGTGGAGACAGAGGTTTAAGTCCGGGCTTTGGACTCGGCAAGTGTGATAATGAGGCCAGCAGAGGGCAATGAAGGAACACCACCTCAAATTTTACGATTCGTCATTTTCAGTGAAACGCCTTACAAGAAAACAAGAATAAACATCTGGTTTTGTGTTCATACATACATCATTCAGCAACGACTTTACAACAGAAGGACAGAACAGGTGTAGGCTGAAGCTAATTCTGTTTTTACGTATCCGTTTAGTCATTAGCATAAGTTAATGTATTTATTGACATAAGAACAAACTTACAGAAGCGACAGTATTCAGAGTTCATGTATCTGTCCCAAATCATATTTTTATTCAACTTGAAGAACTTACATGATTTAAATGAATCTAACAGATACACACAATGTCATACCGTGGTCAGGGAGGATTTTATGGCAATCACCAAAGTAACACACAACAATTCTCACAAACAGTTAACTTACTTTAAAGGTCTATTATATAAAACATGCTAAATATTTATGGTTATGTAAAATTCTCCAGTGTGTCTTTTTGAGAGTAAAGGTCAAAATAAATATATTTTCTATCATGTTATGAGTGTTTTGACAGTGGCATAAACAGATTACACAACTTTGCGCAGTGCAGTTGTATGATTTAAACCAGGGGTCTCCAACCAGTAGCTCGCCAGCCCCTTTCAGGTAGCTGCCCAAAGGATTTAGAATGATTCACTTTTGAGTCAGTGCTCATCTGTATTCTAGTATAAACATAGGATTATACAGTATTATGGTATTTTTTATCAGTCTGTTTTTCATGTTTTGTCAAAATGATTGCATATTTGTGTTATGACTGCGATAACTGCCTCTTCTGTTGCATAGAAGTAGCTCTCTGATTGAAAAAGGAAGGAGCCCCCCGATTTAAACTCAACTCTGTCTGCTTTAGGAACAAAAGGAAAGTTTATGAGGGGAAAGGTAAACAAATATTTATCTATGACTGTATTTTTGTCTTCTGTGGAGAGTGTCATGGGCTTGTTATCAAATGTTTGTTTTGAGACACCTCCAGAAGAAGACGTTAGACTTTCACAGCTCAGCAGATCGAGCTGTGATGTCACTGTGATGGAACTTTATATAATCAGTTTTGAGACGGCGCTTATAACACAGACGTATTCTCACCATTCACAAAAGTTTCAACAAGTTTTCAGTGATAAACAGATTTCTAGCAATATATTTCAGGCTTCTTGTTTGTTTTGCAAAAGAAAAGTTTCAGAGAGAGAGTTTAAACATGACATGAAGCTTTGTTTTAGTTTCTTAGTGATTGTTTGACTTGATTCAATATGTTTATAGCCCTGTACTTTCTTATGCCATAATTATTCTCCAGTGTGGTAAGAAACGGTGACTTACCTCCCATGTTTGTCATCTCTAAAACATCTATAACTATAAAGCAAATGTCGTAATCAGTCTGAAAAGTCTTCAAATCAGTAATTCAAGTATTTTTGGTAGAATTCAGATCAAAAGTGTTGCCATGCATGAGCAAATTCGGATTAAATAAGTGAAAATATTGATGCAGCTCCACAGTCATATCCACTGCAGCTTCCGAGACATGAAAACCACGCAGCTTTGCACCTGACCTCACAGCGGCCGCCTCTTTCTCTGCTCCACTCTGCAAAGTCCATCTACACGACCATCCGCCAGCCCCGGGACATAAATCCACCAGTCTGAGCCCAACGACGGCTTTTCTGAACAGATCTGAACAGGACTGTGGGATCCTGTGTGTGTGTGTGTGTGTGTGTGTGTGAGGGAGGGAGAGAGAGAGAGTGTCTGAGTAGAATCTTTTGTTGTGACAGGAACAGAACAGTAGTTTTTTTTTTCTTTTTAAAGGAGAAGGAGTGAGACCAAGCGCATGCCACTGCAGAGACCTGGCAACGAATGACACACAGGGAGCGATCGAGCCGGCGTGATTCCACAGAGACCGTGCAGGGGGTGGAGAAGGAGGGGACGGGCCAGAGAAAAGAACTCGCCAGTGAATGTCAACATCTCTGTGTTTGTGCCATACCACATAATATTTGTTTTTAGATGGATTCATTCTCTTCCCAATTTCAGTACTGAGTGACGCCTTGAAAAAGTTTTCGTAACCCATAAACATTTTGTCTTGCTACAACCACAAACATAAAGATAATTTAATGGATTTTTTGTGAATAACCAACAGACAATTGTGAAGTGAAAGCAATGTTTCACATGATAAAAAAAAAAAAAAAAAAACATAACTGTGTGGCCTGCAAAGGTTTTCCCTGAGTGCAAGCAATTGTCTTTAGGAGTTACTGATGGTGACTACGAGAGCAGAGAGTGATCTAATCCCAATTTTATTATAGCTGTCCTGTGGCGGCTTCGAGGTTTGATAAGACAGTATTAGGCCCAGTTTACACGGAGACACTGCAGCAGTAAAACGCTATAGTTGGATGTCGGTTGCTACCCCCCGTCCATACGGAGACAGTGTTCCAGGGGGGTGAAAACTTAAGTGTTCAGAAAAAGGTGTGAAATCCCTGCCTGATCTGACCCCCACCTCCCCACTGCTCCCACACGTACATTTGGACATGCGCAGTAGAACAAACGTAAACAACAATGGGGCGGGTGCAACTAGCTACTTGTGCTTCGAGCGCTACACGGAGAATAATTCTTCTTCTCCTTCGTTCGTCCAATCAAAACCACGCAAAGCTCTGGTTCAGTTTCGGTTTTCGCAGCTGCTGTTAAATGCAGGATTATGTTGGTGCATCTTTCACGTCTTGCAGAGGAAGTGAGTAAACTGCTGGGGGTTGCGTGTGTCGTGTTGTAAAGTTCCTCTGCCCACTACTGGCCGGGCGCTAGAACTGCATCATTTTTGATACTCATATGCACGCTGTGAAATTTGCATTAGGAGCCAGGCCGTTTCTGTTAATAGTCTAGAAACGTCTGCGCAGCGCCTCCGTAGAAACCTCCCCTGAGTCACTAAAAAGTCTGAGGAAGTTGGGGAGAAGTTTAAGGCATGGTTAGCTGGCTTCCCAAGCTCTCATCTGGGAATTAAAATGTAGGGCACAACTGCAAACCCACCAAGACATGGCTGTGCGCAGGTCGAACAAGGAGAGCACTGATCAGAGATACAGTCAAGAGGCCTATGGTTAATCTGGAGAAGATGCAGACTTCCACATCTCACCTGGGGCAATCTGTACATGGGGCAAATATTAATGATAATACTTTTAACAAGCCACACATTGTTTGTATGTATGTATACTAGAATATTTAAATCATGTATCATTTTGCTTTCACTTCACAACTGTCTGCCGCTTTGTGTTAGTTCAATATCCAATAAAATGGTCGTAACTGGACAAAATGTGAATACACTGTACTGTATTCTACTGATTTACTGATTGTGTGAAAATGGGAAGAACAAAATGTATTGTCTTCATTCAAGCTATAGTACCAGAAAGTATCAGGCCTGTCTCCAAACTATTGAACTATTCCAGGTCATATCAGCAACTAAATGTTTATAGTCAAAAATAACCTCATGTTGTACTGAATCCAAAGGGCTGTCCTTCCTGCACTTGTTAGCTTGACTGATGAATAATAAATAATCTTGATTTATTGACTATTAGAACTAGTTTTTTGAACATATCCGAGAGTACACCACTATCTCCATTGGGGTTGCATTTATCAAAGGCTCTGAGGACCGCAGACAACTTATTTCCTAAATGAAAACAATGAAACCAGGGCCTCTGGGTGACGTCTCAAACCCGCAGCCGAGGACCCCTGAGAGGAGGAGATAAGACCACACCCACTGAACCTTTATCTGCTGCTGTGTTGAGATGAAGTGAATACCAAATGGCCTTCTGAGTTTCATCCTGGATATCGCTGCAATCTCCAAAAAGAAAGGCCCAATTCCAACCGGGATTTTACCGCAATCAACAGAAAGTCACATGGTCATTAGATTAAGTATAAGGTACGATTGTTAAAGAAAGCTTTTAGTTTATATTTTATCCAGCACCCTAATTGGTTATCATAACATGGGAGCTGGAGCTGTTACTACTGGGAAGGTCCTGTCTAAAATGAACAGCCCCTGCAGAAATCACTGCTGTTTCTGATCTACAATTCTTTGCTTTCCCCTATTTTTGTCGACAATAATTACACATTTCCACCGTAAATACACACTCAGGCTCCTTAAATGTGTCGCTGCTGACATTTTCTGGTGGAACAATGGGACTAGATGCGCAGCGGCGGATGTGGGAATGCCTCAAAGTGCTTAAGCAGCGTTTCTCTCCGTTCTGCTGACCAACGATTGTCGGAGATTGATTTTTTTTTCCTCTTTCCTTCTTGGAGCCCCATCTGTGTTTAAAGGGCCAGAGACGGCGCACCCATGGGAGCACTCCTCTGTGGGTGTGTGTGGGGAGATTTAACGGAGCTATTTTAAGGACACACTTGATTTAACGCAGATCGATGTTTTGAGCGGTTCATTTAAAGGACACACGCTACTCAAAATCGACATGAGATTTTAATATGTTACAACTTTATCAAATCAGAACAACGCTTGTTTTTAACCTTTTTCACTCCAAATATGTTCACATGACGTCAGTGATGTGAACCCCCTGCATGTTCCTGACAGACCTCAGAAGCTAAGCAGGACAGGGCATGGCTTGTACTCCGATGGGAGACCTCTGAGCCACAGTGGGGCGACTGGTGCTGTAAATGGCCATACTGTTATCGTGTCCTTAGGCAAGACACTTCACCCACATTACTCAGTGTGATGTGGGTGAGTGATTTATGGGCGGTGTTTGCAAGGACCGATGGCTCATACTGGTTGCCTCGCTTCTGTCAGTCTGCCCCAGGGCAGCTGTGGCTACAGTAGTAGTTTATCCCCATTGTGTACAAAGTGAAAGAATAAGGCTAAGTGAAGCGTCTTAGAGTATTAAAAAAGAAAAAAAAAGAAAAAACACTATATAAAACCAATGTATTTGTGATCATTATCATATCTGTGACATTTTGCAGTTGCAGGTCACATCTGGGGCAGTATTCTCTCAGACAGACCTCTTCTCTGACAACGTTCAAATCCAAGTTAAAAACCTCTTAGCTGTGCTCATTTCTTTATCTGGTATATGAATGAAGCCAAACGGCATTTTGTCAAACAATTCTGAGTCAGAGTGGATTACCCCTGTGTCAGCCAATCAGCTCTTAGCCCAAAACTAATGTTATTAAATAGTTAATATGAACTCTTTAGATTAAGATGATTTGTAGTTGCTCACTTTTGTCAGAAGGTTCTATGTTTAAAATACATATTCTGAACCAACCTAATAACAAAGTGTATATTTCTTCCACCGTTCATGATTTTTTAATACATGTATTTTCTCATGTGACAATAATATAGATAATGAATAACTAATTTTGTAAAAGTAATCCAGCCATGGGAAGGAGTTCGCAAAGCCCGTTTATATTTGGGGACGATTCGTGGCCTCGGCGGGGTATGTGCTCTCCGAGTGCATGTTCTAGTTATAATTATGTTTCCATTGCTGTGTCTATGAGAACGCCTTCATGTCAGACGGAACAAATCGGCTACAAATAAGTCTTTGTCCCGTGTCTACAGAACTCGGAGCATTTACTGTTTACTCCCCCCCTCCCCTTACGGATGCGTCGCTGCAGTGAGATAGGATTGTCATGGCTCTCCTCCGAACCTTTGTTACCATGACAATGAGATGATGCCTGGTCAGCGTCATTCTAATCTGCAAATTAATATTCATAAAGAAATGCGCGCTGTAAACACGGTGTGCACCTGCTCCTGTGGGTTACTTTTGTTGGGGATGAAATGAGCTCTTTGTCCGAGATCGAAGAACAGAGAATGGAGTTAGACGAGCTGTAGTTTGTTCAGATGTGATGCTACTCTGCAGCAGGTGAAAGAAGCTTATTACAATTATGCAAGATCTGTCACTGGTTTGAAGACAATTCTACACTGCAAAAACTGATGAAAAATACAGCTCCATTGTGGCAAAGTGTATCTTAATTTGAGCACTGAGCTTAAAACCAGATTTGCCGATGGGACCAAGCTAAATGATCTAGTTTTAAAAAGATACAAGAAATGTCTCCCTTGGAATGAGAAAATAAAGTAGCAGTTCCTGAAATAAGTCTAAATGGCTTTGTCCCTTTGATAAATCTGGTTTTAAGACAGTCAGAATTTACTCAAGTCAAGAAAAAACGTTTGTGGCCAGAACAATAATCGGTGGATGTCCTGTCAGCTGAACATGACCAGTTCTGCTCTGTAAACAAATATGTATTTAGAACTTTTTATTTAGTATCACTTTACCACCAGAGGAAGGAGTATGTTGTTTATTTGCAAAATTCACAGATTCACTGGTTTTTGATTTCAAAGAATGTAATTTCTTCTGAGAAATTGCCAAATCTATAGATAGTACTTTTGTTTGAAAAGCGAAAGGCGTCTTACAATCACACCATTGTTATTGTTATTATTATTTTATGACATCATACTGGTACAGGACTGAGACAGGAGCTTTGAGACATGTTTGCGCCAGAAGTTTAGTATCAGTGATAGATATATTAGCTTTCATGACACGGGATCAATGCTGTGACACGGTTAAAAGCACAAAAACATCTATTTGAAGTGTGCCAAATCTTCAGAAAAGTTCTCAGTGGATAAAACCGGTTTATTTCTAAATGCTTTATGATATGTTTTCATGAGTTTTAAAGCGCAATCTTTTTAAAGTGTCTCTTTTTGTATTAATAAAAAAGCTAAAACATGTCTCTGAATGGGCCAAATCCAACTTAAAGCCATTCACATAAACATCTTGGGTAACTGTTGTCGCAGAAACAATAAAAAAATATTGCTACATTTCAGTTCCATTTGTTTTGTGCATTAAAAATATCTGCATCAATCGGCTTTAAGCTAACGTACAGCACCTAAACCAGGTCTTAAACCACAAAAGACCAAAGGAGAGTCGTATCCACTTAAACATTTCCTTAACTGAACTTTTACTCGGCTGCTTTCTCGTCTGTGTGTGGATTAAATCTCTTCCAGTCAATGAAGCGCCTCTTAATTGACCTGCTAATCATGGCTGACCCGGGGTTTGCTCTCCGCTGCTAATCCCGGTCAACATGAGGAAATCTGCTGCTCAAACATGGCAACCCGCGCGGGCTCAAAGAACCCCGATAATCTGGGGTCGCAGGTTACCCAGACAGAGCCCTTAAGTGAGATCAACCCTTTACACGCCGTAGAACAAAGCTGCCGTAGAGTTAAGGGCGTTTTTAATGTACTTTTTAGAACTGTTAACTCATTGACTGCCAGCCGTTTTTGATCATTCCACTGTTTCTCAAGACCCACAGAATATTATTTCCTATGACTATGTGAAATATGAAACCAGATTCTGAAAGACTGGATTGTCTACTTTCATCAGCAAAAATAAGCTTGGTTCTAGCTGTTTCTATGGTCCTGTAATCCCCAGTCAAATAGAGGGTCTCAGACAAATAAATCAATGGCAGTCAATGGCAGTCAATGAGTTAAAAGACTTCTCGGCTGAATCTGTCTCATCTATGACAATCCCCAAATGAACCTCAATCCAGTTATTATCAACTGCTCATGCCCCATGCTCTCCAGGGCTCCTGGGCACACCGGGAAAAAGGTTGGGAACCACTGTGTTACATCGACGGAAGATCATTTCTACCGTTTTATTTAAAGGTGTCTCTAAATGTGTTACTTTCGGCTTCAAATTATATTCAATACGGCTGCATTGGGGTTGTAATTTCACATGAAACCGGTCGTCTCCCATTCACGGTCAGACTGCTGCTGATCTGTGATAAGTTATTCTTTATCTACGCACAGGCAAAATGTAAAATAATAAGACCCTGCAAGAAGTTTTACATTTCAGCAGCTCATAGTTTTCAAGTGAGAAATAGAACCTTCTTTGTATTAGCGAAAACAAGACGTTTTAAGCATTTAAGAAAATCTATATTATGTACATTTAAATAGTTTTTTTCATTCACTAGAAGTAGATATTTTCGAAGATCGTTAAGAATTAAACAAATACATGAAAAAAAAAAATAGATCCAAGTGTCACGCATGAATACAGCCTCAAACCAGACCATAAACAAACTTCCATTGTGTACATCAAGTGACCACAGTTACAAAAAGACATATTTAAAATGAATTTTAAAGTGTCTTGAGTATTGTCTTTGGATGCTAACAGTAGAGTGGGACTTCTACAAATACATAGTGAATATACATATTTTTTTAGATAATTAATTTTAAACCAATAAGTTCAGAAGCAAAGATGAACTCAGCATAAACATTATTCACACTTCTCAAAAATAACAACAGCAATGTCCTTCATTAAGTGTAAGCGTACTCACATGTGCCGTGCAGCGCCAGACTGGCATGTCTGCTTCCCCCGGGGCCCCGAGAGCCAAGTGCTACTCTACTACTACTACTACTACTACTAACCCTACGACTACTACATTTACTACTACTGGGGGTGAGGGTGGGGCCGGGTTGGGGGAGTTATCTCTGCAGGAATGCCACCATATCTGAAGAAACACACATTTGAATGCCCCCCAAACAAGCGGGGCCCCTCGCTCAAGTGCCGTGGTGTTTTTAAACAGGGGGGCGGGGTCCGGGGCCCTCCTTCTCCTCTGTACTATAGGGACATCTATGCAGGATAAGGAGCCACTTTCGACATGTGAAGGTGGCAAATATCAGAGTTTGTACTTGTCAATGTGATATTATGACAGATCTGTTACCGCTACATCTCTTGGTCTGACGGGAATTAGGGCGTTAGAATATAATATATAAGCACAACGTTGTATGAACACAATTGGATTCAGAAAAGCTCTGAACATATTTTAACCCCTTTTTCCTTGCGGCCCCTGGGCAGCGGCTGGAACGGTTGCCATGTTGTTTGGGTCTGTGTGAGCTAATCTCCACGGGGAAGACAGGAACAGGTCAAAATGGGCAAAACATGAAAGCAGCAGCCTAAACTTCTGTCTAAACTGCTGCTATACACGTAGATATTTATACGTGTATAGCGTATAAATATATCCTACAATGAAAATGCCGCGGCAACAAGACTTGGTTGGTTGAAGGTGGGTTGAACGCAGAGCACGCGTCTCTCAAAGTTCCTGTGTTTTTGCTAATGTGGGACTGAGGTTTATGATGTAACAGCTGGAGCAGGGTCTCATTTTAAATAAATACTTTTTATCATCTCTAACAGTCTCTATGTCACCTCTGCCAGTGCAGGGCCACTGATCTGAGAAGTCATGCCTGTAGTGACGCCATATCCATGTTCCCCAGAAGAGTTCAGAAGGTCCAGACTCCAGACCCTCTCTCTCACACAAAATATTTAGGTTGACAAAACAATAATTAAAATAATAAATAATTACAGTACATTAAGACTGAGATTAAGAGATCCTTTAATCTTAATGTACTGTAATTATGTATTATTTTAATTCCTTTGTGTCTATTACAGAGTAAAGATAATATCCCTCGGTTGTTTTAACCTGGATTTGAATATTGCCAGAGAAGAAGTCTGTCTCACACTTTCAGGAAGACTGTTCCTGATTTTAAATGCATAAATCTGAAATACTGCCTCCCTATATGTAGTTCTGACTCTGGACACCAGTCCCTGTGCTCCTCAGAGTCCCAGCAGGAGTCCAGTCCCTGTGGTCCTCAGAGTCCCAGCAGGAGTCCAGTCCCTGAGCTCCTCAGAGTCCCAGCAGGAGTCCAGTCCCTGTGCTCCTCAGAGTCCCAGCAGGAGTCCAGTCCCTGTGCTCCTCAGAGTCCCAGCAGGAGTCCAGTCCCTGAGCTCCTCAGAGTCCCAGCAGGAGTCCAGTCCCTGAGCTCCTCAGAGTCCCAGCAGGAGTCCAGTCCCTGTGCTCCTCAGAGTCCGGGCTGGTTCATATGGGACTAACATGTCACTAATATATTTTGGTGCGAGGCCATGGAGAGACTTGTAACAAGCAGAGCTGTTTTAAAGTCTATTCTCTGAGCCACAGGAAGCCAGTGCAGAGACCTGAGGACTGGACTAATGTGGTCGTACTTCCTGGTTCTAGTCAGGACTAATATGGTCGTACTTCCTGGTTCTAGTCTGGACTAATATGGTCGTACTTCCTGGTTCTAGTCAGGACTAATGTGGTCGTACTTCCTGGTTCTAGTCAGGACTAATGTGGTCGTACTTCCTGGTTCTAGTCAGGACTAATATGGTCGTACTTCCTGGTTCTAGTCAGGACTCGAGCTGCTGCATTTTGAATGTACTGCAGCTGTTTTACAGCCTGTTTGGACAGACCTGTGAGCAGGCCATTGCAGTAGTCTAACCTACTGGAGACAAATGCATGGATAAGAATCTCCAAGTCTGCTTTAGACACTATGTTTTTGATCCTTGCAATGATTTTTAGATGGTAAAAGGCTGTTAAAATGCAAGTCTGAGTCCATTACCCGCAGATTTCTGACAAGATTTGAAGGTTTTAGGAAGAGAGACTGAAGGTGACAGACAACGCTTTCTTTGTTTCTGGGAACCAAAGACAACCATTTCAGTTTTGTCTGTGTTTAACTTTAGTTGTTTTGCATCTTACTTGCTATTGTCTGAATGGACCTGGTTGGTTTGTGCCAGAAAGGTAAGACACAATCTAATTGGGTTTTATTTGATGCAATATATTCAAATTCATATTACACAAGGGGGATGTTTCTAAAAATATTGAGGCTTCAACCATTTACATTTACCGTAGTGTAATTTGTCCTGTGCGACTTGCATGGATGAACACCCCAGTTACTGGGGAGTGAGCCCATCGTAGCACAGAACTCTGAACTGTTCAGAAAAAGCGTTTCTGAAATGGTTACACATTGAGCAGGTGTGAATACAACCTGAAAGAGACATGCAGTGGGGGACAGTTCCACGGTCTGAGTGCGTCACGTAAAAGACAGTCCCCTAACGACATACACACATATCTATGTATCTGTGTGTGTGTGGAGTTGTGTGGAGTTGTGTTACAAGAGGAGGTCCTTGCCACTGGCCCATGACAATAGGCCAGACACCGGGATCGTGTGTGTGTGTGTCTCTCTTAAGACCCGGCCTCTTTTAATAAAGCGTCCGTCACTCGAGGCTTGAAAAGACCCCCCTCTCACCCACCCCTGGCTGTAGGAGCAGAGGAGCGCTGGGAAAAGCACATCCATGCCAAAACCACGCAGGGAGATAAATGCACGAGACCCAAAGAAGGAGGGGGCTGTTGGGGGGTTCTAGTCAGCGCCACTGGACCATGACTGGGCCAAAGCGTCACGTCAGAAATCTACACTTTCTACTATATTTCAGAAAGTACAGAGTCGCCATCATGGTTTGAAGTTTCACTGTGTAGGTTTTCTGGAGGGTACGTCAACTGCTTGTTTCCTGAAAATGCAAATTATTATTATTTTGATGACACAAACGCTCCACTGTCTAGTAAACGTATGACATTTTGGGGGTCAGGTAAAATAATATCAAGGTGCACTGGTTTTTAGTGAAAGGTAGCAAGGCTTTTGGTAAAATAAATAAATAAACTGAACTGGACTAACTTGCTCTAGACAGCTAGCTAGCTAGCTAGTCTTGTCATTAGAAAACATATAAAAACAGTTGAGCCTTTACTGACTTTTATGGCGCACCCCCAAATGCAGCAGTTTCACTCATTGACAAGGAAAAGATGCTGCTGTTCAGGACTTCCGTAAGCTTCAAACACATCAGAAGAAAAGTTCCAAGATTTCAGAAATGTGACCCAAGAAGTGCTTGTTATTCCTGAAAGTCTTGCACTCTTCGATTATGAACAGTCAAGCCTCAAAGAGGCACATGATCAAGTTGAACATTTCTAAACCTATTTGGGTTTTGAAAAATATCAAGCGTTTGAAGAAATGCCAAGGGCTAAATATCTATCTTTCCTCTCAGCAAGAAGGTTCTAGGTTCGAATCCCAGTCGGAACAGGGCCTTTCTGAGTGGAGTTTGCATGTTCTCCCCGTGTCTGCGTAGCTTTCCTCCAGGTGCTCCGGTTTCCCCCACCACTAAAAACATGTGCAATAGTTGAGGGTGAATGAGTGTGTGTTTGTGCACACACTCATTCAACCAAATAAACTATAAATGAATAAAATAAATCTGGAAACTATCCACGGCACAGTGGTTTCAGCCCAAAAAGCACAATTAAAACTCAAAATGCAGAAAAAGTGTTTATCGTGTTTTTAATGGTTGAAACATACACTTAATAAATTAATCTTGTTGTTCATCGGATAGCTGGTCAGCCTCAAACAAGTTTTTGAGTTAGTATTCCATCATGTATTTTAGCTTTCATTCAGAACAGCCATTCAAGAACTGAAGTGTGACGAGCTTGAGGCTAAGCTGGTGGACAGACCACACTTAGCATTTGCGCAGTGTTAGTTTGATTTTTCTGGACGACCTGTCCACCTTGACCATGCCCTGGCACATTCCCCAGTGCTCATGCACATGCTGCATGCAGGCTTATCCTTCCCACACACACTACTCTCACACACTGACTAGAACTCTATGAAGCTTATAGCGTAGTATTTCAATATCTCATTATGTTAAGAAATGTAGCACTGCATGAAAAGTGTGATTTTCGTCTCTTTTCGGCCCTGTATATTACTGTGAAACTTCTGGGATTCGGCAGTTTGTTGTCCCCTCCTCCCTCCTCCACAGGAGGCTTTAACATGTAAATGGCAATGCTGTGAGCTATACAAATGCTAATCAGGGTTGAGGGGGAGCACACCGTAGACCCGGATTTTGTAAATGCTCAAACACACACACACACACACACACACATTTGATCATGATTGATTATAGCTTGTCATGTCAAAATCAATTAAATAAATCTAATAGGACAAAAGACATGTTGAAAGTGTAAGTGCTCATCTCATGTATGTACAGTACAGACCAAAAGTTTGGATTTTTTATTTTTATTCATGACATGAAAGATGTGTTCTATTCTCGGTTCAAATTATATATATATATATATATATATATATATATATATATATATATATATATATATATATATATATATATATAGGGCTGTCAAACGATTCATTTTTTTTAGTTGATTAATCGCATAGTAATGGTGAGTTAACTCACGATTAATTGCATGTTTAACATTATTTCAAATCCACTCCAATTGAAGTTAAATGAGATTATAAAATATAATTACCAGTGTTGGGTAAGTTACTTTGAAAAAGGGCACGGTGACTGAGTGGATAGCACTCTCGCCTCTCAGCAAGAAGGTCCTGGGTTCGAATCCCGGTCGGACCAGGGCCTTTCTGAGTGGAGTTTGCATGTTCTCCCCGTGTCTGCGTAGGTTTCCTCCGGGTACTCCGGTTTCCCCTACCACTAAAAATATGTCCAATAGTTCTAGCATGCGCCTCCTGTACTGGCCCCGCTCCCATCTCTGTGTGGAGTGAGAGACAAATGCCCAAAAAATTAACAATTGTAAACCGCTTTGAGACTCAGATCTGCAGTGAAAAGGCGGTATATAAATAAATACTTACTTACTACTTACTTACTTACTAAAAGTAATTAGTTATAGTTACTAGTTACTTCTACCAAAAAGTAATTGACTCACTAACTGAGTTACTCCACTATAAAAGTAACTAGTTAGCAGTAAAAGTAACTATTGCGTTACTTTTTCGTTTGTCGTGGTACCGAGCTTTAGCTGGCTGTAATTTAGGATAACTTCTAAGTAGATTAATTGTTGCAACAACCCCACCCTATTTTAGTATGATATGTTAGTTTAGGGAACTGTCCTGCAGGCAAACAGGTATAAGACAGGCCAAGGTGCCATTTAATTAAATTGCATTTATTTTTATCCATTGATCAAACAAACAGATTACAAAACTTGCAATTGAAAGAGACTATTTTAAAATAATTCCCAAAGACACACACGAGCAACACTCACGCCTGACAGTCAAGAACCAGGGAGAATACAGTGCGCAGATTGTGCCTGACAGACAAGAACCAGGGAAAATACAGTGCGCAGAGCGCTGAGTATGTGAACGGAGCAATCGCTTGCTGCTGTTATTATAATAGCTAGATCCATGCTTGCAGCCCGTGCAAAGCTCGCACTCACTCACAGCCGCTAACAACAACCAGAGCGGCCACGGAGCAGGCCATCTCACACGCAGCATTCTGAGTGATATTCTTATGGATAAATGGGCGGGTATTTAAAAAAAATAATGCGTTAATAAAAAATGTAATTAACGTGAGTCAAAACGATAATTTTGACAGGTGCATTGCGTAAGTTAAAAAATGCCATAATGCAATATTTTGCATCTGTGGTCCATCAGCAGTTGCCTGGTGTGTAAACTGAGCATTAGCAGATTCACTGTGGTTGCTTCTGTGAGCGCATACAGTGATTGAGAAATCCCTGACTCTGGTCGCTTTCTCGCGCGCTGTTTAAGCGGAAGTGACGCAATGCGCGTGCCCGTTCACTGTTTTGGCTCCATATGTTCCCTCGCGTTCAGTGGATCTGTCCCGTCCTCGTATCACGCGTATTTGAAGATGGATCCAGCAGTTTCTCTAAGAGACCAGCTTCAGAATCACCGTCTGGAACTCCACGCCAAGCGAAGAGAAAAAAGATTGTCACTAGTGCTACGAAAAGAGCGAAGCGAGAGGCCGACCGGCGGAGAGCTCAGACCCGAGTCGCTCTCGGCCATGCGTTTGAGAAATGGAGAAGTCTCCGAAACGCTCTGGGGATAAAAAATGATCCTCATTTGGCGTTTATCTTGATTAGAAGGTAAGACGGTGACTCAGTTCTAAACGTCCTAGTGTCTTGCACGAATACGAAGAGATATAGCATTATTGTGTGTTAGCTTTTTGACTTAGCAACATGGACTGATTCCATTTGGTTCGGTTTTTTTCTGAACAGTAACAGATTGGCGAGACACATTCAGCATTTCTTTTGTTCTGTATGAAGAATGTCTTGAAATAATGACTGTTACGTTGATTAGTGCTTTTGAAAGAACGTTAGCATCTGTTAGCTTAGTACAGCTGTGTACATTATTGGGCTGCTACTGTGCATGTAAACCATTATGAAACTTGCAGATGCAGTGATTATGTAACTGTACTATATGTACCTCAGTACCTGTACTATATGTATCGTAGAATTGCAGACTATATTAGTAATATAATGTGGTTAGTCCAACTGTAATACAATGAGATGCATGTGTGTATAGGTAACGTGTATTTATTTACTTTATAGCTATGAAAAAATGATGGCATCAAGGAGTCCCAAGGCCTCAACTCCTAAAACCACTACTGCGACTGGTGATCTCCCGAGTTCAATCAGTCCCGTAGAATCTGACCGGTACTTTTTTTTCCCAGAAAAATGGGATTGGCATTATGTTTGATTCAAGCCTTATTGACAATTTCACTGAAACAAACTGTATTTTTTAACAGGGATGACTTATCTGTGGCAGGGGTGCAGCCTTTTATAGAGGAGAAAGAGCTGGAGGTTTTGGAGAAAAGGTAGACATGCATTCACATTAAGATGTACATTGTATTCTCATTTCTAGGTCGTTTATTTATATGATTTATTGTTTTTTGTAGACATTCAGATCTTTGGTTAAACGAAAAACGGGCAAACAATCTAGAAGACAGTGTGTAAGTTACTTAACATGTTTAAAAAGAAATATTTTGTTGATTGTTTTAAAATATGACCTGTTTACTTTCACAGGATTGAGTTTGATGAAGATTTGGCCTCAGATCCATTAGATTCGGAATATGTCCCACCTATATCTTTGAGGTTTTTTTTATTAAATGTTCTGTCCTGAAAATAATGGAAGCCTTCCCTAATTGTTTTTTGAAAAAGCATCAAATTGTTCTTTTTTTCAGTGCTGGTGTTGCAATTCAAAGAGAAGTTGACAATCTTCCCATCCTCGGCATAGAAGAAGCTGTGTTGGACATCTGTGACCCAGAAAATCCCGGAGAACCAGAGGACTTTGAGGATCAGTCTGAGCAGGACATATCAACATTCCCAAAGCCAATTCGTGTGGTTGCTGAAACTGACCTAGTGCACCAACACGCATGCATAGCGTATACTATTAGCTTGCTGCAAATGGCTAATTTTCTGCAACTGCCCATCAACAAATGCCATTACAGCGATCCGGTTTCTGGTATTGAGTGTGACGGTCGGCCTCCATTTTCGGTTCAATCACGTTCTAGGGGCACATCAATCATATTGGAATGGGTGAGTGAATGCTGAAATTAGAGATTGTTATTTGGGGTAGGCAAAATGTGTAGTTATACATTTAGTAAAAGTTATTTGTTTCTTTCTCCATAGTTCTGCTCTTATGGACACAAGTTATGGATGTGGAACAGTCAACCTGTACTTCGACATGGGATGCAAGGAGGCGATTTTATGTTATCTGCCAACTTATTACTGAGTGGTAATAATTTTGCTAAGATTGCCCTCCTCTTCAAATTTATGAATATGAAGATGGTTTCAACGACAACTTATTACAAAATTCAACACTCCTACTGCGTACCTGAAATAAAGGCATTTTGGGAGCAGAAGAGGTTGTCTATTGTAACTCGATTAAAGTCAAAAGATGGCATTGTGGCCCTTGGTAAGTAATGTGTTAAAGGACAATCTTTGTCGTATTTGCAGTCACTATAAGTACTATATCTGTTACAGCTGACGGGAGAATGGACTCACCAGGTAAGTCTGAAGCCTTTCACTTCACAACATAGTTATTGTGTATTACTTTGTGTTTCACCATATTTGATTCAACAAGGTCATTCTGCAACGTTTTGCACATACACAACGATGGAACTTGACACAATGGACATTATCAGTGTTGTCAATGTTGATAAAAGGCAAGTTGGTGGAAAAAGTGTCTCTATGGAGAAGGCAGCGTTCATCAAAACATTTGATGATCTCACGAAAGAATTAAAAGTCAAAGAGATTGTGACTGACGCCCATGTGCAAATTGCAGCCCTCATGCGTAAGTATTTTTGTCTGTATTATTTGATGTGCTATATTTTGTGCTTACTGCATTTTTGAGCTTTATAATAGATCCAGAACGGGGAAGATATATGGATCATGGAGTTACCCATTCCCTGGATGTCTGGCATGCTGAAAAAAATCTAACTAAGAGGCTTCATGCTGTAAGTGATAGTTCATATCGTTTCTCATTCAATTATTTTTTATAGACATAACCAAAACTAATAACTTTGATATGCGGGTGTCCTAGCAGGTCAAAAACAAATCCTTGGGTGGATCAAGGACATTGTTAACCATTTTTGGTATGCCTGTCAGCATGCAAGCAGCCGAGACCAGTTCATGGTAAGTAAAGTAGAACTAGAATTTATCTTCTCATTTTCACTATACCTTTTCAGTTTCTTATGTTTGCTTATTAGGACATGTGGCGAGGTGTACTGCACCATGTTAGTGGCGTGCATGAGTGGGACCTGGGTAGATGCCTTCATGGTCCTTTGGGGGATGATGGCACTAAAGAGCCTGTACCAACTGGCTCTAAAGCACATGTGGCACTGTCACAGATCGTGCTGAACCGCAGATGGCTGAAGGATGTGGAGAAGTTCCTCACATTTCGGTAAGAGATCAGTTTTTGTTTTTTTGAATGATTTGTGTTTCTTCTATTTCCTACTTACTTTCCCTGCAGGACCACCTCACAGCTGGAATCATTCCAAAACCATATTCTGATGTATGCCGGAAAGCGGTTTGCTTTTTCATTTTTTGTTTATGAAGCAAGAACACTTCTCGCAGCTTTGGACTACAATCACCACAACAGCCGTCCGGCACATGTGAACAGCAAAGGCCAAGTGTCGTAAGTATCATTCACTACTTCCTATTGACAAGTCATAAATATAGTTGTCTTCTAACGTGAAATTACTTATCTTGTAGCCTAAAGAGACTGTACAGCAAAAAATCGAAACGGTATCGGGTACACACTGTCAAAGAAGCAAAGGATTACAACTACATTCCTGACCTTCAGACACAAATCATTGGCAGACGACTTCAGTCTGCTGGTGGCCTCCCAACCAGACGGAGTATCATACCGGAGGACCCACGAGCACTTTGACCAGTATATACACAAACGGTTGTTGGTGTTATCATCACTCTCTTTACACAACCAAAACATGGGGACTTCACAAACTGAATGCGCATTTCGCGCGCATGCGCAAAACGCAACGAAATACTTTGCCTCAAGTCGACGGTGCGGTCTGGAACGTGAAGAGAGGACTCTTTTGAATGTACGGTAAGTGTTAAGACACGTTGTTCATTGTTATAAAGGTATAAAGCTAAAGAAGTGTGTTAAGAACGAGTATACATTCGACTATATTATCTTATAAAACTCGTGTGTTCGACCAGCTCAGCGGTGAATGCAGTGACTGTGGCCGTGTTCAGAGCCGCTCTCCCGGAGGCCTGAGAGAGCTCTGTCCGGCCTCCGGGAGTTTACTGAGGACAGCGGTGAATGGAACTGTTAGTAGCTAACTGTAGCCATGTTCAGAGCCATATTCCCGGCCCTAACTACGCGGGCCGCCGCCGCTAGGAATCACATATATATGTGATATATATATCACATATGTGATTGCTCCGTGTGTGATAACTTTCTGTAAAGCATGGAGCTGCTGCAGGAGCATGGACGAGGCGCACAGAGCAGACTGCTTCGAAAGAACCGAAGGAAAAGCAGTTTGGGCTCATGGCAGAGCCTGATATACGCGGAGACTGTGGAATATCTAACATATATCATTTGTTTTGCACTGTTCCTGTCTTTATTTGAGCGCTAAGACTTTCACTTTTATTACTGTACTTTTTCATCTCATTTGTCACTGTTGTCTTTCTGTTCATTTTTTTTGTTTTTTTTTATTAAGTCCATTGCTTAATAATGTTATTGAGTGAATCTAGACCTCCTTTAAACACATTTGAGCAAAAATCATGTGATATTGTTTTATATATATTGATTATTCTTTTTTTGCTTACAGCGTGTTGCAGTCCGACAACAAGAAATAGTCAATTCTGCCCCACCTGTGGAAAATGTCAAAGCGCGCTGGCCAGCACTTCATACAGAGAGACAGGTGTGTACATATTTTTTACATCTATGCATTTTACTTGAAGTGTTTTATGTTGTTTTTTTTGCAGGTCCTGGCAGAATTTAACCAGATCACCAGCTCCAAACTGGGCAATGATTTCGTTGAAGCATTGGATTGCCTAACGACACAGTTCATCAAGCTCTTAAGGCCAAAAGGGGGTCTGCTGGCGCTAAGCTTTCCAAGATTGTCCGGCACCTCGATTCCTGTGTAAGTTCATAAAGCAATAACAAAAAGAAATGACATATGATTGTGTTTGGTGTTGAAATGCACATATGTACAGCAGAGGAGATGGAGAAAGGAGAAAGGTACACATCAAAAGAGGTACTGCTGCATTTTGTATCCTAAGATTTTTGGTACAATTGTAGATTGTCATTTTACATTTTCCACGTGTTTGTAGATGGTGGAACTGCAGGAAAACCCTGGTGACCGAGAGATCCTTAAAGATTATAATTCTGTGAGATCACTGTGAGATCTCCGCTCTCGAAGACAACTTGTCGACCTTCTCGTCAGTGACATGAGTGAAACACATGGGTATGTTGTATCCCTCAGTTAATACTCAAAAGTTCCTTCTTACAAGTGGAAGGATATTTACTCAAAATAAAATGAAAATCACTTGAAAGACCTTTCACAATAATCACATAACAATTCAGTTTCTCTCAGCACTGTTATTGATTCCCCATTGTAAGATAAATAGTACTGATCTCTTTTATAAATGACCTAGGTAGATGTTCTCCTGTAGATTATCTCTTGGTTAGGTCCCTGTGAAAATATGTACTTGTAGATACTATTAATTTAGCCTTTTTATGTAACCATGAAGTCCTTTGACCATGACTGTTTTTTTCTCCTTAGACAAATGCCTTCCCGAAAACAAAAAAAGCTATGCTCTTAGAATTATCACACTTTTTTCATTGAAGGATCCATTTTCTCAAAAAGGTTATGTAAGTATTGTTCATGTATCCATGGAAATTGATTTTGGTTTACCTACACGTTTTGTGTCGGTAATGGATATGTATAGATACCAATCATAACTGTACACTTTGTTTTCAGACTAATCTCGCCTCGTAATGAGACGGTGACCTCCTATTTGCTTAACACAATATCTGCAATACAATGTGAACAATAAGTCCACATTTCCACCATGTTGATAAAGACGACATTGTGTGTAAGTGTTTTACTGTTTCTCCCTTTAACCTGGTTTTAAACATTGTCAGAGAGGAGCTGTCACTTTAGCTGTGCTACAACTGAGGTATTTTATATTTATCTTTGTTAATGTACTGGGATTATTTATTTTAATGCTTTCTTATTTTGCTCAGCACTTCGAGTTGCATTGTGTATGAATTGTGCTAGACAAATAAACTTGCCTTACCATCGTACTTCCTGGTTCTAGTCAGGACTTGAGCTGCTGCATTTTGACTGTACTGCAGCTGTTTTACAGCCTGTTTGGACAGACCTGTGAGCAGGCCATTGCAGTAGTCTAACCTACTGGAGACAAATGCATGGATAAGAATCTCCAGGTCTGCTTTAGACACTATGTTTAGATGGGAAAAAGGATTTGATTTGGCTAATAATATTTACTGATTCTTTCAGCCGCTGGAATCGAGACTGAGTGTGCTAGAAAGTGACAAAGTGGAACTCTGGAAGTCCGCCACGGTAGACCTAATGTCCAATGAAGAAGAAGGCGTTGTGGACGGTGTCTCTGGATGGATTGTGCGGTCGCAGTCTTTTCGAAAGCCGGAGTTTTCTGAACTCTGTCAAGCTGCAGTCCCGGTTAGAGGCGGCGTGGAAGTACAGAGCCACGCACATTAAGCGTCTATCTAGAACCCTGCCAAATTACAACCCCGAGGAGGCTATTGGACAGTTCAGAGTTGTAATTTTTTAATTACCTATGTGTGAGCATAAAGCTGTGTGTGTGTGTGTGTGTTTTAATAAAGCTTTCTTTGTATGAACATATTCCTGGAAAATTTTCATTTCTTCTATAAATAATACGAATATTTATATAAATATTATTACATTAATTATGAGGCAGGGTGACCAATAGTGACAGATCTGCTAGCCAATCACGAGAGATTATACTTATTTGAAAGTAGTGATTTCATCCAATGGGGAGTAAGCTACCAATGGGGAGTAATCCCACGTGGGCTGGCCACGTGTGATTTTTCAGCCAATCACGAGTTTGAAAGTAGTGGTATTCACCAATGCTGAATAGCAGCCTGGCCAGCCGCTGCATTCATATGCTAATTAGGGCCATTAGCGCTCGGCGGCCGCAGTGTTTCGCTGCATTCATATGCAAAGTAGGGACATTAGCATGGTACGGATACGGCAGTTTGGAGGACAGGGCACCCTAACTGCGCCTTCTGAAAACTGCCTGAGATACCCGAAAAAGAGCGTGATTTCCTGCAGTTTAGGGTGACGAAAATCTAACTTTTCATGCAGTGTAGCTTACTATACGCTGCCCTGCGAAACATATTCCAGCATTTCTGTCATGTTACCACCACAAACATGACAATATGTTATAACATATGTTATTGGCATTTTAAATCAAAGACCAACACAAAGTGACATTTGTGAAGAGAAAGCAAAATGATACATGACTTTATCATTATTTTTACTACAGAACAAACTAAGTGTGGCATGCAAAAGTATTCAGCCCATTTCTCTGAGAGTAACCTGGTGATTTCTGAACGGTGTGATAGGTTTGATGTAACAGCTACTGTATGTTTCCCTTCCCTCCCAACATGGGATGCACTGCTTCAGCAGCCAGAGGGGGCCAACCTGTGAGGGGAGGTCAGCTGATAAGGCTCGTTGGACGCCAGGGTAAGACACTTCAGGTAAAGACAGATGTCCTAAATTATCTCAAAAAAATGACAGCTGTTTTGTCATGGCCTCCTTTGTTTGGAGCATATCTGTCACTAAAAGCATCATGAGGTCCACGATGACGGATCTGAAGTAGTGAAGATGGTTATTTTATTTGATTTGATGAAGTTTCAACTCAAAGCCAACCAAAACAAAGGCTGTCCACTTAAACAGGTCAAAGAAGGAATGCACTGATCAGAGATGCTCCTGAGGAGCTGCAGACATCCACAGCTGAGAGAATCTGTGAAAGTATTAGTTATGAATGACACAAATCTTGCCTTTATGGACGAATGTCAACGAGGAAAACCAGTGGTCAGAGAATTCCAGAATTGTACGCTTTGGGCGAAAAAAAAAAAGAAGAAGCAGGTTTGGTGTTGGCAGCATCATGCTGTGGCCGGCCTTTAATGAGCAGGGGCAGGAAGTCTGTCAACATTGATGGAAAGATGGATCGAGCAAAATACCTGATCTCGAGAGAAAAGCTGCAAGTCTGGGGCTGAGCTTTACCTTCATCAGCACAATGTTCCTAAACATACGTTTGTTGTTTGTGTTGGATGTCCACAAACAGCTTGAGCTGTTCTTAAAAGAAAAAGAAAAAAACCATCTGTAGATTTACAAAGCTGGTGGAGACATTCCCCAACAGACTGTAGTTGGAGAAGAGCGGTTCAACAATTTTGCAAACCACACATTTAATTTTATTTATTGAGTGCTTGGGTGTCACACATACCCAAGCCCCGGTGATCCAAGATGGCGCCGTTTTCAAATGAATGGTTTGTGCTCAGTGGCGCTTTGTGCCGTCACGGTCTCTGACAGATTAGCGGAACTCGCCGTATCACTCGCTATATTTGGGCATCGTCTGGTCCTCCCGGTTCTGTGCAGTGGACGAGCTCCCATGATGCGTTGCACCAAATACGCGTGTGTGGCTTTCACGCACGTGCACAGAGGGGCTCGGCCGCGCTCTGACCAATCAGAGCTGCTCATCAGAGCAGAGCTAGAGCAGAGCTAGAGCGGGAGTTAGAGCGGGGGTTAGAGCGGGAGTTAGAGCGGGAGTTAGAGCGGGGGTTAGAGCGGGAGTTAGAGCGGGAGTTAGAGCGGGAGTTAGAGCGGGAGTTAGAGCGGGAGTTAGAGCGGGAGTTAGAGCGGGAGTTAGAGCGGGAGTTAGAGCGGGAGTTAGAGCGGGAGTTAGAGCGGGAGTTAGAGCGGGAGTTAGAGCGGGAGTTAGAGCGGGAGTTAGAGCGGGAGTTAGAGCGGGAGTTAGAGCGGGAGTTAGAGCGGGAGTTAGAGCGGGAGTTAGAGCGGGAGTTAGAGCGGGGGTTAGAGCGGGAGTTAGAGCGGGAGTTAGAGCGGGAGTTAGAGCGGGAGTTAGAGCGGGAGTTAGAGCGGGAGTTAGAGCGGGAGTTAGAGCGGGAGTTAGAGCGGGAGTTAGAGCGGGAGTTAGAGCGGGAGTTAGAGCGGGAGTTAGAGCGGGAGTTAGAGCGGGAGTTAGAGCGGGAGTTAGAGCGGGAGTTAGAGCGGGGGTTAGAGCGGGAGTTAGAGCGGGAGTTAGAGCGGGAGTTAGAGCGGGAGTTAGAGCGGGAGTTAGAGCGGGGGTTAGAGCGGGAGTTAGACGAGCAGAGTTTGTGGCACTAAAAGGTGGATTTGAAGAAAAGGAATTAAGAAGAAAAAAAGTTCAGGATGACAAGGGACACTAAAATCCCCACAATATCTGACCTTTATGAAAGCTGTAGGTTCTCTGTCAGGTTCTCTGTCAGGTTCTCTGTCAGCTGAGGTCGAGCTGTTTTAGTTTACATTGAGTTCTATGGGGAACATATCTGGGTAGCCCACGTGAATTTAGTCTGGTTCAGTCTGCAGTACCGCGAGAGTCCCCTGAGCACATGGTTCTTCAGCTCCAAGCTGTAATACCCTATCCAGTTATTATAATAGATCCATGTACATACCACATACCATAAACATTACACCACATGGAGCTAAAAAAGAGGAGGCAGAAGCATTCCAATGCTTATGTGGGCCTACCCTGTTAGAGTTTGTTTTTTTTTTATTAGTAAAAGAGTCATGTATATTTTTATTGTAATAACTTTCTTACAATTGTTTGTCACTTTGTGTTGGTCTTCTGCATTAAGATTCCAATACACAGACTTTATTAGCGGTCGTAAGGATAAAATCTCCAACTTTAAACTTTGATCTCCACTAATGCCTAATGCAGCTCAGCAACACACACTCAAGTCTGCTGTTAGTGTTCCTAGTGTTCCAAATTGCAGGAATTTTATAAGTGAATCCAATGCTTTTATAAAAGTAATTTTGGAGGAAGAACCTAATACTGTGTTTTTCGTTGTGAGAATTCCAAACTATCCTGATGATTACAGTGATGTGGCTGCTGCTAATTGGGTCCATCATGATAAACACATTTTGCCCTTGCCTGTATATAAACCATAATCTGCTTTGAATAATCTGCGCTGTGCGACTGTGGCATCAACAACATCAGACGTGCGATCTCTCCAAAGCCGTGGCCTTTTCACATGTAAATAACCTCACGCCCCGGAGCCCAAACAAATCACTGCCAACTGCTGAGGCTGGAC